CCACCCCCCCCCCCCCCCCCCCAAGGACCCAAGGACCCAAGGACCCCCTCTTGCTACCCCATGCCATACGTAACTCGCTGTGATCGGCTTGGCTGAGTTGCGTGCGCGAGCTGTACCGTCAGTCAGTCCAGTCCAGTCAGTACATACATAGGAAACATGTCGTCCTGGTCCCTGGCCTCGACCTGCTCCTCCTCCCTCTCCTCCTCCCCTTCCCTCCTCTCCTCACTCATCTCCAGCCTCTGCCTCTACTCGTGCCGCGTCGCCAGGACCAGGACTGCCGCCAGAGCCTCTGTTAGCCGCAAACACTATCACCACCACCACCCCATCCCACAGCGTTCTAGACCAAAGTCAACCCCCACGATAATCTCCAACCCGCCCTTCTTGGCCCACTCCTCGGCCTCAGATTCCCGCCCAGCTTTCCGCAAAAAGGGTCGGCGCTCTCGCTGCTAGGATCCGGCCTGCTTGCCTCGAGAGTTTTCTTCGTCAGCCTGTTCTGCCATCGCCAAATCGTCCTCCGGACCACCCTACTCTCTGCAGACTCTTGACGGCAAGCCGCTCACGAGCAGTAATAATTATCCCCTCTCGGCGCGCACCCTCGCCATCACCACCACGAGCACGAGGAGGACCTTTGTTACTGCTCAGACCACCACCACCAACAACAGCATCGGAACTGCCACTGCCACCCTCGCACAACCCTCCCCGGAACGACCCATGACTGTAGACTATCGCGAGCCCAAACGCGCACGCACCGACGAGGATATGCCCCATGCCAACGGCGTCAACGGCACCAATGGTGTCAACGGTGTAAATGGAGTCGACCTGTCCGACAAGGGCAACACCGTCAATGGTGGCGCCCATGGCCCCTTCAACGCCGAAGACTGGTTCATCGGCAGTGTCGACCAGGGAACCACCTCCTCGCGCTTCATCATCTTCAACAGAAACGCCGACATCGTAGCAAGTCACCAGATCGAATTTGAGAACCACTATCCAGAGTCGGGGTAAGCCACACTTACACCCCCCTCCCTCCTGTCTGTCCGAATGTGGGATTGTAGAGAGCCCCAAGCTGACCCGCTCTGCGTCAAACCAGATGGCACGAGCATGACCCAGAAGACCTCGTAGACTCGGTGCAAGACTGCATGGAGGAGGCCGTCAAGCAGTTCACCGACCAGGGCTACTCGATAGACCAGATCAAGGCCATCGGCATCACAAACCAACGAGAGACCATTCTCTGCTGGGACAAGCACACGGGCAAGCCTCTCTGCAACGCCGTCGTCTGGCCAGACACGAGAACCAAGGACATCGTCCGCGAGTTGAAGCTGCGCGAAGGCGCCGAGAAGATCCCCGAGCTCTGCGGCCTTCCCCTCAGCACGTACCCGTCCAGCGTGAAGCTCATGTGGCTGCTGCGCAACCACGAGCTGGTACAAAAGGCATACGAGGAGAGCCGGTTAGCAATCGGCACGGTAGACACCTGGCTGGTCTACCGCCTTAATGGCGGCGCCGAGAGGAACGTTCACGTCACAGACACCACCAACGCCAGCCGGACGCAGTTCATGAACCTGCGGACGCGGAAATATGACGACGAGCTGCTGGACTTCTTCGGCGTCGACCCCACCAAGGTCGCCCTCCCCAAGATCGTTACATCGTCGTGCCCCAAGCTCTACGGGTCCATCGCCTCGGGATCCCTCGCCGGCGTCAAGATTGCCGGATGCCTGGGAGACCAGTCTAGCGCACTGGTGGGCCAGTGCGGTTTCCAGCCAGGCCAGGCCAAGAACACCTACGGTACCGGATGCTTCCTTCTGTACAATGTCGGCCACGAGCCCGTCATCTCCAAGTATGGCTTGCTCTCCACAGTCGCATACGACTTTGGCCACAAGGGGGAAGCTACCTACGCCCTCGAGGGTAGCATTGCTGTTGGTGGCTCTGGTGTCAAGTTCCTGCTGCACAACCTTGGATTTGAGCGTGATTCCAAGAGGATCACCGAGCTTGCCGAGAGTGTCCCGGACAACGGCGGTGTCTACTTTGTCACCGCATTCAGCGGTCTGTTTGCGCCGTACTGGGTTGACGACGCCAAGGGTACCCTATGTAAGTGTTTCACGTTCCCAACGCATTGCCGCTTGAGCAGAAAATTAACAGGGTAATATAGTCGGTATTACACAGCACACCAAGAAGGGTCATATCGCTCGTGCGACGCTGGAAGCAACCTGCTTCCAGACCCGCGCCATCCTCGACGCCATGGAGAAGGACTCCGGTCACAAGCTCGGGGACCTTGCCGTCGACGGTGGCATGTCCAACTCCGACCTGACGATGCAGACGCAAGCCGACCTTTCGGGCATCCGCGTCGAGCGGCCCGCCATGCGCGAGACCACAGCCCTCGGCGCCGCCATCGCCGCCGGCCTGGCCATCCGGGGCTGCTGGAACAGTTTGGAGGAGGTCGAGACGCTGATGAAGACCAAGGAGGGCCGCAAGACCTTTCTGCCCGAGATGGAGAAGAAGAAGGTCGTCAGAATGTACAACAAGTGGGAACACGCCGTCGAGATGAGCCGAGGCTGGGTCATCGACGAATCTGAGGACGAGGGAGATGATTACTAAATCTCTTCCTCCCCCTCTTGATTTCTAGATCGCTCAGCTGCCTTAACCCTCGGCGGCCCACGCGCAAGTTTTACGACGATGACGACCTTTTCTTCTTCTGCATGGTTTTTCTGGTCCCCCTTGTCCCCCGGGCACTGCGTTTTTTTCAAGCTCGTTCATTCTGCATCGCTTTGGAGTCGGGTCACCTGGCGGGGAGCATAGTGGGAGGAAGACGAGAAGTTTCCGGGAGATGCGACTTTTGAGTGAGAGAGATATCCCCCCCAGCATTGTACATATAGCAATGTATTACTAGGCCAGCAGCTGGCTGGTGCCCACGAACCTTATGTCTATAGGCCCTCTATATGGGATATACTGCATATATAATAAGAATCATAATACTCAAGAAAGAATCAGCGACGAGCCCCAATTCCCTAGAATTTTGATCCATGTGAGAATGAATGATATAACACGCAAAACGGAACCGTTCCGTATTGGTTTCTCGACGTGTTTGACGGTTTTGTAAATAAACCTGCTTCAACTTTTCAAATCAATGATACGTCCGTCGCCTTCAAGCCAGCCTAACCCCCAAATACACGGAAAAGAAAAACTTCCCCGTGGCCTTAATAGCCAACTTCTACACCGCTGGATATCACTGCTGCCGCCTAGCCTCGATCTGCCCACGATCGCTTTACCTTTCACAACGACCACCGTCTCACTCAGACTCACTCATAGTTTCCACCACCGCATGGAGATGGGCGGGCGGCGGGACCACAAGCGCGGTCTCAACACCACAACCACACAAGCCGTGCTGGTCGGAGCTGTCTATATACACACATATAGCGTAGCATAGCATGGCACCCGCCAGGGCCCGTCGTTCGCTCCCCGACGACGGGCCTCTGGAATACAATCAGATGAGGGCCGCGTGGGAGTCCCGGCCACCGATGTCTCTGCGTTGGGTTATTTCTAGTATGGCACGATATACGGCGGGGATATCTTGCCTCCCACGATGCCCTCCGTCGTGCGGGCCCGTCCGTACTTGATACCGGGACGACTCGCCATGGGGTTTCATTTGTTCCTCCTTCTGCTTCCCTACCATTGTATCGGCCTGCAGTAGCCATCAAGTCAATACGGAGGCGGAACCAAGTTCATTATCGCTCCAGCGTGGACATGGTTTCCGAGACACATCAAGAGCAAGTAGAGCAAAGTGTCAAAAGTCAAAAGCAGGTTCTATTCAGGGGGTGACTCTAGCCTCCTCTCTGGACTGTCAACAGCAGCATCCAGGTCGGACGACAACCCACCAGCTACCTGCCATGCTACCGACCCTATGCGTAGATCCATGCATCTAAGCACACAACAAGCAGCTCGCTAACACCACGCTCATCAGTGCCAATTCAAATTTTCTTCCTGCGCAGTGTCATCAACAGGTATCTTCCATACCCAGCTCTGGGCGGGGACCCCCTGAAATAGTCTCCTTCAGTCGGGGGACTGGTTTCCCGAATTGTGCAGGTACCAGAAGTCCGTTGATCCCACGCATGCCATGCAATGCAAATCGTCTGCTCATGTCTCTTTTTCACACACCAAGGTTTTATTAGCCTCCGCCTCTATGCCGGCTGCCTTTCCTTCCACCAAGACAGTTTTCTGGGTTTTGCCACCAGCTGCGCGCTACTATCAGTAGAAAAGCAGCAGGCGACGGGGTGCCGTCGCTTGAGCTTTTGACCGTACAAGATCCCAGCATGAGATCTACGGCCATGTAGAAACACCTAGCTGCCTCAATCATAGTCGAAAAGGGAAGAAGAGAAATGTTGAGGGGAGAAGTCCTCGTTCAGCCGGAACGCGTACGGAGAGAAAGGGGAATTAAGAAGGTCGTACAAGGGGGGAAACCGGGTTGCCAGAATGTACATCGTAAAAAGGGGGGCCAAGGCGGCAAAACATTGTAGAAAGCGACCATTGGGGGTTTATGGAGCCCTACATGATGATGGCCGGGATGTCAACGTTGGCCTTGATGCTCTTGTGGGGAAGAACGCTGCCGCCGTTGACGTAGATCTCGTCGCCAATGGTCACGTCGTCACCCAGGACGGTGACGTTCTCCAGACGCGCCCACTTGCCGACGGTGCTGTTCCAGCCGACAATGGTGCTCTTGACCCAGGCGTGGTCCTTGACCTTGGAGCCGGGCAGGATGGTGCATCGCTGCAGGCGGACACCGTCGCCAATGACGACGTCCTTGCCAATGACCACGTTGGGTCCGATCTTGCAGTTCTTGCCGATCTTGGCGCTGGGGTCGACCATGACGTTGCCGCCGTGGACGAAGGGCTCCGAGTTGGAGGCCAGCAGCTTGGACTGCTTCTTGGCCAGCGACGAGAGGTACAGGCAGGTGCCGGTCAAGAAGTCCTTGGGCTGACCGACGTCCATCCAGAAGCCCTCGAGGTCGAACGAGTGCAGCTGGCCGTCTTTGACGATGGCGGGGAAGGTCTCCTGCTCGATCGAGGTGGGGCGGTTCTTCTCGATGCGGTCGAGCACCGAGGTGTTGAGGATGTAGAGGCCGGCATTGATGCGGTTGCCGACGAACTGGACGGGCTTCTCGACGAAGCGGTCGATGCGCGAGGGGTGGTTCGGCTTGTGGACAATGACACCGTACTTGGAGGGCTCCTCAACCTTTGTGACGACAATGGTACCCTCGTCGCCGTGGGCCTTGTGGAAGTCGAGCAGCTCCTGGAAGGGGTACTCGCATGTGACATCTGAGTTGAGGACGAAGAAGGGCGAGTCGTCCTTGGCCAGGACGGCCTCTGCCAGCTTCAGGGGGCCGGCGGTGCCCAGGGGCTCGGACTCGACCGAGAAGACAATGTTGACGCCGTACTTCTCTCCAGTCTACGGGCGCGCGGGTTGACTCGTCAGCGGGGACCGTACTACTTCTACTGGCAGAGGGATGTGTGGCATGTGTGCTTTTCTCCTTCTCCGAGGCTCGGCCTGTGGGGGAGGGAAGACAAGACAGTTGCGCCTGCGCGGTGTGCGCTTGTGCTTTGGTGTTACGTGTTACGTACCTCCTTCAAAAAGTTCTCCATGATCTCGGGGCGGTAGTTGACGGCGAGGACAATGTCAGTGACGCCGACGGCGGCCAGAGCCTCGATCTGGTGGAGGATCATGGGCTTGTTGGCAAACTCGACCAGGGGCTTGGGGAGGGTGAGGGTCTAGCAAAAGACGTCGCCGTTAGCTTTCGGATCCCCCTTTCGAACAGGACCTGGCCCTTGCCCTGAGGGCTGGCCGGCGGAGGGTTGCACATACGAGAGGGCGAAGGCGAGTGCCAAAGCCACCGACGAGAATGAGGGCTGTTGAGGACGAGGCATGTCAGCGCAGATTCAGGAGTTGGGACGAGCTCGAGCCGAGGCGGCGACCAGTACTCACCCTTCATTTTGAGAGAAAGGGTAGATTATCTGTCTGTCTTGAGGGTGAAGGAGAAAACAAGAGCCGGCCGGAGGCGTATGGCAGCGAGCGTGAGAAGGATGAAGGAGAGAAGAGAGAGAGAGAGAGAGAGAGAAACAGAACCGTGTGGTGGTTCCGGCGTTCGTCAGATGGGCTGTTGTCAGGTTCAGGTTGCAGGAGGTGAAGGCAATGCAATTGCAGATGCGATGCGGAGAAAAAGGGACCCAGTCCCAGTCGCTGTCCCAGTCCAAGGTCCAAGGTCCAAGGTCCAAGGTCGAGGCCAGGGTCAAGTTAACTAACTCACTAGAAAGTCCAGGGGGGGGGCTCGTGTCTCGCTGGTAGGCGCAGCCTTGGGGCCTTGGTCGCCGGTTTGACGGTCCAGAGTCGCGTCCCAGTCTGACAGTGGTGCCAATCTGGTCAAGCGTCAAATGAAGTGTCCCTATTCCCCCCTGTTCCCCTTTGCCAATAAGCACACTCTGTAGCCTGCTTTAGGGGTTGTCCAGGGGCCTTTTCACTTGGCGGGGTTTTTTATTTTTTATTTCAAGGCATTCTCGTCTTCACTTTCCTACTGTGACCATTCGTAACTTATGATTAGGTTGCTTCCGGGCTGCCGCCAACGTCACCAGGGCCCGGGAGCATGGTGAAAGCAGCTGGGCAAATCTACACAGACCCAGAGTTGCCTTCTGTTCGCAACCTTATGCTGTGTGGCACAGCAACGACAGATCACAGATCACTGGGGCTATGGCCGTCACAGGAGCACAGGATCGTGTTTGAAGCATGGACAGGCGCATTCTTTCTCTCCTCCTCCCGCAGCCCTCCCGGCGAGAGAAGAGGACACCCTGTTATCACATACCACCTAGGTATGGACAGACGCAACAACAGAACACGAACTGATGACTGCGCATCCCTCCGAGAAATTACCTATGGCTAAAAAAAAGCCCCCACCCAAATTTGGCTCCCGTGTGCCGTGTCCATGCCATGGGACCGCCAGCCAGCGACAACGCCAGCCGATCTGCGCGGCCCTCGTCCCCCTAGAGCCCCCCCGGGCCCCGTATTCTGTGGGCTCGTGGCGAATTGGACCTCGTGATTGGCTGTCCGCCACCAACAGCCACTCCCGACTTCAGCTCCTTCATCATCTCCCCCCCCCAATTTCCCAGCTCCACGTGAAATTGCCTCTTGAAATTCTGGTTTGGGTAATACAAAACTCCCCATTCCATTCACTATCCATTAGCCTCACCTGGACAGCATGGTCCTTCTCTGCATTACATGGCACAGAGCGGGGGACTGTGGGCAAGCCACGAATGCAACTCTGAAATAAGATATTTGACTTTTACGCGTCACGTCAAAGGTCCGAGGCTGCTCGCAGTCACCCAAACGTGGGGTGACAGTTTGCCTGTGAAACAATACTGGCATTCCTGGTCTCACATCGCATCGGGACCGCCCGACGTCGTGTCGTGTCATCTGACATGCCTGTCTCATCTCGTGTTCTGACCTGACTCACAGTAATGCCATCAACCGCAGAGACACGACACTACTATAGTGCAACACATAAACACAACACGCGACGGCTTCGTGAGTCATTAGTCTTCCAAACATCGCACATATACCGTGTGTGACGGTGCCAAGTAGGCCAGGTCACGATCCATGCGCACTAGGCGACCGATTGAGTCTTCCAGTATGCTAATGACCGGTTGGCCTTTGGTGTACGGAGTATTGCCTCTGGGTATCAGCCTTCATGCCTTTGAGATGAGCACCATACTCGACCCTCCTTACGGACTTGACCTTCAAGAAAAATTGGAGAAGCCCAGTAATGACAGATATCCTGATCTTCAAATATTGGCTGTTCCCAGTCCAGGACTCGAACGCGCACATTCCAGCCCGGCTCTGAAACTCGACCCATTGCAATGCACTGAGAGCCAACATTGTTCCCATATACAGATCCAATAGGTCTGCCCGAAGTCCACCATGCAAGCCGTCGCTTTTGACGACTCACATCCGTGGCGGGGTGAACGCATGCACATATCGGTTCCAGACCGTTGAGACTTGACGAAGAAGGAAGTGAGGTGCAGCGCGCAGCCTTATATACTGGAATGAGAACAGCCAATAGCTTGCTAGTGGGGCCGAGTACCAGAGCCTAAGAGCACTTGGCAAAGACAAAAAGCAATACAAGTTGCTGTACATCAGGTTCAACGTTGCTCACAATGAACCAACCGATGGGACTAGCCACGTGTTTGATGAAACCGCTAGATTGATGGCAACGATGGCTAAGCCAGACTTCAGTTCGATCGCCCTAGAGCACCCTGGCGGCCATCGAGTCACCGTTCATCTCGGTCAGCTCAGCTTCCACAGGCGCTTGTCCGGGGGTATACAGCTCCTGCCCAAGCGCCCACGTTACTGTACTACGGTATATACGAGGCCGCAATCTCCGGGTCACAATCTCCAACGGCTAAGCGAATGGGAACCCGTCGGCCGCCTAGGCGCGGTTCTATATAGCAAGCCACAAAACAAAAATCGAGCTATACAGAGTAAACCTAGAGCCAGGGTATGATTGGCTCAGGCAGGGGGGTACCCGTCGTAGCGATAATTAATTAACTAATAACTTGGATTCTCTCGCATCCCGGAAGAGCAACCTGTGACCAGCGCGTAACGCCCGTCCCCGTGACGGCGAGCCGCCATAGGCCCCCCCCAAGCCCGGCGCCCTGGCCTCCCTACGCACCCCGGGCTTGCGGCAGGCCGGGGCGGTCTCCTCATTGGTCGGCCGGGTATACCGCCTTCACGCGCGCGCGCGGCGATCCGGGGAAGCGGGTTGGGAGGTGCCGGGGGGGGGGGGTATGGATTGGATTGGACTGGAGGTCCTGCTCTCTGGATGGGAGAGATCCCAGGGATTGCGCGCACGTTCCTTCTTCAACCCCCCGCCCTCTCCCCCATCTGCCCCCCCGGGCGTTGGAGATCGATCTTGCTTTGCTGTGTCGACCGCCCTCCAAAAGAACCCCACGCGCCATGTCGTGCGCTGGACCGGTGTGACCACACACCCCCGTAGCCGCCGGTCCCTGTCTTCCCAAGGGCCGGGGCCAGCGGACGTGCCGGCGGCAATTAGACTTCTGGCAAACGCGAGAGATACTTGGAAATCAACCACGGTGGGGGGAAGGAAAAGTCACGTGTGCGATATACCCATGTAGAGAGAGAGAGAGAGAGAGAGAGAGAGAAAGCAGGAGTTCTGGTAGTGTAAAAGCATGGCGGTCTAAAGATTCCCGTCATTGGTCGTTATATGAGCTATCCGTTTGTGATGATGTAAGTGATGATGATGATGATGAGTGTGGTGGTGTTAGTGATGGAGTATGTAGAGCAAATCCTCATGAGCTTCGTTCTTTGGTCATTAAGTCGTGTCTGGCCGCCTCGTTAAAGAGGAGTTCGCCATGTGAGAGTGAGAGAGAGGATGGTGGGAGGGAGACAGGGAGAGATGGAAAGAAGAGAAGAGACCCGAAAGAACAATCCTTTCCGTCAAAACTCGTCCTCGAATGCCCGGCAGAAGAACAAACCCCCCAGAGACATGGATAGCCAATCAGACCCCCTCCTAACTCTGCGTCCTCTTGTCCACCGTCCAGATCCACATCCACGTCCACGGTCCTGGCATTCTCCTCACCATCGCTTGTCACCATGGAAAATCCGTTTGCACCAGCAGTCTAGTATAAGATCCAGAAAGAAAAGAAAATGGTCCCAAGAATAATTGATAAATATGAGAAGAATCCAAAGAGTGCATTTCGACCACTTAATGGTAACAGTTGTTCGCTTTCCAAGTATGAACGTGAAACGATGATGAGGATGATGAAGAACAGGATTCATTCCAAGCTTGTCTGGTTACTCCCCCTCCGAGTCCGTTGGTCCTTCTCCAAGTCCGATGATGGTTTGTCCGTCCCAGCCTGTCAGGAAACAGATGTCCATGGATGCCCCAGTTATCCTGCCTTCGCTACGCAGCTGCTCTGGCCGAAGATCGGACTTCGGAATTGCGTGAGCACGGAGTGTATCCGTTCAACAGAGAACCCTCCTGGAAACGGTCCGTTTGGGCGGAGCGAGAAACCAGCCTGGTCCTTCAAGTCCCTGGGGGCTCCAAATAGGGCACCAAGTCCTTTTCAGGGGGGAGAAGAGGAAAGAAGCTCAGGGCGAGCGAATCAACGTATAGCACCGTGCAGATGATGATGATGATGATGTTTGTGTATTTGTGTGCGCCGTATCATTAAGAAGTCATTTCGTTATTCGTCAGTTGTGGTTCGTTATTCGTTATGTCGTTGATTTTATGCAAATTTTTTCTTTTCTTCCGCTTTCGGCAAGAATGCTCTCAAAGGGGGTATTCCGCGGAATCATGCCTAGGATCAGCTGTGAAGCCTCGTCACTTGTATATGTCCAGTTAGAAAAAAGACCCTGCGCCAATTCGTTCTCTCGGTTTGTTATCCATTGGTCAAGAAAAATAAAGCACATCCAGGGGGGATGCTCCGGCTGTGTCTGGCCTCCATTGGTTCTCTCTCCGCCCCCGCTCAGTCGTAGGAAGCCGTCGAGCTGGAGCTCGAGTGGTGGCCGTGTCTCCCGTGGCTTCCATGGCTCCTGTGGCCACTGGAGGAGCTGTGGCGAGACTTCTTGGAGCGCGACGAGTGCTTGCCCGTCTCACTGGCCGGAAGACCCTGGACAATGCCGTTGCGGGCGAGCATCCCACCATTGACGGAAAAGTTCCGGCACACCATGAAGGCCCTCATGGCTGCATTCTCCTGGGCGAGGCCGTCCGATTCGTATGCAAGATCTGTCTGGTACTCGCGCCCGTTGACCAGAACCAGGCAGGTATAGCCACTGGAGTCACGGTAGCATTCGTACGAAGGATCTCGCCACCCTCTTCGGCGGCATAGGCCTATGGGGCACCCCGTTAGCTGCTGATCTCAGAGAAGAAGCTGTGTCCGGGCGTCATCGTCACCAGCAGAATTTCCAGGGCTGCAGCAGCACTGCAGCCTCATCGAGCCGCGGAAGATCACGGGCATATGCATGACAGCCTGACGATGAACGCCCCGATCTGTCGGTTCTAGAGCAGAGAAAATATGCCAGGAACGTGGGGCCTATAAGTCATAATGACACCCATCGAGTGCAGGAACACGATGGCAGTCTGCACGTCTTAACTCATGATGCAGGGGTTGGCACATGTAAGACGAAATCCCATCGTGGCAGCCCCACCACAGCACTTTTATCACCACCAGAGTTTGTTCCCAAGACGTGTGTGTGCGTGCATTGGTGGCTTCGAGAAAATCGCTGGAAAGGGTAAACAAGTTTCACTTACTCTCGAGATACTGCATATAAAAGCCACCCATGGTGCTGGACTGTCCCAATGGCTTTCCAATGGTCCTCAATTGGGATGCAACTGGCTTGAGATCAAGGGTCAATTGGCACGCAATCCAGGTGGGAAGATGCCCCGTGGTGGTTAACCAGGAACGAGCAGCAACCAGCTAAGCAACGGGGAAGGAAGTCCGGATATGTCTTGGGGGTGTATTGTATGCAGTGAAGCCCAACGTGGGGAGGGAAGGAATTGGGGGAAGTAGTAAGATTCAATATCGGTCAGGCAGCGTTGACGGGTGAAGGTTGTGCTACAACACGTAGTAGGTGTGATGTGGTGTTGAAGAAGAAAGCCCGGCTACGCATTCAAGCTTTTGGTGCGGGAAGTTGGACCATCAACGGCGAGACATGTGTGCTTTATTGCAGAGAACGTGCTGTTCGTGCGGGGCAGGGAACATGTAAAGACGGAAACAAAGAGACTGGACCGAAAAACACGACGGACGGGATGGGAAAGGGGACCAGTTCTCCAGACGCATGTTGAGATGCGGCTCTCAGAGTGTGACCCCATCTTGATGTGCTGGCGCGTCTCGTCGCCAGTTGATAAAACCGTAGAGGACTAGGCAGGTCCACCAGAACACATGGGGTATGCAACCCGTCGAGACGATCATCTTTCGATTAAAGTCTCAAAAAATATGCTTTTGGGAGAATCCGGTACGGGCTCTCCGTTCTTTGCATTCGCTTCCCCTGTCCGACAATGGGGCCTGCCGGGGGGTGGTCAAGTAACTTGGTCATAAAAAATCAGATAAAAAAAAAATTGCTGCGGTATATGCAGAGGAAGGCATAGTGAAGTGGCAAAACGGAACTGGAACCAGTCCTGCGGCCAATCTGCACCGCCAATGGACCGATGACGATTGGAGAAAAAGGGCAGGCCAAAGGGCGACAGAGACAAGAAACGCTCCTATGAGGTGTCCCACGGACCGGCCACCAGTCATGTCACCACCTTAACCTTCCCAGAGAAGGGCCGGGAAGGATGTGCCTGGTTCGTGGCCGGGGTCTTCCAGACCAGAGGCAGGAAAGCGAATCGTCTGCGAGAGATGCCTCTCTCGGCCGCTAATGCACAAGCAATCAAATCGAAGGGGTAAATATCTGGTACTGGAAACGTTGGATTTCTGACGGCGAGAATAGACAAAAAAAGAAGACTATACTTCCCCACGTACATGCATAACCCACCAAGCCCATCTGTCACTTGCTCCTATGGGACAAGCCTGCCTGCCCGTAAGTCGCAGAGGTACGCCCGTATGTATCGCCTCTGCGTTGATCCTTGCACCTTGACAAGGACCCCGGAGGTTCATGAGATGGCGAAAGAGAGGCAGGAGAGGGGTTGACGACGATTGTTCTACGACCACGAGAGCTGAGGAGGAGCAAATGCGGCCATGTTACTGGTCAATCAGTTGACGAGCGCCGTAGTGGGCCGAGATCTTGAGCGATTCGCACAACGGTCCAAAATAGAGAATGACGGAAGCCCATTCGACAAATCAGCATGGCCGACGGCCGGTGAATTCAAGGGTAGCCTAGCTCACTAAGGCAAGGAATTGGGGTAAGAGAAATAAGGGAACGGCGCTTGCTGGAAAGGTCCTTGCAACAAAACATCCTGGGACCGGGTATTTTTTTCTCACGCGCGCTCCATCGAGTCGTCCCCTCAATGGAGCCGGAGCGAGGTAGTGTCGAGTCGACTGGCTCGAGCCGGCACCACGCACGAAGTGCGGTGAACAAGAATGAGGTGCATGAACAGTGAATGGTCTCTGCTTGGCGACCCCAGTCGACCTGGCCTCTGCCCCTAGGGTCCCTGCAAGGGCCGGCAGGAGCCACTGGGAGTCTAGAGACGAACGGCGGCTGTGAATGGAGGAGACAGGGCCAGGCAACTAGGCGAAAAGACGAGACGCTTAACACCTCATGCAATGATGAGTTGGCATTGCCGCTTGATATTAAATCAAGAATGGGCGATATGTGTTGAATGTCAGAAAGGGTATGGGTACCAGCGCCAGCGAACGGCGACCCGCCTGCACGCGAGTACCGGTACTGGGGGCGACTTGGATATCAACAATGGATTCACCCACGGACGGACACCTCGTCGCGTATGGGGGAATAGAATCCGTCGATGACTGAGCACTGCTTCGCGCGATGAAAGCACGGGGCGGCGGGCGATGCCACTTTCTATGTATGTATGTATGTATGTACATACACACACCAGAGAGGAGAAACCGACCGGTAGGTACTGACTGTAAGTACATGCATACTGTAGAACGCAGATAACGATGAAAGAAGTGGCGCCGACCGGGGGGCGAGTGCAGAAGCGAAAGGGGACGGATCGGCCAGCATCAAGAACCCGAGCAGGCAGGCAGCGTGTTTGTTGGTGTTTGCGGTTTTTGGAGAACATGCCCGGGCGGGAAATGGAGAGGCTGATCCGCAGGTCGGTTCCAACGACATCGCGCAGTGGCCTTGGTGGTGAAGGAAACCGCCCGTGGTCGAACAGTTCTGGAACGTTAACGGAGCCGACTGACGGTCCAATGCAAAGCTAGCAGAGACAAGCCACGCAGTCGCGCACGACTAGACAGTGATTGTCCGAGGCCATGTGTATTGGAGGTTTGGGGACAATACCTCATATCTCCACCTGCTGGCAGGTAAATCTGCGAGGACCGGCTCTGAGTGGTGCTCCATCTCATGTGCGGCAACATGTCGACATAAGCTCAGATCAGCCAATCCTAGAGCTCCGACAGCTTCCAGTCGTCCAACAGTATCCTTGATATATACCGAGACGAACCACCAGCTCGATGGAGCTCATTAGTTTCAATCGCTCAGCTACCTTTTTCCTTTGCTGTCGGGATTCCCTTGGCCGGATCTGGCGGGAGCAAACGATTGACTCTCGTCAGCCTGAGGACGACGGCATTGGTCGAGACCGCTTGACTAGCTGGCCGAGGACGGGGAACATACATGCAGACAAATAGCCCCCACAGCCAACTATGCGATGTCGTGCATCATAATCAACCTAGGGCCGCCCAGGACGTATGAGCGCTTTCAGGAGCCAGGAGCCAGGAGCCAGGAGCCAGGAGCCAGGAGGCAAGCAGGCAATGCCCATACCAGCCAGAGCCAGGGCCTACTACGGCACTCATGCAATTGATGTCACTCGGACCAGTCAGTCCAATTGACTTGAGCTGAGTTTACCCCGCCCCCTCTTTTCTTTCCTTACCATGCTGATTATCAGCAGCCGACATCATCGTCGAAGAACGGACGAATCCTCGACTGCTCGGGGGACCCCTACATGGGGTTGAGTGATACCTCTGTTCGCCAAAGTGGCGTCTAACCCAATGTGGACAGCATTCAATGAATTACACGACAGCTGCTGTGTATTTAGCCCGCCCACCAGCACTCCAGAAGATCGCACCACACCGGGTGGCAGCCACGGGCGTTTGGAAGAGGATGCTTATGTCACCGGTGCTTGAGCCCAGATCGCGGATCCTGTCCTCATCGTCTGAAGTTGCGGGAAAGGAGGCTGATGAGGCCTGCGGAGGCCTGCTTGCCACGTCAAGAATGAGGGCCCTCCCCCTAGCATCCTCTCTGAAGGGGCATGAGACGGTGGAGACAGAGCACGACGCATGCAGTCTGCGGTCCACCTTGGGGATAACGCAAGCGGTTGACACAGTCCGTGCAAAACTACATATTCTTTTCTGCAGCGAGCTCCATATCAGGTAAGGACGTTCAAATAAAGCTCCATCTAAAAACCATGTGCATTCCAAACGAAACGTTGACCGCGCTTCCGGGTGCTTCCTGTCCTACGTTGCTGCCGCATGTCTTGGAGATGAGGCTGGCTTGGTGTCTCAGACAAGACATGTGGCATCGGAGCCGGGTCTCTGGGCTGGTCGAGGTCCTGTTCGAGACCCTCCTCGCAATCTCGGACATACTCTGTGGATGAGCTGTGGCGAGCAACGCGAACATGCGCCCCGAGCCTGCTGAGGACCTCTTTGGGTTGGGGTTCCACAAGACCTACACGCACAAACCGCGAATGTAGATTCGCGAATGCACCGTATCCCCGCGGCGCTGGATTCAATTGTTCCACTGCAACCGGGCGAGCCACTTGGGCGACCGCTTCGTGAATGCCGCAGCCGAGTTCATGTGTGGATTGCATTCTGCATACAGACCTACATGACGCTGTACTGGAGTACCAAAGCGGTTTAGCCACAGAAGCCCGTCATCCCGTCTCGTGAGATCGGGCCAATGTGTGAGGCCGGATCCTCTGATGTGCTGTCCTATGTGTAACTGTGGCTCTCGAACAGAAAAGAATGTTCATTCCAGATGGCCCATGCTCCCTTATTTTCGGCATCCCCATCTCGGCGTGAGCCCGGGTGTACCCGTTGTCAGCAGAATCCCAGCCACTGGAATAATTCCGAGGGGCTCATGGGGGCCATGGAATCGAACTTGCCAAAGCAGAATCGTGCAGGTGTTTCATGATGGAAGTTTGAGTTCACTGTGCGTAATAGCCCAAGGACATTGAATTTAGCTTTCAGCTGGGAGTGGATTGATCATTTCCATGGTTGCAACGCCCGCCTGCTGCTGCTGCTGCTATTACGCTGGGTTCCGTACGTCACCATCCGCTGTTGAATGGGGTTGGGTTTTCTGGCCCGTAGCCCCGAGAGTAATAATAAACAAATAGTTTGCATGCAGAGTGGCAGCAGGACATGACTCCTCGTTTACGCGTTACTGGAATGGCAAGAGTGTCCTTGGTCAAGAGAATTCGTATTGGTTCGCTCCGCCTCGGAGGCGGTCACTTGGTATGCGGCCATGAGAGCGGGTCAGAACCCCGGCTTCGATAAGAAAAAGTTCATCATGTCCTCCCGTGCTCCCTGGGGGATGGCGTATACGGGATCTGTGGGATTGAGCAGGTCTTCCTGGTCGTATATCTGGTCGCCCGGATGGGGTAACACGGTCCATGTCACGTTTGCCACCTGCTCGACTCGTAATGTGTCCGTAGTCACGATGTGCTGTGCAGACGAGAGGCCACTGAGCACATAGCAGGTGTGGTATGCATCAGAGCGCCTATAATACGTTTCAATTAGATGTGTCGAAACGCGTTTAGCAACTGGGGGCGAAGCTTACTTTCCAGGCTTATCCCTCATGCCCCCCCGCGAGGAATGATCCTGCCCACAGGAGAGAATGTAGCGTATCAGGCCTTCGCGGTCATAGAAGCTGTGGGTTTCCAAAGTAGGACTCTCTTCCGGTTGACGGCTAGCACTTTCTCCTAGGCTGGCTTGTATCAGCGGCCAGCAGGCCCCGACCCAGTGGCTATAGCAGCCGTCGACGAGCTTGTTGGTGCGGCCAGAAAACCCACCCTCCGGGGCATATTGACGAGCCGACAGCCAAGAGATAAGCCGTGGCACGTCAAGGATCCTATGCAGCATGTAAGTTTGAGTGCCTCCCTTGTGTTGTCACCCGCTGAGTGGACAGAATGAGATGCGGCATACCTTGGGATGATGCGATGAGGAGCATCCAGGATGGAGAGACAGCCTAAAGCACAGAATGCATATGCACCATGTGCTTCGGCGTCCGGTTTGCCGGATATACCACCCTCATACGTCTGACCTACATGCACTGTTAGCTGTTAATGATTAAGAGGGTGGTGTATCTCCCACATCTGCGAACATAGCTGTCAAGCCCAGCAAACAAGTCCGTTACGCCAGCTGCCCTAGCCGGCGAATCTGACGAGAGGTCGAGAGGTAGGTTGAGCAGAGAAATGATGACAGCCGCGCAGTACGCTCCTCTGTTGCATCATTAGATTGAGTCATTGCTTCGCGTGAGCAGGGAGCATTTCCACCCACCGGACGTCAACTTCTCCGCCCACGGACATCTGAAAGCCGCCACCAGGGTGCTTCAATGCACAAAGCCATTTCCACATGGCCCTCCTGTCAATGATGGCATACGCCTCCTCCCCACCAACAATGGCCAGAGCCAAGATCATGGCGTAGGTGGTTGCGAGATGCGATTGCTGGCCAAACCCGCCGCCGAAGCCCCCGGTGTCATTCTGCAGGTGCTGTGCGGTGGCGCAGAGCCCCTCGCGGTACTGCGAGACGTCTTCTCCGAGTAAGGACATACCATTCAGCGCCCAGTACAATGACCATGGCCGGCTGGCATCGGCGGCAACAAACGGCGCGGGAAGTTGCCCAAGAGTAAGCTTTAAATAGTTGATGATCTTCCGTCGGCGAAGGCGAGGTACCCCATGAATGTTGTACTCGATACTGTTGTCCTGGGCCTTCAATAGAGGAAGGCACTGATCAACTGTATTTCCCTGAGCAGTCGAGGTAACGGAAATCAGGTCGTCAGTGATCGGTGGCTCTGCAGTATAAAGGGGATCTATGGGCAGGCTGTAGGCCGTGCGGCTTGTAGCCGTGGACGGCACAACCTCTTCATCGAACATCCTGCGGTTAGCTTGCGGGGGTTTCTGTTGTCTCTTCCTTTGAGAGACGCGAGCACGCGCTAGAGCGAGACTCTTGACTTTGACTGGCATGGAGTATCAAAACTTGTTGATACCGGTTGGGCAGGGGACGGAGGCCCTTCGGGTTCCGTGGAGACTCGACGAGATTTCGCTGAACTCATTAGGCCACTGCAGCTCCGATGTATCCACCCAGATGAGTAGGAGTCATCAGCACATCTTGAAAAAGGCCATTGAAATTCCAAATGAGAATGATTAATCGGCTCGGTGCAGTGCACTTCATATGAGGTTGTCCTTCGTCATGAGCTCCAAAGGACTACTGGGCCGGCTAATCCGCGGGGTAAACGAAAGTTTTCTGGCTTTCCGCGTAGAAGGAGCCATCTAACAAACAACCTCCACATATTACCACGACGAGAATATCGACCTCATGAAACTACAAATGAGTAATCTGGCCAAAACATATCCCGACTGATCAGGGCGCGGAATACAGGGTCCTAAATGCGATCATAGAATGCTTTGCGACCCTTCCTAACAGCGCGCAGTCCGTTCCACTTGATACCACGAAGTCAAAGTCAACCTACAATAACTTGCAAATACGATGTAAATGTGTTGAAATTCAGCTTTCAAACCACTATGTGAAAAGAGAGTCTCCACGCCGTTCCCACCCATCGCGGATCCGCAGTGCTCTGTCTTTGACTGTTTGAAGCAGATTTTGAAGGAAATACGGAGCATGGCCGAAAATACTTTCCGCCACTTCGTGGAGTCTCAGAAAACTTCGCGAAACCATTGGAGGTGAGGGAGTAGACGATACGTGGCGCTCACTCTGGTTTACTGAGGCGAACTTGTGTGTCTTCTATACGCCTCCAGAGACCACTCGAAGATGAGTTCATCAACGAAGAGGCCAGCTTCACCCACAATGCGAAGTCACGCCTTACATCACCAGCTGCCGCCTGGATAAACATGAAAAGCTAGAAACACGCTGATTTGTAATCAAGCCAAATGGAAGGCTCATCTATCAGATGAGAGGAAGGGCCTCCATCGGTTCTGATACCTTGAGCGAACCAAACCCAACTCTATTTGGAATGGCGCCTAAGTCTTCAATGGCAGTCCGGCGTCGTGCTTGATTCTCATCAGAACCGTCAATATTTCTCACCGCCGCCAATATTCTGGTCCATGTAGTGCTGGGCATAAACACTATAGTTGGTATTTGGATGCCCGAAGTCAAGTGGGTGGTGCCCATGGATCCGCCCTCGCATGTAAGCGCCAACAGTTGCCAGGTATGCCAAACGACTTTGCCAGGTATCTCAAATCGATATCGTAAACACCAGCCTGCTAGAAGTTGCGATCACTTGATAGATACGGTTGTGACACTGTATTCGATGGCACGACTGTCAAGGTTTGCTTTTTCCGTTGTCCTTGCTTTTGGCTATTTATGTTCACGAGCGCCGAAGGCGTTGAATCGAAGTTTCAACGAACATCCACGTGAATCCGACGACCATCCGATAGAGTGGAGTTGCTTTTCGGTATCACTCGATGCGCATGCCATCTAATGCACCACACCCAGCATAACTGCAGGTACATGGGAATGTTCGGCAGCCGCAAATATCGTTGCGCAGAAGCTGAGGACGCTAGTAGCCTTGCCAATGATGCAGGTCTCGGCCTTCCAGCTTGGAACATGGCCTGGGACCAGTTGAACACGCGCGGTTCGCATGGATATTCCCCTGTCCTGAAAGCGAAGCAAGGTTGCATACCAAATACGCAATCTTGGGTACGGATTGGCGCCGGCACCGTGACGTGCGCTGGTCCTTTGAAACCGCCTCAGGCGCCAGTGAACGGTGAAGACCCTTATGGAGTCACTCTGAGGCTTCTCATCACGGAACTACTGCGCCTTTCTCGCGAGCAGCTCACCGTCAACAACCGCGACTAGACAGACATAATCCATGGGAGACTAGAGATGTCAGTGTAGTCAGGCAGCGACGCCATCGGAAGCCGCCCAAATACATGCTTCTCGTCGATTGCCGCGAAATACTATATGACTAAGTGGAGCAGCCAGCCTCCTGCTCAGCGCTGACAGACGCGTGCAAGCGTGAGCCGGCGTTCGTTCGGTACCGGTAGCTGCAGATCAGTCTCGCGGATTTCGCGGCATGGTGGCGAAGCCATCATGCGAAACGTGCGTGTGAAACGGAACAGAGACAAGAAGCGGCAGGGGAATTGTGGGCTTAGAGGTACCACTCAGGAACTGATGCCAGTCACTTTCTGTGCAGGCAGGTGGGTTCAGATGAGTGACTTCACCGAGAGTACACGTATGAGTAAGACTTGTGATGTAGGTGACTTTACAGTTTGGGAGTTGAGACTTTGCCCGGTCGTCAGCAGCGGGCATCGCTGCTCGCGAGGCTGGCCTGATGAAGACGACAGCTGGATTTAACTTTTGAGGCTTACGGGCCCAGGGCGGGAGGAGCCTTCTCGGAAGCCACAGAACGGACAGTGCGGCAGCCAACCTCCTCCCAACCACACGTCCAGAGTTTCGGGACATTTTCCCTGCAGATGGACGTGCATTTTTGTTAGTCTGAACATAACCCGCACTGTCCTGGGACTGTCCCGATTCCCTTACCCGCGTGGCCCTTCCGCTTGGGGCTAACAGCAGATCTCTCCACGTTTACGAACTAGCTGGCAGTAGTCGGGCGGTAGATCACCAAGGCATAACGTCGGATGCAGCTTGCAAATAGTTCGATACCCATCGTTGCCCGGTCGGTCCTGGTGGTCAGCTTATCAGCGGGAGTATTCCGAATTGTATCGATAGTCGGGATCAAGGTTTGTTCGGTACTTGATTGTTGAAACTCATTCATGGAGATGATCGACGGCGTATACAGGTGTAACAGTAAGCGCGGGGTCTGGTCAAGCAAGTGGATTGGACACTGTAAGAGACCACAACCTGGATCATACCAGGAGCAATTAACCTGAGAACCCCGCGGAGAGCTCGCACAGCCCACGAACAGACCGACAGCGGCCAGGGAACAACCGACTTTGAAGCAAAGTCAGCGCTACCCGCGCTCTCTTGCTGTGTGGAACAGTAGTCATTCAGAATGGGCTTTCGTGTTTCCTTGGTTGCTTGGGTCAAGTTAGTCTGTGACGGACGGACGCCGTAGTGCGAAGAGGCGGCACTCGCTCGCGCAAGTACTGGGTTCAGGAACAGCCCCGGCCAACTATCAACTGTGAGAGCGATCGATGAACGTTAAGGCTCTCCAATCCGTCTTGAATCTCACGAACCTGTCTCACTTGGTCAGGGAGCACAAATGACGGGGCTTGGGGGCGGTTTTGTATGTTCTGGTGATCTACTGATGCGTTGCACTACTGCTGCAGCCAGAGGCGAAGCAGAACGCGGGGAGGTGACTGGTCCGTACGATGTTGCCCAGTTGGTGTGGCAGGTCTTGCAGAGCAGCTTGCCGTTGAATGGCACGTCCGCTGTACAGTAAGGGAAATGCTAGGGACACTAGCATGGTACCTCGACTGGTTGAGGCGCGATGTCCCGTCAGGTGAAATCCGCCGGAGGTGAACCTGTTGACGATACAGGCGTCGTGTTCCGATGTATCTAGATCAGACAATCGGGCCCGAAGCCCCCCCTCTTCGCGTCTCGCTTTCTGCGGTGAACAGAAAGTGAGCAGTTGCTTGCATTCCGGTGCCTGGGTCTGACGACGGGGTGAGCTCGGCATGGGACCTGGAAACGGGTTTGCCATTCAGGGGCGACGGGACAGAGAAGCATCGTGGGTGGGGATTCCCTCGGCTAGCTGGCGATAAGTTGGTGAGATCCAGCAGATCCGCCGGTGGTCCATCTGCAGCACCCGGGTTTCCTGAGTCGTTAGTGGGCTTGCGGAGTGGTGCCGCGGTGTCTGTGGTGAGGGATTGCGGCATCTGATATGTATTTCGAGACATTGTGGCTCGAACTGGAGGACATTCAGGTGAGACTCCACGAGCATGCCATGCCGTGACGGCGGCAGCTTTGTCTTGGCCCAGACATGTCTGTCCGGGGAAAGCAGAGGTGTTTTATGTGGTGTTCACAGCTTCCGGCTGGCGATGCCAATCAAGCACACTTGTTGAGTCTCAGAACAGGCCACGGGACTCAAGCCCGCCCCTGCAAGTCTTTGACGGGGAGGACCCTGAAGGGCGATCGGCCCAGGGAGGCAGGCCAGAGACGGAGTAGCAGAGTATGCAGTACCCGCTGGGAGGAGCCCGCAAGTGGCCATTCAGCGGTGGCGATGGCGAGCCAGGTACAGTATAGCATCTCGCTCCACGATACCTGGGACGGGCGCGGAAAGAGCAGCAGCGTCGTCGTCCGCAGGGAGGAGGTTTGGCCTGGTGTGGTAGACTTACTGTGGTAAAGTCAACCACGGCCGCGCCCAGTACACCCAGGCTCCTCGATAGCCTGGCGGGAACCCTGGAAGTATCTCGACAGTGCCAATGGCGGGCGGCGGGACAGGGCCCGGGGTCGTGATTGGCGGAGGCGCCCCTGCGAGCCAGCGTGCCATAGGCGTAGCGCGCTGCACGTGTCCCCACAAGCAGCTGCAGACCTGGCCCCCCTGGCCCCTAGCGGCGCGGCGATTGGCCGGCGTCCAGCCCCGTCCCCGGCAGCCAACGCTCGCTCTCACCGCCATTCTTCGCGCACAATCTCACCCGCTGCCCAGGCCGTGTCCCCTCGATATCCTCGATCTGGCTCGAGACTTACACCAGATCCCACCCTCTCTCCCCCATCCTCCTCCCCAGCAACACCCCTGGGGATTCTCACCGTTCTGGATCGAAAGAGCGGTGTCGATTCCTGTCCATTACAATACTAACCACGTTCCTCCAACCGAGCGAGTCGACTCTTTCGACTTTTTGCCAACAATGAGTCTTGGATACGGCGCCGATGCCCTGTTGGACCTGACCACTTTCGACCAGCGGAACCGCTACCCATACACCACCACCGCGGCGCCCACAGCTGCCAATCCCGCCGCCTTTTCCCATCCCGCGGCAGTAGCAGCGGCAGCAGCAGCAGCAGCAGCAATGGCTCCTCCCACGATGCCGCCCGGAGCCTGGCCCATGGGCCCGGACATGGCAGCTGGCCCGCCTGCTCAGGGCAGCTCGACCATGGTCTCCTCGCCGAACGACTCCCAGCACTCGCACACGCACTCGCAGTCGCAGTCGCAGTCTTCCTCGCCTACCCAGCAGAGCGCGAGCCCCTTGCAGCAGTCTCCGACATTTCAAGGCGTAGGACATGTCCACTCGCCCGCGCTCCTCACGGACTGGACCCTGCTCCAGCACCAGCAGCAGCACCCGGCCACCCACGACATCTCCCAGTTCATTCAGGAGAGCACGCTGATCCCGTTCAACCCCTTCCACGCCAATTTCCCCACCAACGCCATCGGTTATCTGCCGGCAACGACGCAGCCTCCCATGGACCACATGTCTGTTCCGGGCTTCAACGGCATGTCCTCCATGGAGGACCCACAGGCTTTGTCGCAGCCATGGGAGGGCATGGGAATGGCAAACTGGCAAGACTTTGGGGCCTCGCTACAGTTTCCCGCCGATGGCCTTCCCCGTTTTGGAAGCTTGGGCAGCCAGTCCCCCACCGGAACCTACTTAGAAGTGCTCTCTCTGGGCTCAAGCAGCGACAATGACTGGTCCCAGGTCAACATGTACCAGAACTATGACCAATATCAACAAATCCAGGCCCAAGCCCAGGCCCAGGTGCAAGCTCAGGCCCAAGCACATGCCCAGGCACAGAGCGCAGCTATTTTCAACCCGAGCCAGACGCTCCACCTCAGAACAAATTCCGATGCCTCGCATTCCGATGGCAGCCAACCCCTAGAAATGAGCAGCAGCTATGAGGAGGTTGCCCCCTTCAACTACTCGCCATTTTCACCCGGATCAGACACCTACTCCGACAGCCACAGGAATTGCTTCCACAGCGAGACCCACCACAACCACGACATTGTTAGCCCGTCTGCAGCTGTTGCTCCTATGGCTATCAAGTCGACAGCGTCTTCGCCCTCATCGAGTAGGAGTTCTGGTTCTGGTGTCGTCTCCCCATCTGCTCAACCCACCGTTCGCAGAGGTTCGGGCCCGAGAAAGAGCCCAATCGCAAAGTCGACTACCAAGTCAGTCACCAGGAGGATATCCAATGGCAAGAAGGACGGCACTGTCGAGAAGAAGGTCGGTCGCAGAAAGGGTCCTCTGCTTCCCGAGCAGCGGAAGCAGGCCAGCGAAATCCGAAAGCTGCGTGCTTGCCTTAGATGCAAGTTCCTCAAGAAGACCTGTGACACTGGCGAGCCTTGCAATGGTTGCCAGCCGTCTCATGCACGTCTGTGGCAAGTTCCTTGCACCCGTATTGACATCAAGGACATTGGCTACTTCATGAAGGACTGGAAAGCAGACTACGAGCGGCACCTGATGCGTGGCGTTTCCGTCTATAACGTCAAGGGCTTCTCCCCCAAGGAATCTGTCATGTGGATCACCCACGGTTACGGCTTCTGCTTGCCGGTCATGGTTCGTGAAGTATACGTGGCAGACGAGAGCTGCTTCTCGCTTGACTGGGTCGAGTCCTACCAAGCCGACCAAGAGCCCATTGAGTTTGACATCCGGACGGAGAAGCTCGACGTTGGTGAGAAGGGTGTCAACATCGAGGCTCTGGCTGATTACCTCGATAAGCACATCGACGGCGCTTTTGAAACCTTCATCGATGATCACTTTGAGGGAACTCCCTTCATTACCCAGATCTTCAAGACCGCACACCGCTTCTACGTCAAGGAGAAGACGCCGGTCATCCGCAAGGCACTCAAGCTTGTCCTCGCCTACAACCTTACCCTCCACATCACCATGGTTGAGCTGCAAGGTTCAGAGCAACTGATGGAAGGCCAGATCGATGACGAGGACTCAAAGTACTACGGAAAATACGTCGCTCCTGTCCTGATCAACTTCCAAATCAAGTGTGCCATGGCCGACATGTGGCGTGAGCTGCAAAAAGACATCCTCGAAGAACTCTCGGCTCTGTACTCGAGTGTCTACAGCGGAGATCGTCTCAAGAACTGGCCTACCATCTTCATGCTTGCTTGCATCCTGCTGGCAGTCTGGGAAGAGATGCAGTTCGACTGCCACTACCGAGTGCCTGACCCGATTGCGGTTGAGAAATTTTGCAACGACATGGAATCGACTCCTGTTGGCGTCATCACTGGACTCTTCCATGCCATCTCCCAGAAATTGCCGGCTCTGACCGATTGGGACACCCAGCGTCATGGCCAGCTCCTCAACAACAATGTTGCAGTGTGCGAGGCCATGACTGAAGTACGGCAACATGTTCTTGATCATGGTTAGTTTCCAAAGGTTACCAGTTACAAAACTCAAAACACTAACACCGGCACAGAAACCTACTTGCGGTCACGGAACAACACTAAATTCGACAGGTACGACTTCGACTCGTTGTCGAATAAGTTCCTGTCGAAGTTGGTCATCAAGGCCAACTAGAGTGTGTCTGATATGTTGCTGATGTCTGATCTACGATTGATAGTAATGGCCAGTCCATGCGACGGGCCTGTTGCAAATCATTGAACTAGATCGGCTCTTTTTCTTTGTTTAAACTTGCTTGAAACATTTAGCGATGGCGTTATCTGAGGATCTGATATTTACATCATGACCTGCCTATCACCCACCTCGAAACCTCCTGTTCTCTTCGAACTCTCATTATCCCACTTCACGGCTGGTCACCGCCAAACTCTTTGCATGCTACGACGAGTTCCATCCCGCTTACGTCATGTTTAACGGAAGTTTATGACCAAATTTTTACGACATCTTCGACGAAGTGTATGACTTGCGATTCATTTACGGGGGGCACCGCGCGAGCGCCCCAAAAGCGACACATCTTTTGTGATTATGGTTTTTTTTTAGTGCCTGCTTGTCTTCGGAGGGAGACAATCATGTTCATTATGATAGTATGGGTTATGGAATGAGTACTTATTGCACATACACACACACGACGATCAAGACGTACAGAGCATAGATATGCGTTGTTTTTATCTTGCGTTGATGATGAGCGCAACGCTGCGAATCAAAAGCGCGCGACGGGGCATGCCTAGTCGCGCTGCTGCAATACGATGGGGCATAAGGAAGGAAATTGGAGGGATCTCTCGCCAGTGGTGTATCTGTTCATCTGGTTCTCTGAGGACTGTGACTTGGGCCCACTGTGCTCTCGTTGACAATACTGCTGCACATGACAGAATACGGACGGGTAGTCGTAATACAACTTGTGTTCCCATCACCTTTGTGAGCCCCTGTGCCTCTTGTGAAGTGATCTTCCTTGTAGCATACCATTCTCGTTGCGTTTTGTGGAGATGACCGTTGTTTCATTGTCACCCAGCACCACGACAGGTCGGCCACAGAGAGGGAGTATGCATCAGCAGGCCGAACCATGCAGCAGGTCCCCCGGTGCTGCTGTATTTGTGCCACGCCAGATATGCGTGTCAGCCACCATCGCGAAGCGCCCGCTATATTGTCTGTGCACCACCACTACCACCATTACCATCACAACCCGTTCACGTCAACAGGGGTCGACCGGTGCTGACTGCGTCGTGACCTCTGTGCGCTTCGCTAGCGTTCCCTCCCCCATCTGTCTTGTTTGAGTGGATGCGGTCTCGAGCCTGGGGGGGTTTATGGGCGGCAGCACTGTGTGCACCGGAAGGATTCCATATCACATCATAACCGCGGTGGTTGGTATGGTTGGGTTGGGCCCAGGTGTCTTTCCTATATATACATATCAATGTTCCTATTTTATCCCCTTCTCTTCCGCCCCCTTCCTTTGGTGAGACATCGCGAGTGAACCACGACGCCTCGGCGTGTCCTCCGGGCTTTAGAGACAGGAGACCATTTCCCCGTTGGACCCTCGTCGGGGTTGATTGATGGCGTCTATATGCTCATCATACCATCATCGTGGCTGTGTCCCGAAGTGCCTTGCATGATGGTGCAGAACGCAGACGTGCATGCGGCCTGACTTACAGCTGCTCAAGTCCGAGGGTTGGTGCGTCGTGCATGCGTCTGCGCTCCAACGTCGCAATTACAGTGCTTGTCCAACCTGGCTTCGTGGAGTACAGATCGCTTTCACTCAACCGAGAAACGATGAATTTAGTTGTCTCTTCCGGGATACATTGTATGGGATCTAGACGCATGCATCTTTTGTGAACTCGACATCACTCAAATAGTTAGTTTAGTCCGCGACAAGCATTGCAGCGGGAAGTAGCGTTGTCAGTACTAGGGTATTCCACTGGGCTGGCTGCTGACGCTCGTCCCTCATTGTCGCAAATCCACAACTGCTTGACATAGACATGCAGCGAGAAACCGGGTGCTCTCATCAAAGTTGTAGTAGTACTACGAGACCGCTAGGGGTTGCATAGCTGATAACGGCCGTTTGGCCATGTCTTGGCCCTACTGGAGAGCAGGCTCAAGTCTGTCTTTCTTGTGCGCCTTGATGGCTGGCTAGAGAAAGTGGCACTGAGTGCTGGTGATAAGCGGCATCGGGCCGAGACGAAGGCCATGGCTGCGATAGCTTCATGACCTCAAGGTTGATAGCTTCGGGTCTACTGGAGCCTTGGGTTCCCACGTCCTATTTCATGCCCGGCGAAGACAAGCACTGGATTTGTCTCAGAAAGAATCGGAGGCAAACAACACCATATTTCCTCTCGGAGACACCGTTGGCCTCAGCATCGTAAGGTGTTCCTAGCTTAGTACTGAATAACACAAAGGCCCGAAAGCCATGTTTTGAGGCATTTTACTCGTTGCTGTTTTCAGGCTCCTTTGGGCTTGTATCGCTGAAGAATAGGCGCTCGAGCAGGTGGTTCCAAGTCTTCAATTCATTTCCACACGTCAATGGGTTCTAAGCTGCCCGAATGGTCCTCGCTGCCTGACTCGGGCAGTGTCCTTTCGCAGTCTGGTAGTACCAAGTCAAGCAAATGCAATGCACGAGCTACGGTGTTCGCCGTGGGACTTGCGCCTCGAATTGGGATGGCGATGTTTCTCGTCGCGACGCAATCTCCCGTGGCTGGGGGTCTTGCCAGGGATCAGCTTGACCAGCCTCTTGCTAGTATGACGTAGTCTACGAGTTAAGGCGTTATCGATTAGGAATGCCGCAAGGGTCCCCGCCATCGACTGAGCTGGTGCGGTACAGCGTTGAGACGCGCGAATGCTCGAGAATGCGCGCCCAGAAGCCGTGCACCGTGCCGCACGAGAGAATGAATATCAGTGTCAGGAACTGCGACATACTCTGCTGCCACGCGAAGGGATCAGCAGGCCTGCGGCTCTGCAAGCTCGGGACCTGCCGAGACCTGGCTCATCGCTGGAGAAGGTGGCTTTCTCGCCACCTTCAAGGCCCAAGGGCGCGGCAGGCCAACCGCAGAGCTGGGGTTGTGAGGCAGCTGCAAATGCACTCGGGTGTTGCAGGAACGTACGGCAGTCAGAATTTTCTCAGACCGTGTGCCTTGGAGTCTGGAGTCAATTATAGTGCAATTTCCCATAGCAGCGCGAGTATCAAACGATGCCGGTTTTGGATTTTAATGCATTCTCTGTAGCAGGTTGGGGACAAGTTAGCTGCTGTAGACTCTAGAGCCGTCGGATTGAATACCCCGGATTCTTCTTATCGGTGGATTGCACCACATGACGTGAGGTTGGACCCGCTTTCCTAGTTTCCCAGCTGATGCGTCCGTTGCGATCCCGTTGTCGAGCTTGGAGATAAGGCCCAGACTGACAGGTCAGTCTCGCATCACTTTCACCGCGCATCTACCCACATCCTTCCCCCTCTCTCCCCAGCACCATCGTGAACTCCTGTACACCTGGCAATTCTCGTCGTCGTCCCCATCCGGAAGACCTTGGTTTTGTGGCACATTCCTGCTCGAAGCAGAGCGGCCGAGGCGCTTCTTTGTTCGCGCGACAAGGTAAGTGATGGAAGTTAGTGTTGGAAGCCCCCCTACCCCTGCCAGCCTTGTCCAGGGCGTTCCAGCGCTTTCCCCGCGCCCAGTGGCCCCCCGTCTTTGCCCGTTTGTCACTCGCCGGGGTGGCGGTCCCGCCGGCCTCAGGCGCTTGATTCGATGATTCACCGCCAGCAACGCCACGCCATTGGCCGCTGGGCTGCCCAAGCCCCCCCTTCGGTCGAGTTCCATTCACTGCCCAGGTGCCCGCGTTGCCTCTGCGCACGCTCTGGCTGTGTCCCTGTCTGGGCGGCCTGCTGCGCCTGCCTGCCTCCAGCACGCACCGACCGTCCGGCGCTGTTTGCCTCCCAGTTGACTCTTGCCCAACCCCGGATCCTATTTAACCATCCTCCCATCCATTCCGCCGTCTCCGGCCCTTTTTCACTCGTACATCATCTCTTCCCATCAAACATCCATCAGTCTCTTGGGTCCCTCGCACTAATCGTCAACCCACGTCCCCAGACACTCTGATAACCCCCTCTACTCTACTACCAGTCACCACCACCCTCTCCGCCACGATGCAGATCTTCGTCAAGACTCTCACGGGCAAGACCATCACCCTCGAGGTCGAGTCCTCGGACACCATCGACAATGTCAAGTCCAAGATCCAGGACAAGGAGGGCATCCCCCCGGACCAGCAGCGATTGATCTTCGCTGGTAAGCAGCTGGAGGATGGTCGCACCCTCTCCGACTACAACATCCAGAAGGAGAGCACTCTCCACCTCGTCCTCCGTCTGCGTGGAGGCATGCAAATCTGTAGGTCACCGCTTCGTGTTCAAATTCACGTTTGACCCCACTAACACCGTTACCAGTCGTCAAGACCCTGACCGGCAAGACCATCACTCTCGAGGTCGAGTCTTCGGACACTATCGACAACGTCAAGTCGAAGATTCAGGACAAGGAGGGTATCCCCCCGGACCAGCAGCGTTTGATCTTCGCCGGCAAGCAACTTGAGGATGGCCGTACCCTGTCAGACTACAACATCCAGAAGGAATCCACCCTCCACCTGGTTCTCCGCCTCCGTGGTGGTATGCAGATCTTTGTCAAGACCTTGACCGGAAAGACCATTACTTTGGAAGTCGAGTCTTCCGACACCATCGACAATGTAAAGAGCAAGATCCAGGACAAGGAGGGCATCCCCCCGGACCAGCAGCGTCTCATTTTCGCTGGCAAGCAGTTGGAAGACGGCCGCACTCTGAGTGACTACAACATTCAGAAGGAGTCGACGCTGCACTTGGTGCTGCGTCTCCGTGGTGGACAGTAGATGCCGGAGTAGTGAATTGTGTATACCCGCACGACTTGGCGTTAATGGTTTGGGCCTTTGTACACAAGGCATGCGTTGATTTGGTACCATAGCGATCTTACGGGATCCACGCATCACAATTGAGAGATGCTGCATCAATGAAATAATATTGATCGCCTCACAAGAAACTCATGAATTCGACCCGAACGTGACAAGATGCAATGCAACGTGAACCGCCTGCTACTCTACCAACACTTTGCGACACATCAGTAGGTTTTCTAAACCCAGTTTTCCTAATAAGCTGGAGAGCGAACGAATAAAAAAACATCTTGGTTCCAACCAACACGGGTAGACGAGAGAAGCACGAGCTATTATTATAGTAGATAGAAGGAAGATGGCCGGCTGGATGGGAACGGTCCGGCCATGCTGACAACAGTAGTGCGGCGATCGCCAGCTAGCCAGCTAACTGCGTAGTTAAGTAGTGGGCAGATATGGATGTGCCCCGCTTAGGCGTCCGTTGCTGAAGTCTCGAGCTTCAAGACTCTTCTCGTCACTTCCTTGGAACGAGACAAACATGCTGGCTGAGCTGTCTGCTCACCTCACGGCCTTCTCACGAGGAGCTGAGATATTGCTCCCTCCTTGACGCGCATTGGGGCCTTCCTGCCCTATGCCTACCCCCGGACAATCCTGCACGTTCCGAGCTGGCGCAATTTGACAACACCCTGCATTAGACCACGGCGGCCGATACATTTGGTGATGCCTTCGTTTTTCTACCATCTCAAATTCGAGCTTTATTCGACGCCTACACCAAACGACCAGCCTGGTGTTCCAGGTGTTCCGGACGAATCGAGCGGCCGTATCTGGCTGCCCCCCAAGCACGCCGACATCTTCGACGAGCTGCCCGACCACCGTCGTCGCAACCTGCCCTTGCTCGGTTATCGGCGTGGAGAACCGAGTAGGCCAATTCCAAATATCGCATCGCAGCTTCGGTCCAGCCTCATCGACTGTGGGGCTCCGCGACCTAACCAGTCCGAGGACGAGCGGAACATCATTGTGCTGAGCGAGAGGCAACGTCTACAGCTTCGCCAGCGGACACTGAGCTTCCCGCCTCCGCAATCTTCCGCTGCCATTAAGCCCGAGGTCGCCGTCAAGGACTGGCGTTTCGACCGACTGCATATCGAGAGCTTGGACGTGGGAACACCTAGAGAGGGCAGCTACCGAGACATGGCCGACGATGGAACCTCGGCGTCCACAGCTGCTGTGGCAGTTGGCCCGTCCATGAGCCCGGCAGGCAAGGCTACGAAAGCAAGATATGTCCCGTTCAAGACAAAGAACACAGAGATCGGCTGGGGCATTGTGCACCTCTACCGTGAGGGCGAGGAGACTCCGGAGCTTACGGTGCCGGTTGGCGGCCCGGACGAAACCGAGGCCGGCGAGGGACAAGCACCTACGGTCGACTGTACAACTCTGTGCATACCGGCCGTACCTAGCTATCTATCGCCGAGCGATTTTCTCGGGTTCATCGGTGATCGATGGAGGGATCAGGTGAGCCATTACAGGATCATCATGACCGGCCGCATGAACCGATACCTGGTACTCTTGAAGTTCCGGGACAGCAAGCAAGCAAGGCAATTCAGGCTCGAGTTCGACGGCAAGGTTTTCAACGATATTGAGCCAGAGACGTGCAATGTGGCTTTCATACGATCCATCACGTTCGAGACACCCAGTCGACCCAACGAGAGCTTTCCAGATCTCAGCCATGACCCGTTCACACCGTCGGCCGGCTCCCTCAAGCCGTTCCCTCCCCCGACGCCGAACCTCATAGAGCTCCCAACGTGCCCTGTGTGTCTCGAACGCATGGACGACACAACCGGACTACTGACTATACCCTGCCAACACGTTTTTCACTGTCTCTGTCTACAGAAGTGGAAGGGATCGGGCTGTCCTGTTTGTCGACACACGAATCCCTCGCTAGCCATGTCAAATAATACAAACGGCAACAGCTCATTATCCTCCGCTTCCGGGTATGACCCTGCTAACCCCTATACTCAGCCATTCGGCTCGCACATCACCAACCTTTGCACCGTCTGCGACACCCCCGACGATCTCTGGGTCTGCCTGATCTGCGGCAATGTGGGATGTGGGCGCTATAAGGGTGGACATGCGAAGGAGCACTGGAAGGACACGGCGCACACGTTTGCTCTCGAACTTGACACGCAGCATGTGTGGGACTATGCTGGCGATATGTGGGTGCACCGCCTGATCCGGAACAAGGGCGATGGCAAGGTTGTCGAACTTCCGGGTCACCTCGACAGCCGTCGCCGCCATGACCAAGACGATGACGTGGTTCCTCGGGCCAAGCTCGACACGATTGGGATGGAGTACACTCACCTCCTGGCCAGTCAGCTTGAGAGCCAAAGGGTATACTTTGAAGAAATGCTGTCCAAAGCTGCTGACAAGGCAGCCACGGCCTCGACCGCGGCAGAGAAGGCTGCTGCACAAGCCTCAGAAGCCCTGCGGCAGCTCCGCTCACTCAGGGAAGAACACAATGTGCTCAAGAACGACACGATTCCCGCCCTTGAGAAGGACGTGGCACGCGAGCGCACGCGCGCCACCAAGTCGACGGAACTGGCCCGGAACCTGGGCAAGAGCCTGCAGGAGGAGAAGAAGGTCAGCGAGGGGCTCATGAAACGGATCGAGCACGTCAACAAGGAGCTCGAGAGCCTCGGGGAGCAGGCCAAGAGGATGGAGCTCGAGAACACGGACCTGAAGGATCAGAACCACGACCTGACCATGTTCATCAGCGGGCAGGAGAAGCTCAAGGAGATGGAGGCCGAGGGCCAGGTCGCGCAGGAGGAGCTCGAGTCGGGCAGTGCCAGTGTCCCAGAGAGCCGGCGGCGGAGAGCCAAGGGGAAGGGGAAGGGCTAGGCTAATGGACCCAATCGGTGTTGTCACCGAAAGTCTATGAACGCAGGTTGAACCGAGATATGTGCATCTATACGATGTACAGAACGGGTGGATAATTCAAGCCAGCCATCGAACAACCGCTTTAACAATCGTGGCAACGTGCCAACCATTGCGGGACGGTTACCAGACGTCCTCACTTCATTAAATCTCAGTTGGCTAGTACTAGGCATACTGTTCAAGAGATGAAAGGGACGAAACAGCCGCATATAATTTCTCATGGGGGCAACGATGGCTTGTCCCCATCTTTCACAGGTCTGATCATCCCAGACTGGCTTGAGATCAGACGATACTATGCTCGGCTGCGTACTTTTTCGACGCAACACCTGCCTAAGTGGTGGACAGAGTGGCCTCCGGATTGCCACCTCCGCTGCTGTATCGTCAGCCCCGTATCGTGCTTATCTCTGCAAATAGACTTTCTCTGCCACATATCATGCTACATATGCATGAAGTTTTTTTTTTTGTTGGGGATACGCTGCAGCTTTTATCAAGAGAAAAGGGCCAGTCATCTGACATGTGCTAAACTTGTTGAACTGCACAGGGTGAGGGGTAGCGCTGCAGAAAAGCCGTCCAGCGACCAGAGTTATGAACCTTGGGACCCCTCCACTGCTATCTGGATCTTCCCGGGAGCGCTGGGAGAAGCCGCTGTAGCTAGACTGGACCCCGCCCCGCAGCTGGGAGCTCTCACCAGCCCAGCGCCATAGCGCCCCGAACGCCCCTAACAATGCACGCCAGTGGCTTGGTCGAGCTCCAGCTTTCGCAGCTTGCAGCTCTCCAGCTCCAGGCCCCGCCAAGGTACCTAAGTGCTACGGTAAGCAGGGTCAGCAGGCGCCACGCCAGGGCTATCTCTCGGGGGAAATGGGGCCACAGCAGGCACTGGACAGCACAGGGACAGCACAGACAGCTGGAGCACTGGAGTGGATGATGAGGCACAGGCAGAGCACAACGTTGTGGCCGGGCTGCCAGGGTCGGGTTGGGGAGGAAATGTTGCAGCAGAAAAGTCCCCTCCCCCTTCCCCCCTCCCCCCTGCTCCCGGCCGACTTGCACATGCGTCGAAACGGTCAGCCAAGTCGCCTAGCGAAAAAGGATCGGCGGCCAGCGGCGCGCGCCTTTCTCTTCCCTTCTCCAACATTTCAGGCAATGACGCCGCCCGTATAACGTCTTGTTCCTGTCTGCTCTGACAGTTTTCCCGCATGAAAGGAAAGGCAGCCGTGCACGCCATTGCTCGCAAAGCCACTGGAACCGCCTGAGGTTTTCCTAGAAACTCGAACCGCCCTACTGCCCAGGAATCTCCCCCTCCTCGCCGGTAAACGCCCGTGGTTGGTCGTCCACCGAAATACCCGAGCCATATAACTGTCGCAGCTCCGCGGCGCATTTTTTGGGCTCGACTGCGCTGTCCTTCTGCGACCTAGGCACAGCTTTTTTTCAGTTGGAAAATACTGTCCACTGCTATCTTTCAGACAAAGGTGTACCAAGAAGCACGACGCCGTCACCCGTACCATCCGAAGAGACACACAGAGACCACGGCCCGGGCGATCGAACCTACATCTGCATGGCACCAAGTCTAACATAAAACCCTCTCCCACTACATAAGTCTTCTCACCATCCCGCGACGATTGCCTCAGCAGCCTCGAGCCGCAACCGCCCGCCATGTCCGAGGTCAAGTCCAAGAAGCAGCAGGAGATGGCTCCCGACAGCCGCATGAAAAAGCCTGGGAAGGAGCTGTACCCCATGAGCAACTGGAAGTATGACGCCTTCGGCTGGGTCATGTCCATCATCATCGACCTCTTCTTCCGCGAAGTCTCGCACCGAGGCGCCTGGTACGTCCCCAAGAAGGGTCCCGTGCTCTTCATCGCCGCGCCGCACCACAACCAGTTCGTCGACGGCATCACCCTCCAGCGGACCTTGCGCACCGAGGCCCAGCGGCGTGTCTCCCTCCTGATTGCCCAGAAATCCGTCCACGGCTTCGTAGGATGGGGCTCGCGCCAGACCGGCTCTGTTCCCGTCGGCCGGGCTCAGGACTCTGCAAAGGCCGCCAAGGGCATGATCTATATGCCAGACCCGATCAACAACCCCAACATCATCCGCGGGATCGGCACAGACTTTGAGAAGGAGGCAGAGGTTGGCGGCATGATCTTCCTGCCCTCCGTCAAGGGCCAATCGGGGTCGAGTGTCGATATCGCAGAGATCGTAGGCCCCGAGGAGATCCGCACGAAGCGGGCCTTCTCGGGCAAGGTTCCGATGCAGCAACTGACGGGGCGCGATGACATTGGCCCGGACGGCAAGCTCGCAAACAGGGACGTCAAAGGCTCCAAGGAAGGATATCAGGGCACCAAGTTCAAACTGGCCCCGCACATCGATCAGACCCAGGTCTACCAGGCCGTATTCGACCGGCTCGCCTCCGGAGGTTGTGTCGGTATCTTCCCCGAGGGTGGAAGTCACGACCGAACGGAATTGCTCCCATTGAAGGCGGGTGTGGCTATCATGGCTCTCGGAACGCTCGCACAGGATCCTGATTGCGGACTCACGATTGTGCCGGTTGGCATGAACTACTTTCACGCCCACAAATTCCGTTCGAGAGCTGTTGTCGAGTTTGGCCAGCCCTTCGAGGTTCCGTCCGAGCTCGTCACCAAGTATCAGAATAATGAGCGCAGGGAGGCTATCGGAAGGCTCTTGGACATGTGCACAGTGTCCCTGAACTCGGTCACTGTATCCTCGCCCGATTACGATACTCTCATGTGCATCCAGACCGCCAGGCGGCTGTACATGACGGGAAAGAAGCTCCCGCTTACGCATGTTGTGGAGCTCAACAGGAAGCTGTCTAGGGGCTTCTCCAAGTTCAAGGATGATCCCCGTATCATCAACCTGCTAGACCATATCAAAGAGTACAACAAGCAGCTCCGCTACCTCAACATCAAGGACCACCAAGTCGATTCTGGGAAGAGGTCTTTGCCCACGGTCGTCGTCCTACTCTTGATCCGGTTGGTCAAGCTGGCCGTACTGTCGATCGGCGTGATCCCGGGCTTAGTCCTCTTCGCGCCCGTTTTCATCGTGACCAAGTACATTAGCATTCAAAAGGCCAAGACCGCGCTTGCCGGATCATCCGTCAAGATCGCCGGCCGAGACGTTATGGCGACCTGGAAGATCATGGTCGCCATGGGATTCGCCCCTATTCTCTACAATTTCTACTGCATAATCCTGGCCTACACTCGTGCTTGGGGCTACGCGCCGGAGTGGCTGCCGTCCTGGATCATCTTCCCCATCGGCTGGATTGTCTTCCCAGCCATCACCTTCGCTGCTCTCCGCTTTGGCGAGATTGGCATGGATATCGCCAAGTCGTTGCGACCTCTCGTTTTGTGCCTGAGCCCGACGTCCAGCTACAACATGCAGAGGCTACGCGAAAGACGTGTGGGGCTTGCCAACGAAGTCGTAACGGTTATCAACGATCTTGGCCCAGACATGTACGACGACTTTGAGCGCTCGCGTCTGGTCAAGGATCCCGCGTTCCCTGGTGGCGACACGAGCATCTCAGACCTCGAGCCCGGGTCGCCTGGATCTCCTCCCATGCTGTCGCGTAAGAACACGACAGCGTCGAGTCGGGCGATCCCCCGTAACGAGTCGTTCTCCAACATCGGCGCCATCCAGATGTTTGCTACCAGGCCGCCGTCCCGAAGCCGGAGTCGCAGCAGCTCGAGCGGCGGCGGCTTTGGCTCGGCGGGCTTCCCCGTCAGCGGCTTCACCAGCCTGGACTCGAAAGAAGGTTTCGACGAAGCCACCAGCAAGATTAGACAGGCCATGCAGGAGAGGGGTCAGATGAGGAGGCGGAAGAGCGGAGGACACTTTAGCGATGCGGAGTCGGACAAGACCGAGTAAATGAGCAAGGTCCTGTAATAGATCCACCCGACAAAGAAAGGGGGCGAAGAGCGAATATACCCAGTCAAAGTCTGCTGGGGCTTGGCATCTTGATGTTGTTTACTTGGTTAGATCTTAATTTGGTCATGCTTTCACGGGCACGGATCTTTCACATGCCTAACGGCTTAATAGGAATACGAGCGCGCCTCCGGGGCTTTAGCGGGATATATTGAACATACAGCATTGAGAGACTATATATTCTTGTGCGACTGAGTATAAATGAGATGTAGTGCTTGGTGTAACTCAACATTTCCAGCCGTCGCTTGCGGTCACTCAGCGTGACGTGCTAATAGTTGAACTTCAGAATCTTGGCAGGGGGTGTTGACCACTCAACTTAGACCAATTGGCCGACGTCCCCACAGCCGGCCTGAGGAGTGGTACTGAGCCAAGGTACTATACAGACGGAGTAGAAGCATCTAAAGTCGATTGCTAAACCTGTCGCACCTTACTCATCCGAGTTCCTGTCTCTAAAGCACAGGAAAGATCAGATTAGCTATCATCAGCAAATTGTTTACTTTGACTTTGACATTTTCAGTCGAACAGTTGGTTGGGGCTGGCTTGTGTTTCCAAATTCCGAGATCTCAGAGAGCCGAATCACCGACCGGGTCCGGCTGACTTCTCCGAGTTGATGCAACTTGGCTCGGGGTTAAGGTAGGCAAGAGGATGCGAGTTCAATGCCCGAAACAAGGGTTGAACTTCCCTCATATTTGAAAGGATTCGCAATCTATTCTGTAAACTAACTGCTGCCATGCAATGTTCATTCAACAATAGGCGATTGACACGCGTCAGGAAAAGCACAGATCGAACAGCCGCACAACTACATAGCTGCCTAAAGGCGTATGCAACCCGGCGCAGCTACGACCAGGAGTAGGATTCTCACCCCATACGACAATAATAAGAAGCGCCAAATCCACATCGAGAATTCTCTCCGCATCACCTCTCCAAAGCCTATATTTCAGCCAGTCGACGAGACGTGGTGGTTTCCACGGGCTCCAAAGCAACCGGAGCACTTCCCCCCACTTGCCTGCCCGGAAAGCGCACTCCCCAAGGCGGGTCGGCCGAGCTTCCCCTTCGGATCAGATAAGCGGGAACCCCGGATCGACGGCTAGTTGGATAATTATTAATCGGGCTCCTGTCCGTCCGTCCCACCATGCCGCATCAACACACCAAACCAACCTCACGCCCAGCCCCCACACCCCCAGCAAAGCAGAGAATGGCACTGGGCTTCCGGTCCCTGGTCGACAGCGCCAAGCGGCTGGTCACGCCGCTGGGCACGCCCTCGGCCGGCGGGACGCCGCAGAACGAGCGGGCGGACGGCGGTGGCGGCACGGCGAAGCTGGCGACGGAGCTGTTCCCGGCCACGGACCCGGCGGTCGACGGCGACGACTGCACGCACGACTGCGAGAGCTGCCACGTGTCGTACCCGCGCGGGTTCAAGACCGAGACGGCCGACGTGCTGTACGGCCACGTCAAGGGCTGGAGCACGCACGTGCTGGTGGCGACGGGCAAGACGGACTGGGTGCGCGACGTCGAGGACGAGAAGGGCAGCCTCATGCAGGCCTTCGGCGCCGCCGCCGCAAAGCCCGCCAACGGCCGCCTCATGCTGTCCGCCTCCAACATCCCCCTCCCCGGCCACGCCGCCCCCGGCGACTACGCCGAGCCCACCACCGTGCTGGTCCTGCCGGCCTTCCGCCTGGTCGAGGCCGTCCGCCCGCCCGACGTGCCCGCCCTGGTGCGCTGGCTCGGCGACGGGCCGACCAACACCAGCCCGCTGGCGGCGGCGGCGGCGGCGGCGGCGGCAGCAGCAGCACCACCCTCACCGCCGCCGCTGCCACCCACCATCGCGCCCGTGCTGCCGGACCGCGCGCACCTGCTGACGCGGCCCTGCCCGCACGCGGCGCTGGTCCTGCTGTGCTCGCAGAAGACGCGCGACGCGCGGTGCGGGCAGAGCGCGCCGCTGCTGCGCAAGGAGCTCGAGCGCCACCTGCGCCCGCTGGGCCTGTTCCGCGACCTGGACGACGAGCGGCCCGGCGGCGTCGCCGTCTACTTCATCAGCCACGTCGGCGGCCACAAGTACTCGGCCAACGTCATGGTGTACCGGCGGCCCGACGCCTTCGGGGTCGACGGCGTGGTGCGCGCGGCGCTGCCGCCGGGCGAGGAGCTGAGGCCCGTGAGGAGGGGGGAGAAGGGCGAGGAGAAAGATGACGAGGGCAAGGAGGAAGTGGAGGAAGAGGATGTCGGTGCAGCGCAGTGCATCTGGCTCGCCCGCGTCAAGCCCGAGGACTGCGAGAACCTGGTCAAGTACACGGTGCTCCAGGGCAAGGTGGTCAAGCCCGACACGCAGCTGAGGGGCGGGTTCGATCGCAGCAAGGGTCTGATGAGCTGGTGATGGTGTGATAATTGTTAGGCACGGGCAATGGAGTCCGGGCAGCTGAGCTAGGTCTGAGGTTTGCAGGTGATGGGCAGAAGTGATAATCATCCAATATGGGAGTGGCTGGGAATGGTTGTGGACTATGGCATCAGCATGAGTATAAGTACAAGCATTTTGGTTTAGAACATAGACCCGACTGGGATCGGATTTCGAGAACATGGCAGGGTGCCGACCCGCAGGGCTCACTGCATTACAAGTAGATGGATACGGAAGTAGACATAACTACGCTTGATGGCGCTCAATTTCTAAATTACTGAGCTAATACTATTATTCGTACTTGTTCCTTGTGCGTGTATAGCTTGCAAGGCAGGTTAAGCCAATATTGGACGTGGTAAGGGGTACTGCTTGGAGAGCGACTCGGACGCTGCTTCATGGTCTTTAGAGTCGAGAAAACTGGCTCCCAAATGCTCAAATTAAACTAGCCTTTCTACTTATAAACATGTTAAGAATTGCTATTACATATAGAGTCGATAAGCTGTCCTTTGTCACATAAACCAACTGAAATCGTTGCTAGTCCTGGATCAGAACTCAGGCACTGAAGAGGCCTAGGTCATGCCTGGGTGAAAAGTGGAGATTACCGTGAGTGTTTCTATCAAAGAATTCGTGACTCAGACACTGACCGTCGGGTTCTTGTACAACGGCAGAGACAATGTATCTCAGATGTACATTACTGTGTAAGCTGCAGTTGTGTTGCGCAGCATTCCGCACCTCGACTCTTGGCGTTTCCGAGACAGGGGCAGCCCACTCTGCCCCGCGTTCCGCCTCTAGCTCCTTGGGTCCAGACGGACGCCAAACGGACCTCAACCTCATACATCCAAACCAGATCTCGACGACGGCCCGCCCCAGAGGCTGCTCCCAACCTAGCGAGATACCCCCTTGTACCCGAACACACAACCAGCGGCAGGCCCATTTCCCCGCCAATGTCGAACCTCGCGACCGTCGAGTCCTTCGTGGAAGGCGCCCCTCCCGGCGAGGTAAGCTCAGTGTCGTCCCTCCTCATTCGGACTCCCGCCCGCCGCGGACGCACCGTTGGGATTCAGGCTGCTAACACTGGTGTTCCGTCCCTCGCGTGCAGCTGGCAGATGTGATCGCCGACATCAAGTCCCTGACGGTGTCGGACCCGGGCCTGGTGTCGAAGCTGGCGCCGGCGTTCGAGAAGTACAACGAGGAGCAGTTCGCGACGGTCAAGCTGCCCGGCGGCAGTCAGCCCGTCATCATCAGCTCGCACAGCGCGCTGGGCGGCGGCCGGTACTACGACGTCGAGAGCTCGAGCTCGTTCGACTTTGACCACACGACGCAGAAGGCCAGCGGCGTGCAGAGCCACGCCCTCGAGGGCGCACAGGCCGACCTGGTGTAAGGCTTCCTTCCCCCCCTTTTTCGGAGATATTGTGTACAATTGCTTGGGCATATGGGAGAGCAATGGGGTTCAAGCGGAGTAGCATTTCAACATGGAGATATGCTGATACTGGAGCACATGCAGGAAATCTACACTCAAGAGCCTGTCTACATACGTCAAGGAGCACTACCCGAATGCCGCGTATGGCGCCTATCCGATCGAGAACGACTCCAAGGTGGCCGTCATAATCGTGTCCAACAAGTACAGCCCCAACAACTTCTGGTAGGTCGGACTCAATTTGTTACGCTCCGGGGGTTTTTTGAGGAAAGGCTGAGGGCACGGGACTGGCTGACTGACTGTCTGCCTGCCGCAGGAACGGACGATGGCGGTCTCTCTACATCTTCGACCCGGCGTCGGGCAGCCTGGAGGGCAGCATCAAGGTGGACGTGCACTACTACGAGGACGGCAACGTGCGGCTCCTGACCAACAAGGCCGTCTCGGCCTCGGTCTCGTCGGGCTCGGGCGCCGGCATCGCCAAGGAGATCGGGGCGGGCGAGAGGAAGTACCAGGAGGAGCTGAACCGGGGCTTCACGAGCCTGAGCGAGGGCGCATTCAAGGGGCTCCGGCGACAGCTGCCCGTGACGAGACAGAAGATCGAGTGGGACAAGGTGGCCAGCTACCGGGTGGGGCAGGACATTGGTGGCGGCAGCTCGAGGAGATAGACGAAGAAGTCTCTTGATCTTCTGTTGAAATGGGTATCTACGAAGGGGGTAGAATCCTGCACCAGAGTCGTTGCGTCGTATAGCAATGATGATGGTGGTGGTGGTGATCGTTGTTACTTGGTTGTAGACGAGCGAGAGGTTAGAAACAAGCTATAAATGCAAGGCTCCTGGGCGGCCAGTATACAACAAAAAAGGAGACAGTGCTAATGCACGCTGCACTGCATGTAGCTGTTTCTACCGCACGGCGAATTGTTACTGCGTCACAGGCACAGTGATAAGAGACATGGATCTGACCGCTGCGTTACCGTATAAATCCTCCGGACCCCCATCGGGGGTTCGGAATCGGAAGGCGGCTTAAGTCATCGGACGATGTTCCAGGAAGCCACTCAGACCGCTCCTGAGGGGGGGTTTTCTGCATAAGACCCAAGCTACGGGCTGGGGCTCGGTAAAAGGGCAGATACTCCGCAGCGCATGAGCTGAAAGTTTAAACAAGCCATGCCGTCGAAGCCGTGGAATCCCAAGGAAGGACCGTCATTAAGACCCCGACACCCCGACTTCAGGGTCCTGGGCTGGCAGGCTGGGTGGGTGTGCGTAACCTCGGGCTAACACTACGGGAAGTGAACATGATTGCCCAGGGCTGGTGTTCTTGCTGCTTCGAGTGCCGGAGGCCAGGGGGAGTGAGTGCCCACTGCTTGCCGTGAGCCATTGCCATCATCACCACAAGACCACTAGCACCACTGTAACTACCAACTCCTCCCAGGCAGAGCAGAGTCAGACCTCCAGAGTCAGATAGGTAGTTAGTTAGGTCAGCGGATACTGGATGCTGGATACTGGATACTGTAGCTTTAGCAGGGAAAAGGCGGTCCTCAGGCCCCCCCGCACTGTTGAGGACCCAGGTGGCCAGGGGGCGGGCCAAGCCAGAATTGAACCCGCCGTTCACACAGAAGGCCGGCAAGACAATTAGCGGCGCTCCGATTCGCTGGCGCAAGGCCACATCAGTTGAGGAAAGTTCGGGAGATTGGCGCTGAAGAGGGCCCAAGGGACACGCCCCCCTGCCAGGCGCATCCTCCCAGGCCCCTAGGCCCCCAGGCCGTACCATCCTGCCTATCAGCACAGCGGAACCTCTGCATTTTCCCTGGGACCACGCCCCCCGGCCGGACCAGCAAAAGCTATTTCGCAATTCTGCTCCAACAGCACCGTTCGCGAATCGTCTCTCTTCTCTCTCTCTCTCTCTCCCTCTCCCTCTCTCTTCCGCCATCGTCGTTGTTCCTTGTTGCCGCCGCCGCATCGCATTGTGTTTATTTCTCTCGCTGCTGTGCCAGTTCCCAGTGCCCCCTTGAAAGAAGAAGAAGCTCCCAAAAAAAGATTTCCTTCGACACAGACCGTCAAAATGGCCACCGCACCCAAGGAGTTCACCTACCAGGACGTTGCCGAGCACAACACCAAGAAGGACCTGTACATGGTCATCCACGACAAGATCTACGACGCCACCAAGTTCGTCGACGAGCACCCGTAAGTCACACGCATTCTCTCACACCCTATCTCTCGTCGCATCGCACCCGTGACGCCCGGTCCTATGCGACCGAGGTCCCCCTTCCACCTCCGCTCACCCCCCTTTCGGCCATACCCGCCCGGAGGCGGCTGATAAGCGATTCCGGCGATTCCGCGACTGGCCCGGCCGGCCGAACCCTCTCAGTTGAGTAGAGTGCTGACATCTGTTTTTGCCAATCAACAGCGGTGGTGAGGAGGTCCTGCTCGATGTCGGTGGCCAGGACGCGACGGAGGCTTTCGAGGATGTCGGCCACAGCGACGAGGCGAGAGAGACGCTGGAGCAGCTGCTCGTCGGTGACCTGAAGCGCCAGGTACGCGGTTTCCCCCTTTGCCTAAACCACCCCTTTTGTTCCTCTCCGTGACCTCCGGCGGACTGCTTTTGCTCCTGTCGGGCAGGAGCGGCATCACCTACCCTCCCCCTGGCAGCAACATCACTAACACGGTCTCCCTCCGTACAGCCCGGCGACCCCAACCCCAAGGCCAGCCAGCCCTCGTTATCGCCCACGGCCAACACCAGCTCGGCCGGCCTCGGCACTGCCGCCTATGCCGTTGTCTTCATCGGCGGCCTGGTCGCCTTCGGCGCCTACCAGTACCTGCAGCAGCAGCAGCAGGCCACCAAGGCTTAGACACGGGCCTTGACGACCTTTTTTGTTGTTTTTTAGTTAATGGACAAAATTTTTGATCGAGGTTCGCGGCCATATATGGAGAGGGATGAAGGGGGAAGCATCCGACGCCCGAGAGCCAGAGAAAGTTTCGGAGGTGGCCTTTTCAACAGGCATCGGTCTTGTCTCTGAGCTGGTGGGATTCATCTCTGGAATTCATGGGTTGAACAAGAAGAAGAACTCTTTTTTATAGCCCCCTTGTTATTGACTTTTAATAGACTGTCTACCGTGCCTTGTTGGCAATCCACTTGATGCGGTATTCTACTCGTGCCATTCTGGAATTGTCTCCATGGCTATGTGTGCTGGTATTTGTGATATGTGTACTGGATTTTACTGGATTTGGATTGATATGTCTCTCGACAGTCTTGTTTCATGCCTGGCGTTGATTTGGCCCTTTCGGATGCAATGGCTATGATGGGCGGGCTGGTCGGCTGGATGTGTCTGCCTGTCTCTCTTGAATTTTATGCTCAGACGTTGATAACATGTGGCAGCCGAGGCTAATCATTCATTACCTCTCAACAGTGTATTAATTTCAAAAAATACATGAGAAGAAGACGCTTGTCGTCATCCTGCTCTTCGGGCTCGGTTACCTTGGATCATGGCAGGTAGCGAAACAATTGCGTTGGCGTGGCTGTATTTTCACCGAGTTGATCTGCGTGTTATCACATGTGATCATATAGGCCCCAGCCTCTACGTGCTCGGCAGTCTGTCTACCTTGAAGAGTGGTCGCCAGCTACGTGAGAGGTCGTCGTATTCTATACTAGATCCATAAACCGCAAAAGCTTTTTGTCTAGGCCTGACGTATAACGGTCGGTACCTGCATTGGCACATGCATCCAAACCCTCGATGATACTTTTCGCAGAGGGTCTCCGACGAGTCAGACTAGCATCTCAACAAGATACTGAGGTACCGTGCGTCGTGCCTCAGCTTGCGCAGTCCACTGGCATCACCCGGCGTCGTATCTGCTGATTGGATGCTCAATGCCCCGACGAGACACGGGAGGATGTTTCCAGATGTCTGGAGGAGCACGTAGATTGATTGCGGCAGTAGTGAAGCTCCTCCTATGGCGAGTTTTAAGTTATCGACTAACTAACTTACAGCCTGTAGATACTGACACTCATCGTCGACTCTCCCCACGGGACCCTGTGCACGGACCATCGGCAGGCAGGCTCCACTGGGGGGCCGAGCCGGGGGATTGTTCATTCCGGCCCATTGACTCCCGTCACTCATTCATCCATCCGTTCATTCGTTCCTTCATCCAGTCGTCGCCTTTGTGCTTCTTCGCCCAGCACTCACCCTTGATGAAGACGACGCCCCCAGCCTGCGACTAAGCCTTGTGGAAAGCGCCGGCTCCCAACCGTCCCGACCTTTTTCCTGCGCCGTGTCGCTCGAGCCCTGCCGAGAGAGAAGCTTACTTCGACCCCGTTCGCTTCCCTTTTCACTTGGAAGTCAACGCCGCCGCCGCCCTCGCCGTCCCCATCGCTGTGTCACCACAAGCAACCATGGCCTCCAAGTCCATCGTCGGCGCAAAGCGCGCGCTGGCGCCTCCTTCGCCCTCGCCCTCCAACGCCTCCAACACCTCGCACGGCGGCACCCCGTCCAAGAAGCAGAAGCGCGACGGCGCCATCGACTTCACCCGCGGGTCCACCCCCACGCCCGCCGCCATGGCCGCCGCCGTCCAGAACTACGGCGCCGACGACCGCACGCAGAAGGTCTACGCCGTCGAGTTCCTCAAGTCCAAGGGCGCCGCCAAGACCCTCCAGGAGATCCTCGACCACCTGACGCTCCAGCACCGGCCCGAGGGCTACCAGAAGGCCTTCGCCAAGGGCCTGCAGGACCACAACCAGGTCACCTACATCTCCAGCCCGCGGGCCAAGGAGGAGAAGGACCGGGGCATCCCCGCGTGGCGGACGGGCAAGTACGAGTTCCGCGCCAAGATCCCCGGCGTCAACTCCAAGACGACGCTGCTCGACTACCTGCAGCGCAAGACCGACGCCAGCAAGCTCGAGGTCAAGGACCTCAAGGACGGCTGGCCCGACTGCGACAAGGCCATCGACGAGCTCGAGCGCACCCACAAGGTGCTCGTCGTCCGCACCCGCAAGGACAACCGCGCCACCCACATCTGGCTCGACCAGCCCGCCCTCTTCCACCACGTCGACCCCGAGTTCCGCGCCATGTGGCGCAAGGTCAAGCTGCCCGACGTCGACGACATGGTGCGCCGCCTGACCGCCGTCGGCCAGAAGCCCACCAGCGACGACCCCCGCCTCAAGACAAAGACCACGGCCACCGAGAAGAAGCAGAAGAAGCGCGTCAACCGCACCAGCAAGAAGCAGACCAACGAGCACATGAAGCACATTCTCCAGGACTACAGCCACATGAAGAGGGGTTGAGCCGGGGGGGGGCCATTTACGATATTCCGTGTTTTTATTATTTTTATTACGTGATCTATGGTCTGCAACAGCTGGAAGCCCTCAATGCCGAGCGGGGCCCAGTTTGTGCATTCCCGATGGCCAGCCAAAGATCACCTCAAGTCATGTGTTTGTATTTTCTAGAAGAGGGGGACGATATCCGTCGTCCAGTGCATGTCAGGCGTTTTATGGAACAAGGCTCAGGAGGTTAGCAGGGTGGAAAAGAAGAAGGCGAAGCCTCACATGCCAAGGGTGTGTGTTGGAGATGGGATTTGTTGTCCTCACTGCCTCGAGAGAACTCTCTACCACCCAACCCACTCAAGATGTCTCATCGAGGCTCAGACACGAGGCTACATCGTCTTTTCAGAGAGTCATTCGGCGTTCAGGGGAGGAGCATGGGACAAAACAGCATAAACAGGAAGAAGCGAAAAACTTAGTGATTTGATACTACGCAACGAGAAACCCCGTGCCCGCAGCCCTTCTTTCTAGGGAACGGCGGGAACGCTCGTGGCAGGCAGAATGACGCAGAAGATACCAATAGATTTTGTATTGATACATCCCTTTTTGAGACCAGACCGGCGAAGTATGCCTGGTACTTTTCATCAGTTTCATTAGTGGGAGTGACATCATTCCAAGACGTGGTCATGGTCCCTTTGGGGTACCACCGTCTTCCTCCTTCTCAGGTCGACCTTCCAGAGCAGTGAACAGAAACCCGCCCCTTCCAATTCCAGGCCCGCCATCGGAAACTCCTTATCACGAGGTCCATCTGCCTACATAGAAACATGTAAATGGCTCCAGGCGCCGTGGTTACCGGATACCTCGGCCCGTCCACCGCCTCGCCAGGGCGCGGCAAGCCTCGTGCGGCTCTTACAACGGGGGACATAAAACCCGAGGAAAAAGAAACGAGCAATGCGACGCCCGGCTTCGTTCTTCGTTTCCCTCAGAGCAAGCGTGGCCAAAGTGCGTTGCCAGGTCATGTCATTTCTCGTCATAGACTGCCTGTCTGCCTGCCTGCCTCTCCCTGGACTCCATCCATCCTGGGCATGGTGGGTCAGAGGGAACGCAGGAAGAAAGAAAGAAAGAAAGAAAGAAAGAAGGAGAACAGAGAACGGTGAAGATCCCGCGTCTCTTGGCCTACGCATTTCTGCGGTCCCGTCTCTCTCCCTTGCGTGAGAAGATACAATGCGTCTTGTGAGGCTAGACTGGACTCCAGATAGTCCGCACGCAGTGGCCTACCCGTGGGGGGCCGGCGCGTCGTGCCGTGGATGGGGGTCACGACCATCTACATTCCGTATTGATTTTCTCTATACGCAGCCTCTCACAGCAGTGAGAGGACATGACCCGGCCCCCAGTGAGTGAATCGACGGGGGAGTGGTTCCCGCCAAGCTTCGCTTGAGCCACAAGCATGGCGAGAAGAAAGCTGATTGGTGCTCTCTCGCCTCCCCTGGAGAGAAACGAGACGTGGAGACGGCTCTTGTGTCAGGCGGAATCCTACCTTGACTACATAGGCGGTGCTACCACTCACTCACTTCGCTTATAGGTGGTACAAGTATACGGTTTTCACATGCCTTATACGAACTGCATACACCCCGCAGGCTCCATGTTGCCCCCACCCACTCGGCCGTGCCGACTATATTGCGCGCCCTATACACTGTGCGGCTTTTCATATAATGAACTATGTGAGGTTCTTATTATGGGTCATTCTATATGATCAGTGCTGCCTTGGCGAACCCAGCCTAGGAAACTCTCACTTCTTGGCGCTAGCCAATTCGACTCGTATAAACCATCCCCGTTGATATACGCAGACGCATCGCTAATCAAAAGCTGCAGGCTGGGACTGCATTAGATTGCGCAGCTGGCTGCGGCGTGCCTGATCGGACTGATTACTCAACAGCTTCGACCCACTTGCAATGCGCCGTTTGAGGGTGGAAGCCGTTGGGCCATATCCATCGCTCTGCGTCATGCAGGCGTCCCCGGCGCCGCATACTGTACGTACGTATAGAAGGGCGGGAAAAAAAAGATCGACGTCAGGTTCTTTTTTCGGTTGTTTTTCGTCACATCTCAACTTTCTTCGCAATTTGCCCATGCCTCCCTCCATTGCAACGGGGGAAAGGATTTCTTGATTATGTCGTATCCTGTCGTATCCTGTCGTATCCTGTCGTGGCATGCATATGCAAGAAAGATGCGCGATCAGTAATCATCCACCCCGAACCTGCCATTATTCCGCTGTTGTTTCGTTGGCTGCACGTTCGGACAGCATCAATATCGCTGACACTTTGATGCGTCAAAGGGGCGGGTAAGGGAAAGCCCGGCGGAGGAGCGGAGGACATGCAGATTGTCGCTTGGCGAGCGCGACGGCGGTCCTCTCAGGCCGCGGCATGCACGTTCCCAGGAGCAGATCCGGCCGTCCTGAACACGCCCCCGGGGAGCCACCACCCCCCGCCAGGGACACTGAGCATGCCTCCGGGCGCAGCAGGCCCCTCTGTTCTGATGCGCTCGAAGATCTCGAGGAAGAGCTCTGGCTTCTGCCACCCGCCGGCGACGAAGCGGCCCTGGAGGATGAAGACCGGGACGGCGTTGAACTCTTGGCGGTTTCGGTCGCTGAGGCGGTCGATGGCAGCATCCCACTCGTCGCTCTCCAGGCAGGCTTGGACTTCCGGCGCGGACAAATCTGTTAAGGAGGCGGCTAGAGACTGTAGCCAGGCGCGGTCGGATAAATCGTGACCGTTCTCAAAGTATTCCCGGAATATAGACTCAAGAAGACGCATCTGGGTGGCAGGGCCGCGAGCACCCGGAGCCTTCTGTACCATTGTAGTCTCTTGAGACGATACGGCCGCTGCGTTGTTGTGTCCAAATGCCCGAGTGAAGGACGAACTGCGGTACGTCGTCGGGGCCGACTCAAGGGCTAGCCGCAGGAGCTTGTGAGAGTCACGGGAGCTGCCTGTTCTCCCATTTTGCCAGTTGAAGTTGATGCCTATTGCGGCACCTTGCCGGGTCCATTCTTCGATTGTCGAGGGTGCAAATCCCCGTATTGTGTAGTAGTCTTCTTTTATATCAACTGGGGGGTGAATCTGTCAGTCCAGGTGCCGTCTAAAGGGGGGATGGGGATAGCCGGGGAAGTTTTGCTCTGCAACACACGCGGACTAGTGATTAACTATGGCTGGGAGGTATGAAAGAACGCGGCACCTACCAGCACGCCCTGCGCGAGGATTGAGGATTATTGGGGAACACGTCACCTCGAAAGTTGCGTGTGGTTGTTGCTTCTTATACAAGTCGATAGCCGTGTTCAAGTTGCGTATCCCAATATAACAGTGAGGGCATATAGTGTCTAGTATGAACTCGATGGTGAAATGAAGACTCTTTGTGCCATCGGACGACGATATATCAGTTGTTTTCAGCTGGGCAGAGGCCAAAGGTGGTTGAGCCTCTGCCGAGAGCAGATCTTGGATGCTCGCCATTGGTGAATGCCCTTGCTCGACTGAATCACCACAGGCGAGGAGATCCACCTCGCCGGTGGGAGGGGATTTCGATGTTTGTGTCCTGGTACGTTCTGGGTCTTGTCGACTTCGTTGCCGACTAGGAAGTGGTAAAGAAATGGTGAGCGTACTACATACAGTACGTCTTATAGTCGTCCGTCACAGGCCCGGGCGTGTAAGGGAGGGCCTTGCCACCAACCAGCCAGGGCGCTTCTGGCTCTTCTAGCTCTTCCAGGAAGGGAACGGACTGGATCGAATAATCAATGTCGCGTGCTCCAGATATCGAGAGCAAAGTCAGCTCAACACGATGTCCACTCCACTGGAGGACGGTAGCATAGCCGCCAATGACCTCGGTCTTGTCTCAGTCTTCCCGATTAGGAGTCGAAGCTGCCTCTGTTCTGTCCAAAAGGAACGATACGATTGTCTGCAAGGATTTGACGTCAAGCGGGATCAGGCATCCAAAGGGGAAATGACATATGGCGAACTGCTAACTCCAACGGATACAGGCCCCAGATTTGTTTGCACCCCAAAGCCACTGCCCATGAGAGAAGCTATAAGCCACAGCTGTTTGCAGCTAGCGTGTCTCTGCTGGGGCGATAGAGGCTGGTCGTACGATTCTGGCACACAGCTTGAGGTCTGGAAAACGCCGTCGGCACCCATCACCACTTTGCGGCTTGAAGGGCAACAATGGTAGGGCCGGCCTTGATTGGTCTTGTCAGGTCGCAGCCTTGGGGCGACTAGTCGAGCGCGGCGCAGAATCAGGCCATAATTGCTTCATCGAGGCCGTTTAAAGAGGCACTACTGCTTGCCCGACGAGCAGGTTGGCTCCCCGGCAGTGGACCTGGCATGGCCTATTCGAATACCCGGGCGTTGCGCGCGTAACGGGCGCTGACACACCCTCCTTGGCAGGTCCGATGCCATGGCGAATTTCTGATTATATGATCAGCCAGGCATACCGGCAAGGTTTGTCAGGCCGGCGGCCCTTGGTAGCCGGACGCACGGCAACCCCCCCTTGGTTTTGCCTGGGTCGAACCCACAGCCGGTGCTGCACTCCAGCTGCCCGCGTCCCCACGATGACAGCAGCGAGTGCCGGGGTCTGCTTCTGCTCAACTGGATCTGGATATGCATATCCCGTTCTGCCACGTGCGGCTAGCGGCCGAGAGAGTCAGGTGGTCTTTTTGGGCGACATGTCAGCCAACACGGTAGTGCCTGGAGCTGAGCATGGTGCCAGCCATTCGGTAACTGCCAATGCCGCCATGGGGTGGAGCTTCTCGCTCCATCACTAAACGCCACACCGATAGCTTGGCCACGCGTTTGCACCCCCCATGCGCTGTTATGAGGCCACTGGCAGAGCCGTTTGAGGTCTCGGCCTCAGTGCCATGAGCTCATGTCTCAGACGCGTTGTGCCACGGCTGCTGCCGGCACGAGGTATGACGTCGGAAGGCTTGCGCGCTCACTTTCGCGAAGGGTACAGAGCTCAGAAACGGTGCGCGCCGGAGCATGGGATGGGGTCTGGGTCGGGCCATGTTGAGGAGTTTAGTGGCCGGAAACGTGGAAAGGACTGAGGTGAATGCAAGAATTCAACCTAGTTGCCAGAAATGTCTCGGTTCCGTCCTTCCGGCCACGTGGGTTGGATGGCCGAGGCGTTGGGAGGCACCGCGGATGCACAGAATTCATCTTGCGCTTGTGATCCCGCAGATGGTAGCGAGCCGATCGCAAGGTATACCTACATTCCCCGGAGACGAAAGAGAACATTCGAAAAGCACTTACAAACAAGACCCGTTTGGAGATCCGACTTGCCACAGGGAAATTCGCCATCCATCCGCTTGCTGAGACCACACCGTCCTGAGGGAAAGAGCCAAATCTCCGAGCTTGTGTCATGTGCATGTAGATCGTTCACTCTGAGGAGTGCAACTTAACCTCATGTATATTGTAGACACACGCCTATGCAGTAGTGTATCTGGTGAGCTGAATCCAGCGTCCGTCTTAAGAGAGGGGACGAAAGAAGCTGTTCAGACAGGCATGGGATATCTTCGCTCTAATTACCTTCGATGCTCAGCAATCCAACTGCACGTGTCAAATATTCCCGATGGGATCAAGACAATAATACAATGGTCAGGAAACCTCATTTTGCAACTTTCATTTTATTCACGCCCGAGTTATAGCAAGCACACAGCATCCAGTGCTCACTGCTTCCACTGCCCCTTCATATCATTGATCGACGACTTTTTCTCGCCCTCTCCCGCAACCTCAGAGCAGGGTAAGCAAGCGATCCCCTGCCGTCCTGACACTCTACCCAGCGTCATGCAATTTTGTGTCGCCAGGGCTGCAAGGCCGTTCCAGTCTAGAAACAAAAGCATTCATGCGAAAGAGAAAAGCAGAGAATCGAAGTAGTCGCCCTGCTTCGCTTTGCCAGCATCCATATGGCACGAGCCCGGACGTCGTATTATTAAGTGGTGGGACTTGCAAGAAAGCCGGTCCCCGCCGCACATTAGTGCTGGTTGTGTAGTTGTTTTCGGTGGAGTGGAGGTCTTTGGCAGCAAGACCCAATAAGACGATATTTCCCATGAACGCCGTTCCGAACCGCCTCGAGGCCTGGTAAAGATGCCCCTTGCCATTGTGGGTATTCAGCTACTGCGCACGCAAAAAAAGATTCTCAATCACAAAGGAAATCTATCGATTGCCGAGGGACAAAAGGAAGAGGTGAGGGGTATGTGCTCAGTGACTGTCCGCAGGTACGTCAAATCGCCGAAGCAAGCCAACGACCTGACTGGCAGCGATATCATATGCACTGTCCTACTGTGCAGGGGTCGACCACATGTCGGCCGGGCGTTGTTTGGTCTCAAACGAGTTCACACCAGGCTCAGTGCTCTGAGGTCGCCGAATCTGAGTAGCACTGCCGTAATACATCTGGCCCATCTGGCCGAGACCGCCAGTGGTGAAGGCAGTCTGATCAGGGTCCGGATAGACATAGCCGTTTCCACTCTGGCTGTGGGTGGGCGAGGGCATGTGAGAGGGCGATGCCCAGCCAACACTGCCCATGTGGGGGCTACCACCCGCGCTTCCCGGACCAGTTTGGTGCGGCTCAACATGGGGTTCCAAGGTCGAGGGCGGCGGGAACGTTGTGGGGTGCGACGTAGGACGCATGCCGGTGGTGTAGGTCGGGGTCGAAGTAGGGATCTGAGAGTGCACGTCCGTGCGGAGGTGGGCTGGGAGTGGGCCACCGTTGTTGTTCATGTAAGAATATTCGTTCTGTCGCATCCCATTACCAGAAAGGTCAGGGACCGGGGAGTTGGACATGTGGCGGTGGGCAGGCGACGGGGTGTTCATCGGGGATGCATGCTTAGAAGCTGGATCACCGTCGCTGCGAGATTGGCGGCTGGCTGCAGTCTTGCTTGCCTGAGCGGCCAAAGCTGCAGCCGTAGCGGCGGCGGCCTCCTCAACAGTACCGGTATGGTGGTTTTGGTGGCGAGTAAGTGTGGTGCGACGCGTGAAGGTCTTCTGGCAGTCCGCGTACGGGCATTTATACGGTCTCTTACCCGAATGAATCCGACGGTGTCGTGCTAGGGAGCTGCTGTCGCTGAAAGGCTGCCGAGATATGTCAGTACATTGGCCGTCGCCGATGAGCGTGCGCTACATACCTTGCCACATCGCTCACACATGTGCGGCTTCTCGCCTGTGTGGACTCGCTGGTGAACGGTGAGGGCAGAGCGCTGGATGAACTGCTTGCCACACTTGGGGTAGTCGCAGACGTGAGGTCGCACTCCGCTATGGATACGCTCATGTCTTGCCAGGTCACTTCGACGGGCGAAACACTTGCCACAAGTGCTGCACGGATAAGCCTTGACGGGAGGAGCATTCTCGGTCTTGGGCGGGGTGTTGTACATGGGCATAGAATGGTTCGCAGGCGCCATGGGTGGCATGCCGGGAATCATCATGCCCTGCGTCATGTTGGCATCCGGCATGGGCAACGGAGCCTGCATGGAGTTGGGAGAGCCATAAGGCCTGGCATTACCCATTCCATTCAACGCCTCCAGAGCGCCGCCGCTGCGCGGAGCCGAGTAGTGCGAGCTCTCCGATCCGTGCGGCGAGTTTGCGCGATCGATAGCGGCGATCAGCTGCGAGTGCGAGTGCGGCATACCATGGTGCTGCTGCACATGCATATGGTGGTGCTCTGGCGTGCCAGTAGGAACTTGACCCTTTCTCTCGTCCATCACGTTGGTAATATTCATTATTTCCGACGAGGGTGACTTTGACATGGTCTGGCCCAAAGTCCCGGGATGTTGCACTGGATCAGGATGTGCTCCTGGTATTGAGGGACGGTTGCAAAGTGCAAATGTCGCCGATGATGGTGCTCACTGTGGCTGTGGATTTGTTAGCTTTGTTTATTGCTGGCAAAATCAAGAGAGCAGGAAAAAAAAATTTGAAAACGGAAAAGTGAACTGCGCCAAACATGGTGAATGGAGGCGCCAGCAACACATTAAACTCTTTTTTCCCCATCCTCTTCTCAGCTCAGAGGCACACCAAAAGTCCCATCACAGAGCTCACGATATAAGCTGGGCTACAGCCATAATTTTAGGATTGCACCGGTGTCCACGCTTGTGGTCTTGGGAATTTGCCGCTGCACTGCGGACAAGGTAGTTGTCGCATCCTCTGTACACGTGTCCAGGCAGGTGGCGGTGAACATGATAACCCTCTGGGCTAGACTGGATGCCCGGTTTTTGGCACTGGGAAAGGAGCTGCAACACGATGTACTCAACTCACCTTTTACAAATATAGTCGGCCAGCGATGGGCACGGTGTAGTAAGTGGCCCAGATCAAGTTGTCAAAGCTCCAGGGGTGAAGCCTTTATATAGCGTCAAGACCGCTTGTGCCTGTTCCCGCAGACTATCGCTTCGTGGTCGACGTGTCGGATTCGACCTGTCGCTTGTGACCTTTGCCCAGACGCGGAGGACAAAGAAACGGGCCAGGATTCTGGGTCGGGTGAAACTCCAGCGATGCGTTGTTGGAGCGCAGACAGGGTGCTGATTGTGTTGTTGGGAGTGGACAATCAGGTCGTCTGGCGGGGTTGTGAACACGCGTCTCGATTGTGGTACGAGTGAACCCAGCTCAAGAAAAACTGCTGCAAAAGACGGAGAGTTAGCTTCGTGGCTGAGAATGCGACAAAAATGCAGCTACAGTGGGTAAGTGTCTTGGGTGAATAGTAAGACACCGTCAGGCAGTGGGCGGAAAAATGAGCAGGTAATGATGGCGCAGTCGCCGCTTGCTGGTGAATGGAATCGCATGAAAGTCGGATAATTGTCGTCACCTGTGCGCCAGCGAGAGCCATCGCATTATGTTCCTGGCAAAATCGATGTGGCGATTGTCGACGTGTATCTCTGCAGTTCGCGGTCCAAGGAGCTGAAGCTTTGAGCTTTGGCTGCCCACTTGATGACGGAGCCCTGAGGGTCGGTCGGTGACAGTGGTGGCGTGGGACTTCGCAAGGCCGGATCAGACGGGTCCCCTGGAAATAGCGGCAGAAGGCCCCGTGGCCGTCGTGGCCGTCGTGGCCGTGGTTGTCGGCATCGAGACGATTGCGGAGGGTAGACAGGCGTCATGGCATCACGTCGACGAACAGCGTAGCGAAGCATGGGGCAACGGTGTATAGGCGAGCGCTAGACGCGCAACAGGGCAGCATGTGGTCCTTACCTCGTTGGAGTTGATGGTGAGATGGAAGGGCGCTCGAGGTCGAGGGCGAGCACGGCGGATGGCGGATTGGGATAAAGAGCGGAAGAGAGTCGGTGGTCGGTGGGAGGGCTTCCCCTTTGAGTGATGGGATGGGAAGAAAAGAGGCCGCGGGTGAGATGTCAAAAAGAAAAATATTGGACTGGATGTGACATCGACGAGTTTGACCCCTACCTAACTTGACTACCAAATCTGGCCGTAGGTCGAGGTAGGGTAGGGGGAGGCAGAGCGCGCCGATGGGGTACTTAAGCAGTGGTGGACAGAGCTTTCATGGGGTGGGACCTGCCTTGATGCTGGTGCGGGTGCTGGTGCTGGTGCTGCTCTTCCATGGATGCTGGGCGTTAGCTTCTACTGGGCTTCTGCTGGGGGGGCGCCCTCTAGGGGGGGGCCCCCTGGTCTGATGATGGGGGCCCAGTGGATGGACCCGGAGTGGGGCCTTCTATTGACCCCTTCCCTTTCCTATTTTCCCTGGCCCCAGTCCGTTTCAACGCGTTCCCTGCACGCACCACACGACGACTAATAACAACAAGTTGAGTTGCGAGCCTACTCCATGCTCTTACGGTATCTGTCTAGGCAGGTATTCAGGTACCTGGGCTCATCACTCTCCATAAATACAGTACATGGTTGATAGGTAGTAAGTAGTAGTAGTAGCAGTAGTAGCAGCAAAGGGAACTCATTACCTAGGCTAGGCATAACAGCACGTACGTACCCTGCTCTCTACTTCCCTCTCATGAGCACGAGCGCCGTCGCGGCCGGACGTGACCGGAACTCCAAAGTGCATCGTCATGCCCAAGGTATGTATCTACGGTGCATTCGATACGGGCCGCAGTAGGGCCCTCCCTAGGTAGACACGCATGCACCAGGTCACTTGCTGGGTATTATACTTTATGTCGGTGTGCTTGCACGGGTCACACACAAGCACATCCGCCTGGGGGCCTCTGAACGTCATGGCCCGATACCTCTCCAACTTTAAATTTTATTATACAGGACCTTTACTTGCCGCCCACTGAAGAATCATGAGCCACACATCAAACGAACGGCCCTGCGACCTGTTGCTTTCGTGTTCATCCTAAACCCATCTCCGCATCCTCCCCCCTGGCCCGACCAGGACTCTTCTGTATCATATCCCTTTTCCGCGGTGGAGAGCCCACGGCACAAGGACAACAGCATCGACCACAGGAGCAGCCAGCCAGCCCTGGCCCGTCGCCGATTCCCAGGCCATACATACAGAGCCATGGTCAGGCACCTGAATGACCAGTTGGTCTTAGCATTGTTTTAGGGCTCAGGCGCGCCAGCAGTAGTGGCCCGCCCGGACGTGCCTAGCACTGACTATCCGGCAGCACAGCCTGGCAGGTAACTCAGTACCAATGCCCAGGTACGTACCCAGCGACATCCGGGATTATGCTGAGGTGCCGGCAGACCGTGCCTTAACTTACTAACTAGTCGCCTTGTACCATGCCTCACGCCTGGATGATCGACGAACAGCGCAGCGATTGGCCCTGGATCGTGACATGCAACGCCCAGCAGCATTCCCATCCGCGACCTTGCGAGCACGGTACCTGGTGTAGGCAGAGGAAGGCCTGTCGCGCCGTTGGACATTGGAGAATGCCGCTGCAAAATCCCTACGGTGTTGCTTGCATCCTTGCCCACCATTCGCCTCGAGCTAGATGATCATGTGTCCTCCCCTTAAGATTATTCCCCTACGGTAGGCGGGTTTTGGTCTTATTAGGTACCTCAGCTGATGGATGATGGATGGATGGGCTCCAGGTACCTCCCGAAACAGAAGTACTGGTGGCTGGATTGCCGTTGGTCACAGCTCCCTCGTCGACATGGCCCACGGGCTTTCGCGAGCTAATTCGAGCCTTGACCTCCCCAGGGCTGCATCGAAGGTTTAAAAAAAGCATCCGAGCTTTGGGCAACGCTTGACGACAACAGCAACGGACGCGCACACTGACTGTTAAGATGTCCTCGTCCTCGTGCAGACCATCACGAACCACGACGAGCTGCTACCGCATTGAGGCCCAAAGCCCAAGGGGAAACACCCTGAGAAGTGACACCAAGATCTGTCCCGCATGTCCCGACGGCACAGACAAAAATTTTGCAGTGGCGGGCCCGCGGAATTCGGGAGATTGCTGATCGCATCCTGGCTCTGCCTGGCAGCCAAGGTACCTGCAGTACCTGCAGTACGTTCCAACCATTCTGTCGACGGCAATTGTGCATTTCTTAGCACCAACCTGACGTGATGGTCAGACCAAATGCAAATGGTAAGATTGACCGCGGGAGCTTGTACTGAGTGCCCAAGCCTCAAGGGGTTGACTGGTGGTTTGGCATGCAGCTAGAATTGGCACGTTACTTGCTACTGGATGTGCATCAACAACACCACCACCTCTGTCTGCAAGTGCGACGAAACGGGCTGGCTGTTACCTCTAGAATCTCCACCTCTAACCATCTAGCGCTGCAGAGATCCTCGCCCAAGACGTGTGCTTGTCGTTGTCTTGAAACGCGCTGGCCTACCTTTGTCAGTTCTCATGTTTGCATCAAACTGAGCTCCCAAGTGGACGCTGGGGCAGTACAAGGGACGCTTGGGCCCGCGACTCTTCATTCTGGCGAAACAGCTCCAGTCCGTCATGTACCACTCAAAGTCGACCATTCACTTGTCCCTTTTCCAACCTCCCGCAAAAGCATTGATTTTCTCTGCACAGCCGACTCTGCGACCATATGGTAATGCACGGCTCGACATGGATACCTGTTCCCCTTCCTGTTCCTGTTCCTGTTCGCATTCCCCGCTCCCACTGGCTCCCGGGTTTGGATCGTCTTCTGGCTGTTCAGGTCCCCGTAGCTGCACATTGATTGCCTACCGGTAGATGGACCCCGGTCCTAACTTTGGAAGCTTTAGGGGAGTCCAGTCGAAAATGAGCTGGCCATCTCCTTCCCTCTCCCTTTGGTAGATCTTGTGGGCTCATCTGGGTCGTACGTAGTCACAAGTGGTTAGCACCTGGGCGGGCTCACGGACTCACCGCCAAAGCCACCCAAACCGTCAATCCCAATCCACCTTGTACCGAAATACCGTCATTGTTAACGTCCGCCCCCCCCTCAGAAACACCAAGTTCCTAACGCGGCCACATGCCCCGTATACTTGGTCATTTCTAAATTTCCTCATCGGACTCTCATCTCCTTCATCTTAGTTCAGACAAATCTGGGTATGTACTCGTACTCTTTGGGCCTGACTGAGATACTGGGACGTTTGCAGAAAGCAGGACAGAGCATGGCAGACACTGTACGTTTGTATGTTTGCATGAAGGCACTAGACAAGGCGTGAAATTAGTACTAACCACATGCAGCAGGTTTCTAGAAGGCTTCGAGAAGGGGCATCGAAGGAGCCCATGCAAGGGACCCTGACACCATTTTGTCGCTCAGGAGCCCGTGCTCCTGCAATGACGCTTGGCAATCTTCAAGCATGCCCTCTCCCAAAAGCATCATCCATGCGTGACCTAGTCCAAGATCACGTACCATTGCGAACTGGTGCGGGAGCCGGACTCGACGAGATCTAACAGAGGTCCGTGGGAACGCATCTCCCGCAACGGTCCGTCGACTTGGGTCCCCTTCATTTCTCGACGCATTGAAGGCGTGACATCAACTTCAGTCCCAATCTCGGCGACGCCTAGATGTTAGGGTGCCCATGACAGCGTGACCGCCGGCACCCCGGCCACGCCCTTCCGAACGCTGCTGGAACCGACTAACTTACCCCCTACTGTGTACAGCTTGCAAGCATTGCTCCATTTGGTTTGGCTATGGAACTGGCGAACCTTCCAAAATGACAAGATCAGAGTCTGTGCCCTCACTGACAGGCCCCATTGCGGACACTATTCGAACGGCCATCAGTCGTACATGAGTCGTGCGCAGCATCCTCGACGTTACAGTACATAGTACATGCTCCAAATACAGAAACACCCCTGTTCGTTGACTAACCTACGGCAGTACTAATGTCGTGAGAAGATGCGAGGTCATCAGGACGTGAGTCCATACTGAAGCATATTGAAACAGCATTTTTATTCATGAGGGGGACATCATGCACTTGTTCGGCATTCCTCTCTACTATAGAGAGCTATGGAGTTGCAAGGTCAAGGTCCAGGATGTGTACTGGAAGACTCCGGCTATCCACCAGTCCCGATCATCGGCACAAGCATAGAACAATTCAGATCTTTGTTGTCTTCAGTACGCGCCACAGAGACTTTCAGAGCCAGCTTGGTGATCCTCTGCACCGCCATGCGCACAGGGTACCGCATCGTGTGATCTAGGAGGATATCATGCAGCGGAACACCGGGTTGGCTGTGCGTCGCGCATGCGGAGCTCTTCCTGCAGTATACTGACTCTACTGTATGTGCTTCGTGCATACGGAACACGACCCGGGACGCACTCGAAAGATCGAAAACCCGCCCACGTCCACATGAGGCGCTTAGCATTATCTTGAGGTTGCCAGCCTATGCCCGTTCCAGAAATTGTAGGCAGCATGATAGTCTTCTGATGTGGGAGCTACTGCTCAATTGAGGTAGCAGAAGCACCTAGCGCATGGCTCGTCAATGGGCGCTTGCAGATCGACATCGATAAAGCCATGGCCCCTTTCTCTTTCATCAGACCAATTCATTGGGCACCAAGTTGCCAATTAAGTTGTTGCAGGGCAATTGGCCAGGCATGAGTCAGTGACCAGACGAGTACCCGTCGCAAAAAACTTGGGATGGGACATGTTCGTTTCTTCGGTACCGCAGCCCGAGGTGCTGCGCATGGGCAAAGCTAGCTTAATCGTTGCTGGGAGTAGCTCTGACCAGACGGGAGGGCTAACGCAGCGATCTCAAGAAGACATCGGCGCATTCGTACTGGCCTGCATCATCAAAAGCCCGTTTCAGAGACGAGGGCTCAGATCTGGGATGGCCCCTGCTCGGCCAATAATCTACGGAATCTGTGGGGAGTTGACGAGCGGCCTGCCGTCATAGAAGCCAGTGACATGCGAAGAGTTCATCTCCCGAAGGCGCCGGCCGATTCTCATTAACGAGCTGTCCTGCGTATCCCCCCAATGCGCCTCACTCGTGGAGCCCCTTAGCACATGTCAAATACGAACAATGCTAGAAGCCCTCTAGAACGCTTCTAGAAGACAGGAACCAGCCCGGGGGCTGGTCGTGAAACGCGACGATGCGCTTCAGGAGGTCAGGCCGCCAGGCGGTCTCGGTCACCTGACCCGAAGCGGCAGTCGGTGGGGTATACATAGTGATAAATCCCCGATAGGAGGACTGCGACAACATGCACAGATCCTGCGTTTATGCCAAGTGCCTCAAGTATCATCGGGGACGGTAACACTGGCTGTCCAAAAGTAGCAACAGCTAGTGCTTCCTCATCTGGTTGCAGATTTTGTGGCGGCCACGAGGCCGATGATCGTCATTGCGTACGTGCCGCACCTCTCTTGCAGGGACTCCCGACGGGACTACCAGAGCACTGCCCGCGGACGGGAACCCCATCGCACTGTCTCAACTAATGCTGGCCCACGGACAGCGGGAACCGGTGAGGCTCTCGTGGTCGAGGGCGGAGCGGGACGCACAGAGACTGCGCTGGTTTTTTGATCGCCCCCCCGCGACGTCCGAGCTTCGGTGAGCCATGGAGAGATCCGAGTTGAAAACCGGGTTGCGAGACCCCTAGATTACGCAATGCACAGAGAAGAGGCTGTCAATCTCGTCGAGATCTGGTTGTCGGCGCCAGCTTAAACGGCCTCTTGGTTCATGGTGCACCAACATGCCACGCGCGCCTCAGCCCTAGCTCTGGTTCCGTCGTCTTTCGAGAATGTTTCATGTCCTAGGAGGTGGATACGCAATAGGAGGCACGCTCGCCCAGCAGGCTATGTACTATTTACGTGCTGCCGAGCAGCTACAGAAAATATCGTCAACTGGGATCCTCAGAATTCTCCGGCTACCAAGCTTGAACAGACGTTTCGTGGGATGATCGACTCTTGATCTACTCTTGATGCAACTTTGAAGTAGCACTGAACCACGAACCACAGTCACATGCTTGGGGGTAGCTGCGCCTGGAAGCCCAGGTTCCTCTTAATTGTCATGATTGAACAAGGGACGGCGATCTGTTCCGACGTGAACAGGTACAAGATTTCCGGTCGTCCGACAACGCTGTAATTATTTTCTGCTGTGTATTGCATCGAGCAAGGAACGTCAAAGCCATGCCTAAGCCACTAGACTGTAGAAGACCGTCGCCGGACTGGATATTGTCCTGGGTCTGCATTGTTAAAGCGTAATGCATTGCTATAAGTGTATGCCGCAAATGAAGCAATGCAGTGGCGCCCTTGGACTTCGTGAACAGCGTGCCTGGGTTTCCCACTCTGCGTTCCTCATTCTTCGAAGAAGGCTCCATATTCCATTCCGTTGTGCAAGCTCGGTGTACCTTGTACATGGTACACGTGCTTCCAAGTATACCCAGTTCTCATTACCCCTGTGATGCCTTCGCCAGGTACAGTGGTCTGGCCCCGTCCGGACGACATCCGCGCGCCCAAACACATTGCCCGTCGCCAGATGGGAACGGTCCCACGTCGGAAAGAGACCCTTGTCCAGCAATGGCACCCCTGAGCACCCATCGCCTTGTGCGTTCCGATGCTCTGGGACTGCGCGCGCCAGCGGGTGCGCTCACTCAACCGCCAGCTTTAGCGCCGCTATAGAAAGCATCACCGTGCAGACCTATAGTCGCACCAAAATACGGCAACTGACTATCTGCAGCTGCCATACCTATGTTGCGAAGGAGAGTTTGGCAGAGACTGCTGGGGATACCCACAAGGAGTGCGCTCAGGCCTACACTCTATAATCCACCGATGCTGGCCCCCTGCCACCGCATGAACCCTGCCACGGATGATACAATACGTAGTAGCCCTTTGACCCCCTCCCGTCAACATCTCCGGCCACAATGCTGTAAATATTGTTCCCTGAGGACATTGGATGGCATATTGACTGACAGCAGTCAATGTTTTGACCTGGGGTTGCATTTCCTGTGGATCGGCCGTCATTCTGACGTGCATGTTCCAAGCCTCGTAGCATGACAAGGGGAGCGATCATCCGCAGGCCTGGAAGGAGCCTCTGCCAGCTTGATCTCAGTTCGGAATAGGTTATTGACGTGTCAGTGGCTTAGCGAGACCGGCCTCTCGCCATATCGGTGAAGCTCTTTGGCCTCGTGAACGCCAAGGATGAGGCTTTGCTGAGGACATCCACTCTGTTGTGTCACGATGGCTTCGATGCTACTCCCTATACAGATTTTGACTATTTGAAATACCGGGGTCTCTAAGCCCCCGCGGGTGTTCTTTTCAGGCGATCCCCTTGACTATACCTCGGTAGCAGAGATTTTTCTTGGAGAATATTCTGAAGAGGCAGGTGTGGAATGACACGGTTTCTATGGAGCTTGGGTGCTCAAAGTCTGATATCTGGATACATGCCAAGTAGTTGTACCAGACTCTAGTGCTTCACTGACAGTGTATCCACATCAACTATAACATAATGAACGTCGGTATTGACAACCTGGCAGTGCCCCCTGAAGAGCTGCGTGAGTCAAATGAGAATGTCTGAATCCAGTCTAACGCCTAGGCTGTCCCGAGCTCGGTTATCCTTCGATGTCACGATCTTGGTATAAGCGAGCGGTCTTGATCGTGTGACACTGACAGCTTGGTAACTCAGTCCACCTTTCCTGAGCCTCACCGGTGAGTAGGGATTATGTTCTAGCGCGCACGTCCTTGCTGTCACGAATTCCACATGGCATGCCTCTGCATGTGACGGACATCAATAAAGGCATTGGCGATGGTGGTAGGATTACTACTGGGGATCAGAACAACACATTGTTTTGAAATTTGCCTCCCCCCACTCTGCTGTCATGGAATCAAGGTCTACCAGATTTTGCGAGACTGCTCATGCGTAAACGGTAAATTCTGCGAAGTTCCGCACTGGCATCTGATATTTATCCCTAACGGGCAAGTGTTCTCCTTCTTCTTCTACGTTTGGGTTTGAAAGGCTCGAAAAGGGGCAGCCAGCGTATACTCCCTAAAAACAGTCAGTTCTAGCAGATAGCCAGCCTAGATAAGAAATAACTCGCAAGGACTTCACGTACTAACTTTAAAGACTATGGGCTCGTGGAAGCCTAGTGATTCGGGGTGATACGGCATGATTACTCTGAGTTGGTCCAAGTCATGGCATATGAAGCCCCTTTTTCTCTTCATAGAGATACATTGGAGTGCGTAAGCATACCAGACTTTTGAATCAAGGAATGTCCTTGGCGGTCAATATCTACTCAATTCTACAGCACAAAGTAATTGCCCCTATTGCCCCCTTACTGAACAAATGGAGAGGAGACATTCAATTTCTTGGAATTACAAGATTCTAGAACGTTAATCAATCCTAGAAAGAGGTAGGCTTCGTGACTAGTCTTGGATGTTCTGCTTTCGTCCACATCACCTTAGCATGCTGAACTCTATACCTCTTTGTTCACTATTCCATAAATGCAAACCGACGACAGAGTAGAACTTTAGAACTAATACTTGAGTATCGCTCGTTTTTATCTCAAGAAGTGTCTGTCTTCAGATCCTCCTCAGTCGACGACGTTGTCGCTTTGGAAATTGAAACAGAATCCCCGCCGATAATGGATGAGTCAAGCCCACAGATTTGGAGGAACTTTTTGAATGAGGGTAAGAACTTGCCAGCAGCCAGTAGAGCATCCGCGTTCTCTCCAATCTGGTGAGCAAACATTTCGTCATCGTCATCAGCATTGACCCCATCACTGCCCCCACCACCGCCACTCTCTTGCAGTCTCTCCAGCACTAGAGGTCGTACGCACTTCTGCCCTTTCGAGGTCCGTAGGTGGTCGGCCAGCTTGTCCGCCCTGACGAAGGGCGCACCGCATCCCCAAGTGCTACCGCTCTTCAGTGGGCCTCTGCAGATGAACTGCGTGACCCCATGTTGGGTGTTCTCATGGCGATCACAATCGGCCAGGCGCGTGAAGTTCTTCCCGCAGTAAAAGCACGAGTAGGGCTTGTCGCCTGCGTGAGTTCGCTTGTGGTTTGTCAGGTTATGTTTCCTTGTAAAAGAAACATCACATTCGTCGCATTGGAACTTTTTCTCCGTCTTTTTAGCCGTGGAGGTTGGTGTTTCTTTGGGCGGGTCTGGGTACTGAGGCTCGTCCTTGTCGTTGTTTGGTCTGTATATTCCGTGTGTGGTGATAAGGTGTCTGTTCAGCTCATCAATGGTGGTGCAGCCAAAGATGGCCATGTGACATCCAATGACAGAGCATTGATAAGGCCGTGTGTGCTTGTTCATGTGGTGCTGAAGTTGTTTGGTGGTACGGAAACCTTGGTAATAGTAGATACAATTCAGCCGAGAGCATTTCTACCAATTGGTGCCGTAAAATCGCTGCAACTGTGAGCCATCACCCTCGGAGCGAGAAGGTGTACACATAGACTCCAAGACCCTTCTGATTTTCTTTGTCACCTCGGATATATCAAGCGCTTCCTCCAGACACGGGCCCTGGCCATCTGCACCATGTTGCTTCTTGGCCCAACCAACTGCTTGTATGATCTTCTCGTATAGTCTGGATGTTTCCAGGGTCCGCAGGGACTTCTGGACTCGCTTGAGATCTGAGAGGGGCTTGTGCTTGGATGACCAATGCAATTCAATAAATGCTTCCAAAGTTTCTTGCAAGCAAGCAAGGTCGTCATCGCCAGGCTTGAGCTTAGGGAAACAGCTTTGCAGATGCATGTACCAGCAGGCCGACGCATAATCATGGAAGGCGTGGATCCCGCTCAAAAGGTCCGACTTGACTTCATCGTCATCTCGTTCCTGATCAAACTGGGGAAGAGTGAGGTACGCGAGGCTCAGCATAGCCAGCGAGTAATCGGCGTCTTGGGTCTCGATGATGTTCTTCTTGATCAAGAATCTATTTCAGAAATCAGTCTTTGTATTTGTGTCAAGCTGGTCAGTCGAACTTACTCTCGTGCGGAACCGTGCACCAACTCCGCGGCCCCATCTCCCCGCACCTCGACAAGGGAAGCGAAGAGACCCTTTGGGGAGTCTGCAATCTCTCTGTCATGGTTGATGTGTTGACTTTCAGTATCGATGCAGAGTGCTCCCTGTATCTCGTACCACCGGAGTGGGCGTTGAGCACAGACAATCCATCCTAGAACTTTCTGGACAGTATTCGCAATCTGACCGCCTTGAGATTCGCAGATTCTGGAAATGATACGTTCATATCTTCATCGTAATGTCAGATACGAATGATGAGTGCAACTCGCTGAGAGATACTCACACGTGCTCTAATGTAACTGGTAATTTATGCGGCTCCAGTTCCTCCAGGAGGTCCTCCACATTCTGCTGATTCTCGAGGTACTTGGCAAACATCTCGGCGAAAATAAACATCCCTATAATTGTTGAGACAAAGTATATTTTCGGTCTAAGCTCGATCAACGAAGTGACTTACCTTGCGCTCGTGCACAGATGATTTCCGAAATATGGTGGTTTCTTGGTGCCAAACTGCCAAATTTCCTTTCTATGACTTGGTGCCATTCGTCCGCAAAGCTCTTGATATCTTCCTTGTTTTCATGGGTAATTTTGATTGAAGGAATACTGCGAAAATCATGAAGAGCTGCACCATCTTCTTGACTGACGAACAAGCACCTTATGGATCCCGTATCCGTTGCCGTTAGCTCTTCGACTAAATCCTGGAACAAGCTGGCAATGTCTTTCCTGTCCTCACGCTTGCATTCATCAAGTCCATCGACGACAAGATATAACATATCGTAGCTGCTGAGGGCTATTTTAATCATGTCCTGAGCAACCTCGATTGATGAAAGGAGTGCTTCTCTGCTTTCAGAAGATTTTTCATGGAAGTAGGGCAAGAGTTGAGGATTTCCTGAAAGGCACTGTGATAAGAGTGATCTCAAAACGCCAACAAAAGAGTTTCGCTTTGGCTCGCCATACCTGCAATAGAAAAACAGAACATTAGCGCCTGGAATATTTCGTGCTGCATCAATAACTACTGAGGCAAGAATAGTCTTCCCTGAAAATCCTGTAAGTAAGAGCACACATCTGTTTTGGTTGGTACATAACTGAAAGCAATTTACCTGCCCCTGGAATGCCAGACAGCCAGAGCAATGGAGTTGAAGAACCATGAGGCCGAAACCAATCCTGAAACCGATCATCTTCGATGAGCCAGCGACCTGGGTCTTTACAGATTGACCTTGTGCGGCGGTATCGATCCTGTTCCGCATCGCAGTCAAAAGGGGAGAGCCATTGCATAACCTGGACTCGACGATCGGCAATCTGGGTTTTCTGAATCTTGTTGAACTCGTACTTTGAGCTGACTCTCAGGTTCAGCATCTGCTCGAACTCTAACCTCGAAACTCTGCCCTCAAGTAATCGTCTGTTGCTCCCAATAGTTCCTGTGATGTGTTCTATAATAACCTGAAAGTCTCTCCATGAAGCACCAAAGAGCTGTGCCCATTCTTAGGATGCAATTAATTTAATGCACTTCAAGGCTGATTTTAAAAGTATTGAGCCTTACGACGGTGTTTAATTCGCAGGATGACTTCTGTGTGGAACCACATGATGTCTTTGTAAATCATCACCAAGACCTCCTTCAAATAAGGGCTGGAGGCGAAACGCGATTGAGAAGCCTGGAGGTGAGGCAATTGCTCTCCAAGCTCGTGATATGCATCCAATATCGAGTTTAGCGCATTGGGAAGCGCGGATGTCACCTAAAATCCAGCACCACTTTGTGTCAGGAATAGTAACTCGACATAGCACGAAGCCACTTACGCGAAGAGCATACTGAAGTGGGCCCTGCGAAGGCTCATAAGTTGTGTTACATGCTATCAGTTACGTTGGTTGGACAGGTATCGTACTCACCCATACATATGCCATGATGTTCCTGAGACTTGAGAACACATCGACAGCTGAGGCAACTTTTTCAAATTGCTGCATTTCTATTAGAAAAGGCTCAAGCCTTTTCAGGTACATCAAGTTATCATTTCGTTCTTGTTCCGATTGCAGCTCACTAATGAGTTTTCGAACCGCTTCAAAATCAATGCTATCATCCCACTCGAGGCCAGAAAGGCGCGTAAATGCGTTCAATTCGGCTATATTAGGTCGTTAACTACGATATTCAAGCACCAAGGATTTACCTCTGTTTACCTGTCAAGCTGCTTTTCTGCAAGCCTTGCGAGTTGTCGCACTTTGATAAAAGCGTGCTCGGTGGATGCGGTGCAGTGAGAGTATAGTTATGCTCACGACCAATGGTGGTCGGTTGGCCATCGTCCTGAGAATCTCCATTGGTGGTGCCAGATTCAGATTCACATCTTGGTGATAAGATAGTAACCAGTTTAGAGCGCACTATGTCGATGTAGTGAGAGCTTCGAGTGAATTTTACCATGTCGGAGTGGGTATAATTGATAGGAAAGGTGGCGATTGAGTTGCACTCTATCAGCCTGCGGGTTGCCGACTCTCGACTTACTAGAATGGCTGGAGGTCCATCCCGACTTATTTTGCCATTCATAGTTCTCTGTTTGTGTGTTAAAAGAGGACTAGGAGTCTAAAGCATCGCTGACATACAAGGACAATAGGAGACTCGACTGTTTCATACGCCCAGAAACACGTTATGCGTTTACTGAATGAACCTTCAGAGAAATCGGTATCAAGCTGGCGAAGGTAACTTGAATTCCGGGCCAGGTCATCAACTAATGCCGCGTTGGCATTATTCTGGGCGATTGTGCGAAAATGTTCCTGCTGCATACCCAGGTTTGGAACGCCAAAGAACACCACTCCATGCAGGATGCGCATGAGACTCTTGTACTCCTCATCCGAGCTGTCCGCAAGCTGGACTAGCGCTTGTTTTAGAACAATTCCCCCAAGGCTATGTGCAAGGAATGCGATGGGTCTGGCGGATGGCAAGGCCCAACCGTAGGCCTGCAAGTGGCTGATGAGCTGTTTAGCTAGATCCGGGATATTTTGAAAGGAGTTGCTGTCATTGAGTCTTGTATCGTAGCCATAGATTACTGTTCTGCAACCCTGTAGCTGCCTTGGTAGTTCGTCGCGAATCCACATGAACGATTTATCATCTCCTCTTGGCTGCCATGAGCCAAAAGGGTGACTGGCAAGACCCGAGATGGCAATACAACTGCTAATGGTCAGGTCCCTGACACTAATGTCTTGGCCTCTGAGAGAGTTCAAGATGCTTACTCATACGCATGGGGGACGGAGTCGACGTCATTGAGAGGCGTCATACCCATGAAATGAAGATCTAAGATGAGTTCATCACTGCAATCTGTTTTGCCTGGAATGGACCATTCATTTTTGCCAAGGTCGTCGCGGACAAGTGAAGGTGTGGTCATAAACGTTAGAGTCGCCACTTTAGATGGTGGATTTTCCCAATGGGCTAAGGTGCGAGCTATAGAAAAGACCCGGACACTCTCCGTGGTAACGTCACCAAGCCTTTCGGACACGAGGCTGGCCACACCCGAGGCATTCCCAATGGTGGCTGGGAGTCCGCGAAGTCGAAAGACCACGGAGGGCCGCATTTCAGGGATCGCATTCATCGCTATAGAGTCAGGTTCAGACTCAATAGCGATGTAAGGGTGCAAACATACGATGGATGCTACACTATGGAGGGAAAGTTACCCCACAGCGCCGGGAGACTTACTCTACTCAATGGCTAGGGCTGGTGCACAGACCACTTACCAAAATAAACTGTCACGTGGTGAGAGTTAGAAGGTTGTTCAGAAATCCCTTTCAGGGCGGTGTTGTTCAGGCTGTGTGTATGTTGAGGCTCTGCCTGTCTGCTTTCGTCGGGGCTCGGAGATGTTCCAAAGCACAGACCGACCTAAGCTCCACTGTTCCTTTCAAAAAACCAATCATGATTCTCAATCTCTGGCACTAGTATGAAGAGGGAACCAATGTCATGGACTCTTGCCTGCCTTAACTGCCGACCTAACACACCCTGCATAAGTTGTCTAAATAGTTAGGTAATCAACTAAGACCACTCGGGCTGTTCTGCAGCCACAGTCCATGCCAAATAGGCAGACATTCATGAAAGCAGTGGATACTATGATAGTTATGATGGGTTGCTTCAGATTAAGCAAAGACACCCGATCTCGGCCTGCATCTGCAGGTTGTTGTTATAACAGCACCTTTACTATCTTGAAGGTGCTCGCGCTCTCAGCATTCGAGGTGGGTCACGAGATCCCATCTAAGCCCGGAGTATTGCGTGGCTGAATTTGACCTTACCTCTACATATTTTAATGTGCAGCTTATGTCAGCTGCAAACAGCACCTGTTACCCTTGGGGTCCCACTGTACACGTACGCGACAAGTGCATGACGCCCCGCGTGCTACAATCCAAGTCACTGTTGTGGTAATTAGTGCGTTCGAAGTATGATAAGACTGTTTTCATCTGGACAATGACCCAAGAAGAAGCTGTGCTGAAAAACACGAGGCGCTCACTGTGGCATTCCGTGAGGGGACTGATCTGATTTTCTGTTGTCTTTGCATAGACCAAACAACCTCAGCGCCAGGACAGCAGCCAGTCGTCAGTGAGTTTTATCTAGAGATGGATGATTTTGATGTCACCTGCAGAAATTTCCACCTCACTCGCACAGGCTTTATCGGACACCTGTTGTGTATTCAAGACGAAGCGATTGACTAATCTAAATTGTTGCAGCTTGGTGTTGACAGGGATATCCAGGTGTTGGATTTACAAAGACTCAACGACATGCCCTCGCTTTCAGAGGCTCTTGAGTAGAATATGCATGAGGGCGTGATTATCCGCAGAAGAGACAGATTGGGCCAACATTGTTCATAAATAACATGTGGTCTGCGGCATCCCTTGAACTGAATCACTGAAAAACTTTTCTGTGAAATGTATAAGATATCCCTCGCCTTCCCGTGTTGCGTTTTCCACTTACCCGTCAACAGTATGTGTCAGTTAAGTTGGCCTGATAATCTCACTCAATGCTTGGAGTTGGGCATTCCTCCTCGACCTTCTATTCTGCTGCTCTGAAGAATGAAGCCCACTTTTTAGGGCGAGCTGCAACTTGAATCCCTGGCGAGACTCTATGCTCTGTTATAGGCAGTTTAGTGTTTAGTGATCTCAGCCTTCCAATCTGAATTTACAGGAAAGGCACAAGCTTACTTCTTCAACTGTCTTATCCACGATGTACCGGATAACACAGACTTGTTGAGTCTGTCCTAAACGGAAGACCCGGCCAATCGCTTGATCCTCCATGGATGGATTCCACTGGGGCTCGAGAATATGTACTCGGCTTGCAACAGAGAGATTGTTAAGTCTGTTCGTCGGACATGTAAACAGCTTCTCAAGATCACTAGCAGGGTTGCGACCTTACCCTACAGCTCCCGTTCCTATGGTCATTAGAAGCACACGTACTGACGGGTTATCGCGGAATTCGTTGAAAATGTGCCTCCGGGCAGATGTTTTGATATCGCCATCTACTCGGCGAAAATCAATACCTTCATTGCGGAAGAGCTTGCTTACAAGGTTGAGGCTCCGTCTCCAGAAGGAGAACACTATGCTGATCGGATTATTAGCGACCATTAACTGACCGGCGGTGTAACTAACCTCTTCTCTGCAAGATTGTACTCTTTCACATCTGCGAGCAATGCTTCTAATTTTGCAGGATACTGAGCGCCAGTTAGGGTATGTGATGGCATAGTGGAGCTGTCGTCGCCATATTGAACATCTTCCATCGCATCACATGGGGTAGCTTCCACGTTGAGGATCTCACGATCTCCCAGAACTCTTTCAGTCCCATCCGTATTGGCGCTCCGCTGCGCACAAGCCTGACATTTCGAGCGGCACCTTAGGATGCCGTGATGCCTTTCGACGGCATCTTCCGGACGCAAAGAGAGGAGTATCTCAGAGCTACAATCTGCACATATTGTGTCGCCGCTCTGTTGCAACAAGCTAACCATCTCGTCCGGTTCAAACTGGCTCTCGAGGCCTTCATCCAAAATACCCCCCTCCATGGGACCTACAAGTTGTCCAGTATTGCAGAAGATGCGCAATCTCAGAATAGCGGCCATGATTGACTTTGAAATTCCATTAAATGGCCGACCGCTGACGCCCGCCAAGATGGACTTTTTGCACTTAGCTGCAAGCTCGTCATAAGCTGCGCGGTCAGCGGCTGATAGACAGGGACGATGCTTCACAAAGGAGACGCCGATAGAGGACAGAACGGCCGAAGTGCACCGCCTCAGACATATCGATCCGAGTAAGAGCCTGAGGTTCTCGTAGTTGGGCTTGGAAACACCACTTGTCATCTTTCCGTTACCCGCAATGTATCTCCGGAAGGTTCTTGCGTCGCTCAACATAGGAATGCGGAGAAACTTAAGAAGCGAAAGAAGGTCTTCTAGAGAGTTCTGCATAGGTGTACCTGTCATGCACCATCGAACGGATGCAGATAGGCTAACTACAGCTTTGAACTGTGATGTGGACCCGTTGCGTATTACATGAGCTATAGAGAACATGAGCCGTCTGGTGATGATATGCACAGAGAGATGAGGATTTCTGACCTTCATCGAGAATGATTCGGTACCAGTGGAAGCAGCTAAGGACACCACCCCCTCTTCTAGCATCTGCGGCTACCGTGCCGTAAGTCGTGAGCACTATATGATATGGAGGAGGCGAGGACGACGGAAGCATTCGTTTTGGTCCATGGTACTTATAGTACGCCAAGCTTCCATGAGAAACATGTCTACTAAAGCGTTAGATAGCGGCTTGTAAGGTTGTGCTTAATACATTACTTCTTAATTTCATCGACCCAACCGTCCAGCAGTGCTAGAAAAAAAAGGTTAGTAAGTGGACTCACATACCAGGAAGAACAAGCTACTGACAAAGAGAAGGTACCACCACCAGCGTAGATTGTATAGGCATTAGGGTCGTTGTGGCTTCTTTATCTTCATCTTGATTTTTCATTTCGATATCTTCTGTGTGAGATATGCCAGCAACGATACTAGCAATCATAGTCAAGGTCTTCCCAAGACCCATGCCATCTGCGAGAATGCCCCCAGGCGAGTCTTCGGGTTTCGCACTTGATGAGCCTGTAATGACGTGCTTGAACCTATCTTTCATGTTAGAACTCTTGCCAATAGCCAAGCTAACGTGATCACTATTGTATAGTTACAATGCCGGTCTACCCGCAGCGTATTCAGGACGCCATAAACTCCGCGCCTTGATACCCCCAACTGTTTCCCTGTGCCGAACGAAATCGAGTGCTTCTTTCTGGTGACTACAGGACATGGCTTAGTACGTATTCAAGATGACGCCAAAGGCTACCACGGCTCACCTCAGAAGTTCCACTGTAATCCTAGAATCAGGGTTGACTTCTGTTAAATAATCATGACGTGGCAGATTATCCATTTCAGCTGCAAGATCAACGTCTTCACTTTGGTCAAGATCCCCTGACTGGTCTCTCTCTTGACTCAGTGTCTCGACTGAAATTGGAGGTAGAAGCGCTCCGTTGGAGAATGAGGACCTGACCATGTCTAGGTACTGTGGGTTCTCGTAAGGTACATGGCTGGGTATTGGCTGAGGGTGTTGCAAGAAAAGATGGTGCTTGGAGAGGTCCTTCGCCACAGGTTGTGCGATGGCTCGTGATCCGAGAACCGATATCGCCATTACACATGCTAGGTCTTGGGCTTTGGCCCCCGTATGCACCATAGATTCTTTCAACTTCTTCTGGAATTCTGAACGGGGCATCATGCCCGTAAGCTGTATCTCTCTTGCACATGACAGCGAATTGAGCGCGAAATGGGTTCTTCTGTTCATTGTGGCAACAAGATTGCCTTTTACGGCTATGTCGCATCGATCGTTTGCAATCTGGAGCTCGAGAGATGTAAATGTATCATTCTCTCCTTCGAAACTATCAGAATTGATGGAATGCGCGTGTAATGCAACGTTGAAGCGGATTTGTATGCCTTTGAGCTTGTGTAATGTTAGTGATCGGGAAAGCTCCGTGCAGAATCGGGTCTGTTAAGTACCATGCCAAAACATATAATCTCATCTGGGGCACGAAAAGAACTGATTGGTTGAGCACTGGCATATTGAAGGTTGGAAAGACTATACTCTGTCAATGGGGTAAGACCGTCACGAGGTTGTGTCGTGGGGATTTTGAGCTTATTCCTTTTGGGCGCGATGGAGCCGTGATCTTCGCTTCGCACAATATCCTCCGTAAGTTCGTCGAACTGTCGCTTGGGCGTTGAGAAGCCTGACATGATATTGAGATGCTATGAATGGTTTTGCACAACATCTGGAAGAAATTCGTAATTTGACCTCGCAAGGCTCTCAGTCAACCTCTGTTGCTTAGCGGGGCAATAGGCGGCCGGAAACGAGAGACCGAGGGCCGGGACGTATCAGGCTCAGCTTGGCTCAGCTACTTACATGGGTACTTACTGTACGTACCTCATAATTTGACGCATTTCACAACGCTTGTTGTGTCTATATGTTTCCATAGGTAGTTGGACTACCCCAGGAGCGACGAATAGATCAACATATCGATTGACCAAGAAGAAGACCGAACACACTGCTCATCCCGGTCTTCATCTAGCGGTTGCCGCGGGCACAGCGGTCTACTGTTTCCAGACACGGCCTCTTCTGGCGCGTTGCTGACAAAATGCGCAAAGTCGGATCCGAACACGTCCACTATCTACCCGCGAACTCGTAGGTGCCAAGAAACCAGAACTAGGATCGGAGCCTGTTTATGACTGCGTGTTGAAGTGAACAGGGAGTCGATGGCTTACGTCCTGGTTGCATGTACGTTTGGTACAAAGCCACGCACTTGTAGTTAATCAGTTTGCTCAACTGCTTACGTGCACCTATAGGACCCAGAGAAGAGGCCCCAGACAAGTTGGGATGCCTTTTACGCTCTTCTAATCAAGCTAGTAATAGACTTCTAACAAAGTGGCGGGTACTAGGGCGTTACAGTAACTGCCCATGATGAGATAAGGCCTTTATTTCACTGCAATCGGCATGAGAGTAGGATATAGTACATCAAAAAAACTCAAGCACTCAGGCCTCAGGCTAGGAAGGGTAGATAGGCTTGCCGTGGAGGCCAACTCAAGATTTTGGGAACCGGTGGAGGTTAGGGACTAGGCCTCGACAACACCATACTCAATACGCAGTTCATACTCTGCTCCTCCATCTGTGGCCCACTCATTTCACACTTACATTGAGGCCTGCTTGGTAGCAGCCATTCATTTACTTTCCCCTTCTATTCTGGCATATCCCGTTCATGTCTCAATCGGGTCTGCCAATGGCGCCATCCGATAGTGCGTGGCTACGCTTTCATCTGACTATCATGCTCAGTCATCATCTTGACAAGTCCTCGGATCTGCGCAAATGGTCTCACATGAACACCTGGTTATGTCCCTGCACTGCTCGACTGGCACATCATACTGTATGTCGGAGAATCGAGTGCAACGGAAATTGTACGGCTCGTGCGTGCACCTTCTCTCCAGATCGACGTGGTCGCAGACAAAGATTATCTTGGGGGCAGCACGACCGACCTCCGAATCTTCCTCGCCAGGCTCTTCGGGTATAGGAAACAGCCTCGCGATGGCCAGGAGAATGGCGCTCAAGAACAGCACAGGGACTATGGAGACGTACGCCATGTTGATCAGATCACTACTTACTTAACTGTGAATTACCGTTGGTAGGAAACTGCATGATGTGAGTATAGGCTTGCAATAAGTACTTGAGAAAAATGTATCAACTCCTTTGTAGCACTTTGCTTCAATCAGCCCTTATGAAAAGAACAAAGGGAATAAGGCATTGTCAACTTTTTCAATATGCTTGTCCGGGCTTATATACAATATAATTGTTCTGAGCCTGCGCTCCATATGGCCTCACAGACTTGATCTTCTTGATACTATATACGCCGAGAAGCTGCGCGCCTGAGTTCGGTACATAGTCAGGGGAGCTTGCCACCCGTTCCGTATGCATGGTCTGTCCGCCGTCAACGTCTATCAATGGCGCTGTGCTGTGTGCGTGGCTTACGGAGCAAGCACCAATGATAGCCATGAAGTAACGAATACCCGATGTGGCTTTTTGCAGCGGGGCAAGTGGATATAACGAGTGTATTCAGTTTCAACTAAGGAAAGGCTTGAATGAGTGACAGAGCTATACTTCGGCTGATCACGTGAACCCCCTAACGCACGAGAGCAAACGTGGTATAGGTTTGGTGCTCGTATGCTGCGCCATCCTGCACTTTGACTAACTTCTCCATGTCCATCTAAACGTTCCGGCAGCGCCATACGATGCCACACGCCTACGCTTAGCAAATTCTTGGGTTCAGGCAAGGAAATTCACAAGAACACCTGGTTCTGTCTCTGCACTGATCCAATGGAACGTCATACTGTATGTCGCCGAACTGGGTACAGCGGAAATGGTACGGGTCGCCGGTGCATCTTTTTTCAAGATCGACATCGTTGCATACGAAGATAGGGGCAGCCAAGACACTTGCGTCCGTGTCATCGGCTTCGGGAAGCGGGTTTGCGACGGCCAAGTGAAGCGCACCCAAGGAGAGCAGTAGCACTATGTGGATGTGAGCAGACTTATTAGTAAATCAATGGCAGTGTAGACGAGTGGTAATTTACCCTTGATAGGAAACTGCATGATGAGGATATAGGCTCGGGATGAGTGCGAAAGATTGGATGGTTAATACCGTATAGTACTTGAAGATACCAACCAAGAAAGAGTACTAAGTCGTCTCCAATGTGAGCAGTAAACGAGGTAAGGAGGAAGTAGCGCAGTCTTTCCAATATGCTTCGCTTCTCCCCATATATATTGCAACTATTTCACGGCGCAACATACATTCGTCTGTAACTCGATTTGACATCTTAGGAGGATTCATCTATAGGGACATAAGCATTCCTACATGAGGCACAGGCTTATGCTTCTTGTCACAGTATTTCCGTCTGGCGTAAGTCTCTGGCTAGCTGGGGCACGTCGTGGCGCTTTGGGTAGTCCACATGACTGGTTTATTGAGAGCAACGAGGCACGATGATTGGCAAAACGAAGGTGCATGAGCATGCAGGGGTTTTTTATCCTGCAATTAGCCAGCGTCCTGAATACAAGTGCACTTTGACAAATATTGATTCTCTGACAAGGTCACACATCCTTACTGCCCATGCTCAGAGAGCAAGGGCAGTTGTCAGTGTGGTTCCTGTTGAGGAAAGTCCTTCGTTCGTCATAAATATACTGGAGAAACCTTCTTGGGCGAAGGATTAGAACAGGTAGCGTAACTTTAAAGAGTTTGGACACGCTGGAAATTGCAAAGCAGTATCTAGCAAACTGGCTGGAGTCTTTGGCTGTGTAACCACAGGTTCCAAGGAGCGAGAGACAACGAAATTCGTCACAGACCTCTCTCATTTCCTTGATCGGCGATCCAGCTGCTTGAACAAGGTATTGCCATATAGGTTGCATACCACACGATGAAGAATGTCCACAGCCTCGCTTCTGGCCCAATGATGCGTGTAGATACCTTTACATCTTTGGCTTAGCGGGTCATCCATCATTGCACATTACGTTTAACCATACAAACAAATCGGAGATTGGACCAATGGATTGAAAAGAGAAACCGAAGTGAAGCGGAAGCGGAAGGCCAAGCCTCGTGAGATGTCCACCGTCGTCACGCTGATCATGGGTTGCCACCCTCCACGCTGGAAGGGTCAACTGTGCCGCAGTTCATCACCAGCCACGCATGTCATCGGAGGGGAATAGTTAGATACCTAATGTTAATGGCTAAAAATTGAAAAATTTCCCTCTCTTTCTCATTATCTCCAAGCTTGAAATACGACGTATCCGTACTGATCACCCACCGACCATCCCCAACGAGACGGAGCACATGCAAGTCTACTCGCCATGAGTGAAAAGACCCCTTCAGTCTACTATACGGTCGACCCCGAGACGAACCCATCAACTTGGCCTGGTTCAAGCCACGAAGGACCCGGAAACATTGACATTAGCAAAGTTGATGTCATATTCATCAACATCAATGGGGCTTCCGACTTTAATATACTTCGCACTGGCACGAACAAAGATATTCATCATGCAGTGCTGCAAGTAGCCAAACATGTGGCTCGGGGCCTCTATCGCCTCGTGAGCTTGAACGCCTCCGAGTACTCGTGCGTTGTCGTCATGGCAACAGAGAAGCAAAGAGACATGTTGATGTGGAAGAATGGCTTTCCATGGGACACTGAAGAAGATCCACAGCCAGAGGTAGTTCTGAAGTAGCGAGCGCTTAGAATGTGAAGAGGGGGAGGGGGAGGAGGAAAGGGGGAGGAAAAGGGAAGAAAAGGGCGTTTCATCTTCTGGCTCCTGTGTCGTACTACACCCAAGATCGAATGAGAACATGATATCCCACAGACCTTCACGAGCCCAAGAGTCTGCCAGTGTCCCCATGGAACCAGGAGTTTCAATGGAGAATCCCCCCCCCCCAACTAGATATCTAGCAGGCCGTGCTGTGTTATAGGTCTTGGTATTGTTGAAGACCGAGGCTTAGGTGTATTCCCCAATCATCGCGAATCCCCTTTTTAAGCGGTGAGTTTGTTTACTATCGTACATATATATATATGTATATATGATATATGTGCCGTAGCCAGCCCGGACAGAGTGAGAGTCCTTGGTAGGTCTAGCCAGATTTTTTGTCTACGCGTATGCATGTGCGATCCGCCCGTGACTTGAAAACACCAATTCCATCCACCGACGCAATGTTTCCAAGATAAAGAGCATCCAAACGGAAGACCGCTTTGGGCCGTTCATCTTTTTCTGTCTCGGTCTTTTCATCTTTCGGTCTTTCTCTTCCTCTTCCTCCTCACGGCAGCATACCAACCCAGCCCTTTTCATAAATGCACCTCTTACCATCACGAACTGCCGTTCACCGGCGCCCACTTGCCCTCCGTCTTCTCGATGTGGGCGACCAGGTCCTCGATGGTGCAGACCTTCAACCCCCAACGCTTCGCAAACGCCACGCAGCCCTCGGTCCTCATCATGCCGGGCTCGCTCCGCACGGCACGGCCGGCAACCTCGTCCCCGTCCTCGACCAGCTCGCAGATGACGGCGACCTCGGGCAGGCCGGCTAGGCGGCAGAAGTCGACGCCGGCCTCGGTGTGGCCGGGACGCACGCGCACGCCGCCGGGGCGGGCGCGCAGGGGGAAGACGTGGCCGGGGCGGCGGAAGTCGGCGGGCTTGGCGGCGGGGGCGGCCAGCATGCGGCAGGTCAGGGCGCGGTCGTGGGCGCTGATGCCGGTGGAGATGCTGGGGTCGGCGCCGTCGACGGACAGGGTGTAGGCGGTGCCGCGGGGGTCCTGGGAGTTGGGGACCATCTGGGGCAGGTCGAGCGACTCGGTCAGGGCGGCGGGCAGCGGGGCGCAGATCAGGCCCGACGAGTGGCGCACCATGAAGGCCATCTGCTCGGTGGTGACGGCCTGGGCGGCGATGATCAGGTCGCCCTCGTTCTCGCGCGAGGGGTCGTCGAGGACCACGACGAACTCGCCGTCGCCTGGGGTGCGCGGGGCGCGGTTAGCATCTAGGAGGGTGGTATACTGGTGTGCGGCGGAAGGGCCGGGGAGGAGAGGGTGGGCGTACGGAAGGCGGCGATGGTGTCCGGTATCGAGTCGAATTGGCTCTTGTCTACTGTCGAGGAAGGCATGGCGGGCGGAGGTGAGGCTGGGAGAGAAGGGGAAAACGACAAGGCGAGTCCCTCAGATGGTGCTGGGCGACTTTGAAAGAGCAGCCGTGTGTATGAGAGCTGGACTCTCGGTGGACACCCGAGGCTCTGCGCGACTAAAGCAAGGCCGATAGGCTATGTAGGTATGTTCTGGATGTGATAAGCCGCGGGGCTGTGACTGTAAGTGGGCTGGAAGAAGTGCTGATCTCTCTTGTCTCGACGTATAACCAACAAACAACAAAATAGTTCCAAGTCTCTGGTCTCTCTCGGGAGGTCTTGGGTGGTAATTGGAAAGGCAATTGACCGCCTGACTCGCCCTCCAACTGCCTATGCACGCGTTGAGTCAGAAGCTCTGGATGCGAAAATGTTTGTTTGCTGGTAGCTGGCCGTTAACTTTTCTGGCTTGCAGGCCGAGCTTCGGCGGGGTCGGCGAGCTTTAAGTTGAGGGACGGGGTGCTGTGGGTTGGTTTGGTAGGGGAGGGGAGGGGAGGGACGGACCCTGCAGATTTCCCGCGCAGCCCCGTGCAGTGCAGCAGTGCAGCCGTGCAGCAGGGCAACGCATGTGATGACAGATGCTGATGCCAGCTGACAAACTCTCATTCGTCATGTCCGTGGATGTTTCCAAGGTTCGAAGCAGTTCCGAGCTCCTCGCGGCTATTCTTAGCAGTAACTGGACTATAGGCCGGACAGGACAGGACAGGACAGGACAGGACAGGACAGGACGGACAGTCTGGCCCAGGCCGACCCGCCCGCTGCCTGCTGTGCTGCTTGCCATCTCGACCATCTGGACTAACTACCAATCCCGAACGGCGCACGGTTCCTGCCGCATGCCGCATGCCGCATGCCGCTGCCGCCGGGCCCGATCGCCAGCCCTTCTAGAACAATTCCGTGACGATTCTGCCCTGCCTCCCCGATACCAACCATCCCGCGACATCGTCACCCAATGACGCCCCGTCCCAATGCAGCACCGCAGCTGCTCCAGCGGCTTCGCGGTGCCAATCCCGCCGTAGCACTTCATTCTCGTGGCCTGCGACCGACCGCATCTGCACCAGCACCCGACGCACCTCGACGGATAGCTCCCCGAGTGCTGCAACCGCTCCCTTCCCGGTCCTTCACCTCATCCCCAGACTCGGCCTCTTCCTCCCCCGCGTCGTCGGCCTCGTCCTCGGCCTCGCCTTCGTCCTCCGCGGACGCCGCCTTCACCACCGTCTCCCCCGATGAGGTCTCCCACTTCAATGCCCTCGCCTCCTCCTGGTGGGATCCCCACGGCCCCTCGCGCATCCTCCACCTCATGAACCCTCTGCGCCACGACTTCATCCGCTCCTGTCGCTCCTCCGTCCTCGACGCCACCCCGCCGTCCACCTCCGGGCTCACGTACCTCGATATAGGCTGCGGCGGCGGCATCTTTGCCGAGTCGGCCGCCCGTCTGCCGGGCACCAAGCATGTCAAGGCCATAGACCCCACCCCGGGCGTACTGGCTGTCGCCAAGGCACACGCGCGACGGGACCCTGGGGTTCAGGGCAAGCTCGAGTACCTCAACACCTCCATTGAGAAGCTGCCCGTGCCCGAGGCCCCGGAGAACAAGTTCGACGTGGTCTCCGTGTTCGAGGTCCTGGAGCACGTGAGCAACCCGGCCGAGTTCCTCGACCGGTGCACGCCGTTTGTGAGGCCCGGCGGCTGGCTGGTCATGAGCACCATCGCCCGCACCTGGATGAGCTGGTTCACGACCAACCTGATGGCCGAGGACGTGCTCAGGATCGTGCCGAGGGGCACTCACGACTGGAACAAGTACGTGAACGAGGACGAGCTGAGGGGGCACTTTCTCGGCAAGAGGACGGGCTGGACCGACGCGAGGTGCATGGGCGTCATCTACGTGCCCGGCATCGGCTGGAGGGAGGTCCAAGGCAGTGAAAAGGTTGGAAATTACTTCTTTGCCGTTAGGAGAGCTGCATAAGGAACAGACACGAGGAGGGATTGTATTCTAATGTAACGGATTGTGTATCATCTATGTATATCATACGACTATAGACACCCAGGCGTCATTCAACGTGCCTGAACTCTTGCTCAGGATCGATACTGTGCCTCAATTGGCATGTATACAGAGGCATAAAGACGGTTCCCAATTTATAATTGCTGATGGATTGCGTCTCGTGTCGGTCCCACCTCCCCCGAACCAGCTTGATCCTCTCGCTTTTGTCTCACGCATACTATTTCATGATTAGTGAGTGGTACGTGAGCCAGCATGTCTGAAAACTGAACAGCGGAGATGGATGAAGCAGACCACAAGACAAGCTCAGGCCTACACACAACTTGACAGGGACCTGGGCATGTAAGTGTGGATATGACTAGCGTAGCCTTAGCATTTCCAAATTCCACCCCGGCGCATTTCCAATTTTCCACACACACATTCACACGGCGCACATTTTGACGAACAATATTTTCTATAAGCGGCCGAAATTTCAACCGACATCAAACGTCAACCAGCGGGGATAGCTCAGTTGGGAGAGCGCCAGACTGAAGTCATACTTCCGTCTCGATATCTGGAGGTCAGGTGTTCGATCCACCTTCACCGCAAGCACTGTGTCATCTGTAAAAGATGAATGAAAACACGTCCTCCTTCTCTTTTTGCACTTTTCGCATACATTCCGCCCATGTGTTGAGTAGGTACTATTTATTCAACGATACACATTTTGCCCTTTTGGTTTTGTCTCGAAGCACTATACCTTCTGCTTTTGGTCATGTTGCATTTGTAAACCACTTGTAGTATCTATCCCAGCAGTGGGCACGCCGATTTCTCGTTGTATCTTGACCTATTCACTTGATTCCTCTACTATTCTGAAATAACACCAACTCTACTAACTCTCGTCACTCCGTCGTAAAGATCACTGATCATCTGGTCTAGCTCGTCTAGCTGGTCCGGGTGAATTTCTAAAACTATATAAACTGCCTAACCGCTTAGACCGCCAGAACTACTTGAGTGCCCTGAATCTGTTGATGCATCTGCGTCACTCTGCTGTCCTGGGCCGGCTATCCGGTATTCCCGGTGCCTGTGGCTTGCCCTCGGCCTGTCCCTATATCTAACCAATTCGTCTTGGATCTCGTGCAGGCCGGGCGCCCACTGATTCAATCTGAACAGGAGGATGTGGAACAACCTGTTGAACATTGGACCATGGCCATCGTCGGGGTCTACGTCCCTCGCAAAGGCAGAACTGTTGCGATTGCTGAATATATCCAGATAGGCGTGGGCCATCTCACTACGGGACCACAAGTCAGTCATGTGAAACACCTCGGGGCTCTCTATACAGAACGAAACCCAACAGGGTAGGATATCCCCAGACGAAGGGAAAGCGAGAGCGAAAGCGAGCGTTACAGATGGGAAACACCTACTGCGCCAGGGCTAAAAAAAGCCTCTGGAAGCTGTTCCTCCTGTGGAAAGCCTGGGTCCATATCTCGATGACGCCGCGGTCGGGGTTCCACCGCCCGTACGACGTCCGGTGGTTCCTCTCGTGCACCCTGAGCCTCACCAGCTGCTCGCTGCGGGTCAGCGAGCCGGGGCTGCGGACCTCGCGCGTCAGCAGGCCGAAGAAGAACAGCTGGTCGACCTTGCGCATGTGCCGCGCCAGCGTGCGCCGCAGGTCCAGGTCCTCGACCTCGGTGGCGATGTCGTCCCAGAGCCGGTCGTGGTAGCGCCCGATGGCCCGGGACGCGATGCCGTCGACCGACTCCGAGTAGCGCCGCACCAGCTGCACGATGCGGTGCGGCGACTTGCTCCAGTGGCGCGTTCGCCAGTAGGAAGGGAAGAGCAGGTTCGTGGACTTGTACTGGTCCGCCTTGCTGCGCATCTTGCGCAGGATCCTGGGGTCGAGCCGGGCCATGGTTGATATGGTCTTGCGGTTTTGTTAACTGTCTTCGAGGGAAGCGGCATCAACTCGAGCTCGTCCTTGGCCGGGAGACCAAACAGCTCTGTCGTTTCTTGACCGTCATCTTGGTGGGATGGGTCTCCCGATAACATGGAATCCATTGCTTTGAGAATGGCATTGGCATTCACCTTGACTTGACAAAGATTTTACCGAGGTAGGGACTGCTGCAGCAGGCAACTGAAGAAAGAACACATGGGCCGAGTCAAAGACAGCACGCATCATTGTTGGACGCAACTTGTTATAGATGAAGTAGACAAGCCGGACAAAGGAGAGGCTATAGAAACCCGTCCGCATAGAGAATTGGAGCCAACCGTCGCAACTTCATAGTCGAATATAGATTGATAGTGCGGATTTAAGATAAGTGTTGGTATCGTGCAGACGAACGGGCTAATACTCGCTTTATATTCAATGTCTACACCAGACATACTCGAGTACGTCTGCGCCATTGGGCATATTCGTAATAACGTATTACCTTGAAGTACTCAGAATGAAGCTGGGGGACAATGTTTGAGAGAGCCCTACTGAGACGATGATGTAGCGAAACTTGCAGAATGTCATAGATGGCTCGATCTGGGCCAACAATAACCTGAATAGACTGGCGGAGAGCATATATTGTGTCACTATCGAAATACTGGTTCAATACCGCCCTAGCCCTTAGTTTCGTAATTATACTTGTCGCGCGCCGGCCTTGGGTATAGCACCGCATTCAGCCTTGGCATCGGTAATGTGCGTCAAGCTTTGAAGTCGATTTATGATGCGGCTCTTACGAATATGGCGCCTCACTCACATAAGGCAATTTGTCCGAGTCAAGCCATGCATATGGGTTAGGTGAGCCGATGAAAATCCCACGCTGTCCGCGAGCAGCGTGGGATGCCAACCATGTCATTCCCGCACCGCGCCCTGAGTACTTCCTCGATTTACCTCGCTAGCCAAGAGAAACTAGTAGCCACCGAATTTATCAGGCAGTTTAATACTTGAAGGGTTAAGTATAGTATATTCCATGACTTGTTGTGAAAACGTCATTAGTAGACTGGCTGTGCTCAATAGCCCACCTTAGCACTCTCTGAAGTTATGAACCGAAAAGTCTCGCCATGTTACTCGTCAGTTCCATACCCGCTCGTAGTTAAGCTCTAGTGACGGCCAGCTATAGTGACGTTCAACCTCTTCGATGTATTGCCCACATGTTGGCATAGACCAAGGGCCGTCTTCCGGAGGGAACGGAAAGGACTGGCTCTCTCGTGAGTAAGCCACTGCCGTCTCATGTTCGTACTGTACTTACTGTTGCCATATAAGCTATAAATGCCATGGACCTTGGAGCCAAGTGGCAAAGCTTACGTCGGCTTCAAGGACGTCCCCCCTGCCTTGACAACCCTGCCTGTGACTAATGTGTAACACCTCTATATTCTCCTATTGGATCGAGTGAAGACCACAGCCGGGCAACATGAAGTCAGAGTGTGCCCGTTGTGCGTGGGGGCGGGGAAGACGGAGTGGGCGACAGCCAGTCTTACGGGCTTCATGGAGGCTGGTGGTGAGAATCGTCGAAGAGCCGCGAATATCCATATCCAACGGCTACACTGTTAGGGTAGCCAATCAGCCTAACCTCATTCGTAAAAGTACCCGATGAAAGGTCATGACCTGTACGCATGGTGGCGTTCATGCTGCGAAACAAAGATTCACTCGAGCATTGCGAGGCAATCGCACTGGTTTGATTGCTGTTGGGCATGGCGGATTGATCGGATTGATTGCTCAGTGCGGTGCGAGCGTGAAAAGCGGCAAGACACACCAGACGCTTCTTGAGGCAGCTTTGACAAGTGACTGGCTGTTGGTGATTAAGTCAAGCCCATCATATTGATCCAGTCTTGCCGCGACACATGGCTTGAACCGCTCTAAGTCTTCAATCTGATTGATGAAATAGCCATGCACAGTTTCTCAAAGTTTTAGCGAACTTCAATCTATAAAAGTCACATCGTGGCGGTGAATGGCTGGAGCAGTGTATCAGGTTGCTTTGCATTTACTCTATGAACGCCCCAGTGGGTACGCCAATGCCAAGATCACAACCTAGGGACACAGATTAAATCACGCGTGCGGAAGACCGGCAAACCACAGCAGTGAGTGGGAAGACGTGTTTGTGCGTGGCCGAACAACAGAATTCAGTGCTGGCACGAAGGCGACGATACCACTTTGGTTGGCTTGAACACGTCCAGGTGATCATAATTATGGAGCTGTCGAGCGGCTCGAAATAGAAAGCCTTGCGGTCCCTTTGACAAGGTTTCGCAAAGTGGTGACACCCCTATGCTTACACGCAGCAGCAGAGGAGCAGATGCAGAAGGATTGTAGCTGACGTCGAAGGCATCTTGCCATTCAGTGACATACCCGAGCCTCCGGGTCTTTCTTTGGGGTTTTGTAGAAGCAGGTGTGGTTTCAATGCACAGGACTGAAGTCGTGTGCGAAGATCTCGAACTTTCTCAAGCTCCAATATTCCAAGAGGTCTTGCCAATTCAGGTAGGCCGGCTATAGGGTGCCCACACCCGCAAGGTACGAGACTCCGCTGGGACCGGGGGGTTCACGAACTTGCTGGGGAGATGTAGCAGGGGGTTTGGGAAAGCTGGGGAAGTCGATCAAAGCGTGGGGGTTCACTTTTTGGTTGTCGATCATCTATCTCCGTTACCGTTTCTCGGAGGCCGCCATACGATGACATTATATTTGGTATCTTTTAATTCGCTTCCTGGTTGCGATTTGACCCAATAGCGCATCCGAATGCCCCTTGAATTAGTAAAGGAAGAGAGACAGGCCTTGTTCGTTCGCCACAAGCCTTACATCAAGTCAAGCAGTGGGTGCGGCAATGACTAACAAATATCTGCAAGCGAGGACGATACAGCAGCAATCTCGTATCACACGAACCAAAGGGACTCCGATTAGACTTCCGATTGTCGACTTCCCCTGACCATCGCCTATCACTTTCACAGGATACCTTGGTAGCTTCTAGGCTTCGTTTCGAGAGGCAAGTTGGGGGGCATTGGGCAACATCAGATGGCCCCCTTGCAAAACGTGGGAAACAGGGAAAGGAGACCCATGCCGCTGCTCATCGTCACGCGAGCAAAGGGATGCAACAAACTGGGTCCTGCGTAAATAGCATGCATATCGTCAGATCCGACCCGACGAGCACGCATTAGGAAGTTCGCAGCGGCACTACGAGGAGACGTTTGCGTCTCGCCCAGCGTAGTCCATCTTACGGCGGCGTGCTCGTCTTCCGTCTTTCGAAGGATGCAGCATTGGGATGCACCTGAGAATAGAAGCCATCAGTGCGGATTGATGCAACTACCAGCGCCAAGTCTGACGAGGGTGTCGCCCACCACCTGGGCAACCCTCACCAAGTATGACATCCCATTGGGCATTTGTTCCGCGGCACCAGATCTCTGGGTCGTTAGTGCCTAGGTAGTTTTGGGGCGAGTGGCTGACCAACAACGCAACGCGTGGTTGACGGCTTCTCCTTGCCACAGGCTACTATTGCTGCGTAGAATCACTTGCGCGTCACCGACGAAAACGACTCTGCAGGTCAGCTTCTTATTCGCTCCGGCATCATCATTGGCGCATTCACGAGAGGATGAAAAGGTCGGGCAGTAACGTTCGCTGTCTTCATAGTACTCGGTACAGTCAGCTCGAACTTCACGATATCATGGCAGATCAGCTGGCTCTCCCCCCTTTTGCCCCGCCCACCCCGTACGCCGAGGAGTGTCATTGGGATTGCGGGGCAACACCATATTGTACGGTAAATGTGGGTTGGAACAGCCCATTAGAGGTGGATTCGGCTTTGCTTTGACGTTTCGATGACTTGTTCGTACGATTTCAAGATGCAGGATCGGTACAATACGAGCGAGACACAAAACTCCATGTGCCTCGGCCAGTATGTTTGCTGTTTCCACCAATTCTCGAGATCGACGGTGGCGCCTCTCTGACCACCATGTCATCCTAGTTCGTCGTGATGCAGCCTGGTTGATCAGATGCATTAGATCAAGCGGCCTGATGACGGCACCACATTTCCACTTCAAAAACTTGATGGTGATTCAAAATGGAGTTTCTCATAGTGTGGCGCTATTATGGTTTGACCTCACTCCTTCGAGCTGGAGTGCGCAGCCAAGCCAGGCCAGGCAGTATACCTACATAGGCATGCTAATTCAGTAGACCACAATAGCCCCCTCCAATGGGCGTCCGTGCAGTAGGAGACGTGACACCCACATGCAACCATGAGTTGACTCCAGCCCTGGTTACATCTGATCCTGACGTTGGAATCAGCTGTCAAAAGGCGGCGTCGATGTTTTACAGACGAAAACCGCCCCAGGAGTCTCGCCTTTTGGAGCCTCGCTTCATGGGTCTGAGGACTGCCATTTGCGGATAAAACCACCCATGATTTTCTGTTACACCGCCATTATGACTAGCCGCCGCCTTGGTGCAGGAAGACGATGCATTCGCAGATGGAAGCCTCCGCTACGTTCTCCCACAAGCCCAAATCAGGTGGGAAGCTGGCAACTGACTCGGGGGCCGATGATAGACATCCGTCTATCATACCTCCAGTGTGTAGGGTCAGCTTAGTTTGCATACAGATTATGAGTCGTTAGTTGCTAGACGTTGCTTTTACTTCTCGTATAGGGCATGCCTGCATCATCGGTATAGACAGCTATCCATCAGATATCGGCACAGACAGTGCCGTGTTGCCAAGCGACGATCAACGAGACGCATGGCCGGTCATATCTAATCCATCCGTTCCCAAATAGAAAGAAAACCGCCGGTCGAGTCCCTGCTCGTGCCCCTGCTGCAGCTGCCGCCGTGCTTACAAGAAACCCATGGCGTTGGGACATCAGAGCCTGCTGTTGTCCTACAGGCGCCTGCCGCTGTCAGTCGAACTGTTGTCCGAAAGAGGAAGCAGAACACAGAATGGCCTGGACTTCTCCGAGGACTGACTGAATCATGCAGCATGCCTACCCTGCATACCTGACTCTGCTCTGCTCCTTTTTGCAGATTCATGAGGCATGATTTGCTTTTGCCCCGTGTCTTACATCGCTTGACGTTCCTGGCAGGCAGGCTGCTGTTCTATATCATGGATGCCAGGACTACTTCGGGACTATTGACCCTACTCCAGTTAGCCCTGCCGGCATTTAGTGTCAGACTTTAGCGGACTTGATCGCCAGACTTATCGTGGTAACCCCAACTTGCGGCGCTAACCCCCACCCTACCATTTCCATCTCCAATCCCCCCATCCAATACTACCCTGGCAGAGGCCCTGGGGTCTGGAGCTTCTACTGGACTTTGTTGTGACAATTCGATACGTCCCTCCACCAGCCCATCGGAAAGTCGAGCCATCGCCAGCTTTCCCTGTATGGCTCGTCCATGTCTTTCCCTTGCCGTTCCGGGCGACAGCCTACCAGCATCCTTGCCTCCTGCAATTTGAGGCACCCATGCTGGGCGTGCAATAATCCCTCCGCCCTCAGCTGCGGCTTCGCCCAGGTCGGCTGATCCTAAGAGAGTCCCCAAGCGCCACCACTATGGCAGACCAGGCCGTGACGAGGGAAAAAGAAAGTCGATCTGTTCACTTATATATATGACAGGCCCTTGTGCCCCTCTGTCTCGAGTCATGTCGATGTACAACAAGTATTCTTAGGTCATCAGCTGTCACCTTCACCCTTCTTTTAGAGCCTGTCCCTCCCTGTGAACCGCCGTTGACACCCCATATCTCTCAGTTCTTGTATCCACTCTGGGCGCCTTGCGATATACTGACACTGGTACGGAACACGATTCATCAGGATCAAATAATTTCCTTTTCAAAGACACGGAACGGACTGTTGATGCTTCAACAGTTGAGTTTACATCATCCACAACCCGTCGTTAACTGCCATACAATCTCCCGTCACACCTAGTGCTCGTTGTTCGCACCTGTCATACGGCGCGCTGGCCCATTGCACTTGCCAAGAGTTCCATCATGGCACCTCACAAAGATACATCGTCGCCAGCAGGTAGCTACACGGGCTGGTCCAACAATATAAACTCACCGTTCCGCCCAAACACTTCTTCAACACTCGAGCTTGGTACAGCGACCCCTGCTGACTCCCAATCCTCCCTGAGCAGCTCATACGACAGCACATCCCTTGACACCGAGTTGAGAATGGCCCGCCCACTTGTTCCTGGTGTTTACGTTCCCACTATATGCTTCTTTGAGCCGGGCAGTGAGAACGTGGATACAGCTGCCATCTCCCGACATGCCGTACGACTTGCGGAAGCTGGCGTTACTGGCCTGGCCACGCAAGGATCGAACGGGGAAGCCGTCCACCTCACGCATGATGAGCGCTCTCTTGTCACCTCTACTACCAGAAAGGCGCTTAACAACGCCGGCTTCCCGCATCTGCCAGTCATCGTGGGCTGTGGCTCTCAAAGCACGCGGGAGACCATCCAGCTGTGTACTGAGGCGTGGAAGAGCGGTGGGGACTATGCACTGGTGCTTCCCCCGGCATATTACGCTACCCTCTTCGCACCGGCGGCTCAGACAATTCTGGAATACTTTACCACGGTTGCGGATGCGTCTCCGATTCCCATCATCATCTACAACTTTCCCGGGGCAGTCAATGGCCTCGACCTCTCTTCCGACATCATCGTCAAGCTGGCAGAGCACCCCAACATTGTAGGCGTCAAGCTTACATGCGGAAACACTGGGAAGCTCAACCGTGTCGCTGCTGCTACACGGAAAATGACCAAGAACTATGATCCAAAGCGCCCGGAGTTCTTGGTCTTGGCTGGTTCTGCTGATTTCTCCATCCAGTCGCTAGTTGCCGGCGGGCACGGCATTCTGGCTGGATTGGCGAACATTGCGCCCAGGGCTTGCATCAAGACAATCGAGCTGTACGAGGCTGGCCAGGTCGCTGAAGCACAAGAGTGGCAGGACGTGGTGTCACGAGGTGACTGGGTTGCTATTCAAAGTGGAGTGATCGGCGTCAAGGCAGGTATGCAATCTTGGATGGGGTACGGCGGCTACGCGCGTAGTCCCCTGCCAAAGCCAACTGCCGAGCAATCGAAGAGCTGGAAGGAGGGCTTCAGGGAGCTCGTGATGTTGGAGAAGGCGTTGTGAGATACGAATACCCAAATTCTGTGCCAGGCAACAAGGGGAGCTCTTGGTGCTGCATCGGAAGCCGGTTGATTTTGTTTTGTACTTCTTGATTGTTGCATATCGCGGAAAAGCTACTTTCATAAGTCAGCAAGCTTGGCTCTTTAAGAAGGACCCAAAATGGGCGGCACTTGGAGTGATGAGTTGGCTACTTTGTATTTCATCAGATTAGGCAAAAGGGAAGCAAAAGCTCACCCAGACACGCCACAATGTACCCGGTCAGCTGCCCCCAAGGAGTGGATGTGCATAGGTCTATAGAATCTTTTCATCTCAAGTCACTATGACGAACTACGGCCCCGAAGTCTTCCTAAATAAGATGCTGTTGATTTCCTCATCGCTGGCATCTATACCGCAATTATGTAATCCGCTGCCCGTTTTCCGAAACTGCCTCGGCTGGGATCCGACCATGGCCAAGACGAGAACAACCGAGATCTGAGACTGTCCCGCAAAACAGTCCGATTCATCGCGCACGGGCAGAAGTAACAAGGTCTTGTGGAAGGCCCAAGACACCCGAAAGCCCAAGGTTTTTCTCGTCTTGCCTTTGGTTGGTATCAAATCATCACCACGACTGAGAGCCTCTCTAGGCGAGTCGAATTCATGTAGAACAGCTAATCTCAAAACAATTCCATGCGGTTGGAAGTCGAACCCCCCTCCCCTCCCCAACCTTGTGTCGTCCGTTTGCTCGTGATCCATTTTTAGAAGATGTAACACACCAGCCCCAACGGCGGTCCTGCTTGTGACACAGCGATTATCATACCGTGATGGGTCCAGCAGCTGTGGTCTGCTTCTGAGCCTCGACCATTGTAATTCGCCGCAACATCGGCTGTTGTCCTTTGCTGCTTCGAGGTCGCAAAGCCATACATCCTGAACGATGATGGCATTCAAAAAGGCATATCGTATCAAGTTGCATAGAAGCCGGCTAAGACAGTTACAGCTTCATGTTTGTTCTCAATGTGCCATTAGGAATTTAGGCATTTCATATCACATGACTATACCGCTCGCGACACAACAATGTGTAGCACGGAAAAGCGTTCATTTTCGTAGAGGATACACGGGTATGTCTTGCAATTCCGTGCCACAAGTCGTACACTCCGTGTTCTGGGGATATGCCAAGGATCTACCCGCTTGTACATCTTGAACCTCCACTTGCCGGCAACAGGGAGATGGTCCGCTCCGGACCCGCGTGAAGAAAACGTGGCCTCGAAACGTGTAGCTACTCTTGGCCTTTCTCCTGCAACGGCCCGTTGCTTTCTGCAGAGAAAGCATGGCCGACGCAACACCGTGCCTTCAGGTTTGCTCCCGAAATCCTGATCAAGCTGTGAGAATACGAGCAGGCAAACCTACAATTCCCTTGATACGCTTTTCAAACCGTAAATGCTACCACCAGGACTTCTCCCAAATTCACTCCGCTATCTTGGGTGTGCACCTTAATGATTGGCTAATAGACGTATTACTGAAAGGATGCCAAAATTAGCACAGCTCATCTCCAGTCGGAACCGGGAGCCGGGCCTCTCGCGTTTCCAGGTATTCTTCCGATGAGTCATCCGGTTTGCAGGTGAAGGAATATTTTTGGGGGATCCAAACTCGGTAGAGAGCGAAAGAACAGTCGTCCGATAACGATGCGCATGTGTTGTGTACTGTTATTGTCTCGGATCCCCGAGGTTTGGGGGCAGGCGGTGGGATACATTGATTTAAAACCCGTATGTTCCGCTTTGGTGCGCATGCTCAGTATACTAGAATTTATCTTCCGATCTCAGTCTTCTTTCACGCTCCAACTCATGGTGCCAATGGATTCCCATAATGCTTGCTCCAAATTGTACATCGTTTTTTGCCATCGCCTTACTGGTAGTACGGGTCTTCTCCGAAGACCCTGTTGTGGTGACGGGTATTCGAACAGGCATCTTGACCTCTGGACAGCGACCATTGCGCTTTGATATCAAAGACCTTCAGGCAACCGGCGGGCCCCTCTGGTACGTTTCTTTCCATGGATGATCCATTAAATCTAAGAAACTCTTGGGCAGGGATCTATATATACTAGGTTTGAAAGAGATGCAGGAAATGGGAGAAAATGAGACGAATTCGTATTTTCAAATAGCAGGTCGATATTTCCCCATGAATGTCCTAAAACAGAAAAGCTCACCTTGTTGAAGGTATTCATGGGAGGCCTTATATCCCTTGGAATGATATTGGTCAAGGTGACGGATGTCCCAAGGTCGGCTTCTGTCCACACGGTGTAAGTCGCATTCACTGTAATGTCTTTATATAAACCTGCTTGGAACGCCAGTGTGACTAACCACCATCAGGAGGTCCCATTTGCTTCATGGCATCGGCCATATCTTGCATTGTTTGAGGTAAACTGTTGTTAACCTCACCCCCTTAAGTCGCGCACTAACACATCCTTCAGCAAGCACTAGGGGACCATGTGAAAAGTATTGCGTCACAGTATACTGGCGAAGACTCGGACCAGTATAACAAAGCAGCTCAAGTATTTCGGATACCCTACTGGGATTGGGCGACTGATGCAAAGCTCCCACCAGCCACAACGTCGCCAAATATCACCGTTAATGGCCCTGAAGGCAAAATGGAAGTTAGGAACCCCCTTTACAGTTTCTACTGGCCCACCTACCCCCTGAATGATAATACAGATTGGTTCCCTGGAGCCGGGGCTGGTGGAGACGCGAATATATGGAATCATACAAACACCCAAAGATTGATCAATGGCGATAATAGTGCCAGTGACCTGCAGCTGAACGTCGATGAGTTGCGAGACAAGGTCGTAAGTGTAGATTCGTAACGATGAAATCCATGCCGCGATTGAGTACCTGAAACTGATCGCTAATATTTTCAGTACGCTACTTTCACTAAAAGCTCGACTTTTGAAACAATGGCTTCGAGCCAGACTCATGGGAGCAGTTTTGAGGATCCTCATAACATGATCCACAACAGTGCTGGCGTTACAATGCAACCTCCCGAGTATTCGGCCTTCGATCCTATATTGTGAGTCACTAAATGCTACGAGGGGCTGTACCAGGCTGAACTTTCTCTAGCTGGCTTCATCATTGCAACGTAGATCGGCTCCTGGCCCTGTGGCAGGCCAAGTACTATAAGAGCACGTACCAGACCGAGCCCTCGAACTCCACCTCGGGGACATATACGGTACCCAGGGGATCGCTCGTGAACGGAGAGAACCCGCTGATGCCCTTCTACCTGGACAACCGCCGCAACTTCCACACGGGGGTCACCATGGCGTCCACCAAGGGCTTCGGCTACACGTACCCCGGGATCAACGACTGGTCGATGAGCGCCGAGGAGACGAGCCAGAACGTGACGGCCCTGGTCAAGCGGCTCTACGGCTCCGACGGCCCATCGCTGCTGAAGCGGTCCGGGCCGCAGCGGATAGGGAGGGCCTCTTGGAAGGAGTACTACGTGCAGATCGGCGTCGAACGCGCCGAGCTGGAGTGCCCATGCACCATAAGCATTCTGCTGGGGGACAAGGTCGCCGGCTCGATGGCGCTTCTGTCCATGCCGACGAGGGGTCGCGCATACTCCGAGGTGCCCCTGACTAGGCCGATCAGTCAGCTTACCTCCTGCCTGGAGGAGAAGACTGTCATCCCGTTCCTACAGCAAAATTTCAGGGTGGAGATCAGAAAGGTGCGTAGTTCCACCCCAGTTGGAGAATATGGATCGTCACCAGGGCACGAAAGTGTGCCCTGACGCCTAGCTGTAAAGCCTCGTCATTGGAGCCGGACCTCAGGGTAACGATTGCTGATATCATCGTTGCGCAGGATGACAATACGCAAATACCGGTCGAGCTAGTTCCGAGTCTGACTATAGATATGTACAGTGAAGACGTCGAGGACTCAGGTCCGGATAACTTCCCAACACATGGTATACCCCAATTTTGGCCCAATATTGGCAGGCCTGCGCGGAAGCCTTAATACAACTTCGGAGGTAGTCTGTATCTAGAGTGATATATAACGTGCTGGCCACACTCTTGCTGCAGTTCATCAGAAACCAATGACAGTACTCTTCTCAAAAGCCTCCAGGCCCATAGTCGGCATCCTCATCCACTATAAAGCCACCAGCGAAGTCATCGCCACTCTCATTGGCTGACGCCCTATCCTCCTCGTCCTCCTCCATTTGATCATCTTGCTCGTGGGCTAGATCCTCAACCACCTCCTCTCGCGCTTCCGCGTCCTCATCCACACCGGCCCAGATTCGCTGGCGCACCCTTAGGTTCATTAGGAACCTCTTCCAAGTCTTGAGCACCTCACGCGTTCTCCTCTCCTGTTCGTACTCGGCTTCTTGATCTCTGAGGCCCTCGATCGTTGCCCGCACTGCTTCTTCATGCTCAGATGCCACGACTACTCCATAGAGCACGGCAGTTCCCTTACGCCCTCTGAATGAGAAACCCGTGAGTGCGGGAGCATAGTCGATCCCGAGGGTGAATGCTGCCTGGGCGCCTAGATCATCGGCAACATACGCACCACCCTCAGGAACCATGCTGGGGACGTATATATCTAGATTGCCGAACCTGTTCTTCGGCACGACACCGTTGACGACTGGCGGGGCCTTGTAGAGGATGGTTTGATCCATAGTGAAGATGGGAGTGCCAACAGTGTCCTCCTCATTGCCATCCTCTAACTCTTCGTCGTCTCCGAAGAGATCTGACCTTTTCTTTAGTCGTTTTGGGAGGAATTTGACCGGGATCTGGTCGCCAAGTACCTCCCTTCCCATCCGATACCACTTGTCTCGCGTACGCGCTATGCGTACATCCTTTCGTCGATAGATCCTCTCCAGCGGGCCTTTACTACCGGCGCCTACTGTGCCCGCTGCTGTCGCACCCGGTACAAGGACTTCGTGCCGCCGCAGATGTCGCTCAAGCGCGTAAATGGGATGGTCCTTGAAGTCAGCCACGTTACGAGGCATTGGTTCCCTCGCCTCCGCAGCAGCCAACTCATTGCTCTCAATCTGATCCAAGTCCGTTGGATATCTGCGCCTGTACGCTTTGAGTGCTTTCCTCCACCACTTGTCACCGTTTGCTGCGGTGCTCTCGATACGCAGCTTCCGTGTCTTGGCGTTATATGCTTTCGTATAACGCCGCGTGACATCTTTGGCCGTTCCATCGGCTTCAAATCCTACAACATAGGTCATACAGTTCTCACGCTCACTAGCAGGAGGCTCGAAGAGTTGCGGCTTCCAGAATGACTGGGTGACCAAGGGGTCAACGGGCTGCCATTTCTGATGCGCCACATCAAGCACCTCGACCCAGTATACGGGAAACGGGCACTCGCGGATCTTTTTCGTAGTTTCTGATGGTTGGGCCGAGGCAATCGGTGAACTCGCCAATGGAACATTGAACGCGGTAGCATTGGGATGACCCATCCGACGGCGAATAGGGGAAGTCGTGTTCAGTGCAGGGCTGTCAAAGCTGCTGTCGTATTTTGGCCGCCTTGCGTATTGTTCTTCCAGGGATAACTTCTGCCTTGATCTCGGCGGCTTGGACATGGAAGGCCCCCCGGACGCGAATGTCAACGGCTGGAGTGAACAAACCAACCGGGCTTCAACACCAGCACTCCTGAGCAGAGCACAGTATAGTTGAGCCCCGACATCACGTGAGCCTTTAAGCTTCTTTGCCGCCTCGCGAAACTCGGGCCTTTCCATTGGTGACTCTGCATCACTTGGCATACGATACTGAGAAGACAATTAGGCTGATGTACATGAAACCGTGTTAAAGACGATCTTGTTACCTCTTTCAGGTGCTCTTCTTTATCGGCCCAGAGGGCACGACGAATCCCACGCTCCGTGATTTCGTACCGTGTCCTGAACATGATCTCAACTTTCTGCAAGCCCGTCTTGAGAGAATTCGTTTGGCCAAATTGGGTGAGATCCCGCCCCGGGTTCAAGTATTTTACCATCTCTCTGTTCAAAAGCCTGCGGAGAGTCCGTTGAACTTCTGCATCGTTACACCATCGATTCCTCTGCGCAACGTGTGACAACAAGCAGAGCAAGTGTGTCTTGTGGATCTCAATTCGGCGGTCCTTCTCTGGCCTGTTGATTGGTTTCCGCCGCTCAGCAACGTGTCGTAGCTTCTCAGTGGCACGAGCTGTCAGGTTGAGCACCAAGTCCTTGGGTTCTTCTTTTTCCGGTTCTGTGTTGTTGAAATTCAGATCTGGGAATGAGAGATCGACATCTTCGAACTGAAGGTCCTCCTCGTCATCGTTATCGTCGTCGTCGTCGTCGTCGTCGTCTTCTTCCTCCGAATCTCGGAACATGGTCTGGATAGTGGCGACGGGTATAGCCACATCCTCGAACTGTATGTCCCCATCATCCTCGTCGCTCTCAGGCGCCTCTGGGGGCGGCGGTTGGGTCTTCGGCCTCGGCTTCGAGGGTTGCGTCGGAGTGCTCTTCTCGCCAGGACGACGTCTGCGCTTCGGCGGCGGTTCCTCGGGATCAGCGATTGCGCGAACGTCAACATCGGCTAGCATCTCTCGATAGACATCCGGAGGGCCACCCCGGGCAGCAGACCCACGTGTCTGTCGTGATGCGCCTGCGCGGCTAGCTGCTACCCGTTTTCTGCCTGCCATGGCTTGGTGATGTCATACGCCTCGCTGCTAGGTCATGGACTGGTTGAGCACTTTGGCTTACGCGAAGTGCTTCAACCACCGTGTTGTAGGAGTCTACAAGTCGCACTACGCATCTCGTCGAAGGTTTCCCGTGTCGCAGAACAACCGTGGCAGTACATTAAGAGCGGGATTGCCGTGCATTGAGGTGCTGGCCTGATGCCTGCATCGCGTGGAGGGGCTCGAGGCCAAAAGTAGATGAACGCCAACTCACGTGATCTTAATTGGTTCTTGGGTTGGCGAATGCATTCCAGCCAATTTACAGCATCAGCGGCTAAATTAAGCTCTGTGACCTGGGCAGACTCTGGGAAGCATGATGCCACAGCGTCTCCATTTTCATGCATTTCTGGAAAACCATAAGATCCCCTTTGTGTAGGTCTTTGGGATGGCGGTCATGACAATTGGCAGACCTTTACCGCAGTCACGTAACTAGGCTGTAGCGGTAACAAAGTTAGTTACCCACACCAAATTTTGTAGTAATCGGGCGGTGCTGCAGCTACGAGGCAAAGTGAACAAGTCAACTTTCTGTCTGGATTCAGCGAAACAAACCCCGAAAATGAAGGACACATACACACTGCCGGCGGCAGCAGACTTCCAGTAAGCTTCAGGTGTTACGAGTGGCCAGGCTTTGGCTCTGTCCGCAGAGGGGCGGGAGACTTACAGCAAGTCTCTCAGAGCGAGCCACAGCCTCGAGACAGCCCATTGCCGCTGGTTGAGGGACTCAAGTCGCTGACCGCTCATAACACAGTGTGCATCTGCGAGATGGCGCCATGGCCGAGGCCGTAACGCCTACCATCCGCCAGGGAGGTGCCGAAGTGGCCTACGTGATGCCCAACCTGGTCCCTCCGGTCACCACGGTAGCGGCGGCGCTGGCTTACAAGGAGCGCCTGCAGAATATAGACCCGAGCGTCACCTACCTCATGACCTTGTACCTCCATGAAAGTATCACCCCAGAGGTTGTCAAGGAAGCCAAAAAGGCCGGCATCTCAGGCATCAAGGTGAGGTGAAATGCCGCCGAACATAGTCCCCAGCTGATGTGGAGGGCTAGTCTTATCCTGCTGGCGTGACTACCAACTCATCGTCCGGAGTCATCTCCTATGAGCCCTTCTTTCCCGTATTCAAGGCTATGGAGGAGGAAGGCCTGGTTCTGAACCTCCACGGCGAAGTCCCTAGTGACCGCAAGGGCATCACTGTTTTGAACGCAGAAGCCAGCTTTCTGCCTACGCTGCAGGATTTGCACCGCAGATTCCCCAAACTACGAATTGTAAGCTCAGACCAAACCATGGCACCTTTATCTCCTGTCCATCTGGAGAAGCACGGTCTGGTTGGCCTTCCGGACCCTCGCTCGGAGAAGAGCTATGCTGTCATTTTCATACCGAGACTTTCTGGTCGGGCTCTTTTTCACGAAGCGAGCCAATCAAAGTCAGGGAAAGTGCCCGACTAACAACGACTTAGGTTCTTGAGCACTGCACCACTGCGGATGCGGTTGCGGCTGTGAGATCCTGCGGTGACACGGTTGTCGGTACCATTACTGCTCACCATCTGTCTCTCCTCGTCGACGACTGGGCCGGCAACGCTCTGTGCTTCTGCAAGCCTGTTGCGAAGACGCCTGCGGATCGCCGTGGTCTCCTGGAGGCTGCCGTCAACAGCAGAGGGAAGTTCTTCCTCGGCACTGACTCCGCGCCCCATGACGTCTCCGCTAAGAAGGGCAGTAAGGCAGCTGCCGGCGTATTCACCCAGCCTTATGCCTGCCAGTATGTCTTGGCGGCTCTGGAAGATGCCATCGAGCGTGGCGATATCAAGGACGAAGACGTGACTGAAGAGTTCCTGCGTGGCTTCCTGGGCGAGTGGGGACGCAAATTCTATGGAATTGCGGAGAGCAACCGGAAAATTGTGTTAAAGAAGGGTGGTGAGGTCATTGTCGAATCGATCAAGGGTGCTGGTGTGGAGGTCATCCCATTCAGATCAGGGGAACCCACGTGGAGTGTGGAATGGCAGTGACATCTACGACTCACACCGTCGTCTACCTGAAACGGAGATACAAGTCTCTCGGGGCGTGAGGTCTAGGGGTATACTATCTGTATTCTCACGAACGTGGCTGAGCCCAACCGTCTGCGCGGTTCCTGCATACCGGATCGGTGCCCCGGTTTTCCAGTTCACGCAATGTGCTACCCATGCTGTAGTATAGCTCTGGTGAACCCCTGTCCTGTTTCTTTGGTTGCCGCACCGCTGCACAGCCTCCTTCTAGGCAGTCACTGAAAGTCTCAGGAAGCTGTATTCGATAGCTCTGAACTGATAATGTGCCCCGTGATCGTAGGCGTCGGCAATCCGCGTCAGACTGCAGGCTTACCTGGTGTGATTCAGACGTAAGCCAAGTGGCTGAGCTCCAGGTTGAAGGTTACATCTTCAGGAAGCGATGATGATGATGATGATGCTGCTGCTGCTGCTGAGATCTACAGGCACCAAAGTACCGAGCTCGTACATCGAAACCGTCAGGCCATACGTACATGCCGATGAACTTTGATGCGTCTGCATATGTAGCCGGCAAGACGTCACGGGTACTTAGTTACCGAGTGGCCAACCCTCCAAGTTGCTGCACGCACATGTGTGTAGTTGCTTTAGTCAGGAGTCGGACCAGACGTCGCAGACTGCCGGCCAGCCGTTTCTGCAGTGGGTTTCACTGGCAGACGCTAGCGCGAGGGCGCTAGCCTTAGCACTACGTAGTAGCACTGGATGGCGGGGGCTGAACCGACTGATCTTTTAGATAGCGCTGGCGTCCGAGCCCAACAGAAACGCGGTTTAGTCTGTACCAGCGATTCATGGAGAAAAGCCCCCCTTTCTTCCCATGGAAAAGCCATCGGGTACTATGGCGCAGCGGGAGGTTTACCTCAGGCGCGTCCCGACCCCTTATCTACCGCAGATACTCGACGAATTTCACAGAAATGGCCGCACCTGGCAACAATACGCCCGACGCCGCACGTGTGCAGATGCAAAGCCAGTTACTGCCGGGTTCAAGCCGGCCAGAGATTCCCGGCCAAAGTGGTGCTGCCCCTCGGCCGCAGGTACGTACATGGGACGGGCTCCCAGGTTCCCCTCGTGGTGGGCCCCAATAATGTGCGATAAGCCAAAATCGGCCAGGGGTTCAAGTCCACAGATTGCCATACAGAGGGGAGTCGGGAGATTGTGTGACCACTTGGCACGCCTCCCGACCTCCGAGAAGCAGCCCTGGAGGCCGGATATTGAGGTTCGCCTGCTGCGTTTGCTATGCCCACAAGGGCAGCCAAACCCAGCAGCCCAGGGGAGTCGGCGCGGGCTGACGGGGCGAGACATGTAGCCAGGCGGCGAAGCCAGACGAGGCAGGCTTACAGTACGTGCTGTCTACGGCGGGCTGGTGGCTCTGGTCGCTCTGGTGGCTCTGGGTGTCCAAGGTTGTCTGGGTCCAGGACGGAGGACTATGGAGAGTGGTTGTAATTAGGAGACAGGACTTGCAACGGTCGACCTAACTTTTATTTACATAATACTGCCGACCCTCGAGTAGGCGCTCATTCTCTCTCTCACGCGCTCTCCTCTAACGTTAGTCGTAGTGGTAGTAGCCTGCTCATTTCAAATACTCGTTCCCTCCCTTTTCCGCAATTAGTTTCCGCTCCAATCTCTCTCTCTCACCTCTTCTCTTCTCTTCCCTCTCCGTCTCTCTTCCTCCCTCTGCCTATCGCCACTCCTCATCCTCCTCCTTGCTTGCCACTGCGCCATATCATATCATACAAGTTGGTTCTTTAATTTTTTTTGGGTACGGTAAGTCGCAGACCATCACCCCTCATTCATGCGCCTGTTGATCCCCACCGAATCCATGGGACGTGTGCTGGGCATTGGAGGGTTTCTCTTGAGACCAGATGCAGCAACCGCCCAAGAGGGAATGAATTGGCGGTGAAGTGCACCTCGTCAGATCCCTCTTTGCATCTGGCGGGCGGCGGCCAAGGCTAAGCACTGACTGACGTCCTTGCCTCCCACAGCCTTTTCCTTCTCTCTCTCTTTTTTTCTCATACTCGAGATACTCACACCACAACCCAGAGAAAACACGACGAGACGAACGGATCCTCTTCCTCCTTCGCAACGTCAGTCACCATGGCCGCCCGTCCTCAGAACATCGGCATCAAGGCCATTGAACTCTACTTCCCTAGCCAGGTCAGTACGGCCCGTCCCACGCAGCCCGTTCCGGCCCTCGTGCCCGCGTTGCTTTTTTTCCCCTCTTCTCCCTGCTTCTGTCGTGTGCTGCTTCCATTTTATTTTTCTAAATTTCACCCCTCACACCCCTCGCACCCCTCTACTGCAGGTTTCGCAATGCGTGCCCCTCATTCTCCGACACCGCAATGGACCCTGACTGACTTTGCCCCACGTGTAGTATGTCGAGCAGTCCGAGCTTGAGAAGCACGATGGCGTGAGCGCCGGAAAGTACACAATCGGTCTTGGCCAGACTAAGATGACCTTCTGTGACGACCGAGAGGGTGTGTAGACCCCCTTCCCCTCCCCCCAGGCTTTGTCTGATCTTTGTCACCGCGGAGCCACAACTAACCGCTGCCGCCTCCCCCACCAGACATCTACTCGCTCGCCCTGACCGCCGTCTCCAAGTTGATCAAGAACTACAATATCGACGTCAACAATGTCGGCCGCCTCGAGGTCGGTACCGAGACCATCCTGGACAAGTCCAAGTCGGTCAAGTCCGTCTTGATGCAGCTGTTTGGCGACAACGCCAACGTCGAGGGTGTTGATACCGTCAACGCCTGCTACGGCGGCACCAACGCCATGTTCAACAGCGTCAACTGGGTCGAGTCGTCGGCCTGGGACGGCAGAGACGCCATCGTCGTTGCTGGCGACATTGCTCTGTACGCCAAGGGCAATGCCAGACCCACCGGTGGTGTTGGTTGCGTTGCCATGCTCGTCGGGCCCGACGCTCCCATTGTCGTTGAGCCCGGCATGCGTGGAACCTACATGGAGCACGTCTACGACTTCTACAAGCCCGATCTGACCAGCGAGTACCCCTACGTCGATGGCCACTACTCCGTCAACTGCTACTCAAAGGCCCTGGACGCCGCCTACCGCGCATACTGCAAGCGTGAGGCCCAGCTGTCCAAGGCCGCAGGCAACGGCCACGCCAACGGCAATGGCGCTGCCACCGAGGGCCCTGTCAAGACCCCCCTCGACCGCTTCGACTACCTGGCCTTCCACTCGCCTACCTGCAAGGTCGTCCAGAAGTCGTACGCCCGTCTTCTGTACCACGACTACCTCGCCGACCCCGAGAGCTCTGCTTTCACCGAGGTCCCCGCCGAGGTGCGTGATATGCCCTACGAGAAGTCGCTCACCGACAAGGTCGTCGAGAAGACCTTCATGGCCCTCACCAAGAAGCGCTTCGCCGAGCGCGTGTCGCCTGCCATCCAGGTCGCCACCATGTGCGGAAACATGTACTGCGCCAGCGTGTGGAGCGGTCTCTCCAGCATCATCGCCCATGTCGACAGCGCCACCCTCCAGGGCAAGCGCATCGGTCTTTTCAGTTACGGCTCTGGCTTGGCTGCCAGTTTCTTTTCGCTCCGCATCAACGGCAGCACTGAGCAGATCTCCAAGGTTTTGGACATCCCCAACAAGCTGGCTGCCCGCCGGGCACTGACCCCTGCGCAATACGAGGAGGTAAGCATACCCATATCCACCTGTCCACAGCCCACATGGCAGCATTGCTAACAACCCCTTCAGTTCTGTGACCTGCGTCACCAGGCCCACCTCCAGAAGGACTACACCCCCAAGGGTGACGTTTCGACCATTGCCCCCGGCACTTACTACCTCGAGAAGGTTGATGCCATGTTCAAGCGAACCTACGCCATCAAGGAATAGATACAAAGCAGAAAAAAAAAGTGAAAAGAAAAGAGAATATGGGTATATCTGCCGTCATCGAGATTTGTTGGCCATAGAACGAGCATTGCGGTGTTTGTTTAGAGGTCTTCTGCCTTTCGACCCCGCGTCATATCAACATGACGTGGTATCACAATGTTTTGCGCGCTTGAAGCGAAATACCATACAGCGGAGGGCAAAGTCAGTGAGATAGAGAGAAGAGAGGAGACACGAGGCTCGGAACTAATGATGTATATACCGGGAGGCTTCCATACTATGACGCCTTGCTTAATACAATGATAGATATTGACGATTAAATGTTGCAAAGTCATGATATGCTTGTGGACATGTGATGGCTGCCGCCATGTAGCTCTACGCTTGATTGTTTCTTATTCGTTGTTTGCTACACTACGGCGAAGCGTACTTGTATCCGTACTTCTCCTTGCTCTCCTTGAGGAAGGCCCAGCTCGCGTCGCTCTTCTTCTTGGCCTCGGGGTCGGCCTCGAGCGTCTCGGCCAGCTTGGCGTTGCTGAGGGCGCTGACGTTGGGCACGGCGAAGCCGCGCTGGACCGCGGGCCGCTGCATGCAGCGGTCGAGCCACGCGCGCACGCTGGGGAACTGCGCCAGGTCCAGCCCCGAGAAGGTCGCGATGTTGGCCCACCCCAGCAGGCTGATGTCGGCGATGCTGTACCGGCCGCGGCCCGGCCCCGCCACGTAGTCGCGCTCCCGCAGCCGCGCGTCCAGGATCCCGTACAGCCGCTCCGACTCGCCCACGTACCGCTGCGTCGCGTAGGGGATCTTCTCGGCCGCGAACTTGAGGAAGTGGTTGGCCTGGCTATGGAGGGGGGGATGTCCCGTCAGCGTCGGGTGCTTTAAGAGCAGGAGATGGAGAAAGGGGGATCATGTAGAACGTAAGGGGGGCGAGAGCGGGGGAGGGGGAGGGACTCCCGTTGCCTGGGCTACCCCCCTGGGAAGGATTATATATATAGTAGAAACTCACCCCTGCATGGGGCCGAGGCCACCGTGCTGCCAGCCGATCCACTGCTCACACACGGAGTAGTCGTCCGAGTCGACGGGGAAGCTAAAGCGGTGCTCGCGGTCGTAGACGCGGGCCAGGTAGCCGAGGATGGCGATGCCCTCGAAGACGGCGAAGCCGCCGCGCTCGTGGTCGACGATGGCCGGGATGCGCCCGTTGGGGCAGATGGCCGTGTACCACGGCTGCTTCTGCGTGTTCTTCATGATGTTGATGGCCTGCCACGTGTACTCGAGCCCGTACGCCTCCTTCAGCTCCTCGAGCAGGATGCTGGCCTTGTACCCGTTGGGCGTGCCTGCGTGCCGATTGGGGCCCGTGTTAGTCACACGTCGAGCGAGTGAAAAGAGTTCACGCGCGGACGCGCGGACGTACCAAGGGTCAGAAGCTCGATGCCCTTGTTGGCAATGAGTCCAGTGGGTTCCGACATCTCGTCGTCTGGGGCCGGTGCTTGCGACTGCGGCGGCTGCTGTAGCTTTGGGGAAGCGGTAGAGAAAGAAGCGGGCTTGGGGACCGAGGATAGCTTCGCTCGCGGGTTGACAGTCGTTTCGATACGATTCGTAATTCCAATGGCCGGGGTCTTGGTGCAGAATCTTTCAACTGGTGAAGCACTTCTAGTCGAACAATGAAGAAACCTGGCGGCGGGGGTGGTGGAAGTCAAGGGTCTTATATGCTTATGCAGCATTATACTACGACGAATAGGACTCGGCACCATGGTGGGGGAGGAGGGGGGGAAATGCTTTCTTTCTTGTCTGTTCCCTACATGAAAGCTGCCGCGAGCTCGGTATTTCCCTTCTACCTCGTCACGTAAGCGGCAGAAACGTCATGTACAATGCGGGTCTAGGGCGCGCATGGGTTTGATTTCAAATCAAGACCCTCGCGGGCCCAGGGTCGCGCGGATGCACTGTTCACGAGAGAGACACATTGGTGGAGCCCCTCCAGAACACGCCGACCGGGCTCGGTGTAGACGTCAGCGATACCGTTATTGGTCTGCCTGCAGGGGTTACGGAGCTAGCCGCTTGATCTAAACTCCGGGGCCATCCATATCGATAGCAGGAGCCAAAGAAAAGAGAAATCAACCCAGCTGTAGCCTCTCAAGCCCTTGACGTTACAGCCACACTCCAGAGTAGTCGAAAAGACTTATCCAGATATTAGGATAGATAGAAATCGCTAGGGGTATCACCGTTGCTTGAGCGTGGTTTATAGGTTAGAAATGCTGCATGTTCCACTACGACATAACACTATCTTCGCCCCATTTCTAACAAGCAGACGTTGTAGGTGCTTGTCGCATTTGCTACAAACCCTTTAAGCAAGTACTGCTAACCTAAGTCATGTACCTTGGGCAGAGGTGATTTTTGGCCATGAATTGATCGTCTTCCAGCGCAAATCCCCAGGCATCCTAGTCGAGATTGTCTCTGCTGTCTATGGAGCGAGATGCTGGCGTCTGGGAGCTTGCTTTGAAATGACTGGACCAAACGGTCAAGACAGCAAGAAAATGTTGAAGTCATGCCGGCCCAGCTGCAGCTGTTCTGGCTGCCTGATTAACATTACAGCAATGCGGATTTAATGGCAAAACCCTTTCTCTAAGATAAACCTGAGTAATGTACACATATAAAACCCATTACGTCTACCTATTTACGGAACACAGGGGAGCATGATAGAATCGTCGACTTGATTTAATCAAAGAAAAGTATATAACGCAGATTATCTTGCCTGTTTAAATATAACTCTCTTCTGTCACCTCTCAGAGAACGAAGGTACGCCGACTTTTGATGCATCCAAAACCACCCCTTGCGCGACGAGTCTGTTCCTCAGTGCAACATACGGCACGTCCTGAAGAGCGCAATCATGCGAGATCGCTATGTCAGCGGCATTGGCACATGCCTGTCCGATTGCGTAACACTGATGCTCAAGTCTCACTGCCCCTGTCTCGGGTGGTTAGCACATCCTGTCTATGCATGACCGATTATGGGAGATATCGTCACGAACCATAACCAACGTGCGAAGAGCTTGGGCACGTTGCGGTGATGAAGTTGGTAGCCTCGGCCCTGCGAGGGACCAATGCTCTTTACGCAACTCCAAAAGGGCGCCACCTGTGACCGTCCTTGAAGATGAAGCCCTCGTTATGCACTCTGCCGTCACGTAGTATCCGACGCACGCTATGTGTGTCTGTCGGGCCAGAACGCGGCTGCCACCGGATCTGGCACGGGGTCATCTCTAGAAGATCTGTCGACAGTGCACCTTCAGAACCAATCAAGTCGGTCTTATGGTTCGGCAGTCTTTGCCTTGGACAGTACACGTGTCCTCCAGCTGCTAGAAATCGCCGATGCAACTCGTAGTGCGCTGGGTTATAACCTTGGGGTTTTGTAAAGGGAACTCGGTTCTCTGGATTGTCCGTGATCGGCAGGCGATACGAATATGATTGCAGATGCAGGTCGCCAGACCCAGGAGTGCCAAATGGCTCGTCCGAGATACCGTACAAAAGTCCGCTTGATGGATCGCCAGGGGTGACATATGGGTCAATATCGACCTCAATTTGTCGGATAAGAGTTTCATCCCGAACTCCTGCCAGTGATTCATTGTACTTAGACGAGGGTTCTCGGCCTCGCACCCATGAGACGCCTACTGCAGCTAGTAGGTCGCCTTCGTATGAAGCGTCAACGAAGATTCTTCCCGTTACCGATACACCGTTCCTTAGCGATGGTTTTGATAGTGCTCCCTGCCTTTTCCACGGCTTTCGATTCTGCTAACGGTAACTTGAAAATAGTAATAAGACGGTGTTCAGCAAGCCACTCTGCAATAACTTTTTCAGCAACCTTGGATTCGAACCGCCGTACTTCAGGGTCTTTGAGCTTCTTTGCTACAACCTCATGCAAGTGGCCTAATCGGTTGTAATGTCTGCTGATCCTCTCGTGCAACTCAAGGTTCAGGCCGCCAAGGGTTGTGCTGTTCTGGAATTCATCTTGATTATCAATATCCGTGGCACCCAGTCCATTGATCTGAATTCCACCGATGTGGTCGTGTGCGGACACAAGAGCCACAGATCGGTTGAGACGGGCTGCTTGGATGGCTGTGGCGACGGCACCGGAAGTCGAGCCGTACACGACAATGTCAAAGGCTTCAACCGGTCTCATGGCGGCGCTCACTCCTATATGATCGAAGAGAGCAAAAAGCCAAATCAGTCCAGTTGATGCATAGACGAAATATATGACAACTTGCTTGCTCTGCTTTGACACCAGTAGCTATTCGTCTTCCGTGGCCGGCATCGGCATCTGCGCGGGTGACTCCCGAGGAAGAATATTCATCAATTTGAAAAATTTCGGCAAAGTGGGAACGCCAGCCAGGCCCGGTGATACAGCATACGTTAAGACGAGCAATCGACAGAAATGAGTGTCGGCCGAGTTCATGTCTAGTTGTCTAGGTAAACGGTATCATCTGGTGGTCTCCCTCCACCGGATATCCGGCACTAGCTCTTAGCCTATGCGCTTAATTGCCTGATCTGTGTGGATGGATCAGATCAATCCTTCGGCTACTGGCTGGCTACTGAGGAAACTTACCAAGTAGGTAAGTTACCCCATGGACCATGGATACACAAGTGGGTTGGTTACCCCATGGGGCACACGAGTAGGCAAGAGATCGGGACCAGACCCGACAACCATCCGAATTATTAAGACTGCCTTGCTTCGTGGTTTCAATATGCTTGTGATATGCCACTCATCGGTTCCAACATTTCATGAATTTTTGATTTTATAGCACCAATCAGTATGGCAGGCGGTGGTAACGTGTTCACCAACAAGGCAGCTTTTGCTTCAGCAAGCCCACGACTGATGTTCTATTGCTTGATCTACGCCATGGGAAGTATCTTTTTTTGGATATGACGGAGCTTCGTTCGGCGGCGTGCAAGCTTTCGACCCTTTTCTCAGGCGGTTCGGTGTCTTTAACGAAAGCAGGAAGACATACACTCTACCCAGTGCCACCGCGTCTGTAATGAACAGCCTTCCGCTCCTCGGGAAATTATCCGGGACCGTCATTGTAGGCCCTAACACCGAGAAGCTGGGCCATAAGTGGACGATGTTTGTCACATGCTGTATCCAAATCATTGGTGCTATCAGTACGTTTGCAGTCACAAGAAGCATACGCATTACCGAGACCTGACTGCTCTTCCAGTTCAAGTAACTAGCCACAATGTGCCGCAATTCACGATTGGGTGTTTCCTTGTTAATCTTGTTGTAGCCCTGGTCGAGAACGTTGTCCCAACTTACCAGTCAGAGATCGCACCCGCGCCCCTGCGCGGTTTCTTCGTCGGATCTATTCAGCTCTGTCTTTCCTTTGGCTCTCTTATTGCAGGCGTGGTCAACGAAGCCATGTCGTCAAAATTCGATGACATGGGCTGGCGGGTATCCACAGCGTTGCAGGCCTTGCCCGCCGTCGTCATCATCTGTCTGTTTTACTTCACTCCTAACTCACCCAGATGGCTGGTCTTCAATGACCGCTCTGATGAAGCCCTCGCGATACTGAAAAGAGTCCGCGCGAAGAGAGACAGAGATCTTGGAATCCCTGAACTCGAGATTGCCGCTATGAGAAAAGATGGCTCCTCTGGGAAAAGGGAGAAGGGGCCCTGGATTGATTTAATCAAAGGTACTAACAGACGACGTCTTGCGTAAGCCAAAACTCCCCTACTAGTAACATAGAGACATTAATGCTGAGCTATTGCCTAGTATTGCCTGTGGCATCATGTCGTTCCAACAACTTACGGGCGTTACGTTCAGCTCATCTTACGGGCCTACTTTTTACAAGTCTGTCGGCTTGGGTGCCAATGCTTTTGTCTATGCTGTTAGTACCTTACCCGCAGGACGCACATACTCACGTCCGTTACGCTGACTGAGGTTGGAACAGGTCATCAACAATGCCGTGTCGGTTGTGACCGCCTTGATGGTCATGATTCTAATGGACACGTTCGGTCGCCGTACACTTTGCTTTCACAGAGGCTGGTCTCAGGGAGCCTTCCAATATCGCTAGCTACCCTCGGTAGGAAGTCAAACCCAACCATGAGCGACAGCAATGGTGTCGTCGCAGGCATGATTCTCTATAACGCAATTCTTTACATGACTTTGGGCCCCGGAGCGTATATCACTGTTGCCGAGATCGGCACACAAACCCTTCGTGAGAAGACCATGGCAGTCTCCACCGCGGTAAACGGTGTCGTTGGATTCGTCGTTGTTTTCGTTACACCGTACCTCCTAACGGAAATTGGGGCTGGTCTTGGGTATATCTGGGGCGGCTTTGCCTTTCTTTGTTCTATTTGGGTGTGGTTTGTCATGCCCGAGCTCAAGGTATATTCAAGCATTTTATTCACAGTGCGTGGCACTAACGATGGAACTCTTGGTAGGGGCGAAGTTTGGAAGAGATTGAGCAATTATTTGAAAATAAAATGCCAGCATGGAGGTTCCATAAACACGAAACAGAAGGGCTCAGTCACGATTTGGCCGCTTTAGAAAGTGGAAAGGCTACGGCAAAACAGCTGGAGGAAATTGAGGTGGCAGCCAAGGTTGACGATGTTTGACAATGTGGTCGAAGACTAGGTTTGTTTTTCAGGAAGTGCATGTAGCATTGACAGGCCATATTCATGATGCGACCAATTACTGTGAGCTTCCGAGGCGGCAGGTTTGCACACATCGGTGACAGTTCTTGCTGGGTCTCCAGTATTGCGTACACTCGATGTGAGTTGGAAGATCCTGAAGCATAAATAAAGGTACAAGACCGTGCGAAAGCCTTGTATGTGTGGCTGGAGCGCATTCGTGTCCATCTACAATGTGGGGGAGGTATCACTGCGTTCTGGCATGGATTCTGTGGAAAAGGTAGACATCACCGAATATAAACACTTATAAATTAGAGTTGCCACAACTGTATTGCTCTGGTTCCTTTCTATCTTTCATTTTGCCAAGAGGCTTTGGCTATAGGGTCTTTGAACCCTCCGGTACAAAATTTCACCACCTGCGTAGATATAGAAGAACAACCCAAGGACAACTTGCGACATAATGGCATGGCAAACCGTCCTAAACCCCTGAGTCGTCCTGTACGACAGACTCAGAGCTCTGGTAAGTTGACCATGCGTCGCAATTATCGGATAGAGTGTCGTAGTCAATCAGCGCACTGATCTCGCTTTCCCTCTCAATGAACTGCAGGGCAAACCCTTCGCTGGTGTGCCAACCAATATGGCAGTGCATAATCCAAGCGCCGGGGTTATCAGTCTGGAAGGCAATGACCAAGTAGCCGTTTCCAGGGAGCATGGCAGTGTCTCTCCGGGGTGGGTTATCTAGGTTGAGAGTAACGGTTGAACTGTTGTAAGTACCAGAACCTTGCGCGAGGACAAGGTAATCGTGGCCGTGTAGGTGGATAGGGTGAGGGACAGAGAAGGTCGTCTCGATGACCATATAAACCCATTCATCGGCGTTCGGAAGCTTAATAACGGCGTCTGAGGTGTCGAAAGTGCTCGTATTGTCGTAGATTTGCAACAATGTCGGATCAGACCATTCGAGTACCATGGTAGTGGAGTTTAGATACCATCGGAAAAGGTCCTCGTCGTTGAAACCAACGGTGACGCCCTCGGACCCCGTGTCCTGGATTGAGGTAGCTGTTTTTGAGATGTACGGGACGAGATCCGAGACGTCCATATCCTCGCAACTCTCAACATAACTACTCGTCCTCGACGTGGTCGGAGTCGTGGTCGAGCTGCCGTAATACACAATGCCCTTGATATTGTCCGCGTTATCATTCTCGCTACACGCAGATTGCGGGATGGCACGTATCCAGAAGCTATCAGCAACAGCTGCTTGATTTGCCGTGATAATCACATCATATCGTTGACCTTGTAAACGCGTATTAGCCCGAGCTCTAGAATTAATGCCTTTGAAAAACACTTACCCATCCCAATGCTGATTATGTCAGTGGTGAAAGGCTCAATGGGCACCAAGTCCGTCGCAATGACTGTGAGGGTATGGTTGTCAACCATGAACTTAAAGTGAGAGTCCACAGCAGCGTTCACAAGCCGCAGCCTGTACGACGAGTCTTCCGTGAGTGAAACATTGAAACGGTATCCCGTCACGTTGTCGTCGTCATCAGTCCATATGTTCGTGCCGTTGATAAGACCAGTATCCAGAGTCGGAGGACCACTGGACTCAGCGTCTATATATAGCTCGTCGACCGTGGAATGATCCCAGTCGTTAAGGAACAGCATCCCTAAATCCTCGTCGTAATCAGACGTGGCAGGGCCGTTGATGATGATACCGCCAAAAACGCCTTCCCAGGCCTGCAAGGCCCAATGCGAGTGGTACCAAGTTGACCCATATTGGACTGCTCTCCAAGTGTAGGTGATGGAAGATCCTGGGGGAGTGGGGCACTGCGTGATAGATGATACACCATCTTCCTGGTTGGTGTAGTTCTGTCGGATACCATGGAAATGGATGCTTGTGCCGTTGGTAGAGGAGGAGATGGCGTTGGTCACGTGAACAACGACAGTGTCACCTGGAATTCGATGATTAACCCGAGGGCTTCCCAAGAAAATAAAGTGGTAGGCTACTCACCCCAATCTGCAAAAATCGTGGGACCTGGGATGCTGCCGTTAATGGCCTGCACATAGCGTTCCACTCCATCTGGGGCGGCGGTAGTCTCCGTGAGCTCGAACCAGTATTCACGTGTAACTCCAGTGTCTGGAGCCTCGCTGGTATAGTCGGTGTCGATAGAGTAGTCGCACCACTCGGATCGAGTGTCTGCTGTGTTGCCGGAACAGGTGGCACGTGGGAGTAGTTGAGGCTCTGATAGAAGAGAAGGAAAGGCAGCCGAGAGGCCAAAAAGTGAGAACGCAACGAGTGACAACATGTTAAAAACTGAAGCAGATCCCGGAAAACATAGAGCTATTGGATGCAATGAGAGTTGGTCCAACTGGATACTCTTCTTGATTCACGGCGAGAGTCGTAGAATTTGTATCTCGTGAAGAACACTGCTTGGCCCATGGGCTGTAGCATGGCATACGCCTATCCATTCCTGGTAAAGTCTTGTCACCGCTTTTGATCTACCTGTGCCTACGTGAGCCTCTTCGTTGTCCAACACCGGGTCCCAATAGTGTACAGGCCAGTTGAGCCAGTGTATGCGAGTACTATGAAAGGGGGACCTACGTAAGTTATCATGGGCGACCCTGCTCAAACCCGAATCGGGACGGTAGGTCATTCGCACTCGGACCCAATTATAGTAATCAAGCGGGCATGCCTGTGAAGTGTACCCAAATACCAATCGGACGTACATGACTTGACCAAGCGTTGTTGAATAGTATCAGCCGCTAGCGCGACACTTACACGGGCTGGCGATCCGCATCTCTCGCCGGGCTGTCCGCGTCACCAGGGCATGTCGACTATGCCATTCTCATCTGATCTCTTTTTGGTAGCGTTATTACGTGCACTTGTACGTAGGCAAAAGGCAGTGCTATGTAGATCACGAATATAGCAAGATCTGCGTCACTAGCGCACGTTTTCGGCATTGCCAGACCCACAGTCCGTGCCAAGAAATTTTTACCCCTAGATTTGACCACTTGTTAGTCCTTTAGTAAGAGCAGCAATAAGATGAACTCACTCTTGTTATACTTCTCAACTTTCCTGGGTGGCTCCTGTTAGGCGGCACCGAAACTTCTGCATCAGACTTGATGTTCATGTCATGAGGCTGATGGCTTGGGAATTCTCTTGTGGGCACAATTGTCACAGTGTAGGACGCGTTTCACGGAGGTGATCTTGTTTTCGAGGGATGTAGGGTGCCGGCTGTCGCGCAAGAGCAAATCGACCACTAGCGGGAGAGCGGCACATAGCTTAGCCGAAAGCTTGGTCAGAACCACTGGGTTACGTGGACAAGGGGGTCTGAGAATAACTAGTTAGCATGACTGAGATAATTATCATGTTGATAGTACTCTATCTTAAGAGGCAGGGATCGCCCCGGATCCACTTGTGTAGCCCAGCTGCTGGCTCAGGTACTGATCGGGGTGTTATAACTAAGCAACAACTAGACTGCTGTTTTGCTGCGGGCACGTTGGTCTTCGTAACACCTCGGTTCCTAGGTACCGGAACTCGTCCTTGGAATTCTTATTTTAGAAGAAATAAGACCACTATCTTGCGTACATCCCTGACGAGCTGACCACCTCCCACTTAATAGTACTCTTGGGTTCCAGGCGCCTGGACCGTTGACGACTGGGGGGTTCCACCCAGCCATGGCCGCCAGTCACAGACGCCTTCCTGATAAAAGCAGACAGTGCCGTAGATCAGACGGTCGTACATCCTTTGATTTCTTCGGGGACAAGTGTTATCTACTATTTTGATATCATTGTCACTTCTGGATACATCGACCCTCCCGCCTAGTTTGACCTTGGCTTTCCCGTCATGCTGTTCCGCAGCCTTCTCACAGCGCTGCCTTGTGCAGCGGCAGTGCTGTCTGAACCGCTGCAGCCTCGTGCTATGACCGACTTCATGATCTACGCCTATGGCCCATCAGCCATCGGTGGCTTTCCAATCTTTGCCGAGAACAGTAGGTGAACTGAAGTGTCCTCGGCAGTGTTCTGCATAGCTGACGCGCGCAACACTAGATCTGGCCTTCGTGACATCTAGAACGCCCTCTGCCTTCAACTCCTCTATGCACAATGTTACTTGTGGGTGTCTCTTCCCGTAGCACTGCATCGCAGTCGACAATGCGAGAGCTGATCTTAATGTGAACAGTCGACTCTCTGACAACCCACGGCAATTTCACCGCGACCCAGTTTGACAACGGCGAGAGTTTGTTCTACATCCCAACGACTTCGGGCCAGGTTGGGTTTACAAATAGCACCAACTCTTCCGTCATCACCACTGGGTTCGGGTTCTATGGGCATACCATCTACGTCGATATTGACGACACGCTTGAAACCCAGTGGTTTGCCCAGTCAACCAGCGAGGATGACATCTGGGCACTTATCTGGGGCAACACGACGGCCGATGCAATTCCTGTTTCTCTTAGAACCGTCGCGCCCTCTTAGGCTAAGTCCTGACAGAGAAGGTGAAGAATCACGAAGTTCTAACCTAGCGGATGGGTCTTACTTCTCATTTTAACGCCTTTGCCTTTTGGGCGGAATTTGACTGGAAAAATTACTGTACTAGATGAGAATTTGCGGAACCGGGACTTGGTTCTAGTATCATAGATATGTTTGTCTGAATGCTGTACAATATGACTTTCCGGGCAACTTGTGACTGCAACACGTGTTTCTGCATTTGTCAGGAAGTTTTATATAGAATCTGAAGAACTGATTGTTACCAAACAACTGTACAAACTCTGTCACGAGATTTGGGTTTGTACTTCTCACCACATTCGGGCTTCTCGGAGGGCTTTCCGTTGACACTGATAAAAAAAAAGTAAACTTGTTACCAAAATTTATTAGGGTATCAGCAACTTATCTGCAATGCCTTTCTAGCGCTCTTAGGGCTATGAAAGCAAGATTCAGTATGTACCTCCGATTCTATCTGACCTACCATGGATCTGATAGATGTACAGTGAACGGGAGATGCGCCCCCATCGACAAGTCTACCTGGGCGAAAAATGTCTTCTTGCTCGGAACTTTTGCCACTTGAACCACTCCACTGGATAAGTTACCAGGATGTTTGCGAGTTTATACAAGTCTCTGTTCCTAACCATTCCCTTTTGTCGGCACCGTTTCTAAATAGAAGCAACTTGCAGCATCGATCATGCAACGTGAATTTTCCTAAATAGGCAATATGAATAACTATCCTTACGTAGGTCTGCACTGTAGCGTTTGGCAGTTGGCGAGCTGGGAATTTGAGCTGAGGTTCGCTCAGCTGATGTTCTAGCATTTCCAGTAATATCTCAGGCTATATTAATCGCAAAGAAGTCAATTTCTCGAGAGTCGACAAGAACATAAGAGGGGCCTGTGTTAGGCGGACTATACCCCGAACAGAAGTGACTATAGGAGTGGTCTGTGCTCCGTGGTACAAACGGAGGTCTCAGTTGCAGGAGCTAGACATGCAGGTATGCTTTATCTGGACATCACACACCCCTACAGGACCGCTAGCAAGACGCGTTAGCTTCAGGTACGGTGTGCCCAGCTTGCTTGGCTTCAACGTAGATTGTTTAGCAATCCCAAACTCCACAGGTTCAGGTTGCCGGCCCGTTCAAGCTTGTAACAAGGAAAAGAGACAACAAATATTCCTTGTACACACCCTTAGAACACCCAAGCTTACCTAGGTAAGCAGCAATCAACACGCTTGCCATGCATCGTAACCCAAGTCCGGCATATTTGTAAACAAGATAGCAATTCTGCCCCGGTAAAAGAGGTCCCGCTGCTCAGGTCACAGCAAAGCATTACGATGGTATTCACTTGAGCAAGAAGAGCGAACAGATCTCAACTCCGGAATGGCATTCACTAATCCGCATCCGAGACCGTCAAGTCATCCCCACAAAGCTCAATATTTCTTATTTCATTATACAACATTTCACTCATGCGGTAAATCAGAAGTCATCATACACAGTCGGCCTAGTCCGATACAGAAGAAAGCCACCAGTCGGGAAAAAAAACTTTTCGAGGTCCTGAAGCATCCTGTTTCCTGCAGCCCATGCACGACAAACTAGAGCACCATTCATTTGCCCTTCTTGCCTGTTGCCTATGAACAGAAATCCACCTTACCGTCATCAGTAGCCTCCGGCAGCGCCGCCTCGGCGATAATCGTCGCGAGGGTAGCCTCCATCCCGTGGTCCATAGCCACCGTCACGAGGTGGAAAGTCGCGGGGCGGGCGGTCGTAGGCTGGTCGGTCATACGGAGGCCGGCCGCCGCCGTTCACATACGGATCAGGAGGGCCGTAATCGCGGCGGTACGGGTCATCGTATCTTCCACCTCTAGGTGGAGGGTAGTCATCCATAGGGGGGCCTCTACCACGAGGAGGTGAACGACCATAGCCACGGTCCTCATAATAGGGGTCCCGGCCGCGAGGGCTGCGCTCACGGTAGCCACCGCGGAAATCCTCACGGCCGCCTCTTCCAGGACTGTAGCCTCTAGGGGGGCCACGTCTGAAGTCCTCACCAGGCGGGCCAGGGTAAGGGCCACCACGGCCTCTGGGGGAACGCGATCGGAAGCGCTCGCGTCCCGGGGGAGGGTCAGGCTGGGTCTGCAATGAGAAGTCAGTGGTACGGCCGGCGCTGCGTGCAGAAATTAAACATACATCGGCAACACAGGTGACACGCTGGCCCTTGAACTCGCGGCCGTCAAGCTTCTCGACAGCGGTCCTCAGATCAGCTGCGGTTTCGAATTCGACAAAACTACTGAATTTATCGAGTTAGCCATCAACGCTAGCAAGTGGCTCTTCAGGGAGTCTTCAGGGGAGAAAAACATACCCACGTCCATTGCCGTCACGACCGGTCTCCGAGTAGACCACGTCAAGGCTGGATTGACGTGCAAAATCTTTGAGGTCCTAGATCCAGAATCCAAGTAAGTTGTAGTCCCAGGAGCGAAGATAGTTCTGCGGAAAGCGGCCGAATGCTTCTTCTCCAGGAGCACTGCAAAGGAATCCAGTCACAACCAATCCAGAGGTCCTAAACCGGCAGTAAAATCCAAGGTGGAGGGGGTCTTTCTCAGGCTCCTTGTCCAGATCGGACCCAGCCCACCAGTCAAGCCGTCCGGAGAGGCAGAGGAGTCAAGACGCGGGCGCTGAACTTCAGGCATCCTTGCCGACATGGCGTGACCCAGTGCGCGCAAGGCTGACGTCCTAGTAAACCATAGGAAGAGTCCAGGGAGGAGAAGAGGTGAAAGGTGAGAATGGACGGGAGTTATAACAGACCTGCCAGCTGGTATCATTGGGAAGTCCGGTGATCTGCATCCGGTGAGGGGTGCGTCTCGGACGGGGCGGGGGCCGTTCGTGGTTGTTGGCAAAACCTTCTCGGTGGCGGGAGCCGCGCGCGAACTGGACGGTCAGGCGTTCGCCCATGAAGTCGGATCCATCTTTGGGACACGGATTAGCCAGGGAGCAGCGGAGCGGCCTGGGCCGGGTGGGCAGGAGGGAGGGACCAAGACGTACGGAAGGCTGCAGCGCGGGATCCAAATTAGCACAGGTCAAGAAACGCGTGGCGGCAAGAAGGAGGGCGGGGAGGGAGATGCTATAGCACAGCACACGTACCAGGTACCACATCGCGCGCATCCATGGCATCCTTGTACTCGATGAAGCCGAAGCCGTTCATGAGCTTGATCTCGGTGATCTCGCCGGTGCCATGGGTGGCGAAATGAGCCTCGACATCGGCCTTGGTGACTTTGGACGGGAAGAAAGGTCAGCTGGTGATCAGAACAGTCGTCGCCACGGGGCAGCGGGTTCGGATTTCGTCGCAATGCAAGGTGAGGTGAGGCGAGGTGAGGTGCGGTGACACGCTGGGTAGTCTGTACCACGGCGCATCGCATCTCGCACCGCCAAGCTAGAAACAGGCGCCGCGGCGAGGTAGAGAGGGAGACACGAGAGCTCACTCACTTCCCTTGGGCAGGTTGCCCAGGTAGAGTCGGGTTGCCGATACCTCAGTCATGGTGCCTGGAGCTGAGGGTCGAAGTTGACCAGGCTGAGGGACGGTTGGTTCGGTAGGCAGGATTTGGGGGGAAAACGCAAGTCGGTCAAGGGCGGTGATCGACAGCAACGTCCGGAAAAATAAGCTTCAGGCCAGGGCCACGGGACGCAAAGGCCAGAATAATCCGGAACTTGGCGGGCGACCAATTAAGGCTGCTCGCTGAGGATGGTGATGAAAAAGGATGAATGGACGGGGTGTGGGTGCGGGAATCGATGCACACACGTATGGACTGTATCAATGTTACGTATCGCAAAGAGGCTGGAAGACGGTGGTGGTGAGGGTGGTGGTGGTGGTTGTTGACCAGCGCAGCCGCCGGCGGGGAAGAGCTTCCCTGGTTCAGGCCGGCCAAGGGTTGGTCCTGCTGTGCTTGCTGTGCTTGCTGTGTGCTGAGGCCAACGTTCAAGCCGCCTAGGTCCAGCTTTTCGGGCCAGATGCAGATGGAATGCACACACAGAGAGCGAGAGAGAGAGAGAGAGCACGAGAGAGTCGGCTCGAGGTTGCCCGCAGCTGTATGTGGTAAGGAAGAAGAAGAAGAAGAAGAGGAGTAATGCTAGCTATGATCCTCCTGTGTGTGTTGCGCCTGGACCTGACACTCGACAGCTTCCAGTAGCTCGCTGCGTACGAGATGCTTGTGGAGGAGAACCTTCGGACGGCCAGGGTGGACAACTGAACCTTGTGCAACCTGGAGAGCTCGCCTTTGCCTGCCTGCCAGCCAGCCTGCCCGCTGCCCGGCGGCAAGTCCTCGCTCCTGGCTAATGCGGACTAGTGCGGCGGGGGCTCGCTTAGCGCCGCGGCCATCCTCATTTGACCACCTGCAGAGGCCTGAGAGGGGCGGGCGCCCAGGGGGGGGGCCCGCTTCAATCTGGGGTGGCCCGTTCTTGCCCGTTGCAAGGATCAAGGGCGTTCGTGCCAAGGGTTACACACGTCGACGGGAAAATACCACCTCGTTGCAGTAGCACTTCCAGGAATCTACCAATTGCTGGTCGTGTAGACACGAGGGAAGCAGAGGTCTGGCCGGAAGCACGTGCTTTTCTTGGGGGACCCGATCATACCTACCATTGCCAGTTGCTTGTCTATAGGCGCTGCACTCGAAAACACCTCCGAGGACTACGCAGATATCGAGACAGATAGTCTACCTAGGTGTATAAGGCGACTCAGAGAGGTCCAAACATGCTCACTCAGAGGGCGACGTCTTCAAGTCGTCATTGGTAGCTGCTTGTGGTGCTGATTGCTTCGTTGTCGGGTGGTAGCATGGCTTTCTAGTTCTTCGAGACACAGAGCATGACCACGGACCTGACGGCAGCCCATTTTCATCGTGATACACATGAATCTATACGTGAAAGAGTCACCGATTTGGTGCTAAAGATCATATATCTTCTAGTCAATAACAGAATCCTTACAGCATACAATTCGTCCCTGTCAATACTGACCGCTCCCCCAATGCCATTAGATGCTTTGCAGTGGATGCTGATGCGGACCAGCCCTCCCCCAAAGAGGCTGAACAACGCCGGTGCTATGCAGAATCGAAACCAAGTATTCCCCCTCTTCCTTGTCTTGTCAACCCTATATTTCTTCTAAGAAAACCGCACCCTCTCTGTATGTGGTGCATTCTCAACGGTCCACGTGCGTCCTGGCCTGTTTATCCGAACAGCACATCCACCAGTTCGTCTAGTATCGTGAATACCAAGTGTGTACTGAATGGGTGGCCAGGGTTAGTTGAATGATTGCCATGCCGTGACGGGTCTTGCACTTACTTGAGTCGCTCGTTGTTCATCGTGGCAAAGATCCTCCTGCTGGCCGCCTGCGCGTTGAGCCTCCCTACCACGCTGCCCGCCAGATCCGGCACGAGCGTGGCGAGCATGAGCCCGGCCTCCCTCCTCGTCCGGCTCTTCTCCGAGGCCGTGCGCGGCACCTTGTTCCGCTTCAGCTGGCCGCCGGGCCACATGCTGTCTCGCAGCAGTCCGATGTACTTGAGTATGGCGTCTTCCTGTACCAGCACTTTGGCATTGTCGCGCACTTTCCGTTCGATGGTGCCCCCGAGAAGCTGGTGCAGGACGACCACGACGGCGCGGCCGCGCAGCCAGTTGTTCCCCCGGTTGAGCTCGAACACTTCGAGGAAGATGTCGCAGATCGGCTTGATAAAGGGCTCGAGCTCCTTGTCCTCAAAGGCGTTGAGCTCGGCCTCAGCCTCGGCGGCTGTGAGCACATCTTCGTTTATATTCAGCGGCATGGGCATCGTGTTGAGCTGGCTCGTTGCTGCTGCAATCAGGTTCTGTCCCGCAACAGACAGTTGGTCCAGGACGGGAATGTTGCCGAGAATGTCCTCCATGCCGTCCGTGACGGAATCGTACAGGCGGGTGATCATATCCTTCTTATCTTCCCGCGTGAGCAGATCCTCGCCCTGCTGGATGACGCTCTGCGAGAGAAAAGCCCGTAGGTCTCTACTGCGGCAGACCTCGGGAAGTCGCAGTAGTTGTTGCAGGTACTGTTCCAGTGCCTGTTGTCTCCTCCGAAGAAATTCGCTTTGGAGTTTCATGACCATGCGGCGACGTGGGAAATCCAAATGACGTACTGATGCGTATCGGTTCCGAAGCTTCTGGTGTAGCTCGTGAAATTCGCTGTAGCGTCTCGTCACCACCCACGTAGCTGCTGGCATCTTCTCCCCGGCAATCCGCTGGACCTCGATGACATATAGGGCATATTCTTTGCCGTCGTCTTCCCGTCCAACCTGAATAGCTTTGATCTTTATCGAAGAACGTCCATAAAGGCTGTTGTCACTTTCTTGCACGACGTATTGCTGTCTCTGCAGTTCCTTGCGTCTCAGCTCCCTCTGGAGGCTGGCTCTGGATTTCCGCAATATGCGGATTTCCGCCGTGTTGTTAGTCAGCTCCGCCTTCTTCATGAGGGAGTCAACAACAGCCTCCTGGGCGGCAAGGCGATCGATGTCGTTGGTGAGAACCGTGATTGCCTCAGCAAGGCCCAGATCCCCAGGTGCCGCTTCGTGCACCTCGTCCTCAACATCACCAGGGTCTTCGGTCTCGTTGCCCTGTTCGTCGGGGAGTAACTTATCCTCCTCGGCGAATAGGTCATTATCATCAAAGACGCCGATTCGGGAGGCAGCGCTCACTAATCCTAGCGACGAGAGACTAGGCTTCTCTAGGTCCTTCCCAGCCGGAATCAGTGGTCGTTGGAGATCGACGGACCCTCTTGCCGAGTCATTATCGTGGCCGGAAAACATACTCGACGCACCGTCGCCTTCATTGCCAAACAGAGACTGACGCAGGTCTTCGGCTGTCTGGGGCCGATCGTCCTCCATGATGTTGTTGAGTGCCTCCTCCATAGCCTGCACCACGTGGTTATCAAGTGTCGGGTTGGTAGGATCTTGGTCAAGGCTTTGAACCGAGTCTCCCATGGGGTCATGGTCAAAATCATCGTCATCGAAAAGTGGCGACGAGGCGCTCTCGTCCAGGGAGCGACGGCCCCCCATCAGCGGATCAGGGCTTTGGCTACCATTAGTAGACTGCGCCCGCAGATCCGTGGCTGAAAGCCCCCGTCTGGCCGAGCTGTGAGACGTATTGAGGCGAGGGTTCAACCTTGCGACCGGTGTTGGTTTCAGCTGATACGACTGTGATGCCCTTGTAAGAGGCGGGTTTGATGGTCCAGCCTGGGCCGGCGGTGGCGGTAATTGACTGGTCTTTTTCGAGGCTTCCTCGGATGCGAGGCATTTGTACCACAAGTCGGATTTCTTGAACCCTTGGAGATACTTGGACTGCATCTCTTCGAGCACGGCACTCTGCGCTCTCAAGACTGCTCGTCGAGCTCGAAAGTATTGCTCAGGACTCGCACTCTTGCCTGCTTCCAGGAAGGCTCTAATGGATTTCCTGGAAGAGTCCGGCACTCGAAGCACAGCATTGGACATGTATGCCTGGTCTATTTGTGCTAGGTCCATGCGATCCGACTCGGTCCAGGGCGGCAAAGCAGAAGGTAGTTGCTCGTGCTCCGGCCCGTCGTCCTCCAATGGATTCCGGAATCCATCTACCACTAGCCAGAATTGTACCAGAGGCATCATCCGTTGCCTGTCCATATACTCCATGAAGTACGAGAGGCCAGAAGTATCACGGAGTAAATCAACCAATGGAGCGTTCTCCAGCCTTGAAGCCTCCACAGGCGGCGAATGGTCAGTCAAGGCTGGAAGCGTCCTCCTGTCCCCTCCGGCAGCCAAATGTTGCACCCTCTGGTCGAGTAGCCGCTTTCCCATTTCTAAGCGGCGCAAATAGACTTGATCCTGTCCTCCTTGTTCGGAATCCCTCTTCAACTGACTGGCAACCTCGCTTCTAAATCGCCGAGCATCATTCAAGTTATTGACTTTCCGAATAGCTCTGATATATTTCTCAAACCGTCTCTCGCCATCACCCGGGACCAGGCGCGGAAATGTAGCCGTTTTGGAGCTCTTGGGCGATGGAGACGCATGGGCGTCCAGTGCAGCCCGTAGCTTGCGGACAGTGGACCGGTCCTGCAGCATACTCCGCCCATAGTTCTCGATGAGTTGGTTCCAAAGGTCAGGGTCGCACAGGAGCGTGGTGACCGGGAACAAGACCGCACAGCCAACTATCTCCCGGATGATATTGGAAACGGCGCGGCTATTCAGTATATTGTCAGGCAGGATCTTGGGGAGGATTCCAGCGACAGTCTTCCGCAGGTGGTCCTGCTGCACCAGTTTGATGTCCGAGTAGGCCAGACTGGCAGCAGGATGTAGCTTGCCGTCTCTATACTTGGCGGCAATGGCGAGGTCCAGCTCTTCGCTCTCCGTGACGCTCCTGTTCAGTTTCCGTCCCCGGACGACCCGCTCAGCATCGTTGAAATCCCTGAAATGGGCCGTGAGAATGGGCACGATCCGGCTCGTGATGACCTCGACCAAGTCGACGTCCAACAGGCGGTCCCGGATGTTTGCCAACGCAATCCTCGTCGTCTTGTCTACCTCGTTCGCGAATACCGGATTCTTGCTGATATGCCCGTACCAGCTCAGGACGAAGTCCCTGAGGATCAGACGCAGCAGCTGATCGAGGGCGTGCGAGACCTTCCTCGAGTCGGGATACAGTGGCGCCGGTTCGTAGATCTGCCGCACCCTCAGGGAGCTCGTCTCTCTCCTCCAAGCCAGGGGGCCGACGAATTCGACGGCATTCGGCCTTGCAGACCGGTGCTTTCTTGCATGGTAGGCCGAGCCGCGAGAGGTCAGGAGCATCAACAACAACAGAGCGGCGGCGACGGCCACACAGCCGGCGACGAAGCAGTAGGCGGCCCAGCGCAGGGCAGGCACCCAAGCCACGGCGTACCCCCAGGCGACGAAGCAGACGAGGCCGGCGGCAGCAACATCTCTCCCCTTAAGGCCCATGGTCTTCCGGGTCAGATCGATCGTTCCTCATGGCGAGTTTCTGGATGCGTCGGGTTGTTGTCGCGCTGTTGCTGTTGTGTCAGTCCGTTAGCTCCTAGGGAGCTTTAGTTGGGGGGGCATTCCATTATCGATTGCGCCGAATGCCTGCTCAGTTACGTACCTAGGCACCCCTAGGCACCTAATGATCCCCTACCCAGGCCTACGGGTAGCTCATGCGCCCAGGTGCACACGCACCCGATGGTGGGGCTCTTCCAGGTAGGGCGCGCCTGGGAAAATGGTCGCCCTGACCTCATTGTGCCGCCTTAAGCGCAGCCCGACGTTGATGTTCTTCGAATGTATAGGACTCGAGCGTGGGATGCATGCTGTTGTATTGCCACTTTTGTTCAGACGAAGAAAAAGTACTACAGACGCGCCACATTGTCACACTTGACCAGAGAGTTCCAGAAATACGAGCGTTGAGATGGTGTGGTCTTCTTTGTCCATCTGGGAGCAGACCTCACGGTAGAGACCCAAGGGAGGCATGACAGCCCACCTGAATTGTACTGCAGTCCCTCACTTTCTGGGTACTTTAGACCGAAGCTTCAAAGCCCCACCAAAAGTTTTCCAACCAAATTCATTCAGCATCACCAGCCTTTCCACATGCGCCAGGCCAACGTGAATTCATACTGTGACACCTGCTCAATCCAATTGCCTCACGATTTCTGCGAGAAGCCGCCTGAGATCTTGGCACCCATCAACAGTCTCCAGCATGCCTGGTGTATCAAACAAAAGGCAGAAGCGGGCCGACTACCGCACGGCACGCCAGCAAGATGAGACTCCTCTGGAGATGCCCAAGAAGAAGTTCTACCGCCAAAGAGCTCATGCGAATCCCTTCTCCGACCACCAGCTAGTCTAGTACGTAGGCTTGGAGAACCGGAAAGCCCGAAAGGACAACTGCGGCTAACATCTGTGCAGCCCAACGACTCCCGCCGATATGGACTGGTCGACTTTTTTCCCAGCCTACGTAGCCGACTCCGAAGAGCTGCCCGACGCCGGACAAACGGCCGACGAAAACACACCCGCCCCAAAGAAGATGAAGCAAGAGGTTGAGATCGTCGACATCGGCTGCGGCTTTGGCGGCCTTCTCGTCGCCATGGCGCCCGTCGTGCCAAACACTCTGATGCTAGGCCTGGAGATCCGCACCCAGGTGACCGAGTTTGTGCAAGAGCGGATACGATCTCTACGAGTCCAGGAGGCTGCGTCCGGCAAGTACCAGAACATAGGCTGCTTGCGGGCGAATACCATGAAGTTCTTGCCCAACTTCTTCAGGAAAGCACAGCTCTCCAAGATCTTCATCTGTTTTCCAGACCCGCATTTCAAGGCCAGGAAACACAAGGCCAGGATCGTGTCGACCACACTAAACTCTGAGTACGCATATGCGTTGCGCCCGGGCGGTATCATCTACACAATCACCGATGTCGAGGATTTGCACCACTGGATGGTACACCACTTGGAGGCCCACCCGTCCTTCGAGAGGGTGTCCGAAGAGGAACAGCAAGCCGACGAGTGTGTCACGATCATGAGCAGCGAGACCGAGGAGGGGAAGAAGGTTTCAAGGAACAATGGCCAGAAGCTGATCGCCTTGTTCCGTCGTCTGCCAGACCCCGCGTGGTGATCAATCGAGGCACGCCGTTTCAAGCCCCCGGCTTTCGGCCCGCCATAGTGCATGAAACTTACTTATATACACTCTCGGCGCCGACTGAAACGCATCGCCTGGCTTCATCGCTGGTGGGTTGGCCTAGCCCGTGCTCAGTAGCATCAGCCACACATAGCCAGAAGACGTACTGTAGGAGTGGCCTGGAGACGCACGTGAGGTGTACCAGGGACATCGGGCAAACCGCGGTTGAGCCATGAGAATCTACCGTGGTAGAGATAATATGTACCAGGTCTGCCGACGGCCTGAGATCACGTGGCATTTGCATCTTGTTCTCGGCGTAGGCGACACTGGATGGGATGAGGACTTATCCCCGCTACAGCCAAAATGGACGCGGCGCCGCATAATCGATCAATCAAAAACCATCCCGAGTCAAACAGCATACTCATCTCCCCATTCGTCACCGAACCTGGCCAATGTTGGCTTACAGCGCAGGCCCTGGCCCCACGCTACGGTGCTAGTGAGGCTCGGCGGCCCTCCGCAGCACAACCGCCGAAGATTATGCCGGCATATCCCGGGTTGTTTCCGTATGCGGTGGAGTTCATGTTAAGTAATATCCATTAGTTGACAGCCATATTCGTACAGCAGACAGACAGGCTTTTGTACCGCGCCCCCGGGCCGCGCAACTTGGCACAACACCACGCACTTTCGACCGTTACGATTCAGACGTCCCCCTACCTAAGCATGCTGGCAAGCCTAGCCACGCTGATGCGCCGGCCATGCCCAGGCCTCCTGTTTGCAGCCCTGTCAGCAATATCGTCTGTGGCCCAGACTAGAACTGAAACGGCGGCCAAGTAAACCCAATGTCCTTAGTGTCTTCAATTATCGATCTCTTGTGCCACCAGAGCGGCCGAGTCGCGCGTCCGGCCAGTTCAAGGAAAGGAAGCCAACCCCGAGCCACCCCCGGGTCCTGCGGGGACTATCCCCTGCCAACGTTGTCGCGCGACAATCATGGTGAATAAAAGTCTCGTGCCATTTTCCCTAATCTCAGCTATAGTGGAACTCGCCCTCAGCATAAGCTTCCCTCTCCCAGGCACCATGACGTCGGGCCCACTGAATACCCGTCCGTTAGAAAAGTTCTCTCCACGATCGTCTCAAATTCCCATCCTAGGCAACGTTAGGCTGATAAGTAGTAGTCTGCCTCTCCTTCCTCTCCTCCCTCGCTTCTCCTTCTTCTCCTGCCAAGCCTGCTTGCCTATGCACTCACAGGTCACATTCTTTTCTTGTCCCCCCGTTCTTTCATCCCTTGGACCTTCAGCAAGTACTTCTCCAGTACTGCATGTTTGAGTTGGAACTTGATCACTTTGACAGCACCGAGACAGAACACCTGCTATCGGTAAACATGGAGCACAAGAACGATAAGGTTACTGCCAGCATGGCACGGCCAGGCGAGGAGACAGACATCGGTTCGGCCGATGAGCTGCTTGGATCGCTGGGGTACACCCCCGAACTCTCGCGTAACCGATCGACACTCCAGGTCGCGTTTATGTCCTTCGTGTTGGCTTCCATTCCCTATGGGTTGGCAACGACATTGTACTACCCGCTTGTCGGTGGTGGCCCGGTCGACATCATCTGGGGATGGGTTGCAGTCTCGCTTATCATCATCTGTGTTGCGGCATCGCTGGGTGAGATCACGTCTGTGTACCCCACGGCCGGAGGCGTCTACTACCAAACCTGGATGCTATCGCCGCCCAAGTGGCGTCACATTGCGGCATGGACCTGCGGTTGGCTGTATGTCGTTGGAAACATCACCATTACGCTGGCCGTCAACTTCGGAACGGCACTCTTCTTGGTCGCCTGCGTCAATGTCTTTGAGACTGCCGAAGGCGAGGGTGTCCTTGCCGGTGAGACCTACGAGGTCTTCCTCATCTTCTTGGGCTTGACACTTCTGTGTAATGCAGTGTCGTCCCTCGGCAACAGATGGTTGCCTATCCTCGATGTAGGGATCCCCGTTACTTCATGCATGAATTCTCGACTGCCCTGTGATGTCCCGTATCTAATTTGGTATATCTGTAGACTTTCGCAATCTTCTGGACATTTGCCGGCGTGATTGCCATCATGGTCTGTGTTCTGGCCATTGCCAAGAACGGCCGCCGGGATGCTTCCTTCGTCTTCACCCACTTCGAAGCCAGCTCCGGCTGGACTCCTGGTTGGTCATTCATGATTGGTCTGTTGCACGCAGCCTACGCAACCTCGTCAACAGGCATGATTATCTCGTAAGTCAAATCTCAATCTGGCTCAGAATCGCCCTCAAAACCAATGGCTGAGACTGTCTATAGCATGTGCGAAGAAGTGCGAGCGCCTGCCACGCAGGTCCCGAAAGCCATGGTCATAACTGTCTGCATCAACACAGTCGCCGGATTGATGTTCATGCTCCCCCTGGTCTTCGTCCTACCCGAGATCAGTGATCTTGTTGCTCTTTCGTCCGGTCAGCCGGTGCCGACCATCATCAAGAGCGCTGTTGGGTCATCTGGTGGCGCATTCGGTCTGCTCATCCCGCTGATCGTATTGGCCATGATCTGTGGTATCGGCTGTACTACTGCTGCCTCGCGCGCCATCTGGGCATTCGCCCGTGACGGTGCCGTGCCCGGTTCCAAGTTGTGGCGAAAGGTCAACACCAAACTGGACGTGCCGCTGAACGCCATGATGCTCAGCATGGTAGTTCAGATCATTCTCGGCGTCATCTACTTCGGATCAACGGCCGCCTTCAACGCCTTCTCCGGTGTTGGTGTCATCACACTGACGGCCGCGTACGCCGTTCCCATCGCTGTCAGCTTGCTCGACGGCCGTAAGACGGTCAAGACCGGCAGCTTCTACCTCGGCAAGATCGGAACTTTTGCGAACATTATTTCGATAGGTAAGTCGAAGCTCCCGTCTCGGCCTCCCGTGTGCTGACATTAAGCAGGCTGGTCCCTCCTCGTGATCCCCCTGTTCTGTATGCCCTCCGTCATCCCCGTCGAGGCCGCGACCATGAACTACGCCTCGGTGGTGTTTTTCGCATTCACCGCCATCTCGATCGCATGGTACGTTGCATGGGGCCGCAAGCACTATGCCGGCCCCCCGACATGATCGCTCCCGATGTGACGCTGTCGTGTGTGCGTATGCGTGCGTGCGTATGTGTGTGTGTGAGTGTGTGAGCTGTGTATACGGAACGCCAAGATCCCGGGATGAGGCCGTGAAAGAATGTTGCGCGCGTTGTCGTCATCATGCATGCGTGAAGTTGGTTCTTTCGTGTGACGTGCGTGATTGACGATGATTGACAAGAAAGTTGATATCCGCGGAAAGATGGGAAATCGGGGAACGGACGACCAACGCGATTCTTTTGCTCAACAGAAAGTTTACCATTCAGTTCGGCCCCCGTTGAAGAGCTTACACAGGACTTTGTGACACACCACATATACACGAGAGAGATAGAGGGAGACAAGATATTTCTTTACGACAACAAAAGCATTATACCCTTTCAGCTCGGTGCTCGGAAATCCGACACGAGAGATACTCTGGCATCTAGCTGAGCAATGAATACAAACGAATGATACCCCGCCCCCGTTTGTCTGCCAGTTCAGTATTTCCTGTGACGTATATTTTATGGAAGCGCCAACACCTGGTGAATTAAACGCTTCGCGATGAACCACCAGAAACCTGCCATATAGACCGGCGCAAGAACTACACACCTGCAGCCGGATTGACCTTCTGAAGTCCTGTGCTTCGGAAGTCAAGCGCACCGCCTTTTCACATTGGCGTTCTTTGTGGCCCCCCTACTGGGAAGCATGAACATAAACATTGATCCGTGAATCACCAAAATGTCAGTTGTAAGCAGACGGAACAGCACCGGCACACTTGTGAAGGCCATAATATCGCCCCGCAGTATACATCATCTAACAGGTAGGATGGCGTCGTGTTCAGCTTGCCAGAGATATATGTCCGAGGTGATGACACCCTTTGTGAAGTTGCGTGTATTGCTTGGAAGCCGCAACCACATCATCCAGTCTGCACATACACTTCGAGAAGCTGAAGAACTGTGGCTGAGTCGTCGAGTACCATCGTTGGTGGGTAAGGACGAGCGAGCCCTAGCCTCCTGTTTAGCAGCACGAGAAGATGCCTTCCATAAGGCTGGGGCACTTAGACGGGAGACGACGAGACTGGGTTACAATGGTCTTCTAGGAGCTCCTTCTGCTCTCATTGATATAACTTCAGCGTGCCTTCGGTTACACAGTCTCCAGGCTGTGTCGTGAGCTTGGATCTCTTTGTGTCAGAAACTAGTTCCTTGTCAGTTCGTTACGCAGTACGAACCCTTTCAAAGTCAGCGAATACCTCGGTATGGGGTATTCTGGCCGAAGTAGAAGAAGCCGCTTCAGATGGTTGGACAATTCGACGCCACTGGTAGCCTGCTCAGGACCCAAAGTCCTGGTTTGCACTTGAGTTGCCACCATTACACACATGCAGTTCCTTACAGAACGGCTTGCTTAGCTCAATGGCCCGGTACTTTGGGTTGCTTCCAAATTATGATTCATATGCAAGCCAAATTTTTGAGGCCAGTAATAGCTGAGATAGATGTTTCCTGTCCGGCATTAGTTTGGTTTCTCGCCGTCACATGATGAGCGTCACAGCTACTTCCAAGGTGCAACACGTCACACATTCCTGTAATACTGTATGCCCTACAGAGTCTATATTCCCTCCCTTTGCTGCCGGTGTCAATTCTCGACACGACGTAGCCAAAATTAAGCAATGGGTAAGTCATATCGCCGATGGGGCAACGAAAAGGTAGTGGTTGTGGTAGCTGGCGGATAATATAGCAGGGCAGACGGACAGCTGTAAACTTGGGTTATGGGGAGACATATGATAGTGTAAGGATGAGCCATATCGTCTGAGGCTGAGCTCAGGGATGACCGTTGGCCATGGTAGTGACTGATTTCAGTGTCGATACAGATCCCCTGGTCTCTGAACGGATCTGATCATAGTCAAGTTTACCTTCGACACGGCGTTTCCGACGACAGAAATCCAAGTACGTTGCATGTCTCACCAAGTTCTGCCGCTCACTCGAAATTTATAGGCGCATTGCTCTTCTCTTTACGGACGAATCTAACGCCACGGATGAGAGGAACATACCGTAACCCCATCGGGGCAGAGTTAGCAACACGTCAGATCTAGAAAGTTCTGTTTTGGTGGAGCGGACGTAGCAGGAAATGACATGGCTTGCGCCGGGAAATAAACTCTGTTTTGTAACAATTATATACAAAGGCCTAGGCCGTCTATTTCTTGGGCTCCTCCTTCTGCTCGGGCTTGGGCGTGGGCAGCTTGAATGTGTCGGGCTTGCGGTCATTGCCAGGTCCGACCTGCTCCCACGCACTCGAGCCTCCCTCGAAGTTGCGGAATGCCTGCGTCAGCTCCAGGGGCTCTGTGACGACCCGCTTCTTCTCCTCGTCGTAACGGATCTCGGTGTAACCGGTCAAGGGGAAATCCTTGCGCAGAGGGTGGCCCTCGAAACCGTAGTCGGTCATGATTCTGCGCAGGTCGGGGTGCCCGACGAAGAAGACACCAAAGAGATCGTAGACCTCACGCTCGTACCAGTTGGCGCCGTCGTACAGGGGAGTGATGCTCGGCACGGGGGTGGCCTCGTCGGCGTAGGTCTTGACACGGATGCGGGCGTTATGTCTGACGCTCAGCATGTTGTAGACGATCTCGAAACGCTGGTCCCTCGTGGGGAAATCGGCCGCCGTGACGGTGCTGCACTGGGTGAACTCGGCGGCCGTGTTGTCTGTGGCGGGGTTAGTCCGAGGCGGCCGGGCGAGGATGGGAGGGCGGGAGGTGGTCCTTACACTTCAGGAAGGAGAAGACGGGGATGACGGCCGAGGGGGCAATGTAGATGACGAGCTCGTCCTTCCACACGGAGAACTGCTGGATGTACTTGGGCAGGCAGCCCATGAGCCAGGAGCCGTAGCGGTGCATGTCGTCGGCCTTGTTCTGGTACTTGTCGGCGGGGTTGACGAGGGGGGCCTCGAGCTTCTGGGGGTGGTCGCGGGGCGCGTGGCGCATGTTCTTGACGTCGGCGGGCATGGCGACGGCGGCGCGGGCGGTGGCACTGATGCCGCGCGCCATGTGCTCGCCGCCGGGGCGGGCGGCGACGGGGGAGGGCCTCGCGGGCCGCAGCGCGGAGGCCAAGGCCCTGCTTCGACAGAGCTTGGTCGCCATGGTGGGATGGAGGTGGTGGGTGGTTGGAGGACCAATTGGTCGTCGGGGCGTGCGCTTGATGCTATCGCGAGTTACCACGGGCCAAACCGAGCTTTCGGACTGGTGGTCGTCAATTGGAGGTCATGGCCAATTGCTGTGTCGTGATTGCCCGGGCCGGAATTACGTTGTAGCAGCCTCCGTTCCCGTGCCCAGGTGCCCACGGTGCAGCTTCCCGCCCTGAGCTCCCCTGAGGCTCCCACTGGCTTCCACTACAGGTGGCTCCAGCTTTCCCTGGCTCCCCAAACCTTCAGCCGACCTTGCGCAGGGGGCGGGCGCGTGGGCCTCTCGGTACCCAGGTACCCGACGATGCTGTGGTTCATGCCCAAAACCCGCTGTAGTGGCTCGTCATACCTCAGAAATCTAGGCATTTCCAGATCACCCTTTCTTTGACTGGCCTGTCAACTGTAGCAACGAGTGGCATATCTGTGCTCATGGAATCGTGTGAAGCGTCAGGGTTGAACGGCAACTTCGTTGTGGCCCATGCAATATGAAAGCATCAGAAAGTCGAAGCCGGTACCGTCTTGAAGCCGCGCTTTGGGTATTCCGAACTTGCCCGACATGATGGCATGAAATAAACTACGGGCTGCAAACAGACCACGTCCCCTGGAAGCAGACGTGTCGACATACAGGTGCTGCACCGCTACCCTCCTGGGAGAAAGGAACAGCCACCCGTTAACATAATTCGCTACCTGGCCTCTCTTCATTTGAAAACCAGCTCAAAGCGTAACGGGCTAGTTCAACAGTGCAGGTACTGTAACAAGGCGAAAACCAGGCCTTCAGAATAGATGTCTACGCCGAAATAGTTCCACTCATGCCTCGCTCACTCAGTGTCCCAATGCCCTTCCGGTGAAAAGTGTCCAGTGAGCAGCGAACACAAAAGTTGACAAGACTGTGTAGATTACCTACCCAAGGTACCTGTCACTTTCTCTGGGTACTCCAGCACTATAGTATTCACGTCCACAGTAGGGACTCTACAGTAGGGACTCTTGAGAGAAGAAGCGGCCAGAGAAGGGGCAAACGAACGAGCTTCGACGCAACTAGCCCCACCAGTGCAAACACGTGAACCGCCATTGCAAGCTGAGAGCCAGAGCTCACTAGGCCCGAAAAGGCGCTAGCGTGGGCTGGCAACCTCGTTTCTCTGTCTCCGTGTCTCTGCCTCTCTCTCTCTCGCTCTCGCCGCAGGCTTTGATCTGAACTTGTTCTGCACCTTCACTTTCGCCCTCGCGATCCCAACGAACCACCCTCTCACCACCCTCGACATCAGCCCCCCCCCTCACGGTTGGCCGCCTCGCTTGCCCACCTAGGACCGGCCTTGTGTTTCTCTAATCTCTTGTACACTGCATCAAGGCGTTTTGTTCCGAGGCCCTTCATGATTTCATGATTTTTCCCACCTCCCAAAAGTCCTCATAATCGTCGTTAATCTCTTTCGGGACCCAACCACTCCGTACCATCATCATCCCCCATCCGCCACCCTCGGCGACTGCCTCGAGCCTTTGCATCGCCCTGGTTGCACGCATCAACAGCTCTGCGGACCCATCGCCGAGACTCGCTTGACCGTTAGACGCGCTCTCGCCGCACAGCAACCCCGTCACCATGGCGCCGCAAGACAGCTTCATTGACGAGGAGGATGACACCTGGTAGGCCATCTCCCCGACCCCGCGCACGCTCTGTGCAGCCCGCTGACCGCCCTCACAGTCCTCTTTGCATCGAGGAACTCGACATCCAGGACAGGAACTTCTATCCGTGTCCCTGTGGCTACCAGGTACGTGTCGACCCGCCAACGCGCTTTCTTCTGTCCAATATTTCCCCTCCTCTTTGCCCTTCTGGTGTCGATGCTGACCTGGCACCTGACAGGTCTGCCAATTCTGCTACAACAACCTGAAGAATAACATGAACGGGCTCTGCCCCGCCTGCCGACGACCGTACGACGAAAGCTCGATAAAGTTCGAGGTCGTGACACAGGAGCAGTGAGTCAACCACCACGTACATACACCACAGTGCGCACGCCGACTAACCCCCACCTAGGATTGCCGAGTTCCGTGCAAACATTCAGAAGAACCAGAAGAAGCGCGCAGCTGAGCAACGCCAGAAGGAGGCTCAGAAACGCGAGGCCACTGACAGAAGCAACCGCAAGAACCTGGTCGGCGTCCGTGTCGTCCAGAAGAACCTCGTTTATGTGACAGGTTTGACCCCGACCGTACCCGAGGACGAGCTTCTTAAGACCCTGCGGAAGCAAGAATTCTTCGGTCAATACGGCAACATCCACAAGATTTCGATTAGTAACCGAAAGGCTCCGGATGGCCAGCCGCAGTCTCTGGGCATCTACGTGACGTTTGAGAAGAAGGAGGATGCAGCCCGATGCATACAGGCCGTCAACGGTTCCCACAACGGCGATAGAGTGCTGCGAGCACAGCTGGGCACCACCAAGTACTGCTCGGCCTGGTTGCGGAATGAGCAGTGCAGTAACCGCCAGTGTATGTTCCTGCACGAGCTCGGCGACGAGGAAGACAGCTACACTCGACAGGATCTCTCCTCGCTGAACAGCGTGCACACCCAACGTCCGTTTTCAGGCGCTCCCGGATCGTCACGATCAGCGTCGCGACTGCAAGGCGGGCCCCCGCAACCCCCGCCGCCCATTGCCCAACCCATGGTTCGCACCTCTAGTAAGGAAGGATCTGAGATAGGCGATGGCCCGATGCTACCCGCCACTGCCAACTGGGCGCGTACTACGCAACAGAGGAGCAGACGCGGCAGCCATGCCACGAGTGGAGCGGCCTCTAGTCCAGCCATATCCAACTCGTTGCCTGTTACTACAGAGTCCGCACAGGAGGTTATCGAGTCTACACCACCGCCCGAGGAGCCTTCGAATGTTCTTGCTCCAACGACGGGCAATCGGAAGGCAGAGAAGCAGCCGGCCAGCGAATCGAAGTCTCCCGAGACAACTGCGACAAAACCCCCCATCAAGGATCCCTATGACTTGCCGGACTTCACAGACGTTTTGCGTAGACTCGCCGCCATTCCTGACTTCTCTGTCCCCAAGGACTGGGAAGACGACTCGCCCCCTCTCTTCGACCCTCTCGGTGGCTTGAAGCGACGGGCAATGCGGGAAGAGGAGGAGAAGGAGAACCGTATTGGGGAACAGGAAGAGCAGCCCGAAGCCCTCGAGGCTTCAGAAGGCGAGCCTGAGAGTGGTAGCCATGCACTTGGTGGTGAGCCCGAAGATAGGGAGCAAGGTCGAGATGCTTCCGGTTTCGACCAGAGACGCAACCCGGCACCCATTCAGCGGACTTCGGCAGACGGCCTGTTTGGCCCCAGTCTTGCCTCGGGTTACACGCAAGGCTCCAGCAATGTCGGATCCATCGGGAGCCGGTCCATGACGCCTCAGCAGTTCATCCGACCTCAGGGCAGTTTTGCTGACCAGATGCCCCCGGGCATCTCGGCGCCCCAGGCGTCTCTCTTCCAGGGGCAAGGACACACCAGACAACAGTCGCGTTTCAGCTTCGCCAATGAGAATGCCTCTGGCTCGACAAAGGTCAATCTGTCGGCCAACCCGCGACTCATGGCCCAGCAGACGTCCATGATGCCTTCAGCTTTCCATTCGCAGCCGGGCAGCCAGTTCTTTGCCTCTTCCATGCCCGGACCCCCTCCCGGTCTCAAGTCTACAGGCACACCGCCCGTTGGCGGTGCATTTGGCCAGGCTCATGGTTTTGGCGGCTCCGGCTTCGGTGCATCATCCAAGGATAACCAGAGCGAGCTCCTCAACAGTTTAATCCGAGGTCGAGGCGGCGCCAGCAGCAGCCATGCGCAAGATACTGGTAAGCGTGAGTACTTTTCTTCTTTTCAGAACCAGTACCCAACCTCCTCTACCTCCTCAACCCCTGCTCCGACTTCTGGGCCCGGTCTCTTGCCTCAGCTCTACGCTACCCAGCCTGGGGCTTTCCAAGACTTCGGACCTAAGCAGAAGAAGAAGGGAAAGAAGCATCGGCACGCTAACACTTCCTCCTCTGGGGGAGGTGCTCTAGTAGATCCTCTTGCAGACCCGAGTATCTTGCAGGCGCGTATGCAGCAGCAGCATCAGCAGCAGGGCAGCAACACAGGAGTCGGCCAGGGGCTGTTTGGAGGCCAGAGTCAAGGTGGGTACAACCCGAACATGATGTATGGTGCCGGTGCCGGTGCCGGTTATGGCAGGTGGTAGCTTTGTTGAAAGAAAAAGGCATGGGGAGGATGCGAACGGCGTCATTTTTTTTTTTCTTTTCCTACGAATTGCTTTTGCCGCACAACGCTGTATAGGCTAGGCGTCAAGGATCACGGAAACGGCTCCGAGGGGCCGCGGTATTTCATCATATTCGAGCGCGCGCATTACAAAGGCATGGCCCAGGACGGGCTAAGGATTGATGCATTGGCGTTCAGGGTCTTGGACACGGCAGGGCCTCGCGGAGAGGCACCTCGCTTCTGGTCAACAGACGAAAAAATCACTTGACGAATTGGGCATTTGGCATTCTCAGACATCCACACATTCTTACGGTCGTCGACAGAGGTTTCGCCAGGCAAGCTTTCGTCATCTTCCACACGTGTCCTTCTTGTATGTTAACATGCAGACAAGTCTGGCAGCTTTCAAGGTGCCGGTCAATATAGCTGTTTCACTCCTACTTGAATCACCATCGCGAAATCATGTACATATCATGTGGAAGATGACGATAGCTTGCCTGTGATGTAATCTTTGTGCTTTTGTAATTTCATTTAACGCGCCCATGATGATATCAAAGTTTGTTAAAGCTAATCCGTTATTTTCTCTAGATGACGAGCTCCTACCTCTCGACGAGCACTCTGTCGACGCTCTCGTCGCCGACTCAGATCCCCTTGACTTTGGAGGCTCGGTCTACTCGGGGCGTAGTGGAACGACAACACCGGCGCCGCCGCCAGGATTCGGTCACTCTCATCCACCTACTGCCTATGTACAGTTTGGCGAAAACAACCCTGTGAATCCGGCAACGGCTTCCCATAGCCCAATCATAGCCCGCCCAACCCAGCCTGCAGTGCCTCGGCCCATCACTCCGGTCACACCCTTGATTCCAGTGGCTGGTCTGAGACGTGCTGCTAAGGTGGAGGCTGTTCCAGACAGTAGTGATGCCAAGAAGACCATCAAAGACCTTGCTGTTGCAAGCGGTCTCGCGAGTGATATAGCTTCTCAGCAGAGCAGGTCCTTGAAGGAAGAGGATTTCCCGGCGTTGGATTCTGTCAAAGGGAATTCGCCTACCAAGGTAACTCCAGCCTTGCCGTCCAAGCCTGCTGCTTCGGCAAAGTCTGCACAGGGAAAGAGAGCAGCACCGGAAACACCCAGCAAAAGCTCGGCATCAAAGGCAGCGACCCCAGCAACAAGCAAAACAGACAAGCGACCGGCTCCCGGCATACTCGATATCGCGGCCGCTACCAAAAGCTTGTCCCAAGCGAAGGAAACTGGGTCCTCGGCTGAGTCCAAGGGTGCCACAATTGCACCTATCAGCTCGGCTGCGGCAGTCAAGTCTGTTACCTCCTCTGCTCTCCCAACGCCTACTCCGACAACAGCATCGGTAGCATCACCTCTGGCAAGGGCCGCACCAAAGACCCTGCGCCTAGTCCAAACCCCCAAGGCTGAACCAGAGAATATTATTCCTGCGGCTGCCGTGAGCTCTATCCGCGCCGCTGCCTCTGCTGCAGCCGGCCACCGGCCTGGGACCCCCGCTAGCGAGATCATCTCTGATACAGCCTCGGTCATCAGTGCATCTGTATCTGCCTCCCGCACCAGCTCGCCACCGCCCTCCAAGATTGGCTCCGCCGCACTTCGCACACAAACAAAGAGCCAACAGCGCAAGCAACGCAAAGAGGCGTCGAAAGAAGCTGCCGCCACCATGGCTGATACCAAGCCAGTCGAGCAACCTGTAGAAGTTGCTCCCATTGAGGGCCGCAAGAAGAAGCAGAAGAAGGAAAAGAAGCAGAGAGTTTCTCGCACAGCTAGCCCTGCGATCAGCCGCCCTGAGACGCCTGTGGCCGACTCGTCCAAGATTGACACGAAACTTGATGTTCTGGCGGAGAAAGTTGACGCCGTGGACGGTAAACTTGCCCAGAAGGGCAAAGGCTCCAAGAACCAGTCCGAACCCGAACTCCCTGCTAAGGGCAAGGAAGGGAAGACCAGGGAGGCCAAGGAACCCCCCAAGAGCCCGCCAACCATCGACACTTCCATTCGTTTGAATGAGTCGACAAAGACTACAGTCCTGACGCCCAACTACGTGCCGCCGAGTGTAGAGCCTCGAGCAGAGCCTACCTTTGATGGTGCCGTCGGCGAAATTCCTAGTTTGGCTGAGATTCTGCAGAGTCTCATCGACGAAGGCGAGCTTCCTGATCCCGATGACGTGAACATGTTCAGGCCACTGCCGAACTACCGCGCTGAGGCCGAGAAACTGTCAACTTCCTCTCTACCCCCAACGGTCAAGTCCGTCGTTACCAAGGATGACGAGGCTGTGTTGAACGCCTTTCGAGAGGTTCACAAAGAGGTCAATGGCCATCGTGTCCTCCTCACCCCCAACGGCGACTTTGTTCTCAACCTCTCAGAAGAAGAGGAAGCCCGGTTCCTCGATCTGCAGAAACGCATTGCCAGGTCTAGCGGCGAGGCTGGTGCATTCATGGCGCCCAAGTACACACCCGGCACAGGTTTCAGCCTTATCAAGGGTCGAGCGGTACCGAACGGGATGCCCTCCTTCTTCCCGCAGGGTCCCAGCGCATTCCCATCGGATCCTATCGGCAAGATGCACCGCGAAGAGGCCATCGGCTGTATCAACCAGCATGTCCTGCCCTCGCTCAACCTGGGTTCCTACAAGACCAACTCGTCGTTCAATGCCAACAGCGTCAACCTGCAGTCCCTTGCTCCATGGATCTCTGGTGCAGGGGCCACGGCCGACGGCAAGCGCGGTACCAAGGGGCCGGCCAACATGTTCGGCGCAGGCGTCGGCGACGGCGCGTGGGACGATATTGACGACCTGGACGGCGAGACCAGCGGGCCATCGCCTGCCATTGGCAGCACGCCGCTCATGAGCGTCGAGGAGGCCGAGAGCGTGCTTGCCCAGGCCAAGAAGCAGCACGAGGCCACGGACAAGAAGTTCAAGCAGTCGATGACTAAGATCCGCCGACAGTTTGGACTACATTGACTGGCCGGCTTCGCGGGGAGTTTCACCGGCCGCGCGGGACCCATCGGCATGGTCATCGCGTATGCGTTCGTCGTCGCTGTTTGGATCGTGCATTTTGTCGTTGTGGCCTGCGTCACGGTTGCAACACTGCTTGTGGAGAGGATGTACAAGTTCCTCGGCCACGTTGCGCAGACCTTACGCCCTCGCTGGGGTTAAGATCAACTCGGCGCACTGTGAGATATATTGTGACGCGGGCGCGAAGACGCAAGCTGAATAATGAGGGAGGCGCTGTCACGTTGTTTTCATGATTTATTTTCCCTCTGGAGGCTGCAACCTCTACAGCCTCGACGTATGGCTTCCTGCACGATTCTGTACCTTTTTTTCCCCTCCCCTGTACCAGTACTTGTACCAAAAACCACCCTCCTATGGTAATGGATGGACAGCGAAGGGAGGCTGTCCGTCTGGCCCGATGAATCTTGCCCGGATGGCAACATAATGCGACATCAGACGCCCCCCGAGAGGACCGGCGCCTGCATCTGTGCAGTAAAAGGAAGGCGTTGTGGAATTGGGCACATGGAAGCATAGAGCATGGCTCTAGTCCTGGTCCTGGTGGTTCACTTGCGCCATGGCGAACGAAGAGAAATGCATCTTCACGGCGTTGAATTCAGGCATGGCATCATAAATGTTAGAGTTTACAGACAGCGGAATATGGGGTGGACACACCGCCCTCCAGCGTGAATACAACTACTCATAATTGTACACTGCAATATGTTTTTGTCACGGAAAATAAATAATGTGACGATGCTTAGGCCGAGAGTGCGTGCGTGTTCATGGGGGGATCATGGCTCTGACACCTTCAGCTCTGGTGTCTCAAAGTAAAATGGCGTTCAATTGTGGTGGATATTCCGGGAAAGGGCATGACGGGTCCATGTCGAAGCAAGTAGTCACGATTGGTTTCTTTCACTTATACCGGCTTGCCTTGTGCAGTAGGCCCTAACCGGTGTCAAAAGCTTCCCCATCCGCCTGCAACGGCGATCATTGTTGCTTTTGCCTGCTCCTGCCCTGGGTTTTGGACTCGCCGAGGCCAATCAAGAGCGCCACCATGGCCCAAAGCAGTAAATTTAGTATACATGATCGCCAGTTGTTTTGAGCTCTTATTCACAACAATATATTGCAGGCTGCTGGATCATTCAGGAGATACGTACAATCATGCGCGGTCATTGTGTCAACATGGCCTTGTGGACATCTCGAGGAGCACCGCGAGGCAACGGGCGCCGGGTTACGAAGCAATGCATGCAAGAGCGTACGCGGTGACTGAGTGGCCCAGCCGCGGCCGTAATTCATCTTGTCGCCTGCAAGCCACCGGCTCTAAAGCGAATACTCGGTAAAGACACCCGTGCCTGGAGTCCTAGATTGGGCCAAGTGGCGCTGCGATGGAGTGCGCAGAAAATGCCGACGGTGTCGTCATAGACTCGCAAACCGCAGGCCCGACTAACGATTCGTCGAAACCAGTCAGTCTACCGTGGTGCCACGAGCCAAGTATGGCAGAGTGATTTTGTGCCGCTGGTAATGAGCGTAGCGTAACAAGACGATATTGAGCGTCTGTGGTGTAACCAAGTCATCACATTTCGTGTGTCAGACGACTTTCGGTGTGTCTAGGTGTCTGGTGCACCAAGTTCCCATGGAATAGCACCACTCCTGTCTGACTGTCCAAGAGGCTCTGCTGGGAAATTATGGGTCGCTGGCTTTAGTGCTGTGTGCCGGGGTCCAGCACCTAAGGCAAAGCTTAGTTCGGCCAGTGCGGAGGGTGTTGGGGCCGATGCCTCTAGCATCGAGCTCGATCCCAGCGATGGACGTCAGCGCGGCGGCCGATGGGAATCGAAGTTGAGCCCATGCCGCCCATGTGGTTTTGCGGCCAACGTGCAAATTCCCATTCCCCATCTGTCGCAAGCCTTGATCAATTGATCAATCCACACCCTCCCATGACCATCCGCCGTACGTGTCGCCAGCGCTGCTGCTAAAGGAAAGTGTATCGCCCTGCGAATCCTTTGCACGATCTGCTCCTCTGCCTCCATCCTCAGCCTTGGAAACCTGCGCAGTGTGGGCAGTACGGGTAGAGACGAGTGAATCAGGGAGGGAAGCAGGGAATCGGGGAATCAGGGAATCAATCCCCATCATCGTACCATTTCCCACAATAAACGTAATGCAGACAGGAATGCAGAGGGCGAGCACGGATTTTGGTGGGTTCTGTCGGGCTGGCTGGGCTGGGGCTTGCCGGTGGAATCTGAGAATCTGGGATCGGGAATTGAATCCATCATCAGGGTCCTCGATACCATCGACAACTTCGACGATTGCCATGCTGCTGCAGACAGGGCCCTGGGGGTTCGTACAGTGGGCTCCCTTCCTAAAACGGGGTGTCTGACGGGCTGTCGACCACTGAGAGCGCGGCGAGACCCAGCGGCTGGATGGGGGTGCGCCTAGGCCCACTGCCCCCCCGTGCTGCTAGCTTTGCCAGCCATGCCTTAGCGTGCTGTCCTGGCTGTTAGCCCCCATCGGAGGGGGGTCCGTAGTCTTGGCGCCTCCCAAATTCTCGATCTCCATGTCCCGGCTGGCCACGACGATCATCCAACGGCGGCAGCATCCCCGATTTATCGCATCGCTTTCTGGCATGCCCATTTCCAAAACCGCCCGCCATGGCCAGTATCCTCCTCACTTCTGCTAGGCCCCGGCTCTCCAAACGCTACTGCATCTGACAGCTGTGCCTTGCTGCTTTCTACCTGCGATCACGATCCCGTAGGGCTTGCACGGGCTATACGTGCGGACGCCATGGGCCAGAACCCGTCTTCCGTTCTACCTCTACCAACCTTGCTGTGAGACCTCTCTACGCTTCTAGACTCTTCAAATAAGTCGTTTCGCCGTTTTGTCCGTCTTCATCCTCGTTGGAGAGGCACAATATATTGCTACAGTCAAACCCATCTACTGTCCCGAGCAATCACGCCGTAAACCTTCAAGGACGCTCTACCTTGCCCACCATTCTCGAAACATCTCGCACCATCCTCACCACACCGGCAGCTCCCAAACTTCAGCTCCGTTCCTCTCGTGACCTCGTCGATCCCGCTAGTTTTGGCATCGGAGACGTGCCGAGCCTACGGAGCAGCTGCCCGTATATATTGCCCATATGGTCTTGTTACCGTCTAGGATGCCTACCATGAATCCATGGGAGCTGCATGCCTTGGAGGTTAGTCATCTCCCTCTGCATTGCTTTTTCTCAATCACCACAGACTGCCGATCCGGGCGGTTTGCTGTCACTTCATTCCTTCCCACACCACTTCTATATCACCCAAGCAAGCCTCCTTGCCCTGGACATACGCTGATGGCGACCTGTACAGTACCACTTCGATACCGAAGACCAAGATGCAGCCGAGACGACGTCGATACAATCAGTGGCCATCGCGCCCAAGGACTCCATACACGATGCCATCATCTATCCCGGCATATATGCCCCCAGCGGCTACGACATGATGGGCATACTGGTAAGTGACCACCTGATCCTCCTGCTGCTGCACCATCAGGGTCTAACTTTCTTCTTCTCACAGATCAGAGTCATGACGAGGGCGAACGCTGTGATAGACCTCGGTGCCATCGATGCTTCATGCGCCCTCATCCTGTGCGATCTGAAACAACCAGACTGCCCCGTCGTATACGCCAACGAGCCGTTCTCCCAGTTGACTGGCTACACCCAGCAGGACATCATCGGGCGCAACTGTCGCTTCCTACAAGCACCAGGCGGCAAGGTCCGAAGGGGCTCGACTCGCTCGCATATCGACAAGGACCTCATCAAACAGATGCGCCGCTCCGTCGAAGCCAACAGCGAACTCGCCGTCGAAGTCGTAAACTTCAAGAAGAACGGACAACCTTTCATCAATTTGCTGGCCATGGTCCCCATCTGCTGGGACAGCGCCGAGCCGCGCTTCTCGGTCGGCTTCCAGGCAGAGAAAACCTGGTGATCAGCATCATCCCCCCCACGAAACGACACGTCGATTATTTTCGGGTAATTAGGAGTTCAAATGACTGGCGCTTATTGGAATTACCGCGGGATTCCTGTGTTCTGCATACCCGGTGCTATTAGGCATTTACATCTAGAAAGGATCATGAGGGGATCCACTTGCTTTTAGGCATTCAACGATACCCATATACAGCGTCATATTCTCGCGTCTACTGCGGAGCGTTCTCGTCTCGGAATCTTGTTGGGTTTTTCTTTATCACAGAGGGGAATGGAGTTTTGCTGGGTTTCATCTACTAGGATCGTGGTGTCTAGGGCTGACACGCATCAACGTGGTCCGCTACGCATGTCGACATGATATCAGATAAACGGCAGCTGTGTAGTTACAGTGCATACTATATCACGCAATACAATCAAACTTTTCTGCATGGCTCAGCTCCTCCCCGAACGCTATAAGTTGTGTGATTCACGTAAAAGTTACTCAGCTAGGAAGCAAGCGTGATCTCTCAAGCTGTATACCACCGGGGTGGTGCAGGGAATAAGGCTGCTGCTGCTATCTCTTCCCACCCGCGATATCGTTTACCCTCGACCCTGGCAAGTCGGTAGATTCCCTGTTTGTAAAACACGAGCTGTGGTGGCCGTGCCCAGTCACCGATTCCCGGTACAAGGTGGGAACTCGGGAACACGGCTCGATCCTGACACCCCTGCAGGGCCGCCCAGCATCAGTCCTATCAGCCGTGGCTATATGCCATAAGTGACTCCCCATCGGTTTGAGGTATTTTCCTATGTCGACCTTTTGGCTTGTTTCGCTGGTGTCGGTCGAGCGCAATGAGGCTGACTTTTGACTGCTTTGGCTCAGCTGCACTCTTCAAAAAGGCCCACCTATAATGATCGTCCAAACACGGGATGTCGTTAGGTGTTCCAAGAGAGGTTGGCAGCACATGGTTATCCAGAGACCCTATAGAACCTCGTCACGCCAGTACGTACCGTCAGCCAGGCTTGCGGAGTATGAAATGTAGGAAAAGTCTATGCTATTTAGATCCATCATTCAGTCTCACTTGAAAGGCAGTCTTGGTCTGAAAGGTGGCATAGGACAGTGAGGAAGAACCTGATAAGAGAGGAGCTTCATTCTGTCCAGAGGATTCCACAGAAGATCTATATTATGCCTGGGCAATACCATACTTTTTGGTTATAGGGGAAGATACCATATACCATACCACGTCAGGCATCAGCTCTAGTCGTCCTCTCGTGATGAATACATTAGACGTGTTTTGTCTGGGCCTAGCAGTTGATTGCCGCGTAGTGTATTTGTTGATCAACGGAAGATGGGCTTGGCCTCAGTCTTTGATATCCTTCGTGAATTAGATATGAGCCTGTATAGTCATGGACTCGTGTGATACTGATTGAAAAGAGACGGGAGCTAGCTGGCTGCTTGAGATTTCTTCGATAGCCATATATCAAGCGTGCCTAGCTACGACTTGTGGTTCTGCCTCAACATGGCAAGCTACATACTTCTACGATGTTCTATCTTGTTTAAATATCTGCTGCGTAACGAGTTGGAGATCAGTTCATTAAATCTTCTCTAAATGGTCGTGATGGTAGTGGTGCCTCCTGTGGCCTGTGGTTCGGTTCTTACGTGGTGGCCTGTTTGCAGTATAATAACGGAACCAAGTTGCAGTGCGAATACTTGCACTGCTACTAGAACCCAAAGTAGGTAATCAAGGTGTACACGGGTTTTATGATAGCAGCATCGCCTGCTTTAATGAATATATTCCACCCAAGCTCTTGTCTCAAGGTAATGAGAGCTCTGGTACGATTGGGCTATCCTGAGCCTTTATTGCCTATGCAATAGCAATCCCAAGGCCCTATTCTTGTAGCTCAATGTGAATATCAATTTTACTCCGGAGTTTCGGCTGTGTATCTCATATCATATCTTGAAAACCAGAGCAAAATCTTTCATATTTTCTCAGCCGCCGTAGATATGTTCTGAAGTTTAACTTAGAAAACCACTCAGGTTCTCTACGTGAAACCCGCGTTTTCCCACAAATACGACGTTCTTCACCCACACCCTCTTCTCTCATCCATCCATGCCAACAATCTGCGAACACAAGAGCCCTGAATTTACTTACTTGAAGGAGACGGATTCAACTTCATACCCGTCGTTAGCTTCGACAAATCCTATATTCCTTAGGGAAACCCTGCAGTCTTCCCGTCTAAACCACTCAAGATGTTCGCCATCGGCAATGCGGCAGAGAACTACCGGCGCAGCTTCTCAAGTAGCGCAACCAGCATAGATGCGAGCATCATCGCCAAACTCGAACGAGAATATGCGTATGTGAGAGACCCTCTTCTGCACGTGGACGACGACATCGAATTTCACGACTTTATACGTGCCAAAGCTCTGGGGATCGATTCCAACGAACGCAGCCCGCTTTCGACTACGGATCCCATAGTGCAGCCAAAGTCGAGTTTCTGGAAATTTTTCCGTCGCGGGAAAAAGTGTGTCGAAAAGGCATCATGAACATACTGGCTGAGCAAACGACAAAAGAGCCAGACAGCAATCGTATCGATGTCATGATTCGTCGGGGATGTCCTTCGACTCTCCCATGAAACAAAACCCTCAAGCCTACAAGGCGATAAACAAACGTACCAGCGGTAACAATGTCATCGTTCGACCTCTCTTGCATCTTTCCAAAAGGAGGTGGGCGAACGCTCTCCACAGTTATACTAAGATGACCTGGGGCTTGATAGGCCGGCCCCCACCCCCGGATCGGCAGGCGTCCCACATTGACGGATGGCTATCTGCGGATACGGCTTCCTTCGGCTCAACCCAGTGACGCACCTGCTATAGCCGAACCGCAACACCCTTTGGAGGAATGTCAGACCGTGCATCACGAACGAACTTGAATTCCTGAGTATCACGACGCTTCTCCTGCCAATTACCACATATCCTGCCTCAATTGAGGCCCCGCGGAAAAACTAAATCACCATGAAGGCTGGACTGGCGCGGGGAGCGCCTCTCCGGAGCGCCGCCGCCGCCGTCCGACACCGACCATCGCCGCCTACTACCCCGATCTCAGCGCGGCACCCAGTCCGCTGCTCGAGCAGCATCTCCCAGCGCCAGGGCGCGAGCCACCTCTCGTTCCCTGGCGCGGTCAAGAGCGCATTCACCAGCAGCCTCAAGTTCGCGCTGGCCGCCGAGAGCCCTTCACTGCCGACCTACCGCGTCGTCGACCAGGACGGCAAGATCGTGGACCAGTCGTTCAAGGCCGACCTGAGCGACGAGGAGATCATCAAGCTGTACAAAAACATGCTGCTCATCTCCATCATGGACGTCATCATGTTTGATGCGCAGCGCCAGGGTCGCCTGAGCTTTTATATGGTATCAGCCGGCGAGGAGGCGCTGAGTATCGGGTCGGCATCCGTGCTGGAGAAGGAGGACGTTGTGTTCTGTCAGTACCGAGAGCAGGGCGTCTTCAAGCAGAGGGGCTTCGAGCTTAGCGACTTCATGAACCAGCTGTTCGCCAACAAGAAAGACCCGGGCAAGGGCAGGAATATGCCGGTCCACTACGGCAGCAAAGAGCTCAATATTGTACGTGTACCCAGAATGCTGCTTGACTTGGAGATCGACGAGCTGACCAAACAAAGCACACCATATCTTCGCCCCTGGCGACACAGATACCGCACGCTTCTGGCGCAGCATATGCTCTCAAAATGCAGCGGATCAATGACCCCTCATTACCACCCCGAGTTGTCGTGGTATACTTCGGCGAGGGAGCCGCGAGTGAAGGGGACTTCCACGCAGCGCTAAATATTGCAGCGACCAGGTCTTGTCCTGTCATCTTCATTTGCAGGAACAATGGCTACGCCATCTCAACACCGACCTTGGAGCAGTACCGAGGCGATGGCATCGCTAGTCGTGGAATAGGATACGGCATTGACACTATCAGAGTCGACGGGAATGACATTTGGGCAGTGAGAGAGGCAACCAAGAAGGCTCGAGAGATGGCACTTCAGGATGGTGGGAAACCGATACTGATCGAGGCCATGAGTTACCGTGTCAGCCACCATAGCACGTCGGATGACTCATTTGCATATCGAGCAAGGGTGGAGGTGGAGGACTGGAAGCGGAGGGACAACCCTATTTCCAGGTTACGAAAGTACATGGAGGCCAAGGGCTTATGGGACGAGGGCAAAGAGAAGGAGGCCCGAGACAGCACTAGGAGAGACGTGCTCAAGGCATTTTCCGAGGCCGAGAAGGAGAAGAAGCCACCAATAAGAGCAATGTTCGAGGACATATGGGAGGAGCTCACACCGGATCTGAAAGCTCAAATGAAGCAACTGAGGGAGCATCTTGACAAATACCCCGACGAGTACGACCTGGGAGATTTTGAGGGCGGCAAGAACAGTCTAGACCCGTAGATGACAGTCCACATGGGATGACAGGTGGGACTAGGAGTCAATGGACATGAATATACCGAGAGTCTCATTGATGCACTTGCCCACGGACAACGTATCGCAGCGGTGCTGAGCAATAGTATTAAGCTATGATAACGTCGTGACCCACTGCATATGCGCCAAGGAATCTGCTTGGGCCTTTCCAGCCCGGTGGCACGCAAATCCGCAATGTGCATTCTAATGCCAACGCTCTGTGCGTTCAAGCAGGAAGAGAAAGACAAGGAGGCGAAGGTAATTTGCCTCGTGTATTGCGCAAGAGTAGTTGAGTGATTTGAACGTATCGTTGATCCATACCTGCTCTCTTTCTGGGTTTGCCACTATCACTTCTTTGCGACATGATTGCTAGCATCAAACGTGATCTACGGAGTACTGGGGTTGCTAACCAAGTAAATCCTTCGATGGGCCTTGAGTTACAGAACCCAATAGTGTTACAAAAAAATTACTAGCGGGTTCACAAAGCTCTGAAAATGGCTTGCGCCGGGTTTGATTCAACATGTTGGACATCGCGGCCCGTATACCTGGATGAGAGTGGTACGAACTTGCTGAGTTAGCGTATACTCTAGCGCCACGGGGGTATACGGGGGGGCTCTGACTTACACGCTCACAACACCAGCCATTATGAGTTGCGCAGCAAACTACCTCCCGACGGGTCCAGCCTGCCTGTCAAGCTGTCAATCCAGTCGCACGTGGTCGCCATTGACGCCATTCGGGCCAACAACCCAGCACGACATCCCCCGGGGATCAGCACCGGAAGCGAGATCTCGGCACGTTGCGAGCGTCGCACACGCCATCTGAAACGGGGGCAGACCCCTCCTCCCCTTACCATCCCCCTCAGACCCGAAACCCCAAACTGCTCTGCCCGCGTTGGATCTGTGCGCCGCGGCGGCGCGACAGGATCGTTTCTTGCTCTCTGCGTTTCCCTTCGTCCCATATCTCCCCCTCTCTCCCCGCCGGGGGGAAACATTCCTCTCCCTCCATTGGCCGGTTTCTTGAACCAATGGGTGTGTGAGGTCCTGAAACGCGCCCGGTAGCATCGCAGGGCGCCTCTTTCTCTCTCTCGCTCTCTGTATGTCTCTTCCGCCCCAGCGGGGAACCGCCAAAGCGCCTCTTGCCCGCCTATTTGCCCACGTCGAACAAGGACAAGCTTCTTCTGGCCTGCCAGCGTCTGGCTGGACCTACAGTGCTACGCTATGGCTGCAACCTTTGGCGCAGCCCGCCCCCGAACCTGTGCGTGTCTCAGGTGCGAGAGATCCTCTTCTGCGATTCGTTTGAGCGAGGAGGGGTTGAGGGGCGGGCTGTGATAAAGCTATGTGCAATGGTACATTTTCCTATCGCGGGATGTGCAGAAGCCGTCGATCAGGAACCTTCTCTTGACAGCTGGGAGGGGCGCCTGCTGGTACGGGGTTTCGTTGAAATATCAGACGTTTCCTCGGGACCTGGGGGACAACGTGGTCCTCTTGTTTCTTTTCCTCTGGCTTCTAGAACGAATGAATATATATATGAATGAATGAATCCCCTGCTCGGTTGTCTCAGTATCCTTTCAGTGGACAGTCTCACAAATATCACTTATACATGAGATAAGGGAAACTAGAAGGTCGCGGGAAGCATCGTGAAGAGAGTCGTGGTCAACTTCATTCCAAGCCGGCATCTCCCAAAAGGACAACAGCGTTGTACATATACACACATCGACGATGGCGGCACTCTGCACGAATCGTCCCGAGGGCTTTGTAAGTCGCCAACCACGGCCTGCCAGGTCCAAAACTTCCAAACTTGCTGACCACCACAACCAACAGGGCCCCGTCTCGACCATCACCTCCCCTCTCCCGACGCAGTGCTTCTTCGACACGGTCGTGGTGCCGCTGCCGACGTGGCTCTACCTGCTCAGCATCCCGGCGCTGTGGGCGCTGACGCCGAGGCGCAGCCGGGACAGCCGGCGCCGGCCGCCGCGGGCGTCGTGGGCGTCGACATGGCGGGCCCAGTGGAAGCGGCTGGCGCTGTTCGCGGCCTACTACTTCGTCGTGGGCGTGCTGGCGCTGATGCAGTCGGTCGAGGTCGTGTCGCTGGCCAAGGCGCGGCTGGGCGTCGGCCTGCTGCCGTTCGCGTACGCGGGCCTGCTGGCGGCCGCCGCCCTGCAGGCCACCGACGGCGCCTTCCGCCGCGTGCGCGGCTACTGGGCCGCCAGCTCCGCCTTCTGGGTCGCCGGCGCCGCCGTCACGGGGCTCAAGATCGCCGGGGTCGTGGGCCTGGGGCTGACGGGCCCGCTGGCGCGCGAGGACGGGCCCTACGGGACGCGGCACCAGTTCACGGACCTCGTCATCCTGGGCGCCTTCTACGTCCTGGCGATCGTCGCCGAGGTCGGCGTCGTGGTGGTGCGGCGGAGGGGCCGGAGCAGCGAGGTGGACGACGATGTGGTCGAGCTGAGGAGCGAGTTCGATTGGAAATAGAGACGCGAGGTTTGCCGGGGCTCGTATAGATGGATGGGCGGTCTGGCCTGCTGTAGGACTAGAGGTTGTACGACTATGATACTGGCGTCCGGGGGTTTATTTGCTTGATTTTGGCTGTACTATACAAGACCTGCGGGCACACCAAGGCTACCTAGCCCATCTTTGCTAGACTGCAAAGAGACGAACGAACACGAATGAATGATGATATCACATGATAAGTAACTCAATAGCATGGCTCAACTACTTCAAAGCTGTGAAGGGTTAAGTCAAGGTGGGAAATTTATCACGGCACTGTTAACAGAAAGCAATTGGTTTAGGACTTCATTTCTATTCCTAGCCATCTCGTGTTCTTCTCCTTTATCGATCAAAATTCAATTGAAAACTCATAACTACTACCAGGAAAAGTCGTGTCGTCTGGCAATACAAAAATGCCGGCATCGGTGCTCGCGCTGGCCCATAATGATCGTCTCATTGAGGGCTTTGCCACCATACAATGCTCCTTGTCTAGTACTAGTACATTGCGGTCTTGCCACCTCAAACGGCGTTTGTCCTGACCTAATATGTGCCTTAACAAGTATTGGGGATCTCTCATCTGGGATGGTCTGGAGGCCCGCTAGTCCTCATCCGAGTCTGTAGCATCATCGGGGACGAGCGCTCTGTATCGTCGATTTGCTAGATCCTCAACAAGGCCCCCTTCGCTCTCGGGGTCGACGTAGCCGTCACCGCCGATGAGACTCAGGAGCACAGGCAGGAAGATCAAGGCGTGGGTAGCCGCGAAGACAACCAGGGCTAGCCATACGCGGAAGTAGTAAATCTCGAAGATTTTGGAGCGCGTGAATGCTAGAACAGTGACACCCAAGAGCTTGGTAACTGTGATGCCGCTAAAGACGGACCCGCCCACGTTGACAAGTGCCGTCCACGCCCGGGCATCACGGCCACGGAAGCGGTTCTTAGCGCGTTCCATAACGGATCCGGAGGGAAACATGAAGGCACGAGCGATATGGGCGCAGAACTCCACCGCTATTCCCACGCATATGATGAGGTTGACCAATGAGACAGCATTCAGCGAGACGTCGAAGACAGCCATGGCACCAATAATGTCGACGACTGTCATAACCACTGTAACGGTAACGGCCAACGCGGTCATGAGAGAACCCAGGAGGATTGAGGAAACCAAGAAAATCACGGCGACTGCTGAGCCGAGCAGAGTTGCGCTGAGGTTGACAATGCTCGCGTATTGGTCGAAGAAGATGTAGAAAACGCTGTATGGGAAGACTTCGACTCCGGTATTCGCGTGTACATCATTAGCGATGCGACGAGCTGCCGCATACGCATTGATGAAGTCGTTCTGACTGCGCAGTGGCTTGTGCATGGTACGGAAGTTGCTGGCCGGGATAGTGGCCTTCTTTTCGTCGATAACAACAGCTTGGCTATAAGAAGCCTGTCCTCCTAGAGGACATTCATCGTCGGTCGGAGAGTTCAAGAAACGCTTCAGATAATGAACAAACTCGTCGCCTTCCGGCATTCCGGATAGCGTAATGTTCCATGGGGGATCTCGGTTGGCGAAGCAGGTTTCCCGGTTCTCGATGCAACATGTGTCGTAATCTGGATTGAGCCAGAGGAAGAAGTCATCAACCCAGCTCGCGGCAGGTGAAGCGATAAAAGATACATCAGGTCGCTTGCGCTCCTGCTCCAGCACGTTGGTAAGTGATAGCTTCTCGCAAGACGGGAAGCGAGAGCAGATCTCCAGCTGGTGCGATCGCTGAGTGGCGTTGAGTCCCTTTGTAACAAAGTAAACTGGCGGGCCGGTGTCCAAGTAGTTGTACATGTCATTGAAGTAGTCGATAAGGTAGGAATCGTCGGGCAATGCAACTCGCTGATCCAAACCAAGCTTCACCTCGGGGATCAAGGCTATGCCAGCAGCCAACAAGCCAGTGAAAATCACGACGATAAAAACCTTGGTCTTCTTTCCTAGAATAGCCGGCGCATAGTGCTTTCGAATGAACTGCTGTAGCAGGCTCTCATCAGGAACTTCATAGGGACGCGATCCGTTGTGGCCATTCCCATTGAGATGGATCCTTGCGGCCTTGACTTGGATGCATGGGAAGCAGTCGGCCCGGTTGTCTTCGGTTCGCATTTGGTTGTACGAGAGAATGGAGATGAAAAGAGTCATCTGCAGCACGGCATTGATGAAGACAGCCCCTGCAGCATAGATAGCAAAGTTCCTGACTGCAGGCATGCCCACGAAGGCGCCGAGAGCAAAGGAAACTGTCTCAGTGATGGCTGAGAACAAGATGGACGGTCCCATACGGCCGAGAGCCTTGGCGATCCTCTCCTCAACCATAGCATCGGGATGGCTGACGTTGACTCTCTCAAACTCGTGGACAATGAGAAAGATGTTGTCAACACCAACAGCAAGGACGATGAAAGGGATGACTTCGGCAATGATCAAGGTGGCCTTAATGCCAGCCCAAGAGAACAGGCCGATGGACGAGGTGATTGACATCAAGACGATCAAGATACCGACAAATCCTAGGGTGAATTTGCTTTGCACCAGGCAGACGGCAGGATTCCTCATCAGCTCTCGAATGCTCATGCTAGTCGATCCGAGTGCAAGGGACGCATAGATGAACATGACAATGTAGCTGATGACGACAATCATGGCGTCGGTGTTCGTCGACTTGTTCAGCTCTTCCTCCAGACTGATTTCAGTTGAGAATGACAGACGAAGCCCAAAACGCTCAGCGGCCTCATCTTGCGCCTTGAGAAGCCTCTCCTTGAGTGCTTGTTCCCAGTCCTTGGCTCGGTCAACCTCCGAGGTGCCTTCTGCGTAGTTGCTGACAACCCAAGTCGCTGTCATTGCCGGCGCGTCGACAACATCGTTGATGTCTGTGAACCCTCCAAGCACCATGTTCGGCTCCATGGGCTGGCCAAAGTCTGGTCGGCAGTTTACTGGTGATCTTGCACATTCTTGCAGGTCCTCCTTCCACGAGTCTTTGTCCCAGTAGATGTTGTCCCAGTATGCTGCAACCGACTGCACTACACACGCAGAACCGGTGGGTTTGAAGCACACATCGCTCAACCTGGCTCCAAACTTGGGGCCCTTCAACTGCTTTGCTTCCTTTTCCAACTTCATCCACCATTCGATGACGTCAGCGTTGAGCACCGGTCCCTGGGTGTCATTGACAAGAAAGACCTTCTCTGCCCGGTAGAAGGGCCCGAAGTTCTCATCGAAAAAAGCCTTCTCCTGCGCGGCTTCTGAGGATGGGCTGACCCACAGCTTGGCGGGCTCACGCTCTACCTCGAACTTAACCCAGCCGACGCTTAGCACGATAACTACCAACAAGCTGACAAAGATGGTGATGGCTGGGAATCTTGCGCAGAGATGTCCAAGCTTGCTGAATGCCTTGTCGCACCACTGATTGATCTTGTAGTACCTCTGTGGGCGGTCGAACATGGCGCCGTTGCGCACCAGGTCGCCCTCGTCGTCATCATCCTCACTCTCTGCACCCTGAAGGAGATGCAGTCGCTCGCTCTGCCGGCGTGCGTGGCGGCGCCATGCGACATGCCCGGCGATGACGAGCACGAGGGAGAGGAGGAGCACGCTGTAGGTGAATATGGACGCGAAAGACAAGCACGGCAATACTCCAACCATGCAGGAGCCAGTCCGACTGACCGCTGGGAGCTCTGGGCAGACAGCCGGACAGTCCACACAGGCGCACCTATACGACGGGTCTTCATCGTTGCACTTCTTTGGCTTCATGTCGCGAGACTCCATGCCGGGTTCGGTGTAGCTGGTTGGGAAGTTAATCTGAAAGGGCGAGCCGATAGCCTTCTCGTCGCCCAGGAACTTCAGAAGCTGTGTGTAGTTCTTGGCACCACCGCCAATGAAGTCCATGGCCTTGGAGTTGGAAGGGCCGAACTTGACATCCTTGCAGCTGTCGTAGAAGCCGGTGCCGTACTCGCTAGAGATCAGTTGGTCCAGCTCCGTGACCATCTGCTTCCCGTTCTTCTCTTGTGTCTTGGTGACGTTGATGAAGAGCGACTGGTCGGGCGAGCACGTAAAGGTGCAGAACAGGTTGTAGAAGTTGTCCTTGCAGGCCGGGCAGGAGCCGATAATCTGGTTCGGGGTCGACATGGACGACTTGAGCGAGTCGAGCTGGTCGCGGTCGCAGCAGACCTTGCTGTCCCTCCATTTCACGCCGCAGAGGGCCTCCAGGTCCTTGGCGAAGTCATCGTCGACCTCGGCCGGGCTCTTGGCCAGATCGTTGTCGAGGCACGGCAGCTCCTTGCCGAAGAAGCTCTTCTTCCCGCAGTGGCCGCGGATGGCGCATCTCCCGGCCTCGTGTTTTGGCGTCAAAGGGTCGGCGCTTGCTGTCGCAGCCAGCAGCGCAGCACCAGCTGCGATGACGGAGGACAGTCGAGCCATATCGACTGGCGGGCCCAGGGACGGGCGGACAACTGTGCAATGATGTGTTCTCCGCTAGAAGGGCAGCTTTTCTCGGCGCGCTGTTCAAGTAAATAACATAACTGTAGGTGTGAAGCAGGAGATGGCCCGAAGGTTGGGGTTGGGAGAGTGATGATGTCCGAGAGATCATGTTGTAACATGATGGAGCTCCCGGCCCCCAGGGAAGCTCAGCTTCCGTGGGGTTATGTATCTATCGGCTAAATGCTTCAAACAGGTGCGATGCGATCTCGACGCCTGTATGCGTACGTTTGGCGCTTTTTTGAGATGACCAAGGCGAGGCAGACGGTCACACTACGAGATTAAAATATAGCGAGGCTTAAATGCATTTTGGCACATTTAACAGATCGCATTTACGTGCTTCAGCAAGAACTGAGTATTGAGCTGGTGGTGCTCCAGCCACCGTGGTTAAGAGAATGTTATCCGTAATGCAATAATTGCTGCCGAGAGCTGGCGCCGAGCTCCCTTCCAACACAGATGAGCCGTTCCTGCGTCATACACTCGTCGCCAGATCGCGGGCGCTGGGGGCGCTGGGGGCGTTAATCGTTGCAGCCTGCTGCTGGCGCTGGCACCGGCGTTGGCGCTAGTCTCCAGGGCCCGGTTTGGGGATCTCCTCCACTATCGACAGGGATCTGTGCGTCCCCCGGACTTGTCACACGACTTTGCCCCCCTCAGGCCCTGTGGTCCTTCTGTAGCAACCTCGCCCGCTTGCCGGCTGTCGCCTGCACTGTTCCCGTGCCAGCGTGCATGGCAACTTGGTGTGCGGCCATTCGCTCTGCCGATAACCTTGTGAGTCGCTCTTCTGCACGCCGTAGTCGTCGTCGTTGGTTACGGCTACTCAAGATTGGATGTCTGGCAGCCCAATCGCGAATGCTGTTACTGTGGTACAGACCCCTTCGCCTCTGGCTGCGACGAGACCTTGCATTGTGTGAATATAGTGAATCATCTATCTAATGAGCTGCAAGGATACCAGCTTCGTAACTATGTAGTCGTATCTCTATCATTGCCGTATGGCGCAAGCAAGCCAAAGACGCCATGTACCCAACATTGAGCCCGCTCCCTGACGCCTGGTATCGTAGTGCGAGGTCTATAAGTGCTATAACAGAGTCCAGTCAGGGTCCTCATCATCGGCAGCATACCCTTCTTCAGTGTCGTCGCCTGTGGTCGAGTTGTGTCTTTCGTGATTAGAGGCCTGTAGATGCGATTAGTTGTGGCCTCGTAGACACGCACACACTGAGACATACCTCATGAAGGGCCATTCGGTCCATCAAGACACGCATCTCCCGCAGGTGGTCTGCCAGGGCCACAAAGTCCCTTTCACTGCCCGGCTGCTCTCTCCCACCATGGCCATCGTAATCAAAATCCGGAGTCGAATTTTTGCCTCGTTGCTCCGAATCAGGAATAACGTCCTCGGCCAATAAGCCCAACGCATCAACCACTTTGCCCGAGTCGCGTTTCCTTGCGTCCAACTGCTTCTTGAGGGCTTCCCGCTCCCGTATGAGCCTCTGCACATGCTGGCTCGAGTCCTTCAGCAGCGCGTCCTGCTCGACAAGCCGGTCTTTCAGTCTGGTCATCTCTCCTCTGCTGCTTCCGTCCTTTCCTGCGATGCCCTGTGCCCTGGCCATGTCACGGCCGTTGGCGCAGTTCTGCACCGTTCTCCGCAGTTGCGACTCGTACACCTTGAGGACCTCCAGCCCGTCTTGTAGGCCGTCCTGGATCCCAGGGTAGTATGTTTGCAAGATGCCGGGCAGCCTCAGGCAAGGCTGCAAGACGTACATATCCAGTGTCGACTTGGAAGCGTCGAGCAGGTGCTTGTTCTCACGCGCCAGCTCGATCATCTTCCCCGAGACCTCGAGACAAAAGGCTGCATTAGCGTTGATGGTCCTGGTAAGGCTGTTGATGCGCTCCGCCAGGTCCTGTTGCGACTCATTCGGCTTCTGTGGTACTGATCGTGAGTCGATGAAATCGGCATCCGCCTCCCATGATTCAAAGTTGTCCGGGAGCAAGTCGTGGCGACCGGGGTCTCTACGTCCAGCTCGAGGTGCGGCAGGGTCATACCAAGGATTTGCAGAGGGGGGAGACGATGGGACAGTAGAGGGTAAAGGGGAGGGCCGGAATGGCTGGTGATGATCGGAGCCCGGCTCGGGCGAAGAAAGATCTAGGTTGCTGATCTGGCTGTCGGCCATGAGGAAGTCAGGAAATAAGGTACCGTCATCCTCGCCCTCCAACGGGCTGTTGACGAAATAGCCGTCCATGGTGGAAGGTGGGGTTGAATGTACAACGTGGATATCTGTTCACGGAGGAACCGCAACAGCAGCTGTATCCCTCACGGCTCCTTCATCCTGCGCTGGCGACCTTGACAGTATGCTGAGTTGGGTATGGGCCTCCAACCTCGCTGACAGAGACGGGATGGAATGCCGCGTGGAGGGAAACTAAGGCTTTCGTAATGTAAGTGGGACGAGAGGGACACTGCATTCCCATCCAGGCTTGAGTTTACTTTGGGGCGAGAGGCTCCAGGCTAGGGAGGATGGAAAAATGAATGGCCCATTAAGTTCAAGAAGACCGAGGAAAGTTGCACGAGACAGTATCAGAGCTGATAGTTTTTAGCAGCCTTCCGAGTCGCCTCGACGTTGCACTGGGTTTCGCCTGACAGCCTTACCACGCATCATGTGGACTGAACCAAGGCAACCATTCCTTACGTGTTCCCTTTTTGGCCCTTAGGGCCTCTTGAACTTTTGCTAAAAATGCTTAAACCGAGCTCATGGGACGACCCGGCCCAGCTTCTGGGCTGGTGAACAATTTAACTTGTCGTGCGGTCGTGTGTTGAGACGTGAGATGGTCGAGTAACTGCAGGTGTTTTTGGGTAAAGACTGGGCATTGGCTTCGGCAGTCAGAAAGTCAGAGTGGCATGACGCCATCGGAGCTCGGTTGCGTATATTGCTCGCAGCCACAACCAGAGTGCACAGGATACCAAACTCACTGTCTCGGTGTACAAAACTGACTACCTCCCCCGTGAGATCTGTTAATGGTACATGGCACCGCTCATTTAATATCATTACGTGCAGTTACGGTTCTTTTAATCCGTGGCGGTGTTGGCCCTCACGGAGGCTTTGTCTCTTGTCTCATTCCCAAGGTCATATACGCACGTCCCTGACAATGCCCACGTCTGAGCATATGCAACTAACAATCCCTTAGGAGTCAGGTGATGTGATTACATGTCCAAGTAAAGCGACGCAGAAGGAGATATTTGGTACTTCTCTCATGTTCACTTGGTCTACTCAAGCCAGCTGTCGTTTGGGCTTGATATTGCATGAGAAAGCGCATTCAATCACCAAAGAACACGTTTGGTGACAAAATCGTTACGCGTGGTAGTCTGCCATCACATGGTACACGCGTGAAATCTTATGTCAATACAGTCGTAACTCTAGTTCTGATGCTATTAACATCATCTGTTTGGTATCGCTGGCGATCTATATCGCTTCCAGTCGCTGAGATTCTCGATATCGAATCCCGCGAGGTACTCTCGAAATAGCAAGTCGGAGGCTCCGACATTATGCCCACCCTTTGCTGGCCAGTCTGATCAGACCCTGGTCTGGCATCATAGAGCCCCTCCATCCGTGAGGCCCTACCCGTATCCCTGGGGCTCGGCCACCGCATTCTCCCCACCCACCAACAGCTTTTTCGTTATCGAGAGGATCAGATCAGGATCTATCTACACTGTTGGGTTCACGACTGCCCGCCGTATTGTTCCGTAGGACTAGCCGGAAGGAAAACTCTTCTCCACGAAGCACAAATGCTAAGCCAAAGTTTGCGGGCCGGGATCTACCGGGCCTTCTCCTTGAGCTTTCCCGTGACGGTTCCATCCTCCTCCTGGTAGAGGCCGTGCTCGCCGATGTAGTCCACGACCTCGGTCGGTACGAGGTAGTCGATATTCATGCGGCGCTTGGACAGCAGCCGGACCCTCGTGGACGACACGTCGTTCGCCACAGTCTGCGGGATGTAGTAGATGTTGTTCTCCCACTCCTTCAGGCTGCCTACCGCCTCCTGGAAGTCGGTGCCGGCACGCTCAATGACGAAGGCACCATACTGGCCCAAGATGTGCGCAAGATCGTCCTGGCTCCACACGCCAGGTGTGCTCATGGTCTGGATGAGGTCCGCACCAGCAAGCAGAGCGATCCTGACGGGGTGCTTCTGGCCATTGGTGTCCTCAACACCACCGATGACATCGTTGAGCTCATGCTCAAAGTGATCCAATACCTTTGCTGTCGGCCTGGAGCTTGCATGTTAGCGACGCACTGTACGACGAGAAGCGGGATGGAGCCATGTCCGCGTCGGCGGAAACGTACATGTACTCAGCGTGAATGGCCTCCCATGGGTCGACCATCAGGCAGTCGGCCGTCCTTGTCCTCCGCTGCACGGCCAGTTCGGCCATGCGGATTCTGTGGTGCGCCGGGGCCAGGCCGACCTTCTTGTAAGCATCGCTCACGGGGGAGAGGTAGGCGCCGACGACGGTGAAGTTGGTGTTGGCCTTGACGTAGTCGTAGGCGAGCGAGAACATGCGCAGGTGCAGGAATGTGGTGGGCGAGAAACTGCCACAGGCGACGAGGACCAGCGGGGTCTTGCCGGGCTCGACATCGCGGAGTTGCAGGCGGTGGGTCGGCAGGCGGTAGTTCTCGAGCGACATGTTTGCCGACGACGGCGTTTGCGAGTTGGCCGTCTGTTGTGAGGTTGTGGAAGCCATGGTGGCGATGTGAGGATTGGCGGGCGAAGGGCCGGGTCGAGCGAGAGCCAAGGGCCAGGAGAGACCGATGACGACGATGCCCGGAGAGGGCGGGCAACCAAGATAAGATAAGGTTGGACCCTGGATTGAGTCGGCGGGTGCGACGGTGGAAGCGATGCTCGTGTGCAGGGCCGGATGGCGCGGTGTTTGCGGCGGGAATGATTGACTTCGGGGCGAGTTGGCGAAATGGGCTCCGGGCTGGTTGTGATTGAGTAATAGCAGAAGCAGGCAGGAAAGTGGGAAGCCGGCGGCGATGGATGGAGGTGTCTAGTAGTAGTGGAGTGTGGTGTGAGCTACAGGATAGGATGTACGGAGCACCACGGTGACTTTTAACTAGTGCTAGCAGGCAGAGAGAAAAGAGGGCCCCCAAGTCAAGTTCTGGCCCGTCAGCCCGCTGTCTGGGCGACTTAAGTATCGGAGACAGGGAGCGAGACGCCCCAAGGGCTCAGGACACCCGACCACCATGCCAACTGCGGACGACGTCTCCAGCGCCCGGCCACCGAACCCCGCGCGCCCGACTCCATCTAGTCATTCGTCAATGCTACTGTACACCCAGGCCTCGAGGTACCTCCTCAACCTCAGCCAGTGGCGCCAGGCAACCCCCAGGCAGCCGATAGCGACATTGGCCCCGTCTATTGGCACATTGTGAAACGGGCGTGGGGTTCTTCAAAGAAAGAAACACATCACTTCTGTCTGGGGTAAGCCGCCAATGATTGCTTATACGCTGGCCCGGCTTGCTCAGCTTCAACTCAGACGTGAAATGATTCGAGCTGTGACCTAGGTAGCTTCGAAGACTAGACAAGTTAGGTACTTAGGTTGGCAGACACGAGCAAGCACGAGACAGACATCTCGCTTTCCACGGTTGATCAACAAGTCCTGACCCCCGTTCGAACGATCTCCGAGTTTATACCCGAACGCGCAGCTGTGCACTTCAGTGAACGAAGCACATGTCCAGGCAGGTGGGCTTTGAGGGGTGACTGTGACTCGGCTGCTGAACACAGCCCTAGCCTGTGCAATGGCTCAGTCCTCCCTGCGCCTCGGTGCTTTGTACAGTTCACCTTTGAGTGTTCAACCAGGCTCCAATCTTTGAGCGGCAGCAACTCTCAAATCCCCTATTGTTCTCTCCTGACAAATCTCCTTTCCAACTACTCACGCCGGCGAGCTGGCCGGACGTAAACCGGAGGGGCCCGCCGAGCACGCAGCATAGAGGGGCCGCGTGCCAAGACATCATAGCCCACGACAAGGGCCCCCCCACCCCACTTCAGATGCCGCGGAAGAGAATTCTGCGAGCCCACGAGACGAGACGGGCCTTTTTCTCGTTTCACTGTAGGGCTGCTCGTGCGCGACTCTTTTTTTCTTCACGGCCAAACGCCTGTCACTAATCTCGGGCGCACCCGCAACCAGAAAGCCCTACTATTTCGTTTGCTGCCTCTGTATCACCCGTGGGAACTAAGCTTTTGAACAAGCCAATCCGCGGGCCCGCCGGCAAAGCAGAGAAACGTTTCCAAGGCCAAAACGGTAGGCACAGGATGATTTGCATCTCGTCGCTGTGGGGACCCGCATAAGCGTCGAGCGTTGCGCCGACGCCCGGAAATTCGGTAAATACAGGCCTGCTTGGGTAGACATGCTCGGTAACTAGTCCGACGCCCATGGAGGTGCCCTCACGATCCAACCCCGAGCCGACGTATAGGCATCTCACTGGAAGTGATTGCATATCGCAGCAGACCTGTACCCGATTCCAGTAATATGCTGCCATCTTGCTTGCTATGGGATTGAAAACACCGCTTAAGCATGTTTACTGTCTGAGTGTCATTGCCTGGAGGGGATAGGAGGCACTCTGGCGCTAGTATAATTATACTTCCAACGCTGCAGACCCTAGGACGAAGGGATGTGTGTAATCCATACAACAGAACAAACGCAACGTAGACTAATGGTGTAGCTGAGCCCAGTTGAGGAGACTGACAACACGTCGCTGGGATATCCACTGCAACATCAAGTGACGAACATAATAGCAATATTGAATATGCGTAGACTTGCAACGCTCCAATAAGGGCATCTAGCCTTATTAGGAGTCAGGACTCAGGCAGCCTAAGTCAACCCCTATGTCCAGTTTTCGTTCCAGAAGTCTGCTTTTTCCTTTTTGTGACTCAACATCTAGCTAAGACCTACAGGGGTGCTACTCTGCAAAAGGCCCATGTGACTCTATTCCAGCCAATGCTGAGTTACTTCCCCACGTAATAAGAAAAGTCATGATACTAATCCACTACTTGATTTTCTTTTCCATGTTAAGTTTTTTACGTTTGAATTGTTGGCACATATACGCGGCCGAAATAAGTAATCGGAACTGAATTAATAAGGACACGTCTGTTGGTGAACGATATGGCATCAGCGTCGTAACAAGTGGTATAACAAGATTATTGCACTGTCTTTCTTTACTACTAATCCTACCCAGCAATCGAATTAACCCAATTTCCTCTTCCTCCATATCTCTATCATCAGTAGTTGAAACTCTCATAATGGACTTCCGCCCCATCAAGCCACTGGACCAGAGTCTTCATCATCTCGGGGCCCGTGCAACAGTAGAAGGTCCTCCTGATCTGCCAGTCACTGGGCGTGCTGGTGTCCTCGCCGTGAGTCCGGCCCCTGAGGACGTCCTGCGTGACCCGGCCGTGGCGCACCTGGACGCCGCGGTCCATGAGGGCACGCACGTTCCCGATGGCCTCCTCGCTGCGGATGTCGCCCGTGACGTACAGCGCCGTGACGTCCTGCATGCCCGGGATGTCGTCGAACGCCCGGATGGCGAGCCCTAGATCGCTGCTCTTCAGGGTCCAGACCACCAAGATGTTCTTGGCGTTGGGCGAGTCTCGAAGCCGGCTCGCCTGCGCCAGCAGCGGCGTGATCCCGACGCCCGCGGCTACGAATACAATCTCCTTGCCATTGTCAGTAAGCGGAAGCTCGAAACCCTCGGTGTCGCCAAAGGCCAGAACCGGCAGCTCAAGAGGCACTCTGGTCGACCACTTGGATAGAAGCTTGGTTGCTGGCCCGTGTACTCTGGCCGTGATTTCTAGCTGCACCGCCGAGACACCGGGCTTGAAGGTGCCGTCCGGTCCAACCAGCTCTGCTGCCGGAGGGGCACTGATGGTAAAGGTGCGAACGAAGTCGTCATTCAGACTCTGGGGTTCTTGGTCATTCATGTGAGACCAGCCATTATCAAGCTCGGGCCCGAAGTCGAAGGTCGCGTACTGACCGGGTGTCCATGCCTTCAGTTGACTCTTCGGCCGGCCTCGCTTGTCAATAAATGGCGCCAGCTTAAATACGAAACGGTAGATGATAGGCGTGATTTTTTCCTGCTTCAAAAGGGTAGCCGTAGCCATTGCACCAGGCTCGGACGATGGGAGAGCTTTGCCTGGCGTGCCTTGCGTGATTACCGACCGAGCCGGAGGGTTATATGGCGAGTGATCGATGAACTCTCCGCGGAATGAGAGGGCGTTTGTCACAAACCTGGCCTCTTCGACTTTGATCCTGACTGCTAGTTTAGTGCGAGGAAGATACATTGCTGCCCGGTCGCCGATCAAGATATCCGCGCGGCCCGTCAAGTATAGGGCGTCTCCGGTCTCAAAATCAGGGATGACGAGGCCCGCATAGGGATCGGTTCGCAGGTTACCCAGCGTCTGATAAAGCCTGTTACCAGAGTACTCGGGATATACCAGCGATACTCCGCCTTGCTCCGCAGCCGCGTTTTGGTAAACCCCCAGAAGTCCAGGCGGTCCACCGCGGTGATTGGTGTCCATGCTGCCGTCGCCGTGCTTGCTCGAGATGAAGAAAAGATCTGACTTTTGGATCAACGCAACAGCCTCTTCCGACAAGGGCAGACCGGTGCCCTTGCTCTGTAGAATCGGTACGGATGATGACTCTTTTGACACAGGTGCAGGCGTGATGTGTTTCTTGTTCAAGTACTTCGGACAGTTTCCCAACGTCTCGGTGACCTCGAGGGCCATCTGTACGACTCTCTGTGGCCCATTCGGTTGACCGCCATCTGCCTGGCCGTGCTGCTCAGTGAAGACAGAACCAGCGACGAGCCGGCCAGCAATCTTGACACGATCTCGTGTCTCCAGGTCGATGGACAGCGCAGATATCGTCTTTCCTCCGGTTGGCTTCACTAAAAGATCGTCGACGAAACGTTTCTCTCTGGCGTCAGATGTGTGAACTGCAAAAAGTTCATGTAGCACTGGGTCGTATATATTGTCAGCGGGAACTTGCGCGCCCAGGACGCCTGGCCCAATCGGTCTGCAAAAACCGGCCGTGTGTCCCCAAATCGTTGTCCAAGGGCGGCCTTGCTCGTCCAGTGTACCGACGGCCATGAGTGGTGAGTCTTGGATGCGCCGTCTATATTGTAGTCCCAGGCCTGGGTATGTTGGGTTATCACCTTCTGGTACGCCGAGCATCTGGTGGATCTCTTTTTCACCGGCATGCCACCGGGAGTCGATCCCGAGTACGGCCATCCCGAAGTTCCTTAGGATGATGGACTGTGCTGTATAGCAATTGTATAGAGTATGTCTGAATCCAGGCGGTGCGTGGTAAAGACACCGTGATATAGAGGCTCCAAGATATGGCGCCTGTTGCAGTATTATGTCGTCCGGAGGACGTCCAATACAACTCAAGAGTTTTAATACTGACAGAGCATTACCTTAGGTAGGTATTACTCAAGTGAAAGGCGTGGCCCGCCACTGCTTCAGCAGTTTCCGTCTCGTCAGTAATTCGCTCGAGGAAGTCGCTAACCAAATGGACTGCCAGCGTGACCAGCCGTGGAATCCTGATGGTTACCAAACCGGGATAATATTCAAATAGTACACGCGAGCAGGATAACCAAGGGGTAAGTAACACTTCCTTATCATGGTACCTGTGTAGGTATACGAGAAGATGCATAACGCAAGCGGCTTACTAAGGCTCGGTTCTGTCTTAGTCAAGCTATGGCGTGAAGCGGTCTGTAGCCAGCCAGATCTTTTACGGCACCCGTCGAGAATGGTGTTACATTTGATCTAAATGTAGACTCCTCGAGAGTACAACAGACGCCTCAATTCGTATCTCATCCGTGGCGGGAAGACTCCTGATGAAGTGAAGTGAAGTGGTGCGGGAATGACAAATGGACGGGTGACCCGAAGGGCGTGCGGGCGCATCGTTTGGTCGGTCTGTCCGGCCGGCCAGCACGTCATCCGGGATTTGCCAGTCCACGCCATCCGTAACTTAACTTAGGCCGACGCATGAATGCCAAGTCTTGGTATTTGAAAAGCGGTACTTGATAGCATATTCAAACTACAATTTAAAGTAAAGTTGTCTTCCTTTCGAATGCATTCATTATCTGCCTTCGGCCTTGGGTGAAAGGTGACTGAAAACTAGTTTTGGCCCTGGATGCTACAAACGAGTGAATCCGGGTTGTACTCTAGGAAGATGGCAAGCAAGTCTACACAGAATATCGTGATAGGTATATAAGAACTTGAAAACGTCGCCTTTTAATACTAAGATTCTTCTAGGGTTAAAATAATGGCCACGTTGGCCATAGAAAGCTCTATTTTGATCCGTTAAAACACGGCTTTCTGGGTCTCCCAGAGTGTAGCAGATGTCCAATGCAACTGACCTCTAACTGAAAACTCTATTACTCCCATATATCCAGACTCGGACGCCTTCTGATGCATATGCAAACCGTAACTCATGACACGCGTATCCGATGCAAGCTCGTGAAGCGTGTAACAACACGTTTAATACACCCGCTGCCCCTTCATCGCCTTCTCCCTGTGACGAGGTACTGACCCGTCAAGACCTCGACCTTCCAGCCGTCCGCAACGAGCGCCTTACACACGTTGATTCGGAGGCGAGATTTGCCGTCGGCGCTGTGACGGCCCAGACCGGTGACGATCGTAAAGCCGTCCTTTGCTTTCCGAGCCCGATCCTCGCCCAGGCTCTCCCACCATCGCCGGACGCGTTCGAGCGCAATGTCGACGCCGTCCTGTACAGTGATGCCGTGAAGATCAATCTTATTATGGGTGCTGGTCCGGTCCACCATGTAAGCGGCTTCCGCGCTAGTTGCCTGGCGATGACTCTGCGCCAGCTCGCGCCCGCGCTCTGAATACACCACGGCTGCCTGTCGGTAGAGGCCTCCTTTCTTGAACGTAGCCCCGGCGTAATTGTACGACTGGTCTCGCAAAGCGGCAAAATCTGATGAACTCAGCACCGGGGACTGCGGGCTGAGTGTCTGATTCAGGCTTGGAGGCCCGGCCTTTGCCAATGCTGACCAGCTCTTACCCCCACGCGTATTGCTGCTACTGTTTTCTGGAGTCTCGATGTCCAGTCGTGGCGCGGCAACTCTGTATGAGACATCATACTTGAGATATGCTGGCTTCTCATAATAATCGGCGAGGATATGTATGATGTCTAATGCGTGTTGTCGCGTAGGAGCAGTGATCTCCAGTATTGGAGTGATGTACTTTGTAGGGATCCAAGAGAATTCCTTGGCAAGATCATCGGCGTCTCGAGACCTGCAGGTCTGGGTAGGTTCGATACCGAGCGCCATCATGTAGTTATCCAGAAACTGCACGACTGTCGCGCCCATGGATGAGTCGTGCTGATAATAAATGGTTGCAACATCAGAGTCCTGCAGAGGAAGGCGATCGGCCAGGAACGCGATGTTTTCTAATCTTGTTAACATGGCACTGTTTTCTAGCTGGGATAAAGAGAACAGCAACTTACGTTGGTGCGTTTCATCATTCGCCTTGGAGTCCACCGAGACGTTCGTCGAGCTCGAGTTCGCCGACTCGGATATACGGCCGAAGCCTTTCTTTTTCTTGCCCTTTCTCTTCTTGGCTTGCACAGCGTCATCGGCGACGTAAAAGCCGTCGACACCTTTGAGACGTTGACCCATCTGTTCCAGATGCTCTGTGTTGAGCAGAACGTCCAACGCCAGATCGGCGTCCCCTTTGGCCTTCTGCAACGCTAATTTGACGTCTATCGGCTTGAGGAGAGTGAACATCTCTCCTAGGCGGATTTCTTTCTCATGGTTGCTCAGCCCATCGAATAGGCCCAAATGGATGGGTTCTGGTGCGTCTTGCGTTGATGTCTTGGAGGAACCCGTCGACAGCACGCTCTGCGGTGCAGAACTCTCCGTGGCGCTCGTGAAGCCATCGTTGCTCTTGAGGTCGCTTTCGGACACGTTGCGAGTCTCTCCAGGCTCATCAGCGCCCGCCCCGTTGATGTCGACGACTTCATTTGCACCCAGCCCGCTTGGGTTGAATCCCGTGGCCTCCTCTGCTTCAACATCCTTGGAGATGCTGAGGAGGATCTCCCTGGCGGCTTGAAACTCATCAGGTTTCGTGAGATCATAATCACTACATATTGAGAGAATTGTAGCCTCGTCCAGCAATGAACACAGTTCATCCTAGAAGTGCGCGGTGAGTATGACAGTGGTTTCCCAAAACCCACGCAGGGCAAACTTACCACGAGCTTCGTTGAGGGGTCCTCCATATCGTACAATCTACCCAAGCACACCTATCCAAATGAAAAACCACTCTCTGGCGCGAGAAGGTGATCTACGTGGGGGCAGCGATTCTTCGGCTCGGTAGATCAGCATACACAAAAAATTCCGCAGCGCTTTTCGTATACATCATTAATACGTTGAAGTGAAATGTTGGTGATGAAGCCAAGATTGGTAGGGGACATGTATTTCGGGGTCCAAACCGGCGCGGGCGAGCAGCCAAATGGTTGAATCATCAAGTGACACACCGAGTCAGACGGCCGTGTTGGCAGCGCGATCTCTTGTCAATTTTGCGGCCCGTCGGCTGCGGAGGCAGCGCTGGCGGCTGGCAGCCAAGAAACCGCACCTCCGACACCGTCCCTTCTTCTCATTCACCCACCTCGATGAGCAAGCAAAAGGTGTAGTATAACCCACTCCAGCCTGCGACTGAAATAACCTTGGGCGCGCTTTTTGCCAACTCTATAGCATCGGCACAGCTATGCAAGTCCCATGCAGCATTCACAAGATCCACTCCATGCATGCCTGACTCGTACGATCCCGTACCCCCGGCTCGCCCGGTTCCCCAAAGTTCGTGTGGAGGAATGATGGATTAGGACTGATAAGTATCTACAACAAGGTAAGACGTGAAATAGCTGTCTTTGGTCATCGTCTTTTAAGTCAAGACTGTTGTTTTTCACCTGTCAAACTAATAGTCAAACTCATAGTCAAACTCATTTGTCATACCCTGCGCATTGTCTAGTAATTGATCGATTCACTAAAACCTATGAACGAGATACCATCATTGTGACGAATCTTTATGAGACATCATACTCAAACCATGCAAAAACAGACCAGTCCAGTCATTCTGAGACACCGGTCGGATTGTCAACGCCTAGCGCACCCAGCCACGACCTGCCCTCAGGTCTTACCATGCCCTTTGTCGTCCATTTGTGTGGAGAGCTTCCCTTTTCTGCTGTAACGCCTTTCCATGTCCTTGCGAGCTGACCTGGACATCCTTCCGAACCATGTTTTGTACAGGTTTTGTGCGCCTTCAAGCGTCATTCCCATCAGGGCAAGGTCCAAGATGCTTGCTCATGACCGCCTTGAAATCCTTCTCATCAACGACAGCACCAGTTCCACCACATTTGGCCTTCTTCTGCAGGTCAGAGCACAGGCCGTCGAGGTCAATGTCGCCAGCTTGTACCTTGGGGCAGGTTTGCAAGCGTTCCCTAGATATTGTTAGCTTGAGGCAACCAATGGCTACTATGCGACCGGGGACATACCATATGTTGTTACAGGTGAGCAACTTGCCATTGACGCTTGTGACAATGGTGTCTTCCTGCTCCTTCGCCGCATCAATTTCGGCGCAGATGTCTTTCTTCGGCGGGTTAGGAGTCGGCGCCATATTGAACGGCGTCGTAAAGTCGGCATCAAATGCCTCGTTGAAGAAGCTATCATCAAAGGCCGGGTTTGCGAGAATGTTGTCCTGTGGCTCACGGTAATCACCGAAAAGCTGTGGATCAAACTGACCGCCATTCTGTTGTGCAAGCCAGTCTAGGTTGTTCATGTCAAGGTTGCCAAAGCTGAACTGATGGGAGTTGGCCGTAAAAGCGGGTTGCTCCTCGCCAATGGTCGTCAATGTGTCCACAGGCTTGAAGCCCAGAGGCGACTGTGTGAAGGGCTCAGGGGATGTTCCACAAGAAGAGCTTGGGCCAGCGTTGGAGTTGGATGAGGCTGATGGAGAACCAGAGTTCGTGCCCGCGATGCTAAAATTTCCGGAGTCCAGACTCGACCTCGAAGCATTGCCGAGGAGAGCATCGTAGGGCGATGTGTTGATGATGGAGGAGAACTTGGAGAGTGCGTCCTTGTCACTCTGGCTCTGAGAGTTCTCCCGGCTCTTAGTAGATCCAGGAGTGGCCGTGTCGTTCTTGTCGGATGGCGTGGGCTGACTGCCCAGACTGCTCGGAGAGGGAAATGAGGGCGAGCGTCCGTTGGTTGCCTGAGGGCCAGGGAGCACGCCAAACTTGGGAAACTCGAACTGGAAGTTGACATCGTTGAGGTTGCTCATCATTCCAGAACCAAACGGAGGGGCCTTGGAACCTGAGTAAGAACGAGCACCACTGTTGGCAAGACTCAGTTTCTTCTTATACTCATTCAACTCCGTAGTCATTTTCTCAACTTGAGCACGGAGCTGACTGTTTTCGTTGTTGGTAGTCTCGGAAGCCTTCTCGAGCTCTGCAACCTTGGTCTCGAGGTCCTTCAGGTGCTGCTCCTTGCGCTCTCGAAAAGCACGCTGAGCAGCACGGTTTTGTGCCTTGCGCTTCTGAACATTGTGTTAGATGGACCCTGTCATGAGCGTTGGCAACCAGTGCCGCATATTCTACTTACCGAACTTGGCTCATTGGTAAGTGGCTTACGGCCAGGCTTCTTGGGCACCTTGCCTTCACTCTCACGTCTCTTGGCGCTCCCTTCCTCTCGCTCATCATCGTCCTCATCTGGATGGCTTCTCTTGTCTCCGTTCTCATTCTCAGGAGAGCTGGCCTTGGAGCTGCTCTGGGACGATCCAGAAGGCTGCGCCGGCGTCGTACCTGGAAGATCACCAATCATCTTGCCTGCGTTGTCCGTGCCAAAGTCGAAGTCATAACTTGTGTCTCCGTCAAGATTGTAGTCGTAATCAAACAGCGGACTTTCCTGTTCGCCATTGAAATTGCTGATGGCTGGGCCATTCTGCGCCGGCGACTTGGTCAAGGCAGCCGGCGACAGGGACAATCCATTGTTCTGAGGAGAGGCATTGTTGGGTTGGTTGGAGGTGAGTGCGCGGAACAACAGTGCCTGCTGCTGAGGCGTGAGGATGAAGTTCGAGGGGAGACCTCCTGGGAGAGTCGAGGCCATGGCGACGGATTGTTGTAGGAACTTTCAGGTAGTGTGGGTAAACTACAATTGTGATTCTCCTAGTCGAGTGCGTCTGGGTTGGCTGCGGATACTCAGACCCAGAAAAAGAAGCCTATCCGACGTAACAGTGACAGCACGATGGGGGTTGGCGAGCACCGGGCGAGCGGGCGGCCGATATCGTCAAGCTGACAGCGTGGGAATATGGTGGCCCGACTTGGGCGTTGTCGTCGGTGACTGTGCTTCTTGATTGATCTTCAATTCACAGGCGCGCGGAGGGATTTGAAGAATGACGTCTCTTGCTCGGAGATCAGGGCCAACGATGCAGGAAATAAAAATCGCCTCCCAAGGGTCTGGAGGAGGACAAGCAGGCAGAGGAGGGTAGAGTGGTGAATGGCGGGCAGGTGGGTAAGAAAGTGGCGGCCTTTTTGCCTGGTTTTGTCTGACTCTTTCTGCCTGACGCTCGCAACACGCCCCTACGGAATCTAACAGGTGTGGTCCCCTGACTCCTGACGTGCGAAGGATGGATCTGGACAGCGTGGTTCGAAGGTGGTTCTGGTCGTCGTCTGCTGGAGCCTTGCCTGCGGCGAGGAGCAACAGAATTCGAGAGAGGGGCCCAGAAGAGAGGGCCTTTTCCGATTTGTAAGCGCCACGCATGAGGTTGGAAGAGGGTGGCAGGATGGGCTGTGATCAGTCCAACGCCGCCGCCGCCCGAAATCCCTAGTCCGAAAAAAGAGCCCGGGGCCCTTTGTGATTGGCCGTTTGTGGGCGATGGGAGGTGAGCAATCGACTACGCTCACCCCCCTCCTCCGCCGTATCAGATCGCCAATGCCTTTCGACACCATCAAGGAATGCCCCTCATATTGCAGATGTCCATTACGCCCTTCTACCGTAGCAAATCCAATGTCGGCCTGGCGCGGCCAGTCCGTCAGGGTCCAAGGCACGTCTAATTGCGATGGGGCCTTGGCCCGGTACCCTTCACCTACTGTACCTACATGCTTGCCCGCTTGCATTGCTGTAAGAAGTTGGAGGGAAGACACACTTTCGACCATAGAATGCTATATCCTCGTCGCCGTTGTCGTCAAGGGGCTTTGCAGGACTGAAGAGTCATACCGGTAGACATGCCAATAGGTACATACGGCGACCTCCCCCGTTTCCCGACAAGGTGGCACTCCATTGATCTTAAGGCAAGCTCGCAGGGGAGGCCACGAAGGGACAGACACAGCTCAGCCATATTCATATCCATCATACGGCATGCACAGCAGAGCAACTCCGGACTGGGGGCATTCACACAATTGCATGTGCATCTGCTCCTGTGGCGTGCATAGTGTGACCCTGTTTGTACGTATGCTGAATGACAGTGGCATTTAGCCATGATGCATCGGCCGTGCCCTCATGACGATGGCTGAAGTCAGTCTCGGAGCTAAGTACCTTTGCCCTCCTGGAATCGCAACTCCCATTCCCTGCATTCGGCACTCGGTGTATCTTGCTCGTCCGCCCCCCGCGGTCCCTCGGCGAGCCGCACGTTTGCCTTGCAGCGTGACTGGCAGGCCGTGGCAGCCCAGTCGAGTTTCAGGACAAGCGCTTACTGTGGTACCTACGTCCCTGGCTGTCTGAGGTGCCGGAATGCGAATAGATCGGCAGAACTGTCCTAGATTTTGGGCAAGTTGACAGGATGATCAGCAGCTCGCTTGGTCCTCCGGTCGGTCTAGGCCCCGTTCAACGGAGTTTGCGGAAATCCGACTCGAGTCGGCATTGGATTGGGATCCTGCCAATCTGCCATAAGTGTACCATAGTATGCGCGCAAGGCTACCTGGGTTAGGTAGTGAATATCGAGAGCGCATTGCTGGCTTGCATAGGAAGATGTCCATAACCAGAGATATGTGCAATTCGTAGCTTGACCTGGCATTTCATCTACAATAAGCTGCCGTAGATTGCTATATTGGCCAGATTCATGGTACTGTTCGAGCCATCCTCATGGCAGTGTATGCTATCTTTTTCTCTCCCTCCTACCTCTTCCGAATCTCAACGGACGCCGAGCCAAACAGTCAGTCACCCGTGATGCTGTACATCTCTTAGATAAGGCACACACTAGGTATGTAGGGTGCAGCACTCTGTACAGAAGCCAGCCGGGTGGGCATACAGGCTTGACAGTATCCTCCACGTGGTTACAAGTATCCACATTCCGTATTTGTAGAGGATGATCGGGTGAAAATTCCGTCTTGTTAAGCCTTTTACCGGCATTAGGTTCAACGACACTGGCAAAGGCAACCACAAACCCAGAAATACTACGAGGAATGCCCGTACTCGCGATACGGCCACCGAGCGGCAGTGTGGCACGTGATCTGGGGGACTCTCGAGAGACGGGACTTGGGCTGAGGTCCAAGAGAGAAGTGGACCGAGAGACCCCTGCTGGACCTTGTCAGGCTGGTGCTGGTGCTGGTGCTGGTGCTGGGAGCTGCAACCCTTGCCCCGCATTTGGCATGGTTCAGGTGGAACAAGCACCCAGCGGGCAGCGGGCAGTGGGCAGACGGGCCTGGCGGGCAACGGGGGGGCTTGGGGTACGGCGGCCCATTGTGTGGAAAGAAGAAAAGGGAGCGTGAACATACGTCAACGCCCGGTAGATCGATACTGCATCGAATCAAACCATCAGCCTTGTCGTATCCATCTTAATCCGACCACAAGCTATCCTCCGCCCCTGAACTCAACAGTGCCAGGTGGGAAACACCCACCACCTACAGAGAAGAGAGCCAGCACGAGAGGCGAGAGCGATTGATTGCATGCTCCAGCCCATTCGTCGCAACTCAACGACACAAAGGGCGACCCGCTAGTTAGTTGCGCGCCCGCCCATCGCCGTCGCCAGCCATGGATCTCGCATACGACCAGATCGCCGCCGACGCCCTGCCCAAGGACCGCGACGAGTCCGCCCCGTCCGACAGCAGCAAGACGGCCGAGCAGCAGCAGCCGACCCTGAACGAGGACCTGCAGGAGGCCTACAAGGCCATCTCGACGAGCGCCTGGGGCTCCAAGCTCGGCGGCTTCTTTGGGAATGTCGTGAAGCAGGTAACGTCCCATGCCCGGGCCGGGGCAGCCCCAATTGCTGGCAAGGCAGGAACCCACCCCTAACAGCACCTCACATGGCTAGGGCGAGTCGGTCTACAGAGAGGCATCGCAGGAGCTGACCTCGCTCGGCGCCGACGCCGCCCGCGGGGCCGCCGACCTGCGCTCCTCGCTCATCAGCCGCACGCGATCGCTCTCGCTGGCCACCTCGCCACAGGCCGCGTCGAGCGCCGACAAGGACAGGGAGGCCGATGCCACGCCGACCGACGCCAAGGACATGACCTCGGAGGAGGCCATCAAGGAGTCCGAGACGGTCATCTCGCGCCTGCGGGCCGAGGCCGCCAAGAGGTTGAAGGACATCCAGAAGGCCGAGGACGCCGCCGACGAGGCGCTGCTCAAGTTTGGCGCCAACATCCGCGACTTCCTGACCGAGGCCGTCAAGATCGCCCCTCCTGCCGCCGGTGCAGACGGCCAGGGAAGCACGGTCCTGTTCGAGAGCAAGGATGCGTCGGGCAAGAGGGTCATTCACACATCAAGATACGACGCGCAGCTACATGTCATTCACACGTCAGTGGACAGCTTCGCCAAGGATCCGGCGGGCGATGAGTTCGCCGTGTGGGCAAAGGACTTCAATGTCGAGAGCAAGACCGAGGACATCAGCAGCGACTTGGCCAAGTATCCCGAGCTGAGGACGACAATGGAGAAGCTGGTGCCAGACCAGGTGCCCTACGCAGACTTCTGGAAGAGATACTACTTCCTCAGACACAGTGTCGAGGCGGCCGAAGAGCGAAGACGGGAACTGCTGAAGGGTGAGTGATGTCAGGCACGGGGAAATTGCTGTCATTTTCTATGCTAACTCGAGCCAAGCTGCCGAAGCCGAAGAAGAGGTTGGCTGGGACGAGGACTCGGACGACGAGGCAGCCGCCGCCGCCGCCGCTGCCAAACCCGCGAGACCGGCTTCGACAGAGTCGTCTACCACTATCCACCCTCCCAAGGGAACCGCCACGACACACCTCCGACCGGCCGAGCCCCGCAAATCCAACGACGAGAAGTCGCAAGCAGACAGCGATACCAGTTACGATGTTGTCGGTGCCGCTTCCGGCGTGCCCAGCCAGGCGCCCAACAGCCCCAAGGAGGCTCGCAAGGAGGACGACAGCGACGAGGAGGACTGGGAGTAACTTGTTTGTCGTTTGGGAGGGCGTAATTTATACCTTGTTTTGTCTTGTTCTTTACTTCAACTGGACCGGCGGGCATTCTTTGGAGCACGGGGCTGCCCTGGGTTGAGTTGGATGCTGAAGGGAGTCTTGTAGGCAGTGTTGTACATCCCTCATCCAGAACCGTTATGAGCGTACTCTTAGCAAGAATGATTCATTCCCAAGAAACCGGCCCAGGTTTTAACCAAGACTGCGACCCAACTGTTCACCTCTTCTTTCGCGACACTGTGGTAAACCCATCCTCGTCGACCTCAGGCTGCGGCTTTTCCTTGGGGGCCGAGACCAAAGCTGGGGCCTCGTTCATCTCAACATCGTCATCATCATCCTCCTCGTCATCGTCGTCATCCTCCCAGTCTGTGTCTTGGTCCTGGTCGGGCGCCTGCTTCATGACGACCTTCTTGCCCTTGCCGCTCGCCCACTTTTCTCTCAGCTTGTCCACGTCCTCGAACTGGCCCTTCATGCAGCTGGCCCGCAGCTTGACAATCTGCTCGGCCACCTCGAAGCTGGAGTCGTCGTCGACGTCGACGTTGAACTCGTCGGCCATGATCTGCAGGAGCCTGGACTCGACGTCCTCGAGGTAGGGCTCGTCGAGCTCGGCGGGCCGCTTGGCGCCCTTGTTCTGGGCGAGGTGGGCGGAGAACTTGGCCAGGTCGACGAAGGAGGGGAACAGCTCGACGACGGCGCCGGCGAACCAGTCGCGCACATCCTCGCCCGAGTTGTCGCTCCAGTTGTTCTGCACGGCGAGCGTCAGGGCGGGCCAGAGGTGGAGCGAGAGGGCGACGGATTGCTCGAAGTTTTCTTGCCTGGTTTCTGGAGGGTCGATCTCGGTCAGCAACTACACTATTTGCACCTGGATAGCTTCGCAGGCAGGCAAACAAACACAATGGTGTGTGTGGGGGAACCGGGTCAACTCCAACTGGAAGCACATACCAGGCGAAGGCTCTGCTTGCGACGCCATGTCTGCAAATGCTGGCGTTCAAACCCTTTGGTTCCTGAAGACTACAAGGTATCGCGGGGGTCGAGCGAGTCAATAGAGGGGCACTCGTTGGTCGGGCACAGACTGTACAGCAGCAACATGCGTCCGGCATAGACATTCAAAAATTCCATCTGCATATCTTTTTGTGCCGGCCATCACCGCCCCCTGGTCCCTCTTCCCCCGACAGTGCTGGCCAGGCCTGCCGACAGCGACTGGGGGTCCCTGGGGCCCCTGGAGCCCCTTTGCCTGCCTGGAGCCCTGGGGGGCTGCCCCCGGTCGCTTCCAGCGCGGCCTGAAAGGAGCGAAAAATGGACCGGCGACACCCGCATCAGATGCCGCTATTCCCCTTGCGACGCGCTAGAGGAAGCGCATTTGCTGAAAGGAGATAAAGCATTGACGTCACTGCCCAGACAGGTGGTGAAACCCCAGCCTGGGAATCTGGAGAGGACCCATGGATGCGATGGGGAAAAAAAGGCACGGGAAAGGAAAGGAGAGACGTGGGTGAGAACTACTACCGACCCGAGCCCAGCCCAGCCCATTGCTCGCAGCCGGGTCCAACTCATCCTCGTCAGGCTTCGCTGGCTACAGGTGTTACCTATACTCGCCTGGCTTCGAAGGGCCGTTTTGTGCTTTTGTTGTGTGTGCGACTCGTCGTCTCCTTCTGTCGGGATCTCTGGTTTTGTCTTGTCCGCGTCCATTGCTGCTCGTGTGCCCAAGGCAAGCATCACGAGCCCCTTCTTCCACCCTGTCTGACGCGGGAGCTGTCCTCGAAAGAGCAGATCGCAGCAGCCATGAACACCGCAACGGTTGGGATGGCGGTGACGCCTACCGTCCTGTCTACTTTCGTGTCTCATGTACGTCTGTTACCCCGAACTCTGGATCTTACCCGCATTTCTCCAGTTTTGCTGCCGCCCAAACGCGCATCTTCGGCCAGATCGGGCCCTCATCCCTGCCCGAGCTCCCGTGTTGCTTGCCTTGTTTGTCCTGCGCATACGTCTTGTATCCGGGAAGCTCCAATAGAGCACCTTGGCTGATCGACTGGATTGCCCCTATAGTACTTTAATCGCAAGCCTCTCAAGGAACGGCCCACCGCGCACTTGTCCTACGACGAGGGCCTCCATCTGATCCGATCCTTCTTGGACTTCGCCTCGCATCATACTGTCGAGGATCTTCAGGCTTTCACTGCCCAATGGGTACCGCATCCGCAATGGGTCAAGGTCGACGATGTCGAAATCCCCGCCGAACACGTCGATGAAGCTGCAACGGCTCTCCAGAAGCAGCTCGGCACCGAGGGCATCCGACTGGTGGGGGGCACGAAATGGTGGCAATGGCGCCGGTCGAAGGCGCCCGTTGCCGCTGAATGGATTGAGATGAAGTCAGACTACCACGAGCGCAAGGAGTCTGGGGACCCCGGGAAGCGCGTCATGCTCTACATCCACGGCGGAGCCTACTTCTTCGGGTCCGTCGACGAGCATCGTTACCAGATGCAACGGCATGCGCGTAAGCTGAAGGCTAGGGTCTTTGCGCCAAAGTACCGACTGGCACCCCAGTTTCCATTCCCCTGTGGATTGCAAGACTGTCTTGCGGCATACCTCTACTTGCTTACTGTTCAGGATCCGACGACCATCATCCTGGCGGGAGACTCGGCCGGTGGTGGTATGGTATTGAGCTTGTTGGTAACACTCAGAGATCAAGGCCTGCCGTTGCCTGCCGGTGCCATTCTTATCAGCCCATGGGTCGACCTGACGCATTCCTTTCCGAGCGTGGCAGGTGACGCTCCTTTCGATTACATACCTGCCCATGGCTTTCACCATAAGCCCTCCAAGGCGTGGCCGCCCCTGAATGCCGAGGAGCACGCCCTACTCAGGGAGCAGATTGCCAAGAATACCAAACCTGGCCACACGAAACTCATGAAGCCAGCGTCCGTGGACATGAGGCGGCGCTCTCAAGAACCTCATCGTACAGAAGCCTCGGACAAGCAGGAAAATGGCGAGACTGCCAACGGATCTGCGGAACCTGAGAAATACAACCAGTCGGCTACCCTTTCCATCGAACTAGATGGGAAAACAGTAGAGCTCAAGGATCAGATCCAGGTACGGCTCCCTTTTTTGATCAGATCGTAGCTTGTCCCTACTAACTTCTGGTAGATGTACGCGACTAACGAGCTGCTGTCTCATCCTTTGGTCAGCCCAGTCATGCAGCCAACTCTTGGTGGCCTTCCTCCATTGTTGATAATGGTCGGCGGCGGCGAGATTCTCAGGGATGAACAAATCTACCTTGCGCACAAGTGCGCGAATCCCACCAAGTATGCGCCCGCAGAGTCGTTGATGCATGAGTCTGCCAGAGCACAATTGGCTCGGTTTAAGCCGACTGATGTACAATTACAAGTTTGGGATGATCTCTGCCATGTTGCACCAACACTCAGTTTCACCCGACCTGCCAAGTTTATGTACCGGTCCATCGCCCAGTTTGGTGCATGGGCTCTTGCGAGGGCCCAGAAAACCGAGATTGATATTCTTGATGATGACGACATCTCTTTCATCTCGAGCTCGGGATCCGACAGTGACGAGCCTGCGGAATCCTCGCAAGAGAAGCCTGTGCTACAGGACACCCTTCACACTCCGACAGTTGGGAAGGCTGGCGACGAGCTCCCACCATTCAAGGATCACATGATTAGACAGCAAGTTAGCAGGCATGGTATTGTGACGCCTCTGGCGTTGGAGTCGGAGCTCATCGCATGCAACATGGACCCCAAAGATATCGGTGTCGTCAAGGAGGGGCCAGTACGCAAATGGCTCGCGACCCGTGCCCAGTGGGACAACCGGTTCGGGAGTGCCCGAGCCAAGATCCACAAACAGCGACTCAAGGAGATGGTCGCCGGGTACGAGCAATTCGATGGCGAGACACCTCCGCCAAGCGCACTGGCATCACGTAGGAAGATGGGCTACGACCGAGCGGACGCCAAGAAGCGCAAGAGTATGGGTCTCGCTCTGTGGTCACTGTGGGGATCCAAGCATGACGAGATGACTATGAACCGCGAGCAACAGGCTGACAAGGTCCCCGACATCAAAGTCGCAACCGACGCCGAAGGGAGTGGAGCCCGAAGCGTAACCGACATCAAGAAGCAAGAGGGCTCAGTCGGGAAGAGGCTGACGCTGTCAAGCCGTAGTCCTTCAAGACGACGTCTTGTGAAGGACGGTAATCAAATCTCCAACGAATCAGCCACCGGACATGAAGAAGTCACCCCACTGGCTTCACTTATGGCAAAGAGGACCGCAGACTCCCAAGCAGTCGAATCTGCGAGGGCAGCAGAGTCTGGCCTTCTGACTCCTGAATATGTGCCGCTCGAGACGGGAGCAACGGGCAAACGCCCCTTTGTGGAGGGCATCGCAGTTCCATTCACGTTGCACAAGGAAGCCGAGACTGCGAGCATGCTCACCCTGACGTCGAACATGGAGGGCCACCCATCGCGAGTTGCCAGTCCGATGCCGGTGCAGGGCGACAACTACTTCGGGCTGCCCAACGGCACCTCTAGCGAGGAAGCTGCGCAACAGGCATCAGAGCCCTCGACGCCCCGGCCCGCTAGCCCGCCGGTGCCTATCTTGGATGATATGGCTGAAGGGGAGCCCATTACTGCTGGAACTCCTCGATCGGCGAGCCCAGCAGCCACGCCGAAGGCTGTGAGCCCCGAGGCTACTCCAACGGCCGAGAAGCCCAAAGGCCTCGAGGCGGCCCCGCCCGTCATGGTCGGCGGTGTGATCACGCACGAGGAGCGACCGCCTCTGGAGACCTTCGTTACGGCGCAAGAGGAATTGCCCAGGGTCAACTGACGAAACCCACCAGATTTCTATTTTCATTTGTCAACAAGGAGGAGGCGGACATGTAGATGGTCAAAGTTGCGAGCATATATACCCATTCAACGGAGGCGGACCTGCAACAATTTGGAAGACGGTGGAAGAAGACTTTGCTTTGAAGCCAAACATGCCCCTATACGTGTGGCGTTTGCTTAAGTAATACACAATGCCATAACACACTGTAACACGAAAACATCTTGATTCGTGCTGTAATGCGAGTTGCCATAATCCCTTCAAATGTACATACGTATAATACAGTTGGGACCATATCCTATCCCACGGGCGTCCAAGAATTCGCAGCTGCAGCCGGTCGTAGATCGGTACACCATGTAATCCGCCAGAGAAGGGCCCAGCGTAAGAGGCGGTTTCGTTCCTCGCCGTGGTGCGTCATAAACTTGGTTTGTCCATTAGTGTAGCGGGTAGCATCGCTGCGATTCGCATGTAAGCCAGTGACATACTGGGCATTGAACCGTTCAGGAGTTGCCGTAACGCCGATAGGACTGCCTCCCTTCTTTTCACTCCATTCCGCTCTCTAGTCCAAGCCGTTCTCGTCCTTCCATCTCTCCAGGTACCGCGACGGGTCGGTGGGCCCTTGCTGGTATCCCTCGTAGTTGCCTCGAGTCCTCCGCACCTTGTTTGTGACGAAGGGCGTCAACTGCAGGTTTCCAGGCATGTCAGCACCGAATCATTTAAAGGCAAGAAATCTGGCCCGACCCGACCCGAGGCCATAGTTTCCGTGTGAGTACATGATCGCGTGGCCTGCCTGCCTGTCTGCATGCGGGGCCTTGGATCGGGCCGTGTTGGGCGCGTGAGGGAAGAACAAGACTCACCTTGAAGGTCTCCAAGCCGGCGGGCACGACGTAGGTGCGCACCTTGTCCCACTCGATCACGTAGCCTCCGAACTTGGTGTGGCGACCCATGGAGCCCGTCCGCGTGCCCTTGTAGAAGCCCTTGTTGATGTCCTTGGTGGTCAGCGGCAGCTTGCGGAACTTGCGCGTGAACTTGAGCCGCGGCTGGAAGGACCAGAGGCTCAACGTCGGCTTCATGGCTGCTGCTCCTCTCTCTGTGTCGTGCTTTCGCCCGCTCTCTACTCCTCGGTATTGCAATGGGCGGGAACTTCTGCCGGTGGTTCAGGGCAGAGATGAAGGCTCGGCAGTGGTGGGCGCGGGTTGTCGCGATGCTGCTTCACTGGACGCTGGCCCGGAGCTCTGGAGGTTGAGAATTCAACCCTGGACAGGGGTCGTCCAGGTACCTGCGTCCACTCACACGACCTCCCGTAGACTTTTCAGCTGGCGGCCGAGTGCTGGGCGCGATAAGACCGATAAGGCGCCGGCTCCACTAAAATTTGGTCGGGCTTGCAACTGGCACCCCGCTAAAACGGGCAGTAAAAGAAAAAAGTTCCAGACACCGCTTTCACTGCAGGCTCGCAGCGTAGAAGCCGAACCTCCAGCCCGGAAAACAGCGTCCCGTCGAGAGCATTGGTTGACAACAGACGCCCGAACCCTCCGCTCGACATAGAAGAGTCGCAACACAAGCACAGCGTACCAACATGCCCGGGCGTCAGGCGCACGGCCGGCCGCTCATGGGCGGCGGCGGAGGCGGCGGCCAGGCGAAGAAGCGCCAGGCCCAGAAGGCCAGGTCCAAGTCCACCAAGCGGGCGGCCGACGCCTTCTCCATTGCCAACAAGGAGCTGGGCGAGCAGACGAGGCGCACCCCGCGGAACCGCGAGCTGGACGCGGATCTCGGCCCCGGCAAGCGCGCCCGCCAGGACAGCGACGACGATGAGGAGGACGACGACGACGCCGACGACGCCCCGCCCCGGAAGATGCGCCGCGGCCAGAACCAGGAGGACGACGTAGAGTACGGCAGTGACTCCAGCGGCAACGAGTGGCGCATCGGCGTCGGCGAGGACGACGAGGACTCGGACATCGATTCCGACGAGGCCTTTGGCGAGAGCGACAACGAGAAGTTTGACGGCTACGCCTTCGGCGGCAGCAAGAAGAAGGCCCAGGATGAAGATTCCGACGACGATGACGAGTCCCTCGGCTCGGACGCCATCGATCTGGCCGATGCCCTTGACCAATCCATGTCCGACGATGATGACGGCGCCGAGGAGGATGAAGACTCGGACGAAGAGGGTTCCGATTCTGACGACGGCGATTCGGACGAGAATTCTGCCGAGAGCGAGGATGACGACGTCTCTGAATCGGGCGTCACCGACTGGGTCAAGAAGTTCTCCGGCGTTGGAGATGAGGACGAGGAGGAACAGGCAGCCCCGCAGAAGTCAAAGATTGATCTCAAGGACCTCGGTCTCCTGGGCGTCTCAGACTCGCAGCTCAAGAAATCCCTCAAGATGATGTCCAAGGAGGAAAAGTCCTCGAAACCGGCGAAACTGGAGGTGCCTCTCGCCAGGCGGCAGCAAGCTCAGCTCGATCGGGCTGCGGCGTACGAGCAGACAAACAAGACTCTCGACAGGTGGACAGAGACTGTTAAGCAGAACCGTAGGGCTGATCACCTCATGTTCCCTCTACCCCAGACCGAGACTGGTCTCGCACGCCACGACAACACGGAGATCGCGCCCCTTAACCCCAAGGCCAGTTCGAACGAGCTCGAGCGAACCATCCTTGGCATCATGGAAGAAAGCGGACTCGGGCCCAAGGCTGCGCAGGATGGTGGGGATCAGGTCGATGAGGATGGCCAGACGCTGTCCAGGAAGGACATCCAGGACCTCTGGCAGGCGAAGAGGAGGGAGCGGGAACTCAAGTCAAGGGAAGAAGCCAGGGCGAAGCGCATCAAGAAAATCAAGAGCAAGGCCTACCACCGCGTTCACCGCAAGGAGCGGGAGAGGAACGAGATCAAGGAGCACGAGGCCGCCGTGGAAGCTGGTGAGGTCGACTCCGAGGACGAAAGAGAGGCCAGAGATCGCCAGAGGGCGAACGAGAGGATGGGAGCCAGGCATAAGGAATCGAAGTGGGCCAAGATGGCCAAGAAGGGCGGGCTGGCCGTCTGGGACGACTCCGTGCGAGCAGGTATGGCTGATATGGCCCGCCGCGACGAGGAGCTCCGGAGGCGTGTTGAAGGCCAGGGCCAGGGCAGCGACGACGACTCGGACTACTCAGCCGACTCAGAGGATGTCGATGACAGGAAACGCCTGCTGAACGAACTTCGCGATGTTCAGAACGCTGATGACGAGCCCCACAAGTCCAAGCTCATGAACATGTCCTTCATGCAAAGAAGCGAGGCGGCAAAACGCAAAGAGAACGACGACCTCATCAACCAGATCCGCCGCGAACTCGCATCCGATGACGAAGGCTTCGATGACGAGCCCGAGGCCGAGGAGGTTGGCCGCAGGACTTTCGGTCAACCAGGTGCTAAGAAGGAGCCTGCGCCGTCCAAGTCTAAGAAGGATAAGGCCAAGGCAGAGCCCACTCAAGATGCTGCAGGGGCCGATGATACTCCCACCACGTCTGGCTCGCGGAATGCTCCGATCCCTACGCCTCGAGAAGTTGCTGTCAGCGAGACCGGAGGAGCCTGGTCAGCAGCTGCGCCCTCTAAGCCGGCCCGGAAGCAAAAGGGCAAGAGGGAAGACAAGGGCAGCAATGTGTTGGACCTTGACTCGAGCGTTGCCATTGTCAAGGCGCCCGCATCGAAGCCAAAGGTAGCACCAAGCAAACAGCATGCTACCGCCGTCGCCGGCGACTCATCAGACGACGATGATAGCCACCTCATACAGTTCCGGGAACAAGACCTGCTCGATAAAGCCTTTGGCGGCTTGGACGTCGTGGCCGATTTCGAGGCCGAGAAGCGAGCTGCTGAGTCCGAGGACGACGAGAAGGTCATCGATAACACCCTGCCCGGCTGGGGATCGTGGGTCGGTGATGGCGTGTCGGCTCGTGACAAGAAGCGGCATGCGGGCCGATTCCTGACCAAGGTCGACGGTATCAAGAAGGACAAGCGGAAGGACGCCAAGATGAAGAATGTCATTATGAACGAGAGACGGATCAAGAAGGTGAGCTACTCCCAAACCCAGCGCTGCAGAATGGGAGAAAGAAAAGACACCCAGCTAACAACAAGAATAACAGAACTCCAAGTACCTGGCCTCCCAGATGCCGCATCCCTTCGAGTCCGTGGCCCAGTACGAGCGCTCCCTCCGCGTCCCCGTCGGCCCGGAATGGGTCACCAAGAAGACGCACCAGGACGCCACCAAGCCGAGGGTCATTGTCAAGCAGGGCATTATTGCACCCATGGCGAAGCCTATGCAATAGATATCACGTTAGAGTCGCCATTCCTGTGGGTCCTGCTTAGCGATCGATACCTATAGATCACATAGATGTTTCGATACCAATATAAGATGTCCGGTCACAAGGCCATATTTTACCACATGTTTCTATTTCCCTTCTTGCTAACCAAGCGCCAGTTCCCTAGTACTAAACCGACTAACTTCTTCATTCGCAACGAGACAATTATAACTATCCGCCAGTACCCCGAGCATAACCCCAGTCCACAAACCCATCTCTCTACGCCGACGCCTCCGTGTCTTAGCGCGCTGCATCGGCCGCGGCGCAGGTGTCGTAGATGTCGTCGAGCAGGTCATCCAGGGCCGTGGGCGGGGGCACGCCGACGAAGCGGTCGCTCGTGTCCTCGGCGACGCGCGCGCGCTCGGCGTCCCGCAGCGCCTCGAGGTGGCCCACCAGCCGGCCGCGCTCCTGCGCCGCGTGCCGCGCCCGCACGTGGTCCGCGGTGATGACGGCGCGGCCCTCGTCCTTGAGCCCGCGGAACCGCGCGTGCTCGGCCCGCGCCCGCCGGTACAGCGCCAGCGACGGCGCCGCCGCCCCGTCCGTCTCCCCCGTCGTCGTCGCCATCAGCCGGTACACAAAGTTCTTCAGCGCCCCCGTGTACCCCGTCTGCTCCAGCGCCGCCCGCCACCGCGGGCCCGGCGCGTCCCGCAGCCCGTGGAAGTGCGTGTTGGCCTCGCTCCCGCGCGTCGGCTCCACCATCATGGCCGCCACCACGTCCGCCAGCGACCGGTACTCGCTCAGCATCGTGTACGGCTGCGTGTGCTAGAAGCGGGCTGTCAGTATACATGCGCAGACGGGAAAATCCCGGGAGGTGGGTCACGCCCGTGTGCTTACCGGCGGCGGGTGGCTGTTGGTCGAGACGGCGTCGGCGCGGCGCAGCTCGTCGAGCTCGGCGAAGGCGCGGCCGGGCTGGGGCGCGAGGGCCTTGCCGCGGGCGGGCGGGACGCGGTCGCGGTGGATGCCGTTGAAGACGCCCGAGACGACGGCGGCGCCGTAGTTGCCCAGCTTGCAAAGGCCGTACGTCTCGTGCTTGGTCTGCGGGTGGCAGAAGAAGATGTTGGACGGCCGGATGTCGCGGTGCAGCATCGTCTGCCAGTCCAGGTCCGCCCGCTGCGTCTCGTACCGCCCCGTCGCCGCGTTGTAGTCCTCGCGGATCCCGTGGTGCAGCCACGCCAGCGCCTTGAGCACCGAGCACAGGACGTGCCAGCAGAAGGCCTCGGGTAGGAATATGGGGGGCAGGTCGTCATCATCATCGTCGTCGTCATCATCGTAGACACGGTCGTGGTCCTGATGATGGTCATCATGATGGTCGTGGTGATGGTCTAGATGGTGGCCCTTGTGCCCACCTTTCGCCTTGAGCTTTCGCTTCTTGTGTTCCTGGTGCTTCTTATCTTCCAGCTCCTTCAGCGTCTGCGCCCTGTGGAAGTCCGTTGGCTCGACCACGTGGGGAGCCATCAGCAGGTTCTCGAGGGTGCCGGCGTTGCAGAAGTCCCAGATGACAAACTGCTTCGTCGTGGACGTGGTGATCCTGCCGGTAGGGCTGCTCCGCACCTTGATCCAGTCGACGCAGTTGATGAGGTTCTCGTGGTTCAGGATCCGCATCAGCGACCCCATGATGTTGATGCCGCAGGGGTCCAGGAGCTGGCCCAGCCACGTCTGGTCTCCGTCGCAGTCCTGGAACTGCTCCGTGACATCTTGGGCCAGGAACTCGAAGCGGTCCTTCTTCCGGATGACCTTCCACGTCCCCGGGGTCAGCTCTACGGCAAAGTCATAGTCCAGGGCCCTCTTGGACGGGGTGGTGACATGCTGGCGGTCAGGCGACAGTAGCACTTCGGTCATGGTTATCGTCGCTTGTGCGGCAAGAGAATTATCACGCTGTTCACCTCTTGCGCCAGAACCGAGAAGCAATGATCAGGTTCGTGAGAAGAGGAGGGATGCATTCGGGAGACGCTATATGCAGGAGGCAATTGCCCCTTTGGAATGCTCGTCGGCCATGCCAATGGCTTTGTTCTTTATTTTCGCAAAAGGCATGCCGTGTCTACATTCCAGCTAAGAGCAAGATCAGTGCGTCGCTTCCAAACTGAGCCGTCTTTGTTGTCCTGTCGCAAGGGAGACGACGGAGCCTACGTCTACGTGTTAACCTCCATCGAGTCTCGTCCCTGGCGGCCCAGGTCACGACTCGCTCCAGCCTCGGGGGGAAACTGTTTTCAACATTGTTCCGTACGTGAAGAACAACCACCACCTTATATGAAGCATCACCGTGATATTATTGTTAAACATCGCCTATGTTTAAGTTTGATGCGGAGTCTTCCAGTGCCGCCCATTGATGGTCTGTGTTTCCAATGTGCTGGGGCTACGTAGCCTGAACCGCAGGCGCTTCGAGTGAGTCGTGCAACAGATGATCGTCTCTCTAGAAAGCACCAGCGAAGATTGTTCTCAAGCAGACCGGCAGAGACTCGTGGGCCATGAAACCGACGATTTACACGATGTTCAATAGCGCGCGCTTTCGCAGGCTTGAGCTAGCCGCTCGCTAAGCTAAATGCATCCTCCACACATGTATGTAACCTAACGCATGGTAGGCGCCGCCACCAGATTAGCACCAGCGGCGCTGCAGAATCGTTACCCAAAGCCTCCCGCACAACCGCCCTGCAGTCGACGTCCTCGGCGAGCCGGCAGCCAAGCTGGAATGATCGCCCTTGGGGGTGCTTGGTGTGGGCATCCGGACACGGGGTGACGGGGCAGCGTGGTCCTGTCAAAAACGGTGTTTCGACGTTTCGCCCTCTCGGCGGCCCGGTTGGACAGAGGCTTGGCCAGCAGGCTAGCGACCAGAGTGACAGGGGGCACGGGGGATCCTATCGGCGGATGGCCTGGGTGGGTTCTCGAATAGAGCAGGCCGCGTCCCGTGGTGTCTGTGGTCCCCTGGCCTGGTTATCAGCCCAATTTAACTTGATCAGCAGTCACAGCTCTTCAAACACGGGCCTAAGCCCTGTTGAGCGAGCGTTCCTGCGTCCTGTGTCGGCGCCGCCAATGAGAAGGCCGCCATCCCCATCCGTGCCCCCTGGCGGACCCCCTTGGCCCCCCTGGACCCCTGGTCGACCCTGGTGTCTCGCCGGCCAATCCCCGACTGCTGGCCGTCGACCTCAAACGGCACCACGTCTAGCACCCTGTCGTCCCCTTTCCGCGCCCTCATGCCACCCGCCGTCGCCCTCGTTCGTCGACGGCCTCCAGGACCACTGAGGGGAACTAATCACCGTCAGACGCTCGCCGCCGCGATGAAGCTGCCGTTCGCTCGTTAACCACTAGAAACAATCAAATAACACACACCGGGAGCATCACAGAACCCCGTACAGTCACTCCTTATTATCTCTCACTACAACCAAACCTCGTACGGCCGCGCTCGCTCTCGCCCACACAAAGCCCATCGTTCGTTTGCATTGCCGGCTTGAACCTGAGCGCATTGTCGCGCTTTAACCAAAACCGTCCTCCTGATACGCAACCCGGTAGGCTTGCGGGAGTCGATCAAACCTCGGGCCATCATCGCCTTGTTGCCCACCATCCATGCGTGCCCGCCGTGGATGAAGGATCTCCTTGCTTGCTTGCACCTTTTGGCACTCCGCGGAGGCCCAGAGAAACCCACCGCTGTGCTGATCGAAATTCCGCGGCCAAGAATAGAGTCTGCGTAAGGAAACACGTCAAGCATGTCACCACAATAGCACCATTCTGTCACTCTCTCCACCAGGCTGGAATGCACCCTCTCTCCGCCAGGAGCTGAGACCTGTCGCAATCGACGGCCCTACGACCTCGCCGTTGTCCCGGACTCGCGCTAGAGCCGGACCTCTCTCGTCCCAAGCCCCTGCCTGCCGCCGAGAGGCTTGTCTGCTTTCCTCATTACGACTTCATTCTTTGCCGACGCTTGCGAGGCCTCTTGCTCTTCCATCACCAGCAAAGAGCACAGTCGGATAACTTCGCGGGCGAGTGACGACTTGTGCTGGACGGCGGGACCGGTTGGACGAAACGATACCGATCACGACGACTATACCGACGATACCCCCCGTTTCATTTCACTCATTCACTCTCGATACCATTTGATTTCCTTCCTTCTCTTCTCGGCAGCTGGGTTCTGTTGTTAGCAGCCCGTTCTGCCCTTCTACCTTGATCGTCGTTCGCTTGTGAATCACCTTGAACTCGTTGTATTTTCTTGGATGGCCTGAATCTAGGACGCCAATTCCACCGATCATTCAAGATGGGCTGCGGGGGACGAAAAAAGACCTTTGAGGTGCGGCCTGAGCAGAAATGGGACTACATCGTAAGCCGCCCTATGCGTGAACCAGTCAACTAGCCTATACTGACACTCGGTGTGCAGAGTCTCAAGGACTTCAAGTCTAACTCAGGCTTCACGGTTGCCGCTTACGTTTATGTGTACATTTCTATCCTCATTTCGATTGCCGTTTACGGCGTTGATAGCTTTACTGCTGTCAGTTTGTTGGTGTTTGGCCAGTGGACATCAAGCATTGAACCATCCCAACTCATCTCATTCGACGTTTCCAAATGGATCTTCTCCATTTGTATTATTGCCTCGTTCATCAACCTAGCATTCGAGCATGTACGTGCCTGGCGGGTGATGAGCCGCGGCAGCGTCGCTGAGTCTTATCTGGACACTCTGGCCGTCAGGTTGGAATCAACCCGAATGGGCAAGGGACAGGGTTGGCGACGTTTTCTGGTATTCGCCGAGTTGACCAAGTCTAAAAAGGGAGCGGAGTACGTTGCTCTGTTCACGTACTTCAGTTTCCAATGTAAGTTGCCCCCCCATGGTATCTGCAACCTCTTGCTAACAGGTAATAGCTTGGATTCGCGTCATCTTCTGCTCTGGACCACGACAGTTCGTCAATGCCCTGACGCTGTACGCGGTGTTCACCTCAGAGCTTATCCCCACCGAAGGCGGCTCGGCTGATAAGACCATCATGAACTTCTTCGAGAAAATCGGATCGCTCGCAAACGAAAACTATCAACAAGCCGTGGTCCTTTCGGGTATGCTGTTCACCTTGGTCATCTGGGTGATCTCCGCTCTGTCGCTGTTGATGGCTGCTTTGTTCTACGTCTTCTTCCTCTGGCACTACATCCCTAGGCAGGATGGAGGTCTATCCGGATACTGTGAGCGCAAGATTAACAAGAGGTTGATGAAGGTTGTTTCTGCCAAGGTTAACAAGGCTATCGCCAAGGAGGAGCAGCAGCGAATGAAGGCCGAGATGAAGGCGGCAAAGAGGGCTGGCGAGAAGCCGCCATTGAGACAACAGGCTACCCTTCCCACACTCCCCAATGTGGGACTCAAGAAGGACGATTCCCTTCCCGAAATGCCCATGCTGAGTCGTACCGAGACGATGGCAACTCTTCCTCAATACACCTCTCGCCCAGGAACACCCAACGGCTTCGAGATGACATCTATGGATCAGAAGCGCCCTCTGCCCTCCCGAACGAACACTTTGGCGTCACAAAGCAGTTATTCTTCGCGTGCACCATTGATGGGTGGCGCAGCATCAATGGGTCGATCCACGTCGCCGGTGCCAACTTTGCCACAGGTGGATTTGAACAACTACCCTCCTGTCCGTCCCGGAACCGCTCAATCGAACCGTACCTTTGGCGGCCCAGCACCCTCGTTGCATCGAATTGCAACGGGCAATAGCTCCAACTTCGGTCTGCCTCAAACGCAGACTCCCGGGCCTTACTCGCCGGATGGTTTGCCAGCTATGCCGGCCCCAGCAAGGTCGCCGACTGCCGGCAGCATGGACGGCTACGGCAACCGCCCCATGCCTCGCCCTATGAACCAATTCGGCTCCCGGCCCGGTCCGCAGGGCCCGCCTGGACCACCGAACCGGCCCATGTACGATGATGGGATGGGCAGTCGTGCCAGTCCAGCACCGTCTGCATACTCAAATCGCGGACCGCCTATGCAATTTGACGATGGCATGGGTGGTCGCTCTAGCCCGGCGCCAACTGCTTTCTCGAGCCGTGGACCGCCTATGCAATTCGATGATGGTATGGGTGGTCGCTCTAGTCCGGCACCATCTGTATTCTCGAATCGTGGACCGCCTACGCAACCCATGTTTGATGACGGCATGGGCGGTCGCTCCAGTCCAGCGCCCTCCACTTATTCAAACCGTGGGCCACCCCGAAACGGGCCGATGTACAACGGCCCAGCTTACTCTCCTATGAGAAGTGCCACAAACCCAGTGGCCTCGCCGAACATGCCACAATTCCCACCACAAAGGAATATGACGGCTCCTCCCATGCCATCAAGGCAGGACGACTTCATCTCCCGCCCAGGAACCGCCTCTAGTCAGCGAACTATGCCTATGCCGCGAACTGGCCCTGGCTACGGATACAACAACGATGTGGAATCTCAGAGAGGGCCGCCAAGATGGTGACCGAGTACCTCGTGGGAGGGCAGTGAATAGTTGTGGTATAAAATATTCATAATTCTTAGAGCCGGTTTAGAATTGGCAATCAAAAGGATTGGAGACATGTGTGCGGCTTTTCGTGTAAGATGATACGTTTTGGAAGGAAGCTGGCCTATAGACTCGATCGAGTTTTAGCATTCTAGGGCACGCCCGGTTCTTGTGATGCGGCGTTCAAGGTCCATTCAATAGGACATTATGATTTTCTTTCGGCCACCTGCAACCAGACTTTTGATCCAGTATGTGCCGACTAGATTGTGCTTCTGAGCTGCGTGGGTGTTGCGTGATTGGTTACGTGATTCCAGTTTTACTCCCAACACCTATCTATACTTGTGTTTCATGACAGCTGATTTACCGGGCGATGATCTGCGGGCAAATTGGTCCCAAGGGTTGCTTCACGTCGGGTCTTGAGGTATAGGTGCATATGGAAGATGATTTGTGTTTACTTTGCTCCGACCGTGGTACACAAACTCCATGGGTAGTCGGAAGATCAAGCTAGTTCAAGACAGGTTTGCCCGTGGTCGTTCAGACATCTTCAATATCTGCTGCTGTAAGAGTTCGGTAACGGAGAAGAGACAGGGTACGATATAGGCTTTTGGTCCAAAAGATAGTAACTGTGGCTAACCACAAACCATGCCACCCGATGTCATCAAGCTCCTTAGTCTTTCATTGGCCAGGCTGGAAGCCATCCGCCTTGTCATCTTGCAGATTTCTCTACCTCGATGTCACGCATCACGAGAGGGCGGTGGTCCTTCTTTATATTGAGGAACAAACCTGTTTTTGTCTAGCGATAGTAAACTGGTCGTTCTCACTATTTTGAGACTATTTAATGGAACACGAATGTATAGTTGAAGGGTTGCCTGGGTTAATGAGGTGAAAAATGTGCCGGGTAACATATTGCGAGCAATAATAAAATATCACACCCCTTCAACTATATGAAAGCCTTCATTTTTATCGAAGAGTATTGCCTTGGATGAAATAAGCTGGCCATGCCGGATGCGACATGAAATACAGAAATTCAAGGCAATAGCCAAGGGATTCTTATTCCCAGCGCTCCATTACGAGGTCGATACATGACAGCCTAGGTTTCAGCAGCTCAGGGAAAAGTAGACTCACGTACTTGTGGCCGAGAACATGATCGGCCTGGCAATGCTGGCGTTGAGCAAGAGACGGCGCGCCTGGCGTGATATCGGCTTCGAGTTCCCACAGTCATGGATCATCTATATTATCAGGTACGCAGGTACGCCAATGGGTGAACGAAAGGTGGGCGGTTGAGCAGAAGAACGGAGATGGCGCCAATGAAAGGCATATTCGTGGTATCAATCTTTATTTGCCACTTGAACATATAATTTACGTCCGCAACATTTTGTCGTCGTGGGACTACATGTCTGTTCATTCACTTTTTCGCTCCGAGAGGCTGTAAAATGTCGAGTAAGACGCCTGGTTTGACCCATTTTGGCTTAGATGGTTGTTGTACTGCCAGCTTGAGAGCCTTGTCTTATGTCTGTCGAAACGAGGGTTCCAACGTATTCCCCTTCAGTTGGAGGATCTTTGGAAGTGTCATACAAAGTATAGGCTTAGCTCGGGTCCCGGACGGGGACCAAGATTGCCTATAAGCGTAGCTTGATGAAAGCGGGATAGATCGATATGGCGATAGCAACAGCAGATCTACATCAACCGGTAAGGTTTGGGCACTATAAGCATGATGGAGGCCCCTATGAATTTGCACTCCAGGTAATGCAGAGTACATAGTTTAACCAGTTCCTGCTCTCCTGGCAGGTTGCCCACGACAAAGTCGTAGACTACCAGGTTGTTGGCTTTCACAGCCATATGAAGCACGATGGGTTGACGTCAAAACAGGGATAGGGAGCACATCGACCAGTACCAAATACATGACACTGCGCAGGTCACGATTTACCCATGACTTGATCTGGTCAACGAAATAATCTTCAGACTATACAATACTGTCAGCAAGCGCAATGAAATAGGGAAGACGTCCGTAATACGGCTGGCTAGTCCATGGAGTAGCAAACCAAATCGTATAATCACAAACTCAGCCTGCTGTACTCGTAACTTGTGAAAATGCGACCAAACCGCAGGTAGACGACCACGAGATGTTTGTTGCCCTTTCTGGGAGAACGTTTCTGCCAAGGGGAAAGGCTCCGAATCCGCGCGTTCTGAAGGCACAGCCACGAAGTAAGTCGGTATTCTGCCCACTGAGCTTGGCATCCCATGCGGGCGGATCACGGCAGGCAAGATTATGCGCCCGAGAACGAAGACTTTCCAATTGTGGAAACGCGCTCGGTTAACACTGACATTCCCACGTTGTGGCTCGTCTCGCCCGGGTTAGGCGCGTACGGTGCCCGGTCTGTATAAAACCTTGGGCACAGCTTCTTGGAAGTGTAGAAATCCTTCGAGGCTAAGCATCTCTGCCACTTCATCAGGCCAGAGTGCACAATGGGACAGAGTTGGCTTTTGGTCGCATTCGTATTTGAGCAAGGAATTATTCGTCTGCCTAGAGACTAGTGAATGGGAGGATGGCTAGGAAGGGTCTTGGAGAAGCGTTGAAATAAGGTGAAACGGATACCCGGAAGGGCCGGTCTAGACGCTAGAGTCTTGGGCTCTGGGCCATGAGGTTTCCTCGCTTAGGTAGGCCAGCCACTAGAAGCACGTAGCTTGCGGACCCCCTGTAGCCGGGTCAATCAGAACCCCGATCGGAGGCGGCAGTGCTAATGTTTGCTGGGGGTGGGCTACGTCTTCGATATGTTCCAGCAATACGGGTGAGGTAAGACGTGCATCGTCAACATCTTTATTTCGTCGACACGCACCCCGTGCAGGTGCCTCCGTTCCCCAAGGCCCATCTTGGTTCACCTCAAGCATCGTTCATTTGCACCGACTGGAATCTGCACTGGCTGGACGAGAGCATCGGGTGCGCCATTTGCCACGGCCTTCCGTTTGAACAACGCACTTGGGATGATATTTAAACCTTCGCCCTCGTACAAATCCGCGCGTCCACGCTCGGACATAAGAGAAATATATCGCTTCACTTCGCTATGAACACTCTCTCGTGATCGACTTCCGGGCAATAATCAGAAGGAACGCAAGTCCGGCTGGTTGATCGCTCCATCCCGTTCGCGATGGCCTTCATACGGCAGACTTGGACCTTGACGGCCAAGAACTTGAAGATTGTGTTGTTTCGCCACTCATTAGCAACTGTCGTTCGAGCCTTCGTAAGTCGACGCCTTCTGCTTTTTTGCTGCTTCTGCATACCGCGCGAAGGAAATCCGCTCCGTAATGGGACGGAGAAGAAAAAGAACAAGCAAGGGCATGTTCAGGAGGCGCCTGGACCACTGCGGCTATCATCCCTCTGGCTCCATGCGCTTTCACCAGTATAGCATCACGACCAACAGGGGTAACATATGCATCTTCTTGCATATCCCTCACTTGGATTTCTGGCGTGGCTTCAGTCTTGGTCCTTACAGCAATGCAATGACTAACACACACCCTAGGTGCTGCCAATAGTCCTCGGGGCCTTGCTGAGTTTCGCGAGGAATCTGCTCGCTACACCAGCAGTCTTCGGCATTGGTGATCCGCACCCGGTCCGGTCACTGGCCAGCGCACTCGATGTCGCCACTCAAACAGGCCGTGAGAAAGTTGTATTCATCAACAGTGGCCACTCAGGCGGTGACATTGATCGCGTCATCGATTCGCTTGCCCGCGTTGTGACAGACGCCGGCAAAACTGCGACGAGACTTTCATCAGTCACCCAGTTACGGACCGAGTGCCGTACGACTCTCCGTTCCGTGACCACGTGCTATGGCGCCGTGGTTTTCAATGCCTCCCCGGATGAGGGCAGTGGCGGAATCTGGAACTACACGCTCAGGGCAGACGGCTCATTGGGCGCCAAGATTGACACTACCAAGGATACCAATGATGCCGAGATCTTCACTCTCCCGCTGCAGAGGGCGGTTGATGCAACGATTGCAAATCTCAATTCCACTGGCGGCGGGTCTTTCCCAAGAACGACGGAGGAGTACCCTTTTACCTCGTTGACCCAGGAGGAACGCGCACAGCAGATCAGACGCAACTACCAGTCCGCTTTGTCGAACTGGCTAGCCGTGGCTTTTCTCCTCACGCTCATCGGCGTATGCTATCACATGACGGGGTTCATGGCTACAGAGCGAGAATCGGGCATGGCCCAGCTACTCGACGCCATGATGCCAACACGACATAGGTGGCACGCACAGGCGTCTCGACTGCTCTCCTACCACATCGCGTTCACTCTGGTCTACCTCCCGGGTTGGGTCATATCATCGCTCATCATTGGACGTGGAGTCTTTGCGACTACTAACGTGGGCATGATTCTGATCTACTTCATCCTATGCGGCTTAGCTCTTTCGTCGCTGTCTATACTCGGTGCAGCTTTCTTCCACAAGGCACAGCTCTCGGGTGTCGTTTGTACCATTGTATACTGCGTTCTGGGCGTCCTTGCACAATCTCTCACCTCACCAAACAACGGCACTGTTGCTATTTTGAGCTTACTATTTGCTCCATGCAACTTTGTTTACTTTCTGACCTTTGTTGCCCGCTTTGAAAAGCATTCTTATCCCACCAGTCTCACCGAGAGCGGTCCAGAGAGTCCCTGGACTCTCCCGGGTATTGTTCTCTGGATCTTCCTGATTATACAGATAATCGGATATCCTATCCTAGGTGCGGTACTAGAACGTAAATTCCATGGGTCGACGACTAAGGGCAGGACGATCATCCGGGGTAACGGTAATGGCAATGCCCCGCATGCTGCAGTCAGATTGGAAAAGTTCACGAAAATTTACAAGCCAAGTGCCCTTCGCCGCTTGTTCACCTTCATTTCTCGTCCCAGGGAGCCTGTTGTAGCAGTCAACGAGTTAATGCTGACGGCTGGGCGAGGCCAGATTCTGGCTCTGTTGGGTGCTAATGGTTCTGGGAAAAGTACAACACTGGACTCAATTGCGGGAACCAGCAAGCTCACAAGTGGGCAAATTACTATCGATGGCACCGGTGGCCTGGGAATTGCTCCCCAGAAGAACGTCCTCTGGGACGAGTTGACCGTGTTCGAGCATATTCGGATATTCAACCGACTCAAGTCACCAAGAAACCACTCCACCCACGCTGAGATAGAGCAGTTAATCAACTCTGTGGATCTCGGCCCGAAACTCAAAGCCATGTCAAGAACACTATCCGGCGGCCAGAAGCGAAAGTTGCAACTAGGAATGATGTTGACTGGTGGAAGTGCTGTTTGTTGCGTCGATGAGGTCTCTTCCGGTATCGATCCTCTTTCTCGCCGGAAAGTATGGGACATCCTGCTCGCTGAAAGGGGGAGACGCACGATTATCTTGACGACTCACTTTCTGGATGAAGCAGACCTCCTCGCAGATCAGATCGCAATCTTGTCAAAGGGAACACTGCGAGCTCAAGGTTCCTCTGTGGAGCTGAAAGATCGCCTCGGAGCTGGGTACCGAATCCACGTCTTCAACGCTCGTGACATCAAAGATCCTCCCGAAGTGGCGGGTGTTGTTCGAAAGGTTTCCTTTGATGTGATCAGCTATATCGCACAAACATCAGCTGCAGCCGCCGAAGTGATTCGAACGTTGGAGAACGCCGGCATCCACGATTACAAATACTCTGGGCCAACAATTGAGGACGTTTTCCTCCAGGTTGCTGAAGAAATCAAGGGCGAAGCGATTCTGCGGCCAGATGCCGGAATTGCTAAGGGCAATGCTGCAAATGATAAGCATACCAGCTCTGAAGATGTCTTGGCCGTGGAAGGATCCGATAAAGAAAACCTGGAACTGCTCTCAGGACAGCACATTGGTTTCGCAAAGCAGATCCTGATTCTGTTCGAGAAGCGTTACACCATCTTCAAAAGAAACTGGTTCCCCTACGCTGCTGCATTTCTCATCCCAATCATCACTGCCGGCCTGACTTCTCTATTCATTAAGGGGCAAGACCAGCCGTCCTGCACGCCAACGGAACAAAACTCTGGCGGGTCAAGTTCTAATTTCAATGACCTGTTCAAGAATCTCTTTCTTGTCGCTGGACCATCTACATCCTCGCAGTTTAGCGCGTCCGCTCTAACACGCCTTCTAGTTCCAGTTTTCCAGAACCAACTTGGCGGTGGCACCGGGGGTTCAAGCAGCTCGGGGACTGGAAGCTATTCAGGGCTGATAGCCTCCATTGTCAACCATACTCATCTGGTCAACTCACTCAACGATTTTGACAACTATATCATCCAAAACCGCAAGAACGTGACACCAGCTGGGTGGTGGCTTGGCGATGCCACGTCACAGCCAACACTGGCCTACAAAGCCGTCCCCGGCCCTGATGTATACACGTCAGTTATTGGTCAGAACATCCTGGACACCATGCTGGCAAACATCAGCATTGCTACGACATATGCGCCGTTTGATACTCCTTGGGTCCCCAGCACTGGCAATTCCCTACAACTGTTGATCTACTTCGGCTTGGCACTCTCTGCCTATCCAGCTTTCTTTGCGCTGTATCCTAATGTCGAACGGCGCCGCAACGTTCGTGGCCTGCAATACTCTAACGGTGTTCGATCTCTCCCTCTATGGACTGCCTACACTGCCTTCGACTTTGCCATTGTGCTGGTATCTACAATCATCGTCGTCGCTTTGTGGGCCGGCCTTTCAAACGTCTGGACTTATAGCACTGGTTATCTCTTCCTCATTTTCATGCTCTACGGTCTGGCATCGACCCTTATGGCGTATGTTATCTCACTGTTTTGCAAAACACAGCTGTCCGCCTACGCATTTGCGGCAGCGGGTCAGGCAGTCGGGTTCCTCGTCTATATCATTGCCTACCTATGCGTCTTGACATACTCCCAGATCAACAAGATCGATCAGGATATTCTACTGGTGCACTTCATTGTCTCAGCTTTCGTGCCTATAGGCTCGGTCGTTCGGACACTGTTCATCGCGCTCAACTTGTTCTCATCAGCGTGCGATGGGACTGTCCTCAATCCCAACCCTGCTGCAATGACAGTCTACGGAGGCCCGATCCTATACCTTATCCTGCAGTCGATTATCCTCTTCGGTATCCTATTATGGTATGATAGCGGAGCAGGACTCAATATATTCCGCCGCCTCACCCAAAAGCCTGTCGACCCGAACGCTGATCAGGCGATCTCGGATGACGAAGTCGCCAATGAACTCACAAGGGTCACCAGCACGCCGCAGTCCTCTGACGGGCTGCGTGTGATGCATCTGACCAAGTCATTTGGAAAGAACACAGCTGTTGACAATGTCACTTTCGGTGTCAAGCACGGCGAGGTCTTTGCTTTGCTGGGTCCCAATGGTGCAGGCAAATCCACGACAATATCTTTGATCCGTGGAGATATCCAGCCAAGCCGCAACGGCGGAGACGTATTTGTCGAAAATACCTCTGTCTCTAGGCGAAGAGCAGCGGCCCGAGGACACCTGGGCGTCTGTCCCCAGTTTGATGCCATTGATTCTATGACCGTGGAAGAACACCTGCGGTTCTACGCCAAGATCCGAGGCATCCCCGACGTGAACCACAACGTCAAAGCTGTCCTCCGTGCGGTCGGCCTCGGTGCCTTCTCAACCCGCATGGCTCACGCACTTTCGGGCGGCAATAAACGAAAGCTCTCCCTTGGTATCGCGCTGATGGGCAACCCATCTGTTGTCCTTCTTGACGAGCCGTCGTCTGGTCTCGATGCCGCCGCCAAGCGAATCATGTGGCACACGCTGGGCACCATCGTCCCGGGACGATCGATCTTATTGACCACCCACAGTATGGAGGAGGCCGATGCCCTGGCAGACCGTGCTGGCATCCTCGCGAAGCGCATGCTTGCCATGGGTACCACGGAAAACTTACGCCAGCGATTTGGCGACGCTCTGCATGTCCATCTTGTCAGCAAGACAGCGCCCCATTCCACGCCCGAAGAGATGGAGCAGGTGCGGCAATGGGTCTTGAGCGCCTACCCCAGTGCCCAGGTTGAGGAGAAAACATACCACGGACAGATGCGTTTCTCTGTCCCCGCGAACGAGGTCGTCGGCAGCGAGAAGGAGCGAAGCCCCGTCGGCCAGTTGATCGTGGTTCTCGAAGAGCAGAAGGAGCGGTTAGGCATTGAACACTACAGCGTCAGTCCCACAACGTTGGATCAGGTAAGACAGGACCTTCCCGCTCTCATAATTTTTAGAAATCGGCCTAACACATGCGCAGGTCTTCTTGACTATTGTTGGTCAGCACAATGTGCAAGAGGAGAATTATGGCGAGAAACCCAAGAAGAGCATATGGAGATGTGGCCTATAGGAGTGGAGTACACGCTCACGCTGAACTGACTGAACAATCTTAGTCGAACCTGAAGTAATGTATATACAAGAAATGAATATTCAGGTCTATACCAATGTCATAATAGCACAAATAGAGTTCTATTCGTCATGCAGCAGCATGCAATACGCTGGAGTGATAGTCACCTAGAAGCAGGGAGGCCGCCCCGTGGTCGTGATGACTCACAAGCCTCGCGTGAGTAGTAGCAAAGCAGGACAACCGCGGAGGCAGAAACACACAAGTTACGGATCCTGCGTTGAAGGAATCACAAGCAAGCCAAAGGGAGGAAGAAGAAAGAAAAAGACCAGTCCCCTATGTCAACGATGTTGCCAGCGAACCCAAAAAGATATGTGGAGAAGCTGGGAATCGAACCCAGAACCTTTTCCATACTTTCCTCGGGATAATCCCGAGTGCGCATGCTAAGGAAACGTCATACCACTAGACCACATCCCCTTGACTGTGGCTCCCGGACCGTAGATGGTCAAGCGAGTCGCCTTTCGATGGAGACACAAGCCGCTTGTCTGAGATTATATCGGAGGGGGACGCTTTGTTTGTGCGGGCTGTAATGAAAGATAGCAATAAAATTAGAGGGAAAAAAAAATCATCGCCCTAGTGTTGGCATATAATAATTACGTACAGCGTATCTGCCATGTATGTCCGGACCATGGTCCGGCGTGACAAGTCTTTTCGAGTATACGGGGCCGGGTGGGCGACAAGTGGGCCGGCCCCCTCGGCCGATCTGCCGGGCTCTCAGACCTGGGGTGAACTGACTCCGCAAACGATAGGACAGGTATCCGACTACGTGATACCGACGCAGAGTAGACGAGGGAGCGTGGGCATGATCAAATCTATAGCCCAAAGCGTCCCACCACTGAAGAGTACAGTGGATGAAAACACAGGGGCTCGGAAGCGAAGGACTCCAATATGTCACTAGATTACAAAGAGAAAATCACGTAATACCGAGAAGGATTCAAGAAGTGAGCTCAATCAAAGCAAGTCCTCATGCGGCCGGCTAAACTTTTGATTCTCTTTTTTTGACCTAACCTAGCCTACCGTAGCCGTAGCCTGGGAACCGTCCGAGGAAGAAGCCAATCCTCCATGCCCTAGTCTACCGGGAGTTGTACAATGCCCCTCTTTATGCCATCCTTTGTGCCGTTTACCCTTTCCCTATGTAGTGACAAAGTGAAAAAAATGAAACACATTAATCCGTTCAACTCCTATTACCACTGACTGGGCTTGTACAACCTCCTATGTGAGGCGCGCCCCTCCCCTCGGTAGTCCAGGCTAGATATGCCCGACTTTGCAACATTATCGGCTCAACCGAGCCACTGGAAGCGGCACCAGACCTTGCTGCAGAAAGCTAGTCAAGTAGACTCAGTGTCGCGTAACTTGAGGGTGTCGTAAACTGTTGGGAGAGGCCAAAAATCTAGCATGGCCGTCCATTCAAGACGCTTCGGATACATCGTGATCGGTGATTTCATTCGTACGCGTGCGTTTATAATGGTGTTCGGTAAAAATGTGATCCCATCTGTCATGTTCGAGTATGCAAGCCTCGAACAATGACAGTGGGTAATGTCATCAGTCGTACTCAAAAACAAAAGAGCTTCCACCTTCTATACTCGTTGGGAATGCGTCGTTGTCGTCTCCCAGAAAAGTCCAGGTGTCAATAACAAGAGTGGCACTCATGTTCTCGTTGATAATATTTCATGAAGATGTTCTTAAATTCTGGCGTGTGACAGGTGGGGTTAACCTAGCCCACCGGTGAATGTTGTTATTATCCACGCGCCGATGTTGACGACATTAAACATCGTCTTGGCGGATGTGGTATTGCGATCATGCAGACCTATTCGATCGGAAGTTCGGCCTGCATGTGTCTTCTTGGTGGAAACAATCCATCGTCACCCTCGCTATGCAAATTAAACAGATGACGGTACATATACAAAGCACCAGATTGGACTGTGCTTGTTGGGCGGGGTGGTGGACAGAGACTCATCCTACTGTCATCATCTGCAAGCGCTGACTCAGTCCGTTAGATGGCGAGGCAGCGACGGAGCCGCTACTGAGCACCGAGTTGCTGCTGCGACTATGGGGAAGTTGACGAGTTGGAGTCGGGGTCGTAGCAGGATCCTCGAAGACGCGCGTGAAAGCAGGGCTGCCATCTTCGGTCTTGCTAGCTCGCTCTCGCCTGGGTGTGCGAACCGGGCTGGAGGTGATGTGGTCTGCCCTGCGGACGAGGTCCGAGAGTGAGTCTCGCAGGTCACCAGCGCGCTTGACAAGCTCCTTCAAGCTGTTGGTGTCAAAGTTGAGCTTTCCATCCGATTCTCCCTCCTCGTAATCAACATCGGTAGGCTGCCTGCGGCGCAAATGCATCGATTCCATGAGAGATCTTGCGACCGAAGAAGGATTGTAAGGGGTGCTAGGCCTCCTGGGCTCGGGCGTTCTAGGCGGCTCAGGGGTCTGGTCCCCCTCGGTGTGCGGCCAAGTTCCAAAGATATCGTCCTCGGGCGAGAACACGGAGCGTCGTCGGGCCAAGGGCCGTTCTTTGACCACCGCAGTCTTGATCTGCCCCCCGTGTGATTTGGCTGTGAAATCAGACCGGTCGAGGACTCCCGCATCGAACCCATCATCGAGGAAGCGTTCGTCAATAAGGCTCGAGTCAAATTCGTCGGTGTCTGCGTGAGATGAGATATCCTCCGAGGCATCGTCGTCTGGCGACGCTAGAGCAATGATGCCCTCGGCTTCGCGCCAAAGCTTTGCGTATGGGCCCGCTAACATCTCCATTTCTCTTCCCAGGCGGCAGAGTCGCTTTAGGTCGTTGACCAGGAGCGACAGTTCGCGGATCTGTCCAGAATGTGCTTTCACCGTGGGCTGTGTTGCCTGGATGGAAGCTGGGACAATCATAGACAAGCGGTTTTCTGCTTTCTTGCCTTCCATGCGGCCGGCCTCGCTCTCTTCTTCGAATTCAAAGTCGTCGTCCCAGTCCTCGCTAACGTTCTTCGACCCTAGGCCCCAAGTGCCGAATTTTGGTGTTGATTTGGAACTGTCAACAAGATCAGGAACGACGGGAACGCTCTGACTCCGGATGTGCGCAGCCACTGGGCCTCTCCGGCTTGCTGATCTTCCACCCCTGATGTCAAGTTCCTGTTTTCCATGGACGGTCTTCGGCCGCGGTCCATCCTGTTCGTGCTTGTCATGAGGTGCCGGCTCTGCCCAGTCAAAAACATTGCTACGTGGGCGCTCGCTGCTCACATCCCGCTGGGACTCACGGCTCTCGTTGCCACTAATCATCATCAAAGCGGCCCGGTGGTTGGGGCTTCCTCTCCGAGAATTCATGGAGCTTGGAGGCGAGAGGTGGTTGCATACGTCGTGCTCATCATCTCGGGCCCAATCCATATCGTCGTCATCGTCAAGCGAGAGTCTGCCGATATCTTTATGTGACAGGTAATCAGGCGATCCGGATCGATATCTGAAAGCCCCCTCGTCCTCGAGACTGGCAAGTCGAAAATGAGCCTCTGCATCATCGTAAGTTCCACGGACTGGCGTAGGCAACCCCTCATCCTCTTCCATGATCTTGTTGCCGCCGTCAAAGGCTGGGCCCAATATCTCTTGTATAGACAAGCGTTTCGGCTGCTTGCTGATTCCCGCTGTGCTGGGGGGCGACTCGTCAAACATTGATTCCAAAGGCGAGTCCAGCGTTCTCCGACGTCCAGAGCCCACCGTCCGAAGAGAGTCAAACGGGGTATCTGTCTTGAAGTCTGTGTCATCATCATCCCCAGAAGTGAACCCACGGTGGTACTCAGAACTAGCGACTGTGGACGCACGGTCTAGCGTCCGAGCTTGAGACGCATTTGAGTTCACTCTTATGGTGGCCGTCGAATGACCAACGGCGGCTGCATCGTCTAGCTTCCCCTGGCTCCCAGATGAGCCAAGGCGGTTCAGGTCGATGTGGAAGCTTGAAAGCCTTGACAGCGGCGGGAGAGGTGACGAAGAGCTTCTGCTGGTGTTGGGCGGTTGGAATATAGCTGTCAACTCCGACTCAACCCGACTAGGCTCCCCCGCTCTGTTGAGAGTTTCCGCCATGCCTGTGTCGTCGCCGGCGTGCGCCTCAGATGCACCAGTCACCGGATCAGACGCATAACGCTTGTTTAAATTGGCGCCATCACCACCTGCGCCTCTTTTGCGCCGCCTGATGCTTCCAGTTTTAGAGATCCAATTCGTGGGCGAGCTGAACTGCATTGATATGGATCTTCTGGGGGTTTTGGAGGGTGTAGCACCAGGTGACGGGTCTGTCTTGTTGGAACTTTGGGGGCTGTCCTCAACCTCAGCACTTGCGTCGGCTTCAACGTTGGGGTAAACCTGGTCAGCGACCGGAGCAGCCATGACAGATCTAGGCGTAATTAAATATGCTCTCTCGAGAGTATTCTGCTCGACACAGATCCGCTTGGCGCCTGGCGGGTCTACCGTATCACTTCGTTTCGAGGACGCCTTGGTTGTGATTCGAGCTATCCTGGCATGGAAGAAAGATTTCCACCTGAAGCTGTCGCTCGATGGTATCTCCACGGCCGGCTCAATCTGGGGCGTTGCCAAAGTCTGAGCCCTCGGCCGAGGTGGTTGAACGTCAAAGGAGAACTTGGGCACGGGCGGAACGGCCTCCACCGACAGCTGATGAAGCGTCGCAGATCGTTGGTGACTTGTTGCGGGCCGCCGCAATGTGGGCATCTGTGACCTCGAGCCGCGCCGAACTACCAGTCCCGTGTCGACACCATTCCTAGTGGAGGAGCGCTTCACCAGTTTGTTTGGGGGGAGCTGAGGGCCCGTTGCACTGAGGGGCGACAAGATGGGAGCTCCAGAGCCACGAGAGAAGACGGACTGGGAGTCGGGCCCGCTGCTCGACTTGAGGCTCTCGTGTTGCGACAAGGGGCGTAGCGAGAGCCTGCGCATCCACGAGCCGTTGGAGGAGAATGAGTCCCGCACGTCCTCGGCTATGGGCACCGCAGCTACGTCGCCCTGCTTGCCGTAGGAATACCGCCAATTCGAGGCTTTCGGAGGAGTGATTTGGGTGTGAGACGAGCGGCGAGGGATTCGTGGCTGCAGAGAGGCGCCCTGCGGCGGGGGGAAGGAGAATTGGGCAATGCTGTCGGCGACAGCAGCGGCGGAATCCCTGGTTCCCGGGCGCGAGATCAAGTCTCCCTCGGGGGTTGCCTTTCTCTTGTGGGAAGCAGGCCGCGGCGAGGGGGGCGGCAGCTGTCCCTCGGCCAGTTGACCGAATATGAGACCCGTTGTCGCCGCAGCGACAGCAGTGCCGGTGCCGACGAGCTGTCGTGACGGAGGTGGTGGTTAGCAGGTGACACAGGCTCGGTTAGACCAATCCCGCGCAGGGAGGAGGAATGTAGCAAGCAGACGGCAAGACGCCATGGCAATTCGAAAGAAGGGGAGGACTCGGAAGGGGCCAGTGTATGTGCGTATGTGTTGTGTGTATATATGTATGCTAAGCGCTGCATCCTGTACGCTCGGTCGAGGTTGCAGCGCGGGCAGGGTGACGGGTGACGAAAGGGGACTTACACTGGGGACGGCCTGCATGGTGCCGGGGCGGTCCTTAGGGGCAGAGGGGACGGCCTTCGAAGACGAGGCAAGGGGAAGAAAAACCGGCGCTCTCTGTCGTTGTCGTGACCATTGTTCGTCAAGACATGGCAATCTCGGGGTGGGAGCTGTCTTGAGGAATGCCAGTCAATCTGCCCTTGTAGAGTTCGGGGTTGTAGCAGGTCTGGTGTCTGGCGTGTGTAAGGCTGGCTGGCCAGTCCCGCGGTCGTGGGTCGCGGGTTGTGTGTGGACGCGGGCGTGGGCGTGGGCGTGGGTCGTGGAAACCGGACAGGCGTGACGATTGCTCTCTCCCTCTCTCTCTCCCTCTCTCTCTTTTTCTCTGTTCTCTGTCGAGGAACAGTAAACTTGGGGAAGCAGCCGAATGGGTTTCCTGCTGGCGGTCACGCTGGTGGTGGTGCTGGAGTCGAGTGCACACCACACGCGCGCGCGCTCAGAGTAGCGTTGCGGTGTCTATGCGGTCGTCGAGACCCGTAGGTAGACACAAGAGGGAGCAAGCGAGGGTGGGTTGGTTGGTTGTTCGTGGCCCCGGCTGTGCAATCCCGCCGCCTGCTCGGTGGTGGAAGCAGGAAGTAAGGATGCTGGGGAGATCGCAGGCGCTGTGGTTTGGGAGCAGCTGGCCAAACCGACTTCTTGGGAACCCGTCGGTACAGTAAACTGTCGGCTGGTCGAATTACTACGGTACAGAGAGAAACGAAGGTCAGTGAGGTCCAGTCCGATGAGACGGGACAGGCGAGAAATCGCAGGCCGTCAGCAGGAAGCCAAGGAATTAGTCGCTGGGTCGGAGAGGCTACTGAAGCAGGCAATCTAGCACGCAGAAAGCAAGCCGTTGGGTTGATTGATTTCATTAGCTGGCTGGCTAACTAATGTACAGCACAGTAGTAGCTGTGTGGCTAGCACAACTCCTCGCGCGCCCATTTTCGACACAGCTCGGCATAACTTCCTCGTCACTCTCACCTGCTGGTTACGAAATGGGACGCGAGAAAATCAAGGACCTAGAGCACCCAGACGGCCGACCCATTGGCTATGCTAATTACACAGTGCCTCTGGCGCCGGGGTTGCTTGAACAGCAGCCGGAGCTGGCTGCTACAACCGGTCCAAGCTACGAGGTACCTGGCCATTAATAAAGTTCTACATACTGCACAGTACACAGTAGTACGGAAAGCGTTGCTGCTGCTGCTGTTGTTATTGTTATTATTCTTATTTGTTGTTATTATTGCCCGGGCATCGATCAACAAGGCCTTGTCTGCCCCGGCCGCCTGGCCCTGTCTTGTCTGCATGTTTCCACCTTGCAAATCGCCGCCCACTTTCGCCCACTGCGTCAAAGGTCCTACGGGACGGCAGACGGCCAAAGTATCCAGCACCCAGCTTGCCAGCGGTCTCACTGCGCGGTCTCCGGCCTCCGTCTTCTACCGTGGCGTGTCCAGTGGTGCATGTCCCTCGTCGCAGGATCCATGTTCCCCGAGAGAGGAGGAGGAGAGCGGACGCCTGAACGCAGCCAGGGTCAAGCCTTGTTATGCTTGAAAACTGGCCCCAGAATGGAGTTTCTGCTGGAGGAGCTTCGTTCGGCACTGTCAGGAGTAGCTAGACTGGATCTGCGATAGGGCATTTAGTTGCGCCGTGGGCAATCCGTGCCCTGATGTGATCACTGGCAAGACTGGGGTGCCAGCATAAGCATTCACTCAAACAGCGGCCCCCGGCACCCCCGAATCCAAGCCTAGCGATGGGTCCTTCATTATTCCCTGCCCTGCCAGCAGCATGGATGCGTAACAATGAGAGAGAAAGCAAAAAGCTACCTACTGTGTACGCCCCGGCACGACAGGCGAGCTGGCTGAGTGAGTACCGGGCTTAATTGGGACGAGACAGTGACGTGAAGTTAGTCTTCTCTGTCGTCGTCCTCTGTTTGGGATGGCAGGCTAGTTACTGTTTTTGGGAGAGTCTGTTGTTTCGAATGCCATGACTTCATTCGACGGCTTCGATGCTACTGCCCAGAACGGCAAGATGGCCATTGCGCGTACCGTGTATAAATAAATATCCATTCCCTTAGCCCTCAGCCCAGTGATTACTATGCTACACCACGGCTCTCGATTGGGCCCCCTGCAGGTGGCCGATTCTCTCCCCCAGAGACACGCCCACGCCTCCAGCTGAGCCGTACTATTGTGAATTAACTCCGCCTGTACCTTGCAACGGTGCGTGGGCCGTCCTTTTTTGGCGCCAGCGCATGAGGCAGGCCGCCTATCGTTGGCTGGGTCCGCGTATGCGACGGGCTCTCGGTCAGGGTAATCCAGGCTCCGCGAACGCCCAGTGCTCACTGGGGCTTGCTGATGTCGACAGCTTTTTAAATGAGATGCCCCGGAGGCCTTGTCACCCCTCGCATGACCTCCCGGATTTTGGTAAGGCTCTGAGATCTCGGAATCTCCAACAGTGGGGACCTTCAGCAGGGGGGGTTGTTGGTGGATCGTGGAGACCAGAGATCGGCCGACGCTGGCTCTAGTTGCCATGGAGCAGTTTGGTAGTAGTTCGTGGCCGAGAACTCGCAGAGGCGTCCTGAGCATGATGATGTGACCTGACCAGATGGCTAGCTAGGCGATCAATGCACTGGCCAGAAGCCTCGCTTTGCTCGCACTTTCAGCATCCGCGTATCCAACGTCGTACCGGCGGCCGTGTGGCGTAGACACTGTCTGCCTTCATCCTGCACAGTGGGCAATCAGCTTGCACTAGGGCTCACCACTGCGGGCCTGCCCTGCTTTCACGACCTTTCTATTCCCCGCTGGCATGGCACTGAGACGAAAGAACCCGAAAGTTTGCTGCGTATGGGTTATCTGTGCTACAGACTATCGTCTGATGTATTGTCTTAGATCATCAGTCTCGGCACGCTTTCGTAATGCTGCCTAAGCACCCCGAGCTCGTTTCGTTGGTCGTCTAGTTGCGTATTCGTTTCAACCGAAGCTCCCTCAGGATGGATGCAGTCTGTCAAGGTTGATTGATGTTGCATTCACAGATTGGTGTGCCCCAGCGGGAATGCAGCAGAAGAATGGCAGATGGATGAGACGGCTGGCCTGCGCATTGGCCGCAGCTCGCTTCCTGGAGTCTGCAGCAGCGAAAGGGGGCCTTCCTTGTCTTCTCTCTGGTCGCAACACGCGACACGGATGTATAGAACCGCCATCTAATACGACGGAAATACTCGATTCTGACGTTGCCCAATAATTACGCCACCACAGGGCCGGGATCACATTCCCGGGCGCTGCATGCCTCGCTGCAATATAAAAGAATTCTACATGTGGCTTACAGAGCATGCACCCAGGAGGTGCTGGAGACGGGATATAGAAGATCGGCGGTAAAGGCATAGCGAGGCAAAAGCACCATTCTGTTGGCTCTTCAAGTTTAACCACTTGGGTAGTTTAAATGACATGCAGCAGATTCCGTCGTCACTGCAAGGGACCAGAGTGATTGCATCACATCTCGCATCCGGCGAGTGTTGTTGCAAGATCTCTGCCGTCCTGGCGGGCAGCGTCTGTCAAATCAGACAATCGCGGATTATACTCGCATTCCCCGGTGGAGCCCAACCGCCTGGGCCATGCACGAGACGAGCACACAGGAAACAGACACAGCTCCAGTGATTGGCTTTAACACTCCTAACCCGCGCTGCCTTCTGAAGTTTGCATCTCAGCTGTCAAGGCTGCTGGCATGTGGTGCCAGCCAATGTCGTTGCTAGTGGTCGTTGCGCTGCCACGAATCACTGCCATAAGTGCGTGCCATAGGGGACCATGCATTGTGTCACCGAATGCTTCGTCCCTAGTGAACACAAGCATATTCAACATATTGTCTCGGATGGTGTTTCCTACCATTCTCGCCACCGCCAGGGTACTGTCGCCCTACTATCGGGCTCGTGAGTGCTCACTTGGTATTTGCCTACTATCTGCAAGTGTACCTTACTATGGTACATGGAGTCAACAGCAAAGATAGAGAGAGTCCTCTAAGACTTGGCCGTGCTGTTTACCCGCATGCCGTCCCTGGTCAGTCCAAAGTGGTCCAATGCGTTCCGGGCTTAAAGACGACAAGGGTAATGCGCAACCAGCTACTTATTTGAACCTCAGCGTTACATCCGAGGGGGCACTTCCACAAGGCTCCATATTAGAGCACAAAACCATTGACGCCTCTTGTCATAACTATCCATAGTAGCAACTATTCCATGACGATCGAATGCTTTGATCCCAGATCCGAGCTGCCATAGACCAACTCGTTGCGTGTCGCAACCAGCCACGCCGGCCCAGACGGTGCAAGATCTGCGTACAAGAACCCCCAAAATTGTGCTTCGTATATCGAGCGAATACAGATGTCTTGGGCGGCGTTCAACTTTCCGGTACTATGCATTGCAAATTTCTCCATCTGACGAGTCGAATCTCTGTGATTGCTTGGATTCATGCCAGTGGAGCTCTAAGTTGTTTCATCGGCGGGCTCCATCGCGCACAGAACTGAGCTAGGCCTGCATGCCCCGGGCAGGCCTGCTAGGCAAAGAAAGCCAGGGCCGCGCTACTGGGGTGTAGAAGCGCTACTGAGCACTTTCGGCATTGTGTTTGTGGACCTCGCCCTAAAATAGGTATCGTCAACACCAACATTGCCAGCTGCATCCGGTAGTCTGCAATAGCTCAGCTGAAGAAACACAAGAGTTCAAGAAGTCATGAGGAGGGCCGTCGGTTCTCCAAGCTCGTCGGAACGGATGTCGGCTACCGAGTAGTCTGCCCGCTGATCGGTGATGTTCGGAGCTTCCGTCAACCTGGTCTCCGGAATGTTGCTATAGGTATCACAGGTATACTCCCGGCTTCACGGAGACACCGCCGCATGACATCATGCTTTGTTGTCTCTAATTGATGTTAAGATTGCTGATTGGGAAAACACGAAGACGAGGGACATGATCACCGATCTACTGAGTTGCTGGGGCGCGCTGAGATGAACCAAGCAGACTAAGGCGACAAGTGCACCCACGGCGCCGGTATGAACTAAAACAAACCAGCACTAAGATCAGGCCAACGGTCGACGGCAGTTGGCACTTTGCGCAGCCGTCTCGCCTTTTAGCCAAGTTTGCAAGGAACAAATATCCGATCACACTGCTCTGGGCGCTCCACAGCTCACGCCTTGGAGTGGCATCTTGGAGCTCCAGCAAGGCTTGCACATTGTACGTTTCCGTGGCAATATCATCCTCGGTCAATGGGTCAAACTCAGCAGGTTATTTACTCTGAGCCTCACGGACCGCATACAGAATAAGATCACGTGCTCGTCATTAGCTATTGCACGAATGTTCTCGTCTGGAGCGGCTTGGTCATATAATGTGCAGCGCTGTAAGGTTGTAAGATTTTCGTTGCCTTCAAGGCCTTTGATTTGTAACTTGTCCGCTTAATCAGTACTTGGAGTGTAAAGAAGGGACGCTATCCTGCACGTGTAAAAGCTAACAATATCCCCGAGGCGGAGCAGGCCAGTCCGGTAAGATCGGTTGGTGGATAGCGGATCAACTGCTGGTGATAATGTAGGGATGATGCCTTCACGACTGCATGTAACAGTTTATAATCTATTGAAGTTGTTTCTCATCACCGCAGCCCTCGTAAGACAGGGAATACCCATCTCCCCGTAGCGCACACAGAGAGGTCCGAATTGCACCAACATCAACTGCACAGCTGACTCGTAGCGACGCGGATTGCCTAACTCCGCTGCCGGCTCTGGTCTGCTCGGATCTCGCTCTCTGGGACCAGAATTCTTTTTGAATTGAAAAGCATTGCCGAGTGCAGCCGCCTACCTCGTTGCTATGCCAGCACTGGGATCCTGCCCCAGGATTTCCTTGGATGCACATCCATGATGCCAGAATTCCGGGCTGCCTTTCGGTCTGGGGACTGTTACACCATAACGGCCCATATAACAGGACGTATAACCGAGCCGGAGTGCAACATTGACCAGGCCATACGCCATGTGCAAGTGCTGGCTCAGACCCCTCTTGCCCCTCTAGTTGTCAGCAGAGTTTGGGCTAAAACACTATGATGGGAATTCCAACTTGGGAAACCGGGTTCTTAGATCAGCCATTGGCTATTCTCATTTTCAGCCGCCTGCTCAGATGCACGACGATCCAGAACGTGCAGGGCCCGGATGGCTTGCTAAGCCTCTCAAGCCTCCCCGCTAGTCTTGAATATGTGCGCAAAATATCCCCGTACCGGCGGTCCAGTCGGGGTCCGTTTGCACAGATGACGTGAGGTTTACCAACGGCATACGGCAACCCCTCTCTCTTAGTTTCGGGACCCTGTGTCCTCTTTACGTGCCTTGCGTGCCAGCCGATGCTAGCAGATAGATGAGGTTGAGACATTTTCCAGGGATGACATGATGCCACTGGACATCCTACGGACGATCAGACCTCTGTGATTGATGATAGACCACGAATCATTGAAACTTTATTACCCCCAACGATAGTTGATGGGAAGCACATGGGATTGACCCGTCCTGATGAAGGCCGCGTGAGGCCTAATGCAATAAGCCTTGGCGTACTTTGGTAGCCGAAGGACCGAGACTCCTTCTATATTCCCACTTCCTGGATGCACAATGAAAGCCTACAGCTGTGTGCAATGTTATCGTCATTGTACGCAATTGTATGCTTGGGATGGGCAAGGAGGCGTGGTAACTGGCTGCCGATACACTGGAGTGGCAACTAGGCGCGGTCCAGCACTTCCTCGTTGAGACGCATCAATGCGGATCTTTCATTCCCAGACAGGATACGGCTCCTCTGCGTTTACGGGAACTGCAATTGCAGGTTTTGGGATCTCTTGACTGTCTCCCTACCCCCTCACCTAGATGCGCAAGTTGGTTTTAGGTCGATTGGTTTCCCATGATTGGCTGAAGCAGCGTGTCGCCATCCGAACCCCGAGCCAACCAGACGGCGTGCCGGTAGACGCGTTCAACTAGGCCGCACTACCCCATGGTCAGGTCGCGTATCTCAGGTGGTATTTTCGCCGTAACGAGAAAAAGAAAGGTTTCCCCCACGGACATAATGAGACACTTTCCAATGACGGCGCGTCGGAGAAGAAAAAAAAAAGTCGCGTAGAGCCGCTACCGCGCCATCCGGTTGGATCGAGCGCGCGGCCGGAAATTTAACGACGCAATCCTGCGAGATCTAGATCTAAGCGGATTGGCCGAAATGGCTCGATGGCTTGGAAATAAAGCAAGTTCTATAATTGCATTGTCGGGCCCGTCAGGCGGCGCGAGGCAACCGGTCTTTTTGCCTCGGGCGGTCACGCGGCTTTCGACTCTGCCCTCTGTTCCTGATGCAAGGATTGCAGCTCTCATGTACATGCATTAAATACAAGGTATACACAAGATACCTAACATGTTACGGCTCTGTCTACATGGTAGGTTATGTCAATTGATAGTAGCTGTTAGATCTTTGATGCCAATTGGATTCTCTGTACTCATATTTGTAGTCTCGCCGTCCTGCATTGCTCTCAACCTATGCTCACGTTCCTTAAATATTTCCAACCAGGACCATACTGCAGGTCTGCCTGTTCTTGAGATCGAGGCAGCCCAGTAGCATGAGTCACAACATCGTTATCAACCGTGCCTTCGTCCTTTTGATGCTTTTCTCATGGGTTTTCGTGAAGTGGCGATAGCCATCCAATCATACCCCGCGAATGGCCCCACATCTAACGACATGTCATGAAGTTTCGTGCCCGACAGGAAATTCTGTGAAGATGGTATCGCCGTTGCCTCGCAGAAATCCGCCAACGTCGCCATAATCTAAAACAAAGCCGAGCCTGCAAGTGAATACACTTACCGGGTCTCTTCAGCATCATTATTGGGGATTTTCACGGTGGTGCAGATACGAAGAACCCCGCTTTCGGTATCCAGCGACTGCAGGTGGCTCGAGTTTCTTTTCGCTCTGCGCTGTTCCAGATATCCCACGCAGAATCGGCGATATGGAGGCTGATATCAGAGCCGTACTACCGAATGTAGACCCTGTTGTCTCGGAGTATTCGGCCGGATACCTGAGGCACGCATCCACCACTTGGACCGACGAGGAGGAGGCGACAGGCCTGTCCCCCCTTGCCGAAGCCGCCGCTGCCATCACGGAGCTGCTGATCTCAGCTTCCGGCAACGCAACCGGCTCTGAGCTGACCAAAGTCCAGCAGCTTGTTGCGAAATGGGTAGAGAAGTACGAGGTTGCGAACAGTGAGAATGGAGAGCGCAGGGGTCCCTCTGCTGTCAAGCGTCTCGACCAGGCCATCCAGGTCGGGTCCCAGCGCAACATGTCTTCGACTCTCGCAGTGTCGACGGGCAGCATAGACCTCGAGTCGGCCAACCAGCGCAAGGTCGAGTCCAAGGTGGACCGGAAAAAGCTTGAGAAGGCCGAGCGTAAGATCGCCGCCAAACAGAGCAAGAAGCAGTTCAAATTCGTGGAGTACGAGGCGTCCAAGCTCCTCGACCAGCCCGAGGATGCCCAGTCGTACGAAGAGTTCTACATGGCTGTCAACCCGCTGCAGCTCGGCTCGGGTGGTCAGAACAAGTCCAAGGACATCAAGATGGAGAATGCCGATGTATCCATTGGTGGACAGAGGATCCTCACGGACACCAACTTGACCCTTGCGTATGGCCATCGCTATGGTCTTGTTGGTAACAACGGTGTGGGTAAATCTACGCTCTTGAGAGCGTTGTCCCGAAGAGAGTTGCCTATCCCTACGCACATCTCGATTCTTCACGTCGAACAAGAGGTATGTCTGGTGTCTTGCAAGTTGATCTATAGAGTACTGACATGATACAGCTTACCGGAGACGACACTTCCGCATTGCAGGCCGTCTTGGATGCAGACGTTTGGCGGAAGGTTCTACTCAGGGAGCAAGGAGTAAGTCCAGCCGTCTCCAAATTGCAGCATCAACGCTCACAAATATGCAGGAAATTACCGAGAAGCTGGCTGCTATCGAATCACAGAGAGCGTCAATGGCTGACACCTCGACTGACGCGGCTAAGTTAGACCTTGAGCGTGAGGCTCTGGACCAGAAGCTTGGAGACATCCAGGGCAAGCTAGCAGAGATGGAATCAGACAAGGCTGAGTCCAGAGCTGCCAGCATTCTTGCTGGTCTCGGTTTCTCGGCAGAACGCCAACAGTTTGCCACCAAAACCTTCTCCGGTGGTTGGCGTATGCGTCTTGCTCTTGCCAGAGCCTTGTTCTGCGAGCCCGATTTGTTGCTACTGGACGAACCGTCGAACATGTTGGACGTTCCGTCCATCACTTTCCTTTCCAACTACCTGCAGTCATACCCGAGCACTGTCCTTGTGGTCAGTCACGACAGAGCCTTCCTCAACGAGGTTGCGACCGATATCATTCATCAACACTCAGAACGACTCGACTACTACAGAGGTGCCAACTTCGAGTCCTTCTACAACACCAAAGAAGAACGCAAGAAGGTGTACCAGCGAGAGTACGAGAACAACGTGGCCCAGCGTGCCCACTTGCAGGCTTTCATCGACAAGTTTCGATACAATGCCGGCAAGGCTGCTGAAGCTCAGTCACGTATCAAGAAGCTGGAGCGTATGCCTATTCTCGCAGCACCAGAGACGGAATACAGTGTCAAGTTCAAGTTCCCAGATGTGGAGAAGCTTTCGCCTCCTATCGTCCAGATGACAGGTGTCACATTTGGCTACACCCCGGATAATATTCTCCTTAAGAACGTTGATCTCGATGTTCAGCTAGACTCTCGTATCGGTATCGTCGGTCCCAACGGTGCTGGTAAGACTACGATCTTGAAGCTCCTCATCGGCAAGTTGTCCGCTACTCAAGGTCTGATCTCTCAACATTCGCGCTTGCGTATCGGTTTCTTTGCTCAGCATCACGTTGATGCTCTGGATCTTACCATGAGTGCGGTCAGCTTCATGGCCAAGACTTATCCCGGCCGCAATGATGAGGAGTATCGTCGCCAGCTCGGTGCCTTCGGTATCACTGGTACCACTGGTCTGCAGAAGATGGAGGTCCTGTCTGGAGGTCAGAAGTCTCGTGTGGCATTCGCTTGCTTGGCCCTCACGAACCCGCACATCCTGGTTCTTGACGAGCCTTCCAACCATCTGGATATCGAGGCAATGGATGCACTGTCAGAGGCTCTACAGGCGTTCCAGGGCGGTGTGCTGATGGTTTCCCACGACGTCACCATGCTGCAGACGGTCTGTACGAGCTTGTGGGTCTGTGAGAACGGAACGGTATGGAAGTTCCCAGGAGACGTGCAGCAGTACAAGAAGAGAATCGCCGCGCAGGCTGATGCCGCTGGTGTTGTTAAGGCTCACTAGTCTACTCGCTTTAGGCATCGTGAATACACACGTAAACAGTCCCAGCACCCCTTTGACCATGATAATGCTGCTTGTGTCTTGGATCATTGACCTATATTTTCACTTAGGCATGAGTAATGCCATGCAGTGGACCATTTCAATTGAGAAGGCCTTGGCTAATAGAATGGTGGTGAAGCGCACCGAGAATGTTTGCTTCCCCTGGATGGAGCCAGGGCCCTTGGGAAGCGAAACCCCCTGTGAGCCTGGCACACCGCAGTATGGCACATGCTCAGTCACTTGTCATAAAAGAGTGACTTTGGAGAGAAGATTGTGACGCTTGTCTTATCATGTATATCTTGAGTAGCCAGGCCCTGTACGTGGTCATCGAGCAATCACCCTCCCAGGCGTCAAAAGTCCAAGCTGAGCCGTGCGGCTTTCTTACGCAATAGCCGCCAACATGAGCAAGTATCCATTGCCAAGATGGGTCTATTGAACTTCCCACACTGCACGACGGCACCCCCTACGACGCGGGCCTTATCTCAACTGTGTTTCTCCCAGGACAGAAGTCGTATGACCAACTGTTGTCGATGTATACTTTCACACGCGTAGTAAGACCCATCATTTATCCCCACCATGGCCGCTGCTATTTCTTGCTTCTGAGCCATGGAGTAGGGTCGGGTATCCCTAATTCGCAGTGCCTAACGTGTCAGAATCCGATCGTGATTTAATCGGCTCAAAAGGAGAGCAGAGCATGCTGGCGAGAACTTTGATACGAGGCTTGATTCATCACCCCCCAAAGGGCCATTGCCACTATCCCCTCCCAACCCACCCGCAGAGCAAGAATTCGCACGAAAGAGACAATGCCTAGTCAGAAAACTTAGTTTATGTCGACGAGCTGATATAAGCCCCTTTCCACCTGTTCTGCCCAGCACAAAACCCCTTCCCTGTCTCCTTCGCAGCCCGTATCCCACTCTTCTTTCTCGTCTTCTGGTTTTCAAAAACAGCAGCCTATACTCATCGCCAGAGAGCGAGCCATCCACCCCTCAGACTCACTACAATAAGAGGGGGCCAAGACAACACACAGCGCCATGCAGATCCCGCTCCGACCCCTGACGGCCGTCGCCGCCGCCGTCGCCACGGCGGCCGGCGCGGTGCTGCCGACCGACGGCCAGCCGCGGGACGCCACGCTCCCCCACGTCTTCGACGTCTGCCCGGGGCTGCCGTCGGGCTGGTCGTGCGTCAACCCGTGGACGGGCATCCACTGCCAGAGCGGGCGGCTGCGGCTGACCAAGCACTGCCCGCCGGGCCAGTGCTGCGCGCAGTCGGGCGGCGCCATGAGCTGCAGCGTCGAGGAGTGCTGGCGCGGGGACGACATCACCACGCGGGCGGCCGCGACCGAGACCAACGGCGGGGCGGGGCGGCAGTGGCGGCAGCAGCAGCCGCGCGCGGTCGGGACGCAGCGGGACGATCTCAATGCCACCTTCACCACTTGGGCGGCGAGCACCACGGACACGACCACGGGCCTTGCGAGCTGGGGCGAGAGGTTCACGGCGGCGGCCGAGACGACGGTGCCGCCAACGACGACGCGCAAGACGGGGGCGACGGCGACCCGGGCCGAGTGGGAGCCCGAGTGCTCCATCTCGGTGATCCGGTGCAAGGCCAACACGGTGCAGGCGTGCAACGGGCGGCACCAGTGGGAGGACCTCGAGGTGTGCGTGCCGGGCACCAGGTGCGAGACGCGGTACAACACGGGCCAGTGCGTTTGAAAATAATATATAATTCCCGTTCAAGATTCTACTGCGCTGGTTCTCGAGTCCACCCCCTCCCCCCCTCTCGAGAATGGGCTCTGGGCACTACGTGGGTGTGCCATGGACGTTGGGGCTCTCTTGCTGGAGATGGACTTGCGTCCAGCTACTTGGACTCGTTTGTTCTGCTTCTGTTCTGTTTATGCTTGGGTCAAATGGTTGTCGCTCAAGGCGGTAAGACTGGAACCATGGATGTCCCTAGGAGGCATGGCCGGCGTGGTTTGGGGATTCCTGGTCCAGTCGGTGGTTACATGTGCGTTGGGAAAACTCGCGGCCTAGGCTCGCGTGGATATCGCTGATCGTTTGGGGATTTCTTCCTTCTTTTGTTCCTCCCGGGTGGTTCGAAAGTGCGCAATTCAAGGAGTTTGATCTGGGTCGAATTAGACCTACCTGCGTCGGTAAGGGGGAGACGCCAAAACACTAACCGGCGATCTATCCCACTCAATCATCTTCCCAAAGGATAATCTTGTCGAGGCTCTTTTCCTTTCGTGCAGGCGGTGCTTGTCACTTCGAACAAATCCCAAGCTGGGAACTGAGTAGCAAATATGAGTTTTTCCTTCGTACACTATCATATACCGTCCAACACCCACCTCTGCAATATAATATGATACAAATCCTCTAGTGTATGACAGACACACACCCCTATCGTTTGCCAGCCCCACCACATTGTCTCTCTATCCATCAGAAACGCCAAACGGCAGGCCAAAAGCAACTTGGGAGAAGAATTCCATGCTTTTGTCCTGTTCCACGGAAATGCTCCGCCCACCTGTCTATCTGAATCAGATAAAATCGGAGGCTCGAGAAGAAAAAAGGCAGAAAACGCCATTCCCATGCGGATTTGTTCTTAGCCCATTCCCTTGCCAGAAATTCCAAAAGATGAAACATGTGACATGATACCCTACCTTGCCCCTGGTACAGAACGCCGGTTTTGTGCAGAATACATGAAAAAAGGGGTATAGTAGACGGAAAATGGAAACCCGAGCAAGGTGCCACGCTCGAAACCAAGAGACAGTCATCTTCCGAAGCAGTCATGCAGGGTGCGGAAGCGCACCCATCGAGGATTGGCGGCCGCTGGATGCAGTCAAGTTGTCTGCTGATAATAACAGATGATGACGGCGGTCGAAAGGACGGGTGATAATGTCGCGGCCTCAAAAGGGAACCATGCTCTAGCCCCTCCAGATTTTCCTTTGGTTTGAGTGCACCCGTGCCTTGGTAACTTGTGTTGGACGACCCGTAGCCAGCAAGGCACATGGCCTGAGTTGGAATGTTTTGTTGAAGGTGCTTTGACCTATCCGCGTATTTTCATAGGACACGTCATGCCCACGCCTTCACCGCTTTGATCGATTCTAGATGACTGAGTGGTTGTTGGAAGCGTCGACCACCGAGTCCGACAGGTTGATGAGTAGCTGAGCCAAGCATCGCTTAGTGGCAGCGTCATCGCGCAGGACAGACGAGAAGGTGGCGTCGCGGAGGGGCTCGGGCAGGCACTGGCGAAGGGCCTCGCGGGCGCGGGCATTGTCGCTGAGGCGCAGGAAGCAGCGGACGACGTGCTTCAACAGGCGCGCCGTCTGCTGCTCGACAAGCTGGGCAACCATATTGCTCAGGACGGTGCCGACGGCGTAGAAGCGCTCGTAGGTGGCGCAGATGTAGTTCAGACCGCTGTCGTCAAGCAAGATCTTCTGAACGATGAAGATGGCAACAGTCTTACTCAACTCGGACCCGGTCTCCATGATTCTCAGGCACAGAGGAATTATCTCGGTGGTCAAGAGAAAGTTGATGACCTCGGTGGAGTCGTTCTTGACGAGGGCGCCGATGACGCCCAGCGACGTGAGGCGCAGGTACTCAAAGGGTCGAGACTTGGACGTCGTGTTCAGGAAAGGGTAGAGATACAGCGGGATGTGGGCTAGAGCAGCGTGTGAGCAGTTGGACTCGGCGGTGATGGGGCAGGCAGGTGCTAAGCAAAGAATCATGACTACTCACCCTTCAGGAAGAGGGTTCGGGTGTCGTTGTGGCTAGCAACGCACTGGAGCAGAGCCAAGGCGTTGCAGACTCTGTTGGAGGCGGCGGCAGTGAGCTGCGACGGGTTGAGCAGGGTGTAGACGGAGATGATCTCCTGGGTCAGGCAGGTCATGACGCCTGCAGATGGAACGGACACTGGTCAGTACAACGGTAACAACAAGTCTCTGTCGCCGAGGCCCCAGCGGGAGGCGGCAGAGGCAGAGGCAGAGGCAGATGGCAGAGGATCAGGAAGCTCGGCTTACCGAAAGAGTGCCACAGGATCAGGGCCAGCTCGGGGACCTGCTCGCGCTTCTTGCTCAGCTCGAGGAGGGCGGCCTCGCGGGTGCTCTCCTTGAGCAGGTCGGCGACGTAGGCCAGGGTGCGGCGGTTGTCCTCGGACACGTTGCCCTCGAGGCTGGAGCCCTCCTGGACGTGGACGGCGGCATTGAGGCCGGTGGCGGCGGCGTTGGTGTGGGCGCCGGCGAGGCGGTTGTGATACTGCTGCTGGGCGGTGGCGACGGCCTGGTGGCTCATGGACTGGTGGCCCGACTGCTGGCCGTAGAACTGGCCGCCATGGGGATCGTAGTTGTGGTTCCCGTACATGGTGGGGTTCGGGAACATGGTTCGGGGGCGGCGGGAGCGGTGGTGCAGCAGCAGCAGCAGCAGCGACGGTAGCAGACTGGCTCAAGATTCGAGATGCGTTGCGTTAGAGTATGGAGATGATGATGGGATGCGCTCTGCGACGGCCCAGGTCAGTTCAGGTCTCGACGGGTGGAGTGGAGCGGGCTGCGGTGTAGCGTAGTGTGGTGTGGGCGGGCAGGGGAGAGGAGATGGGCGGCGGGCGGTGCGAACCTGGAAATAGTTTGTTGACCAAGGCGGCGCCGGTCGAAGCTGACTGACGAGAGTCTCGTTTGTTGTTTTGTTGTTGTTGTTATTTGTTGATGCTTCCGAGAGGAGTGTGTCGACTATAGCTAGATAGATGCCGGCAGCGAAGGTGATAAGGTTCAGGACGTCAACGGGCCTGGCATTTGCTTGCCCCGATCGAAAGCGATCCAAGCGGCGTGGGCGTGAGCGTGGGCGTTGGGCGTGGGATAATTTGGACCGCGGGAAATCTGGGCCGTCGCAACTGCAGGCCAGTGCGCTGCAAGACCTGGGACCTAGGTTGGACCTTGGACCTTGGACCTCAGCTACGCTAGAAGCTACCCTACCCGATTTGCATAGTTACATCGTAACACCACTTACTTAAGGGACTTCTCAGCCTCTCGAGGTCCCCTTCGAAATAATTACTCCGTAACAGAGACGCGTTGGATTGGCCTCAGGGTTCACCACATTCTGCCGACCCCGCGGCTGCCCAGCTTGGGAAGCTACATACATACCTAGGGTATTCATCCCTTCCACACATCAGCCGAGCGGGCGGCCTACGTTAGGTAGCCTTAGGTATGTATGGACGGTAGCTTTCCTCCAAGTTAGTTATCCGCCAGGTGCCTGCAAAACCCAGCACGGAAGCAAGAAGGTACGTAGCTCGCCAACTCGCTGCTGGCCTGCCCACTGGAAACGAAAGTGGAGTACTCCGTAGCGTGGCTTTCCCTTCTTCCTACCCGTAAGTTGCATACCCAGTCACACACAGCCCGTGGGCGGGTTACCTAACTGAGGTAGGTACAGTTGCTCGCTGCGTTGGTCCTATATACTGGACTGGGGATGGGCTCAGTTCAAGAATGTGAATGCGAATGCGAATCGAGAGCCATTCGAACGCAGCCGGAAAAAGGCCACCTCTAGCATTCGTCCCTCATTGTACCACAGGACGACTGGTATGGTATGATGACTGCTTACCCAAGTATTCGCTGCTGGCATCGTTATAGTAAACACAGAAACACTATGCACACTATCTTTCTCACCGGCGCACTGCACACTTCTTATATTTTTTTTCCTTGCCCAGCCAATGTTCTCTGGTTGGCCTCCCTCGAGGCAGAAGGCGTGCAGGGGAGAGAGAACAGGCAGTATATTGTTTCAGGTGTGGCGAAAGGAAGTGCAGCCATCCCATGCAATATGTGACGCATGTCTACACCTGGGAGCACGCACTATCCAAGATACCTGGGGAGTTCACCGTCAGTTGTTCAGGAAACCCAAGCCTCAGCCACCCCTCGTACCATCGCTAGCCATTGCTCTCAGCCGGACGCCCGGCACTTTCACGGTCAAGGTCGAGTGAACGAACACACTTCCAGAAGATACACAATGGTCACATTATTATTGATCCCGTCCGCTAGTAGGAAGTAGAAGAAGAGAAGAGAAGAAGAAGAAGCAGAAAAAAAAGACATCCGAAGCGTCATCTGGAATACCTCGTCCGCAAAACCTGGAGCTCTCACCGGCGCCGCTCCCCTCTGCAGCCGCTCTCGCCGCCCTTCACTCGGACCGTCGGCTAGTTTATTATCCTTACACTATAGCTTCTCTCTCCCGTCCCTCTTCCCCACGAAAGAGGCCTGCCTCATGGCCATGGCTGTAATTGTTGCTTGCTTGCTTGCTATGCCTCCCTCCGAAGAAAACAGAAAAAGGTGACGAATTAGTAGAGGCGTATTCAACTGGGAACGCAGACGCAGACGCAGCCATGCTATGCTTTCTGTCCATGATAAACTTGGAAAGTCCAGTAAGGAGAAAAGTGCCCAAGTCCCTCCCTTTATTATAATCGCAGCTCCTTCAAGATCTGGTCGGCCATGTTCTTGAACTGCCACGTGTTGCCCTCCATTCTCTTGAACTGGAGGCCGTGCAGTGAGAGCAGTGGAACCTTCACGATGAAGATCTCAAACTCCAGAGTCATGCTGCCGCCCAGATCGCTCTGCACCTGCGTCGTGGTTTCGCCCGGCACACGTCGAGCCGCGTCCGTCGTATCACGGATACTGTCCTCTTCCGATACCTCCGAGTTGGAGTCGCTCCTGTCCGGCCCCTTCCCGGGTGTTCGGGGCGTGGCCGGCGGTCGGTCCAGGTCCCGTAGCTCTTCGCGTTCCCTCTCGCTGCGGATACCGAAGCTGAACCTGCGTCGGTGCCCGGGTGTGGCCGAGGGGCTGGTGGGCAGATCGGTCACCTTGTCAAGGTCGATGCTGGGTCGATGACGGCAGCTAAAACCTCCCCGGATCTCCGTGTAGTCGACGCCCAGCTGCTTCAACACTCTCTTGATATCGGTCCGGATTGCGGGCACGGATTTCGACGACGTGGTCGACACGCTGAATAGGCCCTTCAGGAAGACGGGCTTCGAGAGTTCCGAGTCGTCCAGTCGCTCCGCCGAAGCGCCACTGGCCTCACCGAGCTCAGCGTCCGTCTCCTCGGGTACGTCGGCCGCCCGAGCTCCTTCTCTCTTCTGCCGTCTTGCTTGTATACTCTCCCTTCGAGCATGACCAAGCGATTTGGCCCTCATCGAAGCGGTCCGCGCATTGGCTGTGGCCTTCTGGTCTGCTGCCGGCTTCTCCGAGGCTGAGTGGTCCGAACCGCTGGTGGCCGGTGGCTCCTTGGGGATCCGGTTGTCAGAGCCAAACGGCCGTCTCCTAAAGTCGCCCGAGTTGACACTGGTAGACCGCCCGAGGCCTTTCTTACTCGAGGTACTATCCCCGGCCGAAAGTGGGGGGCTCAACAGGGCTCGGTGGTGAGGCTGGCTACTGCCGGAACGCAGTTGCGAGCCTTGCGCTTCGTCTCGATCACGGCGCGATCTCCTGATACTGAAGCTTTTCCGCGGCGTGGTTGGTGCGTCTGCAGGAGAGTGGACATGAACCACGGGTGGATGCGATCGGTCCTTCTCCAGTCGTTCGGGCTCCTTGCGCCGCCTTGTACTGAAGCGTCTGAGTATGCCCGCCGCCGTGCTTTCCTTCTTGTGCGGCACCTCCAACTGCCCATCTGGTACATTAGGTATAGGGGGCGATGCCTGAGCCTTCTTGACTTCCTCCGGGGCGTCGTCTTCACCATGGGTCCGGGCTCTAGGACGAGACCTGCCACCTGTTGGCTTCTCGCCCGGCATTTCGTAGGCTGCCGTGTTGGTGTGTGCCGCCTGGGGCGGCACAATCTCAGGCAACGGCGAATCCGCGGCGTTCTTGGGTGGGTGTGATTTTGGTTGTATATCGACCCTGTCTCGGTCCTGCTTCTCCTTGACAAGATAGTATATCGAAATCAAGGGGCTGAATGCATTCAGAGGGTCGCTGCCGAGTGCCAGCGTTTCTGTGGACGGGGTTACCAAGTTGTCTCGGCTGTTAGCCGAGTTTCTCCTCTTGTAAAAATCGAACCCGAAGCCCCTTTTCTTCTCAACGTCCTTGATCGGCGCCGGAACCTCCTTTTCCTTCTGCATCATGGAGACGGCCCTCTTGTAGTCGTCAGATTCTATGAGCCTTGTGAGTTGCGCCTTGATGACCTCAGGAGGCCCAAAATTGAAGCCCGTCATTGCGTTGATGACCTCGTTATCCAAAGGTAGACTGAGCGGCCCGCGTGCCGGTAGGTGATTCTCTGGCTGTCCCCCGTATCCTTTGGTCATCCATGGGTGGTTCATGACCTCCCACATGGTCGCACGGGTTTTTGGGTCCGTCACGAGCATGCGTGAGAGAAGATGTCGGCACTCTATGAAGGGGGTCAGCGGAAACTTGATCACAATAAAGGGAGGCTTCCGAAGCATACCAGTGCTGAGCCACCCCGGATAATCCACCACACCCTTCTTGATCTTTGCATGCAATGCCGGCATGCTCTGGTCATCAAAGGGCACCTTGCCACAGACCAGTACGTAGAGCACAATGCCGAAACTCCACACATCTACCTCGGGTCCTGTGTACGCTCGAGCCTGAAGAAGTTCGGGGGCGGCAAAATAAAGACTGCCACAGAAGGTCTTGAGGTGTCCCCTCGGGGCAAACAGATTGCTGAGACCGAAATCGATTATCTTGATGTCGCCTGTCTTTGCAATCAGGATGTTCTCGATCTTCAGGTCTCGATGGACAATGCTGTTTCGATGGCAATAATCAAGTGCGCTTGCGATCTGCCTGCTGAACTTCCTCGCCTGCTTCTCCTTCAACTTGCCGTGGGAAATGATGTAGTCCAGCATCTGGCCGCCGTTGACATACTCAAAGAGCATGTACCAGTGGTGATTTGTCCGCACGACATCCCGCAGTCCGCAGACGTTGGGGTGGTCGAGGAGGGTCACAATGGCAGCCTCACGTGCAGTGCGAATCTCCTTGGACTGGTCTGCTCGTTCTTTATCAGCCCGGCTGTTGTGGTTTTCATCGGTTGAGCCCCGCGGTATGATCTTGCAGGCGACCTGGTAATTTGGAGGGGCATATTAGCGATCGGGGTTCTGGATGTAAGCGACTCCATTGGGGATGCTCGTGGAGGCTGGTTGCCAACTGAACTGACCTGCTCTGTCCCGTCCTCCTTCCTGGCAAGCTTGACCTTGCCCATACTACCGGCGCCGATCGTCTTGCCCAGAATCCATTTGCCCGACTGGGTCGGGATCGATGTGCGCGTCGTCCTGGTCTTGGCACCGGTGGCACGGGCGTCGGCCGCGGCCTGCATCACAGGCGGAATCGCATTGGGGCCGGCATTGTTGGCGACGGCAGTAGGTCCGGCCATGTCTCCTGGCGGCGGGCGGGTCGACGCTGAACGGGTGCTGGACCGACGGTGGATGTCTTTCGGGTCGGGACCCCGCGACGCGGGCGGAGCGTGGCGGTCTCTGCTGGAACTTCTCTTGGAGGCTACGTTGCTGGTCTCATAGTCTCGCTGGGGTAGGATGTCTTGCACGGGACGGGCGGCGGAGGAGCTCTGGCGGGAGTGGCCGTGGGCGTGATGATGGCCCTGGTGGTGATGATGGGAGACGGAACGGTGTGGAGCACCAGCACCAGCAGCGGCAGCCGACGAGGTTGGGCGGGAGCGCGTCGAATGCGACCGTGAGGGCTGGCCTGGGGAGTGTGTCTGGTGCGGATGGTGCCCCTGGTGGACGACGTGATGGTAGTCTGAGGTTGCGGGAGTTGACATTGTAGCAAGAAGGTCCGAAACCCAAAGCAGATCCAATGCAGAGCCAAGGGTGGATGGGGATAACTTAACGTGGAGTAACTACTCCGTGCCTCTTTTGCTGGCGCTGAGAGTTATGCCGCAGCGTCCAGGGAGCTGGGTACGGCACGGTACCGGTACGTTACAGTGTAGAAGCGACCCGAACTGCTGCCACCACCAGCCTACCAGATTGTCGGGCACAAGCACGTACACGCTGGACGGACGCGAGAGAGAGTCTGGTCTATCCGACCGGTGCGACGGCTAGACGAGATGCACACACACACACAAACACACGCTCACTGCACACGCCTTGCTCGCTCTCTCCTCTGTCAGCTGTCCGAGGCCGTGCCCAGGATACAGCCAGGAAATGTCAGTTCAGAGGCGTGCGTGAGTTGGCCGGCTGCATAGTAGGCTCACGGCCGCTGTTGGGTTTGTCTCTGGGGGTCTGCTGCGAGGGAGACAGGCAGAGGGAGGATGAGGTACGGCGGTACGGCGGTACAGTGGCAGGGAGGTACCTGATGTCCCGTCGGTAGGACGCCTTCGCCTTGGCCGTGTCTGGGCCTGCAACGTTCAACGTAGTTCGTCGGGCCTGCCCCTTACAATCCGCCTAGCGCTCAAGTTCGCCGGTGGGATGGGGGGTAAGGGGGGTGGACGGGGATGGGGAACGGGGATACAAGCGCAGGCGAGTACCTAATGTTAATGAGAGCCGTGGACCTTGGTGGGGTGTAACCTGGCTCTGATCCCAGACTGCGAGACCGTTATTGGGTGCTGTGTCGACTCTCGAGCCTCGACTCAGGACTGGGCTGGAAAGGAAGGGTTCTGATTCACTGGAAAACCGGCTGGGCTTTGTCTGAAGTTGTCGGCGACTCGTCTGGTCCCGGGAATTGACGACAGTAGAATGCTAGTCGATGAGCAGTATCAGTGAGGAACTGAGCGGTTCAGCGACAACTAATTGGCGCGAGGCTGGTCAACAAAGCTGGTCAGCTGGCTGGTGCAGAGCTGGGGAATTAGGTCGCAAGCAAGCGAGAGGGAGAGGCTGAATTCAGATGGCCAATGCTTCTTCCGTTGGCTCGTTGTCTATCTGCACGCACGGCGCGGTGCTCTGTCGTTCATTAAATCCGTGGGTGCACCGGTGTCAATGGCCCGCCTCGTCAGGTTGTGAGGTTGGGCTGCGGTTTGGACCGAACCGCAGACGAGAGAATGACGTTGATCGCAGATGGATCCCTGGCGGCCTGGCGGCAGACAGGCCAATGTGAAACCCGAATGGCTGCTCTCAGATGCCAGCGTCGGGTGTGCTGTCACATTAGATATGCAGCAAGGTACGGAGTATTCTGGACTGATTGTTCCGTTCCAGCTGCGTCACCGAGAGGAACGAGCAAGATGCCCCGGCTCTGAGGGTATGAACTTGTTCAAAGAAGCGCGATGGGGAGCAGAAAGGGAACATCCACGGCTTCCGATTGAAGACGGACGGAATGGACTGACCGCACATTGAAAGAAGCACTATCCACCAGTCCAACAAAGCCCACCCAGCCAGCCCACTGCGATACCGACTAAGTTAGTTACTATGGTAAACCAGCCTTGAAACCTCACGACGTCGCTACAGTCAACTTGTTTTTAAACCCCCCAGCTCGCCCTGTGGGGATTACGGGGATACCTCAAGGTACTATGACGATGGTGGGCGGATGGCAGGTCGCCCATCCATGCAACTGCGAATCGTGCTTGTTGTTCGTTCTACCACTACTACTGCTGCTACTACTACTACTACTGCTACTACTTATCACGAGCTACGGTACTGCCTGTTGCTCGCAGTCTTTACTGTGTACTCGTCTTGGAGCGCGTTTGAAGCAGGCGGGTATATTCAGTCGAATACGGCCTATCCAATTTCGGCGAAATTGGGCATGCATGGGGGATGACTACTAGCCTGCCGCGACCAAGATCGATGATGGGCCAGCGCCGTGGCTATGGATCCTGCCGCGCCATGGGCTGGGATCTGGATGGTGGGGGAGGCTGGAGTAGCAAATCTGTGAGAGCTTGGACGGCCACGAAAGCCTACTCCACAGACTCGCTCGTATGGGCGAGGAGAAAAGCCACTTTGCAAATGCAAGCCTCCCTCTCTCCGTCCCAAGCCAAAAACAAGTGTGAAGATACCAATTAGCATTTCATACGGTAAGGACAGAGCAGGTTCGGAGTCCGCCACTGTTGCTCCTCGACGTGATGAATGAAGCTTACCAAGGACTCATCGTCTGAACCGGCAGCTCGATACCAGCTACCCATGAAAAAGCAAGGACATGCTCCTAGTGGTGCCAACTCATCCGAACTTTTGTCTCCTTCGTATTATCCATCCACTGGAAGCATTGCAGAGACCTAGTTTCGATGCACACACGCATTGTTCTGAACGGCAGGGAGGCTCGTACATTGCCGTTCTTAATCATCCACGCCCTTTATCGTGCGGCACTAGATTTCCAGCACACCCGCATCGTATACTTGCCCTCAAAAGCCCTTTACTGCCCAAGGGAGGAGGGTGTGTCACTGCATAGTATACTTGTCATGCTTGCCCCTTTCTTCAGCATTAGCACCAGATCCAGACTCCAAGCTAGACGGCCTTTCACAGTGTCTTTGGAGCACGCTTGCCGGCACTAACGCACGCATCCTACGGCCTCGTCCGAACTCTCGACCAACCACGACTGACCAGGACGCCGAGGATGGCAGTCGGTCTAAAATAATAGTTCCCGCTGTGCTCGCTGAGCGGTAGTGGGCCCCGTGCAACCGAAAGCTCTGACAGCGTTCGTGAGCCACGCCTCTCGAGTCAGGCAAGGCTGCCGCAAGTCAGGGGGAAAGATGGCTGCACCTACGAACTGCTGCTTTGTTTTGTGACTCGACGTCTTTCAGGGCATGTTGTCAATGACACGTACGCGATCTCGTGGTGTCACCGATCCCTACGTCTCAACAGGCAACAACCTCGCGTGAAGACTTGATTCCAGAGGAGGCCAGCAAATAGAGTCGTCTTTTCATGCATCCTTCCTAAACCAACTGCTGCTGTAAGACAGGTAGAGGTTTTTGAATTAATGGGTAGGTCTATTTAGGCTACAGTCAAGGTGGTATTAGCCCTCAGGTCTGCACTGGAACTTCCCACGATCACGCTAAAGTTGCCTGGCTCGACTACGTAGTTGTAGTTGATGTCCCATAGACCGAGGTCCTGCACCTTGAGATCCAACTTGACTGTCTCGGTCTCGCCGGCCTTGATAGCGACCTTAGCGAAGCCCTTGAGCTGGATGTTGGGCACGACCACGCTGCTGATAAGATCCTTCACATACAGCTGGATGACCTCACTACCGTCACGTGTCGAGTTATTGGTCACATCGACCGAGACGGTAACCGTATCGCTGGTCGACGCCGTGCTCTGAGATAGTACGAGGTTCGCATAATCGAATGTACTATAGGAGAGACCGTAACCGAACTGCCATGTCATCAGCATTGAGTATTTCTCCCGCATCAAAAAGGGGAATACTCACCTCATACAAGGGAATAGGTGTGGACAGAACATAGTTGCTTCCGAATTTCATGCTTCCGTTGGCGTAGATCTCACCGGGGTTGGGCCAAGACCGGCCCGAGTTGAGATAATCATAGTACGAAGGCGTGTTGGCCACATCGACGGGAACTCCAATCGAGAGTTTGCCGGACGGGTTGACGTCTCCGAACAAGATGTCTGCCAGCGCGTTGCCTCCTTGCTCCGAGGGATAGAACTGTTGGACCAAGGCCGCAGCTTCATCGCTGATCCATGGCTCAGTGACTGGCTTTCCTGAGCTGAAGACGACGACTGTGGGCTTGCCCGTGTCGATGATTGCCTTGACTAGCTTCGGCATAGCACCAACCAGATGGAGATCATTGGTATCAATGTGCTCACCAGTCGTTGCGTTCAAGCCAGCCCACAGCTCGTTCTGGTCCCGACTCCAGCTACATAAGACAAATGTAAGTATCCAGGCTTTACTCCACCAAAAACAATAGATCTCCTCCTATGGTTTGCCACGGAGACAGAGACTTCGGTGACGACTTACGTGCCAACAACTACGACAGCAACATCAGCACCCTCAGCAGCAGCGACGGCTTCTGCAAATCCGGACTCGTCGGAAGACCATCTCTCGCAACCCTTGGCGTAGGTTACGGTTCCGGAACTGGCTGCCTTGATACCATCAAGTGGAGTAACGCCCCTCAAGGAAGCTTGATAGGGGACATAGTCGCCGTACTACAACTGTTAGCACTGCCATGCAAGATTTCAAGGCAAAAGCTCACATTCATGAAGCCGTGAGCCATGGGTCCAACAACAGCAACATTGGCGCTCTTGCTCAACGGTAGGACGTTCTCGTGGTTCTCAAGCAGCACAATGGATTCGGCATCAAGCTCGCGGGCAATAGCGATGGTCTCGGGCGTGTTAATGTACTTAGACTGCTCCTCTGCTGGAACACCCGCGTAAGGCCGCTCGAATAGTCCAATCTTGAACTTGGCCCGCAGTTGTCTTCGTACAGCTTCATCAACAACATCGAGGGAAAGCTTGCCGGATGCCACCATGTCCGGTATCTTCTCATAGTTGTAAGAACCTCCGCCCATCTCCACATCGGTACCGGCCGGCAGCGCCTAGTCACGCATTAGAGATGATCTAAATTTTGCTTTCGAAGCAACACTCACGAAGTTGACAACTGCCTCAGAGTCAATCGGGTTATTTTCGCACATAAAGAACGCATTGCAGAGACGGTCAGTACCGCCAGCATCGCTCATGACCTGCGATGGGAGACATGATTAGTACCTCCTTTTTATATGATACCAGAAGGGATGACCTACGAGGTACTTATAACCCCATTGTTCCCGGAGGATTTCCGTCAGCATGTATCTATCAGAAACGGCGGGTACTCCGTCGTAGGCGCTATAGGCGCCCATGATGGACAACGCCTCTGCGTCAATGATCGCGCGCTTGAAGGATGGGAGATAGGTCGTCAATAACTCTCGCTTGCCGCCGTGGACGGGGCCGGTGTTGATGCCTTGTTCAGGAGTTGCAAAGGCAGCCTGGCAGCGTTAGTTGCCGGAGACTCTCTGGAATTTGGAGCAAGCAACCTACAAAATGCTTAACCATTGCTGCTACTCCACCGGATTGCAGACCTTTGACGAAGGAGTAGGCCAGTTCACCCGTGCTGGTCTTTATTAGCCCCAAAGCTCCTGATAAACCGTGTAGATTGTGGCTCACAGATAGGGGTCCTCTCCAAAGGTCTCCTCGACACGACCAAAGCGGAGTTCGCGCGCGATATCTGCCAGAGGAGCAAAGATGTTGTTCACACCTAGAGCCAGTGACTCCTGCGCTATAGCTAATGCCATTTTCTCCACCAAGGCCGGGTTGAACGAGCATGCGTAAGCGATCGGCGAGTTGAAAATCGTGCCATTGGGGATCAGAAAGCCGTGGATGCCTTCGCTCTGAACCCAAGGGGGTATGCCGAGCGTCGTATTCTCTGTTACGTAGTCCTGGCCGATTTTGACATGATCGCTGAGCAGCTCCCAAGAGATCGGGAGTCCTACGTAGTATGAGCCGCCTCTCTTCTGCATGCTCCATTGCAAGCCCGTCTCGTTGAAGGTTCCGTCGGTAATATTGAGCCAATTCCTAATGTCACCCTGGACCAGCTGCGACGTCTTCTCCTCGATGGTCATTCGACCGAGGAGGTCTTCGACCCTCTCCTCTATGGGTGCATTGGGGTTCTTGTACAGCGGCGTGCTGCCGTTGCTATATTGTGCTTGCGCGGACGCCAGAAGCAGCGAGGCGCAGAGGGAAATGGAGCGCAGCATTTTGGTCCAGTCTACGGCAATTACCAATGCAACAAGACTCGCGACCGACTAAAAAGCCCACCACATTTCTCTTGGAGGAGGGTGTAGAACATATATGTACTCGCTTACCAGGATCCCAGGGTCCCTTCCAGACAAGTCATCATGTTCTGGAAGCGAAGACTTACTCCGCATCAACACAAGTTGCCGCAATCTATATCCGGAAATTGGATATGTACTCAACTCAGGCACACGCAGTATCCCCTGGCCCAACTTCACTGAGGAGAGCATACCCCAAGATGCAGCCCAGACCGTCGGATAGCGAATGAGCCATGGCAAGGAGCACAGGCCCGGCTATCCTCTAGCTGGCTTGCCATATGCGCGTGCGTAGGTGCCATGGTTCTATGTCATCACAGGCATCGCTGTCGTTGTATGAGGAGAAGTTGGAGAACTAGGCGAGGAAATCTGGAGAAGCGAGGTTGGGGTAAAACGTGGAGAAGTTGCTATAGACCTGCCGATTGGTGGAATACCAGGAGCGACACGGTGTAGAGATCATTCCGGCTATAGATTCTCCGACCGCCGACTATCGCAGCGCATACTCTACCGTTCCAATGACCAACGCCGTTTTGCCTCTTTCATTCCCCATATACTGGGCCACAGTGCATATGCATGCTTGGGCTTGACGATCCAAGTGGATCGACCATGAGCGATAATCAGAAGTTATGGACGATGACTTGTCGGGCTGCCCCTCTATCGCTTCGGCGGGCCGTACCCCGACTTAGACCAAGTGTCTCGGAGCTCGGCCGTCAAGGGAGGTCGGACCCTGAAGGACATGAGGGGAGTGATATCGTGGACTCGATGCTCGGGAAAGTTGCATGCTCTTCAACTCGGCCGTAAAATATTACTCTTCTCAAGCACCAGTTGGAAATCAACAGCTAGATCCAACTCCTTTCCACTAATTTCAAACAGTCCCTCAACCTCGTCGCAACCATGAAGTTTCGCGATGGGATGTGGCTTGTTGCGGAGGGCATGCAGGTTGAGTATGCCGAAGAAGTATACGAGACCAATCCGACCGAAAACGGACTGAGCCTCCTCTGTCCATCGAGAAAGATATTCTCCCGAGGCGATACGCTTAACCGTAGCACTTTAAAGATCGTGAGCATTTATCGTATGACGCCGGATTCTTTTACTTCAATCTGACGAAACTCCAGGACATTGAAGCAGCTTTCGATGGAGTCATCTCGGTGGAGACAACCCATTGGGCCGGTGCAGTAAATCGTGGGCCGCACTTCGAGCTCTATCCCAACGGTCGCCCGAAAGTGGAAGCCAAGATTTCCAAGAGCGACAAAGGCACATCCCTCTCGTCCGGCTCCCTGTCAGCCACCATACATCCGGATCAGCACAATTTTGACATCCGATTCCACAGTACAGATGGGTCGAAGCAGCTCACATCGCTCCTGAGCCGCAGTGTCGGACTGGCCTATAATCCAGCACCTAGCAACCCATTGCAGACCGGTGATATGCGAGACTTCAAGCACTACATCTTCACACAAACAACTTTGGGTGTAGGGGAGTCCGTCCACGGTCTTGGAGAACGTTTCGGTGCCTTCAACAAGGTTGGACAGTCTGTGCAGCTATGGAACGCTGACGGAGGCACCTCGAGTGATCAAGCATACAAGAACGTGTCGTTCTGGCTCAGCTCCAAGGGTTACGGTATATTCATAGATACTCCGGGCAAAGTCGATCTAGAAATCGGAAGCGAACGGACCAACCGTGTTCAAACCAGCATCGAGGGGCAAAGACTGAAGTGGTATATCATCTATGGCCCGACGCCCAAGGAGGTGCTGCAACGATACTCGATTTTGACTGGGAAACCTGGCAAAGTGCCCAGTTGGAGCTTTGGCTTGTGGCTAAGTACGAGCTTTACCACCAACTATGATGAAGCCACTGTGAACTCGTTCCTCGAAGGCATGAAGGAGCGAGACACGCAAGTTGATGTATTTCACTATGATTGTTTCTGGATGAAGGCATTCACCTGGTCCGATTTCGTCTTTGACGCCGAAAGGTTCCCTGATCCCAAAAGCCAGATCACCAGGCTCAAGTCCTCTGGTCTGGCTAATAAGGTCTGCGTATGGATCAACCCATATATTGCTCAGCATGGTGCAGCATTCGAGACAGCAGCAAAGAACGGGTACCTGCTCAAGAGAAAGAATGGAGACATTTGGCAGTGGGACCTGTGGCAGGCCGGCATGGCTCTCGTCGATTTCACAAACCCTGAGGCCGTCAAATGGTACGTAGAGTGCCTAAACGGTCTATTCGACCAGGGAGTCGACGCGATCAAGACAGACTTTGGCGAGCGCATCCCCTCGTTGGACGTTGAGTGGTTCGACAAGTCCCTTGACCCCAAGAAGATGCATAACTACTACGCCTTCATCTACAATAAGGTTGTGTACGAAGCCCTCCAGCAACGGTATGGCGATGACCAGGCTGTGCTTTTCGCAAGATCGGCATGTGCCGGCACTCAGCGGTTCCCTCTCCAATGGGGCGGCGACTGCGAGTCAACCGCTGAGGCCATGGGTGAATCTGTTCGTGGTGGTCTATCGCTGGGTCTCTCTGGTTTTGCATTTTGGTCAGTCGACATTGGCGGTTTCGAAGGCTATCCCCCACCGTGGATCTACAAGCGCTGGGTCGCGTTCGGACTTTTATGCTCGCATAGTCGTCTCCATGGCAGTGGTTCATATCGTGTCCCTTGGACCATTGACAACGATGACAAGAGTGAAGAAGGCTGCTCACGTACGCTTTCGAAATGGACTGCTCTGAAGACGCGTCTCATGCCGTACCTGTTTGCGCAAGCAGCCAAGGCAATCGACCAGGGTATTCCGCTATCTCTTCGCGCAATGTGCCTGGAGTTTCCGGAAGATCCGACTGCCTGGTACCTAGACCGTCAATTCATGGTCGGAGACAGCATATTGGCTGCTCCAATCTTTGACGAGTCCGGCGAGGTCGAATTTTACCTGCCAAAGGGCAAGTGGACTTGCTTCTTCACTAACAAGACCCGTGATGGCCCAGGGTGGTTCAAGGAGAAGCACGGATTCTGCAGTCTTCCATTGTATGTCCGAGAGAAGACCGTGCTGGTGCTGGGCAAGTCGGATATTAGGGGCGTCGTCTATGATTATGCTGCAGACGTTGAAGTTTGTCTTTATCATATTGAGGAAGGTGCGGGTGCTGATTTACGTGATAATGCTGGCAAAACCCTCGGGTCCTTGAAGGTTGATGCCCAGGGAGAACTCAAGGGGACTGAAATTCTGAAGGGGTCGTGGCAGACGAGCAAGGATGGCCGCAAGATCGATGATTCCTATTCGGAAACAATCCAATGGTTGTGATGTTAAGGACTGATGGGATGACTGGAACATCAGTACATGCTGGCCAACAGCAATCATGTTTTATCGAATGAACTACCGGGAATGTTAAAAAGACTAGGACACATCCTGCGCTTATAGATAACATATTATACACCAGACCAAGAAGACCCAAATTGAAGAAGCCTTAATGATGCACCCATAAACTCACAGAGCATACACATGACAACGCGTAGAGGCCATAATATGATTTTCAGTCATCCTTATTCTCTATGAATCATCCCTCTGACCTTCTTCCAGAGCTGAGTACGTCTTGAGAATCAATCTTATTCACCTCCCTTACAGGATAGTCCTCCATGGCTACTGTTCTCACCCAGTCGTTATTGAACTGTCATTCTGAGGCTGCGACTGTTGATAGGTTTGCATTATAGTTTAAACCAGAAGTACAATACCTGTCTTCCGCTTGGGGCTGCAAGCTATTATTCTGCTTCGGGTCCATCTACACCTGAGGCGAGGCCGATGACAAACACTCCGTAGTGCCTTTTCCCTCTAGAGATAGCTTGAGCATGCTACTTCTACAAGCAACTAACACTCATCTATTTCCTCCTTGGCTCTTCGTTATCTCTTCCAAAGTAGGATATGAACGGAAACACTGGGTAACGGGGAGTTCGCTGGTACAAGCCAAGCATTTCTCAGCATTGCGCTGTCTATAGGCAAGTGATTGTACTTGTAGTGTTGAGGTAGTGACCCTTTGAGGATGGCGTAGTCTTTCATGGCGTGCTCCAATACTGACTATCATTTTTCTAATGCAACAACCGGTACATCAGTATATTCATACCAAGCAAGCGAAATATCTCACTCGTGTGGTCAATACTAGTTCTAGCAGTGCGCTAGTAATCTTGCTCCATGAAATTGTGAGTAAGCCAAATATATGTAGTTATCCTCCTATAGAGACTAGCTATGACTTGATAATTGTACAAGAAAAGAAAGAGAATGATGTCGTGATGCATATGCAACTTCAAATACCAATTACCAAAGACTAGCTATAAGGTGCACATGTTGTACAGTCTGATGGGTATGTGTGCCCAAGTCGCACAAGCCATCAACTCCTCTGACCCAGCCATAACCCACCAAATGCAAACCTAGTACCTGAGCTCAATGCGCGAGAATCGCTTCTTCGTTGAGTCATCCAACCAGTCTCGCTTGATGGTCCGAGAATCCGATCGTTTCATTCCACCGCCACGCTTCCACATACCCTGTTTGCCGAAGTTCACATCGAGTGAGATCTCACTAGAGGTACCTTGAGCCGCGTGACGGGCTACCTGCGTCTCTATCGCGGCAAGGATTGGTGCCTGGAGTTGGGCAACAGGTGCTGTCGGCGCTGTCCACATGGCCGTGGGCTTGGTTGCGGCTTGGGAGGCGGTCTTGGACCAGAGCAACGGTTGCGAGACAAACGGTTGCTGGCGGGCGACTGGGCGGGCTTCTTGGATCAGCCCAGACATGGCTGGGTGGACATTGGCCGAGGTGGCCTTCATTGAGCCGAAGAAAACAGGGTGTGTTACGGCAACATCATAAGTGTAGCCGATGGCAGCTGGGTGGACATCAGTAGACTCGGTGGCTAGAGAAGAAGTGGCGAAGACGGGATGGATCTTCGATGCATCGAAATTGACACGCTGAGAACAAGCAATGGCTTCTCGAAGTTCATCCTCCCACTGGCACGGAAGTACTTGTCCCCTTGAAAACCTGTTTTGGGGGTAGCTAGCAGCGATGGCTTGACAGAGAGCGGTAGACCACTCCTTCGGCGTTGCGGTTCTTCGAATGATATTGGGAGCAATGTGGCTAGCTTTGATGGCCTCTTGAAGGGCAGCGTCCCATTGCGCCTCGGTGGCGTGGGCAAGGGCAAAGTGAGTACCCGGGTAACTGGCTTCGACTGCTTCCCGGAGTGCATCGTCCCAGTCACATCTGAATGCGACTGTTGACCGGTGTTGGTGACGTAGCGGGACATGGACTGGCTTCTCATGGACCACCTCGTCAAGGTTCTTCACGACGAACTCGACAGGAATTTCAGGGACTTGTGGCATGGCAGGGGTCTCGGGCTCAGCCTTCTTCTTTCTTCCGAACCAGCCGCGCAGACTGAAGCCACCAGTGGTGGAGGGTGCGATTGTGGATGCCTTCGTACTAGTGGACTTGACGGAAGATGAATCGCTGACTGGAGATGATGGGGATGAACTGGAGCTGGAGGTGACGGATGCCACGGATGGGCTCTGTGGTCTCACAGATGATATGGTGATCCAGTCAAACTCAGCAGCAGTCGACCTGCCGAGAACCCATAACTGGGTAGACTCCAAGGCCGATAGGGGCGCATCTGTCCTTCGCGGCTTGGTCTCCATATACAGCGCAGCAGGGTCGGCAGTTGTGGTGCGGTAGACCTTCCGCGTAGGGTCAACTCTGAACAGTCCTGCCAACGATGAAGTTTGCAAAGCCGCTGCTGGTTGTGGCCTGACGGGTTGGGACGAAGACAGCTTCAGCCAGTTAACTTCAACCCGCTTGTCGGAGTTCGCGCTCCAAAACTGGGAGCTTTGTAGAAGGGGAAGAGGTGCATCTGACTTTCGCGGCTTTGTTATCATGAGCAAAGCGGCAGGTTCTGCTAAAGTTGTTCTGTAGGTCTTTCGGTTGATGTCGACCTGGAAAAGGCCGGTTGTGTTCGCAACCCTGGCAGCCGTTGGCGACCACATCGTTTGACGCTTGCCGGTGGTTCTGATAGCCAACTTCGGCGATGCCTTCCACAACACTCGTGTACTCAAGGCCTCCATAGGCTCCTTGTTTCGACGAGGTTTAACGGTCATAGATATAGCAGCTGGGGCCTTTGACGTCCTTCGGTAGTCGGGTCTTGTAACCATGCTATCGAATAAACCTTGGTTTTCGGACTCAAGTATGGCGAGAGGCTTCTTCCACATGAAGCTACCACTCTGCAGAATAGGCTGAGATTTTGGAGCTACAATTGTTGCAGTCTGCCGCGGGGCTGCCCAGAGTAGCGCATCTGATGGCTGTGAAGTCTTTACAGATTGCACCCAGAGCGCGTTGCTCTCGAGGCTTGTAGGATCTTCGACTCGAGCTTGGGGCCGCACAGCATTGGAAGCCGCGGGAATATACATTTCCCAAATACCTAGATCAGGCTGAGGAAGTCCCAGATGCCGATCTTGTTTGACAGCCGCCTTGTAAACCCATAACGCAGGCTTAGAGACGGCGTTTACTGGCGTCGAGGTCCACAATTGGCTGCTTTCGAGGGGTCTAAGCTCTTCAATGCGAGGTTGTGATCGAACCATATCTGTGTCACTGGGAATGTAACTGTCCCATACATTCTGTGCCGGCTGCTGAAGACCAAAGTTATGGTGCAGGGTGTTTTCAGCAACAATGGGTGTCCACATTGATGGCTTTGGGGTGTTAAAATCGGAAATCGCTGGAACAGAGGGAGATACAGGGACAGGCTCATCGAGAACCATTTCCGGTCCCGCCGCATATTCTTCTTCGATTTCTTGGTCAGACTCCTCCTCAGTGATATAGTCCTCAATGACGGAGGAGCTGATCGCAGATGGCAACAAGCTGTTCGTGGAGGGAATATTTTCCGTCTTCAGTAAGCTCGCAATCTCCCATAGCGTTGTCTCATCGAAATCATCACCGTCACTGTCATCGAAGTCGTCAAAGTTATCACCGTCCTCTTCGTCGTAGTCATCGAAGAAGGACGAGGAATACTCATCAGCCTCGAGCTGTCTGGCCCTTGCCTCCAAGGCCAGGTTGATACGAGGCCCACCTGATGTCATAGTCCCAGGCATGGCCATGAACATCTGGCTGGGGCGTGGTTGAATCGACTGAACTGTTGCACTCTCACTCTTTTCTCCCCAAGGGAATTGGAAGATACCTAATGTGCCTCTCTTGTCAGGTAGAGGTTGTGGACTCTCGACTTATAAAGAATTAGTCACAGGCAACTATATTTGAGTGAATATCACTTACGTATATCGGGAAGGAGGGTCACACGCTTGTTCCTCCGAGGCGGACGCTGGGTAAGAGGGCGGGTAAGGGCCTTCTGCGTCTTTTCTGTCTCAACCTGGGACTGTGGCACGGCAGAATCTCCCCAAAGACCTCTGGATGCAAGAGACTCAGTTGGAAGTCTCGCTTTCTGCCACAACTCAGTGCTATTGATTCTCAACGGCTCGGTGCTCCTTCTCGGAACGGGTCGAGTAGAAGGTCCAGGAAGCTGGAATCGGTTGACAGATGCCGGCTCTTGAAGCGGCTTGATCCACAATGCACCGTTTCTGGCATCCATCTTTGGCGCACTTGGTCGCCAAAGGTGATGGACCTCTTTGGCGATGTTCGATACTGTCGCACCTAATGATTGGAAACGTGTTTCTGTTTCTTCATCGGACTCATCGGTATCAGGTGGAGTCGGGCTGCCTAGAGCCGCTTTTGAAACCGCCAGAAAGTTGAGGTTATTGCGCTTCGTGATCAGGTCCGGAGCGTTCTCCATGTACTGCGTCTGTGCTTCAGCCAGACGAGTTTGCCACAAACTGGCTCGCGAGGACTCTGAGCTCTGCGATGACGGTGTCGCTGTCTCTGAGTCTTCCCTCGGCCGCACCCCACTAGCCATGCGTGCTCTTCTCGAAGCTCTGCGCTCTGCCAAGATCGACTTTGTAGATGATGACCGAGAAATGGGGTTGGTGACAGAATTGACAACTGACACAGGACGAGAGTCTGTCTGCATAGTGGAGATCGAGTCGCGGTCCAAGTTGTGCTGCATAGTCTGCCACTTGCTCTCTTGCATACCCATCTCTAGTTCGAGATTCTCGAGAAGCTCAATTCGCCTGGTCTCACTGCCAACCGAATCTCTACTGTCTCCCCGCGACTCGTCTAGTTTCCTCAGCTGAGCTTGAATCATGTTGTAAGCTGCGTTGGGTGATTCAAGTGGTGAGGGTTCTGTTTCCTGAATAACAAGTGCTTTCTTGCTACTAGAGTTCTTCAGAAGTAACGGCGTCGGCGGCGGCATCTTTCGAGACCTGACTTTTTCTTTCCTCGTGGAGAACGTCGGACAATCCTCACCAACGCGGCGATGCCATTGGCCAGATGTCCGCCTCTCCATCTCAGGAGGTTCAGGGAGATCTGGTAGGGAAGCATCGTCATCCAGCAAGAAGGATTGCCGATACGTTGTGGAATGTTCTGATGAAGTATCCAGCATAACAGTCATAACTTCTTCGCCAACTCCGCTGAGAACGGAGGGGAGGCGTGCTTCCTTTGTGATGTAAGTTGAGCGAGCATTGAGACGAGCACCCTGCATGTCAACGGCAGCCACTGGCGAGTGTACAGACCCCCAAACCGTGGTGATCTCCTCGTCCCGCGTTCTGGTCTCACTTCTGGTTTCGCTCAATCCAGACATTTCCGAGTATCTGATGGCAGGTATCACAGGCGAAGACTGGCGCTTGCTACCCTCAACTCGAAGTTCCATTGGTGTGTGCTTCCCTGTTGAGATACCTGGAAGCCAAGAATTTCCTAGCTCGTCGGCAACATTTCGATTGGGATCTTGCAGATATTTATCATCCAAGTCCTCAACTCCTAAGATACTTTGCGTTCGGACGCTGCTTCGAGAGGTAGCTGTCGTCTTTGTCAATCTCCGTTCATCCTCGACTACGGGAGCTGGGTCTATCATAGCCAAGTCTCCGAGCTCTAAGAAGTTCGGCGGCACTGGGGGTAGATCAGGAACAGTCGATTTCCGCTTCACGGATCTCGTAGTTGAAGTCGTCGAAGAGGCGCTAAGCGGTTGTGCATAGAACATGGACATCTTTTCATCGAAAGTCATGCTTTTGGTGTCGTTTGGCTGAGGTCTTGGTACATTCCCAGCACTCTGCGGAGGTGGAGGCAGTGGTGGAAGCTGCGTAGGGCTTCCAGGCGTAGACTGGAGAATGGATCTCCTACTCATTATGGAGCCACCTGACTTGGTTCTTCTGTGGCCATGAGTTGGCGATACTTCCGCAGGGAATACCTGGCGATCCTTGTCACCCTTTCGAGGAATTGGTCGTGGGCGGTTTACGACGGAATTGGAAGATCGTAGGGGTGACATCGGGGTTTTTGAAGCGCCTTGGATGATAGTGTCAACAGCACTCGGATCGTCGTAGACAATGTTGTTGATGAACATGACCGTTTGTTGTCTTTCGCCCTTCTCCTCTTCAGCAAGCTTCCTCATTGCCTGAGCGCGCGGGTTGGAGGGCAATCCGTTAGTGGGTCGTCGTTGGAGCGGAGTCTTTACAGGCTCTGGCACTTTAGGGGCTGGCTCTGGAGTGGGCTGGGGTCTCGGTATCGGTATTCGAATAGGTTGACCTGGTGTAACTGGCTGGAACCCTGATGCTTTATTGGGAGTCTTTGCTGGTACAGTGGTGGGTATAACCTGCCGTGGCGATCGCCTTCGAAGCTCTTCATGGCTCGGAGATAGTTGGGCGGATGACGATGATGCATTCCCTTCCACTGACAAATTCGTACCGGTTTGTGCAGTCTTGGTCGAGTTTGAGCGTACAATTTCCTTCGGCGACTGAGGTTTTGCCTCCTTCCTCTTTGTGCTTGTTGCTCGCCTCAGAGACTCTTCGGATGACATGGAAGGAGGCTGTGGCGCTGGCCGCTTCGCAATCAGCGCAGAAACTCTATTCGCGTGCCCTGCTCGTCGTTCCTGCTCGTTCCTAGCGGCTGTAGCCAGATCGATGGTCGGAATCTTGTTGAAAGCATTCTGTGCATCTGGGTGGTCTATCGGGATAGGGTGCGAGATGACCAGTTTCCCAGTTGGTCCAGTAGTCTTGCTGCGCTTCGGTAGATTAACCTGAGTCTTTACCTGGGACACTGAGGATTGTTCAATAGTGTTCGCGCGAATTGGAGGAAACAACTGTCCCTGAACAGCGACACCTCCAATGCCTGTCACACCAGTGATTGGCCGAGATATCATCGGAAGGCCGTTGGCGTCATTTCGTGGGGTATCTTGACCACGATATGCCATCACTGTTGGTGCGTTCATTCCCTTGATGTCTTCATACCGTGACGGAGGATACTCATCTGAGTCTGCACTTGCCAAATCTCGGTCACGACTTATGTTCTGCGGGGTAGGTGACTCCGGTTGTCTTGGACGACGCGTCCGAGTCACAGTCAGGTTCTCAGATGATATTGTAACCAGAGCTATACAGGTTAGCTGTGGCCTTTGGTCTCCTTGGAATAAACTTACCGGCTAGGATGAATAACCCGATGGCCGGCAACGTCGTCCTGAAAAAGAGATCAATAGTGCCTACTCCCAGGAGTAGTGTCACACTTGTCTGGGGCATACATTAGCAACGGTTTCTAACGACTCTGAGCGTAAGCGATTGTCATACCCCCATCCAGATCCCCAGACCAGCGATGATCAAAAGTAAAGTCTTGTCTTGAGATGACCTTCCTCCATCCTTTGACGAGCCTGATTTGAGGGCCGAGATTGTTAAGCTCGCAAGAATAACGGCATCCAAAGCGATGACTGCGATGGCGACTGGAGTGACATTCGACAGCGGAACACATGTCGGCGTGAACTGAGGCTTGGAAACTCCAACCAGGACCATCCCAACGACGAAGCGTGCAAGAAGGAGTATCTGCGGTATCATGCCGGCCACTGATTTGGCTCCATCCTTTGCCACCGACCAGATAAGAAATTGCTCAATCGATACTCGTGCGAACTGATCGAGGAGGGTGGAGAAGATAACTGCCACTTGACATGTCGAAGTAGCCGTCGCATCGATCACAGTGGCGAGAAACTCGACCTGCGCCCAGAGCGCTGATGATGTGAGGAATAATATGAGGGCCAGCCTCAGGCCGTCCCGAAAGATTGTTGAGCCATGGCCCTTGATGTAAAGAACGACGCCGGCGGAAGCTGTATTGACCACAATACCACTGCAAACCCAAGTCAGCAGCAAAGACATAAGCATCCGCATTATAACTTACAAGAAAAAGGCCGCGATCAAGGCTTGAACGGCTCCCGAGACCGCCATCTCGGCGCCGCAATATTATGGCGTCCAGCGGCCGAGGAAGAAGTAAAGCCCAGTCAATGGGTAAATGTAAGTACTATCGACGAAGTGAAAAATTCATGGTGATGTGACCAGCCACCTTACGACGCCATAACTGACGATGGCATCAACCCAAACCTAGCAGTCGATGGTGTTGAAAGAAAGATGGATGCGCCGGTATCACAGAGGCAGGACTCAGCTGTCACAGCTCAGCGTTAACTTCAGCTGATTTGGCCACCAATCCCCTTCTACACAGCAGAACCCGACACTCACAGATTTGAGCGGTGCTGGAGCAAACCTGGACACCACCATCTATGGATGAGGCCCGTGATCTCAAACGGTGACTTGGCAGGGGGCAGTTCGAGATCTATCCATTTCGAGGTTATGCCGAATGGAGCCGGGCAGCATGATTGGCTGAAATTAAGAGCTGACGGGCCTATACCCATAGCGGGTCCCGGGGGGCCCATGCTCGGCTTGTTTCACATGAAACTCGAGACGTTCCATCGTACCAAGACTCAGAGGCAAGTGACTTCTGCGGCTCCTGTGTGTACGGACCTTACGCTCTTTTCTTCAGGTAGGTATGCAACCTTCAGCGTCCCGCTGGAGATCATCTCAATAGCCAGTATAAAAATCGGCAGCTTCCGACTGACGAGCCGCCCGGCCGCCAACGCGAACTACTCAGCCGCATGATGTAGGGCACGCAGGCAAAAACGGTGATGTTAGAACTATGGCTCGATGCAGTTTGCGAAAATCGAAACAACTCAAATACGTATCTCGGACTCGCGACCTCGTTCGCCCAGAGCCGCTGTTGCCGCGCTCTCCCGGGCTCTTTTCAGCGGCGACACCCCTTGCCGTTGAAGGAACGCACAGACGATTGGATGGCCGCGAAAGCGGAACAAAATCACCTGTCACAATGCTGTAGGTCGGGCCCGGAAGCCAAGAATTCGGAAACGGCCCACCACGGTTCGCTTCGCTTACGAGCGCTGGGCACCGGATATTGGGTGGATGATGAGGGTGCCGTAGTACTTAATACTACCAATCACCGAGTCTTCGTCCCAAACTTCGAATTCGCTAGGTATTTATAACTCTACCAGCCAGGACCCTTGCCTCAACCTTGAGGCGCCTGATGATACTGCAAGTGATCGATGCTGTGTGAGATTGCCGCGCCTGGCCATGACTTTAATAGTTATCTGTACACACAAGTACCAATGGTAAGCCTCAAGAGAAGGATTCGTTTGTGTGTGATCTGGCTGAGTAGTTGGGTCATGAACTGTCTTAGCATGATCGTCACGGGTAAAGATTGCAACACTTCATCAGATAGACGCCGCAAAAGGAGTTTCGCACGTGGGTTTCTCCATCCCTTCGGAACGTGGGAGAAATCCTCCTAAACGCCAAGATCCTAACGCACTTTTTCTGGTGGCTGATCAGCGCCATAGCTCTAGGTAGGTCTCGCCTGGGTAGGTAGAACTGCAGTATATTGTTCAGAAGTCGCTGCTTCTTCAGTAAAATTGACGTGTAACGTAAGCCGTGGACCCCTAGATGAGTGAGGTGTATGCAGTGGACTGACATCTCTTCTGCCTCCCAACACTACTTCCTTCTTTCATTAGCGACGGCTCATGGCCTGTGTCATCGCCAGCCTCCTCGAGAAGGGGCTTAAACTACGCTCCCGTCTTTCCCGCGGTGGCGCGTCTCCCCTCCCTGCGCTGCGGGGACCACCTCGTTCTGAACCTCGAGGGTCCTGTGCTGGGCGGCTCTGGAGGCCACGATCATGAGTCCGGCTATCTGGGGACCTGGAACGATACCGTCGCTGGGTTTGCGGAGAGGGGGATCTGCTCAAGCTTGATGAGTAACCTCGCTGTGTCGTAGGTAGTGCCGCGCGATCGGCGTACGTCTCGCCATCTTTGGGCCTTTGATATGGTCCACCTGGTGAGTCCGTACGACGGTAGGGCGATCTTGACGCCCGGGAGCCATGATACTGCGGACTTGTTTGTCTGCCTCGTTCTCCTGGACGTGGGCCCCTCGCGCTGTGTTGGCTAGCAGAACCATATGGAGAACGCCGCAGGTTTTGCTGGTCAAATGACGGACTCCGAGATTGTTGACGTGGAGGCTCGCGTGAGGGCCCTGGTGAATCTCTGGTAGAAACAGTGGAAACAGAGTCAAACGAGGCCGAGCGTCTGCGCTTCACCATTTCTCCTCTCTCCTCCTCGATGCCTCCCCTTTCAAGCTCTCTTTTCTTCGCTCGCTCAGCCTCGAGCTGGGCTAGCTGCTCATCGGCTACTCCCCTCCTGTGAATAGTTAGCGAATGCGCATTAGATGATTGGTGCAACGGACTTCTTCTGGAGCTCGGGCGGTGTCGCCTCTGTCAGTTTTGGGACCAGTTTGGGGTTGAAGAGCTGCTGGGTGCGTGAAGGCCTGGGAATGTACGGCCTGTCCTGCACAGTGGCTTTACACTCATAAGAGTAATGGCGTGAAGATGAAGTCAGCAGCGGATGGCAGAACGAGGAGAGGTATCACTTATCATTCTTCAGGCACTTCTGGCATTTTGCCGTCGTCGGCGTGTTTCTTGGTGGGCCACGCCGGTACATCCTTGCCTTGAAGGTAGTATCGTTTGCCTAGACTCAAGATGCTGATCTCACTTTGCGCAAGGAGTTGGACGGTGGAATCCGACAACTTGACGACACGCTGCTTGTGGATGAATTGTTGATGATGGACCCCAAAAGCTCCGACATGATGTGGCTGTGGTTGGCCTGGAAGGATAATCATGTGTGGCGGTGCCTTACGGCTTACGCCACAACCTGATAAGCTTCGTCACAGTTCAACTCTATCTACTCTACTTCCTTCTTACCATCGGGTATAATTTTGATTAGGCGTGCGGTGCAGACCGGGCTGCGATACCTCTTGACTCATCGCTGGCTACGCCAGCATAGCTTCTCACGGGTTTATAACCGCTGTCTGTGACAGGCTCAAGAGCTGATCCTTCGGTTTTACGATGCGGGTACGCGTACAGCTTATTGAATCGCCTCTCTTCTGAGACCCGGCCACAAATCCTACCTTTTGCGGACACGGTCCGGTGACCTTCTAAGATGATGTCCACCAAGTGAGCCAGCCTTGGCGGACCGCCTTGAGGTCCATGAGGGTAGCGCCGCAGCCGACTGAGCCCGTCGAAATCGCCCACGTCCCAGAAGACATTGAAGAAGTCACCGCCGCCCGAACCCATCCAGTTCTGGGCCATATCATAGAGCTTCCCCATACGTAAGCCATCAGGGAATTCAAGAATCTTCAGTCGGTACATGCTGTCATCGGGCACGCAGCCTGCCCACTGTGGCAGATACAGTAAGCCAACCAGTCCTTGCAATGCTACATACAGTCGTCATTATCCCTCCGGATTTCAGGTTTCAGAAAATAACAAGATGATTTACTGGCACAAGACGCCATGGAATTGGAAATTCATCCAGTTCCGGACAATGAAAGCCACTCACAACTTCTGACATGTAGCAGCCAATCTTCCTAATCGGGGGCTGTGTCACGAGCATGCGCCTCCAACTCGCCGTGCGTTCCTTGAAAGCTTCGCCGTGATGTGACCGACTTATCTTCAATGAGGTGAAGCTATCACGCGTGCAGCCCGCATACGCCTCCCACCCATTTTGTGAACGTCCCCACGGATGGAACCATATCATGAATGGATCAATCAGGAGGTGGTTCGCTGTCCTGAGCCTGGAGCCAAGCCCCCCCTGCATCGGTTGAAGGAACAGTAATCTCTGTAAAGGAGGCGATTCTGTTATTATGGCTCGAAAGCGCTTATTAACTCTCTGCGCAGATACCAGCAAGGTGTGTGAATCCACGTGAAGCAGTATTACCGATAGAAGCTCGGGGGTGTCGAATACTAGGTCCGATTTGACCGACATTGTGGAACTTGAAGGTATAGAAAGGATGTAGCAGCTAACTTAGGGATATGCAGAGACGTTTTTCATGATCCCATGCTGCGCCACGGCGCATGACATTTTCACCGACAGGGCTTAGTAGGTTGTCAAGCGCTATCGGCATCTCATTCACGAGATTCCAAACAGAGTTCCTCATTACCCTCACCATGGAATTCTACTCTTCTCAGGATACAGTTAAAGCAGACAAACGACGATTCACGAATTACGTAGCCAAGGAACAGGACCTGAGACTATGAGTTGTCACAGTTACTTGCCACTGTAACTTAGAAACCCAACTTTTTAAGTACAAGTTTAGTTAGTTAACTTAGAACCTATTGGAACGACTGTAGCAGACAGCCCTGGAGGAGCCCGGGCCACTTTGCGGGTCGATCCCATCGCCGAGGGGTCGCTAACTACGGGCTAACGGTGGTTGTGTGCTGTCGGGTGTACCTAATGGAAAGCTGGGAGAGCTTCCAACCGACACCACTCACTCCAGACCTTCACCATCACATGGAAGCGCTGACGCATCGTATTTGTATTTGAGACCCAATCGTGAAAGCCAAACCTGATACTAGAGAATCAGTACTAGAACGATCCCTGTGTCTTCAGTCGCCTCTGCCGCAGCCCAAACGTGTCCATCTTCCTCGATCGTAGAACGCCAGACTTCGTCCCGATTCGAGCATCTCGACACTTTGAGGCGCAAATCTCTCAACCCGAAAGGCCACCACCACCACCACTACCACCACCATCACCACGCTCCAATGTCTCTCTCGGCCCCGACGCCACCGCTGCTTCTCACCAAGCGCCTCACCTCATTCTTGCGCTCCAACCTGTCACCCCAGATCCACACCGCCCTGCTGACGACCCTGTCGGGCAAGCTGCTCTCGCACGCCTCCACCCACCCTGTCAGCACCCTGCGCACGCAGTGCACCGTTGCTGCTTCTGTATGGGGCATATATGCCGCCTCAGGCACGGCCACGGCTGTTTCTGACGCGCTTCCGCCGGCACCAGCCGGCACAGCTCGTGGGGGTTCGAAATCTACCGCCGCTGTGACGATACAGCTCAGCGGCGGCGTCCTCGTCGTTAGGAAGCTCAGGTGCGGCCTCCTATTTGTGTGTATCGGACCCGCCCCCGACGGGGCCAGTACTGGTGCAGACCAGCAGAACCAGCCGGCCTGGTCTGCGGTCGGAGGAGCACAGCAGAGTCAGGTCGTACAAGCACCACAGCCACAGCACCACTCATCCAGAGAAGAGACGCATTCGAGTCCACCACTGGGAAGCCCGAGCGAGGTCGAGAGTGTGGTGAGCGCGGCACCGACGACAACAAGTGTTACGACAACTGGGAGTGTGAGCGCCGGCGCCGTCGTACAGATGCGGAGACAGGCAGAGGAATTGGCGCGATGGCTAGATGACAAACTCGGTAGCTTAGCCGTGCCGGAGGAAGGCAGTGGAATGGAAGTACGGTAAGGGTGGAAGAGAGCAGTCGAACATGTTCTTGCCACACTGATCGACTATCACTGCTGCCCATGTGCGACAAGTTCACGTGGTCGTTCATCGTGACGTATCAGCTGCGTGAGCGTTGGGGGATCAGGACTTGCATGGAAGTCAAAGGTCCGCTACGTGACCAACCATGAGCTATTCAAAGTCGACAGTTGCAAAGCGTTTGGGCTGAGGGCACATTGAGGTTACAAAACACCAATTCCGGGGTTCAGAGCCCGCAAGATGCTATAAGCCTCAGCACAACAGACTTTTGCTATTATGAGGCTTCTCTCCGCCCTCTCCACCCTCTATCTAGCCGTTTAAGCAGGGAGCGTTGCGAGCAGGTGATGAGACACCCAAATGCGCCAAGCGCGGTGCGAGATTGCCGGAGACGACGGTCCTACTTCGATCATATTCACACACTGCATGACTCATCAAAGACCGCCTTCCAAGTCCCAAAAAGCTCTATCAAGACACCTGTGGAGGTGGCGGGAAGTACATCGCCCTTGCGAGCCTAATCAGTCTTTGGTCATCTTCTGATGCTCATAAGCACAATCATTAGGAGAAGATAGCCGCTGGTGCCCTACGGTCCAAAGACAGCTTCCTGCATGGGTCGGAACATGCCGTTGCCCTGCTTTCGATTTCTTGGCCTACGGGATATACTGCTCAGAAGTAGAGCATACCCGCTGGAGGCGCTCCCTCTAAGTCTATGGATCAGGTTGGAGAAAGATACCTTCCGGATGCAACATCGAATATCGGGCCTAGCGAGTTCTGTCATTCCATGAGGCTAAAAGCACCTCTCAGGGCAATCTATCTCCAACGCAGGAAGGTCTGGATTGTACGCATCGGGCGATGTTCATTCGTCAGTGCTGGCGCGACGGGATGGTGTTGAACATATGGAAGGGACCGAAGAACCGTCATTGGGTGCCTGACTTTGCCAATCAGCTCTATTTCCGAACATATTCCACAGGTTCTCGAAGTACACTGTGAAAATGATGTTGTGATTTTATCCGGAAGTCGGTTCAGTGTGGCAGATGATCTTCCTCATGGCTCCTGAAGTATGGTTCCCTCGGAACGTCCCTCGGAAACGGCCTGCATTACATTGATTGATTGGTCTACTTTGTGTGCAAATGCGCGAAACAGGTGAAAACGCTGTTTATTCCCCAACTTCGACTGAGGGGAATCCCTGTTTAAAGTAGAAAATTCTATGTCCGAACGATCTTTTCTGCTGAAGTCCCCCCCGGCTCTCCACTTTAGCCGCCAGAACATACTCTCCAGGGACGGCTCGCTGATAGGCGATCAAGGTCCATGAGGCAAATTTTACTCTTGCAAAGAGTTGTGCGCGTCGGAGAGCCGCAACGGATAGGAAAGCCTGGGCCACGAGCACTATCTCTTCGGCATGCCTACCCTACTCCAGCTCCTGTGACCTGCCGTGAGACTAGACTTGAACTGGGACTAAATTGAGTGTGTGAATACGTCGGATCTGATCCATGTCACAGTCACTTTTCCAATGGCCCGCGGTCCTTCAAAGCGCAAGGTCTGGTCGGCCCTTCCTCAGGATGGCAACTGGTGTTCCTGGGTGAATGCACCCCAATGCATGATCGATATATCTTAGTCCCATTACTAGCTCGCTATAAGCGCTGGGAACAGTATATTGCGTACGACCTTGCATGGGGAAGCCAATTTCAAGCTTCAACCAGAGTGACCACTGCTTCAGGGACCCTTGGCTCCAAGAAACACAAGATCTTGTGTCTGCGAATCGAAGGTGGACTCAGTCCAACCTGCCAAGAAAACTCGACATCATCCACCATAACACGCCAAATATTTCCACACTCGAGGGGCGGTTACACCATCAGCTCGGCGATGAGGCTCTTTCTTGGATGTCTTGGAGTGCTGCGATGCTATGTTGAACACCAGTGCACAGTCGAAATACTTACTCAACTGACACCAAATTTCAAAGAACGAGGTACAAACCTTATTGCCCCCATGGGGAATGTCTACCGCGTTTACGGCATGCACCCTGCAAGGTATTCGGCAAGGTATAGCTGTGGGGAAACACCCTGTAGACCCGCTTATCTCTCCCGTCTGACAGGACTAAGATCCATATCGTTCATATTGGGCGAACGGTTATCAAGACATGCTCGTCCTCGGACGGGCCAGATCTACCGGCAAGTAGGCCCAACTTACCGAGAGAGCCATCTGTAGCCACTATCACGCCGATGGATCCAAGGACCAGTGAGCCCGGAGTCCTATTTGGGAAATGTTCATATGAGATAGATCCTTTGGTGTGGGTGTCCGTCGATCGACCTGTATAAAGCTTTGGGTGCATCTCTCACATACTCTTGCTCCTCAGACGAAGACTGATCACGCAACCCAAGATCTTCTCTCCTTAGACTGATTCAATCGACAAAATGATCTCGAAGGTCGCAGCTATCGGTGCCTTGCTGGCTGTGGGCAATGCCCAAAATGTCGGTACCCTCACGACAGAAACCCATCCCAAGATGAGCTGGAAACAGTGCTCCGCCGGTGGTAGCTGCACAAGCAAGAGCGGAGAGATCACCGTCGACGCCAACTGGCGATGGCTCCACGATACTAAGGGCTCCACCAACTGCTATACCGGCAACGAGTGGAACAAGAGTATTTGCTCTGATGCCAAGAGCTGTGCTGCCAACTGTGCCCTGGATGGTGCTGACTATTCCGGCACCTACGGCGCCTCAACCAGCGGTGATGCCCTCACCCTGAAGTTTGTTACCAAGGGCCAGTACTGTAGGTTTTCATCGAGCTTAACATGATTGAACCTTTGACTGATCCGCCGTTGCAGCCACCAACATCGGCTCCCGTATGTACTTGATGGCCAGCACCGACAAGTACCAGATGTTCAAACTCCTTGGTAACGAATTCACCTTCGACGTCGACGTTTCCAAGTTGGGTTGCGGCATGAACGGTGCTCTGTACTTCGTTTCCATGGACGAGGACGGTGGCAAGTCCAAGTACTCGACCAACAAGGCTGGCGCCAAGTACGGCACGGGCTACTGTGATGCTCAGTGCCCGCGTGACTTGAAGTTCATCAACGGACAGGCCAACTCGGCCCAATGGAACCCATCTAGCAACGATGCCAACGCCGGTGTTGGTCAGATGGGCTCGTGCTGCTCTGAGATGGATATCTGGGGTATGAAATACCATGAACGAGTAATGAATGCGTGACTGACATACACCACAGAGGCAAACTCCATCTCGACCGCCTACACCCCTCACCCTTGCAAGGAGATCGGCCAACACGCTTGCCAGGGCGACGCTTGTGGTGGAACCTACTCCAGCACCCGCTACGCCGGTGACTGCGACCCCGATGGCTGTGACTTCAACTCGTACCGCCAAGGCGTGAAGGACTTCTACGGACCTGGCATGACTGTCGACACCAAGTCCAAGTTCACAGTCGTGACCCAGTTCATCAAGGGCTCGTCCGGTAACCTCGAGTCCATCAAGCGTTTCTACGTCCAGGGCGGCAAGGTCATCCCCAACTCCGAGTCCACCATCTCCGGCACGTCGGGTAACCAGATCGATGAGACTTTCTGCAAGGCCCAGAAGACTGCCTTTGGCGACACCGACAACTTTGCGCAGCAGGGTGGTCTTGCGCAGATGGGCAAGGCCCTCGACAAGGGCATGGTTCTTGTCATGTCGCTTTGGGATGACGTAAGTTTCTTTTCCTACCCTCCCCCTCGCATACATGGTTTAGAGAAAAAAAAACTCCCGGGATGTTTCGTTTCTGGTATGTTCTTGACGTCTGACGAAATCCGCACAGCACTACGCCAACATGCTCTGGCTCGACAGCACCTACCCGACCGACAAGGACCCGGAGACTCCTGGTATCGGCCGTGGCACCTGCGACACCTCCTCCGGCGTCCCCGCTGATGTCGAGAGCAAGCAGGCCAGCGACCAAGTCATCTACAGCAACATCCGCTTCGGGCCTATCAACTCGACCTTCACCAATGCATAAGAGGGTCGCCTGAGAGGCCCTCCTATCCGCCTTTCCGTTTGTCCAAGGCGATGGTCATGCAACGCACTTGCAAGCATACCATTCTGTAGGAAGGGAGCCCCACGGAACCAGAGGAAATACGCATGTTAGACAGATGATAATGGAGCCTTTTCTGTACATAATCGGCATTTTCTTCTGACAACTGTAGATAGCATATTTGGGAAGTCAAGAAAACAAAAGAGGTGGTGTCACGCAAGGTTGTCAATAATATACACCGTCCCCTGATCTGCCTTTTAAGACAAATACGATGCGCTTCCGCGACCTCGTTGCCACCAATTTCTCTACTAAGATTACTATTTGCCAGTAGATGCTTAATTATACGGGCGAGCCCCGCTTTTAGGCGGCCAATGGTATAGTGCCGTGGTAATTGAAGTGTTCCCTTCCATACATACTCCCATCCACAGCCGTTGCGCTGGTAGAGTGCCAAGTCTGTCCGCCCCTACCATGATGACCATTTGCCGCCGGCTGATTCGACGTCAGTCCAACGGTTGCAAATAGCCATCGCCTGAACAAATCCAGGACCATCCTAGGAAACCTCTCCCACCCCGCAGTACACGAGGTGGTAGGTGGACGGTTCAGAGCCGACCGTCGCACACCAAGAAAGGCCACGCTGATGGCTAGTCGCGGGTCAGACCACGACCTGGATCTCCTCCGCGCGCGCCGGGAATATGTGCCAGGGCTTGGTAGCCAGTTCGCGCGTCTCGGCATCGAGCTGATCCCACCGCCCCATCACCCGGCCTCGAAGTATAGCAGCTCGTGGATGATGCCCGCGACTCCGTACTCGTCGACAAAGGTGTTGTGGATACAGGGGCCAGCGTGGACGACGACCTCGTCAAGCCCCTTGGACAGGCCCAACGCGAAGTTCTGCCAGGGGTGGTATAGGACGGATCGGGCCGGTAACCCCAGGAGGAGTCCGTCGTGGATCTTCTGGACATCGCCAATGAAGGTCTCAATCTCGGCTATGAGGTTGCTGGGTCGCGGATTGTGATGTTGTGGAGCGAGTTGTTGAGTCAAGACCTGACCTGATGGAAGGCTAGAGAGGGCATATGCTGACACTCTGTGAGTATCATCTGAAGGCCAAGTCTAGGCAAGGTCAAGGTAACTTAGCATCCAAGGATCAGGTCTTCCAGTGAGCTGAAACAGCACTGCCATAGCACCGACCTTCCTTGTTGTATCAAATAATATGCGTCGTCTATCAGTTTCCCTAGGACCGGCCTTTGATCTATTTCCAGGCACTCATTAATGCCAATTACTTCAAGCCCCGATGAGGGCCTGCTTCACTCCTCATGAGAGCGTGAAGTTCTTGGCTTGTAGACAGTATTTCATGGTTCCTTAGCTGAAAGTATTCCGTCTTACGGTGAACGCCATTGCGAAATCCCTTATGTTTGTGGTGCGACTCTCGGAAGAGTTTGTTTACAGCCGTTAAATGCTGTGGACTATGACGATAGCCAATATTTTCATGCGTCAAATCGGCTGTATCCCTCATGTGCACGTTCTCAACCTGGAGTATTCACTGACTTGATTATGATGAAACCCTTCTCCGGCAAGATCTCTCTCGTATGGGAGAGGTCATCCGCTTCCAAATCGAAGGCCGTCTGAATTCCGATCCCACTATACCCTACCATATCTTTGAAGCTGGCTCCGGTCTTGGTTTGCTTCATCTTATAGTCCAATTGATATGGCTAGACCCACAGGCCATCCCCTATTTACGGGATATGAGACTCATTTACAGGATTGTTCTCTGAGCCCACAAGCACCTGATATCACGTATAAGGAACCAAATTCTCTAAATTTAGGTGAGGTCTGACTGGAATGTACTATTCTGCTGTTCAAGGTTCACTGTATACGAGAAAGGACATTCTCAACTCCAGAGTTCTATACAAGCTTGGTGCCGAGTGAGGATTGTTGTTAAGCAAACGCCCAAAGCACACGGCTTGGCCGATTCAGTGACTAGCATCTCAAGACAGTAATTTGAAGGAGAAGCCATAAGACATTGGATCTTGGCATTCATATTGTATTGGATTTAAGATGGCTAGAGCCGAAACCTCTCGTTTATTTACGTGCGAATAACCTTCTCACTACTGGGGGTATGAACCTAGCGGCGGCCACCGGCTCCGAGGGCGCGGAGCTGGCAAGATCTGGTGAGAGGCTGTCCTTGGGCCGAGGACCCGCGGAGATAATGGACGAAGCCGGCCGGCACGGCAAGCTGATAAGTGCACAGTTGTGTAAGTTGACCTGATAAGTGGGGACCGTACGTCCGCCAGGGTCACGTAATGCCATGGTGAGAAGCGCACCCTCGAATCAGATGCTGCTGATGTGTGTACACAGTTGTTACTTCGCAAGGACATGCCGCAGTGAATAATTGGCGCAGTCCTGCCGCTTGTGGAGAGCTGGCTGGATCAATACGTAGAATTAATATCGGAAGTGCTAGCTACTTAAGGATTAGATGTCGGGAAGAGCTAGTGCAGGTATGTAGCTCGGCGGATTGACGATTTATCTCCCAAGATGCTCGACTCTGTGGAACAGGACGGTAACCTACTACGATTCAAAGTTTTGGGGTGCCTGGACACCAAGGCAGGGGACAGATCTCCAGAGATCTTTCATTTGGGTACGTTATCCACACAACGGATTTGGTTTGTATGGCAGGGTTGCCGAGTTCTTTCTTGCCTGATTAGCTGGCCTCAAAAGGTCCTCGCATGGCTTGGTCAGCAGGGTGCTGGCAAGGCCAATTACAAAGGTTGACGGCGCAAAGGTCAAGGCAACGTTGTACCCTTGGGACCCTCGGACGACGCAGTTGTTCCCGAGGCGTAAGCCGCGGAGGAACTTTGAATGAATGCCTCCCGGGAGTGTACGGACTAATAAGGCTGCTAATAAGCTTGGAGGAATTCCTGCTTGCTAGCCAGCCATTCGGAGAGGCTGCAGGCAGGACACGAGACCAGGCCAGCAGCACATGGGCGACTTACTAATTACGAGTTGCGACCTGCAGGAATTATCGCGATCTGAAATCGGTAGGATTTTCTGTACTGTACTTTGTGCTAAGCTTTCAAGATAGGGAATCACCTGAAACCCCCTTCACAATACATAGGAGAATCTATGTTCTTTGAAACAGTTTGAGATCATCATAGATCGCTAGAAGGACAGTCAACTTTGGAATAGGAATTAATGAAGCCCCAGTGAGAATTGTTCCCTCAATGCTACGATTGTCGGCAACGGGGCGCCGTAATCGCGATTCTGCGACACAGCATGTGGGCTGTAGGAGGGGCACTTTCTACAGAAAGACACCCCCCTGTCACGATGCTGCAGCGCTCGTGAGGCACTTTCGAGTGCATAGTACCCTAGTCGCTAGTCGTGCGTGTTAACGAATCAGCAAGGGGACGGAATTCGGGGCGGAGCTCAGACGGGATCAGCAAACCGGCCGCTTGGATGCGCAATGCTTGAGGACGTTTCCAATAGCAGTGAAACAGCAGCATGGTACCTCTCTAGCGAGATTCCATAAATGAGTCATAGTGATCTGAATTGGATTTCAAGACCAGGGCTTTCAATTGAATGTTGTGATTCGTCGACCATGATTATTTTCCTGGGGAGCCGTTGCGCGTTTCCAGTCTCCTGTTAACTTACAAGGAACGGCTTTTGGTAGAGGTTAGGATACAATTTGGCGCCTTGGGTGCTTGCGCGTAACTGACCGTGGGTGGAACCCATGGGAGAAACGGAGTGCTTGGGAGGCAGCTCCTGCACTCACTCTTAGGGCATTGAGCGACACGTATACAGAAAAAAACTGTCCTTTATATTGGATGTTTGAAAAGGTTCCAGTAGTGAAGAAGCTATCCTCTGAACGGCGAAGGTCATGATTACCGTGGCATCAGTGCCTGCGGCTAAGATGCTGGACTATTGCACCGGGGCAGTGCGGAACCCGTTGGTTGATTACAGTACCTACAATACGCGACGCAGCCGAAGATAAGGAAACGCTGTTGGACCGAGGGCTCGGCATAGCCCATCCTGAAGCTGCCGCTAATGAAACGAATGACCGAGGGGGGACTATACCGTGCCGCTGGATACTACACCGTGCTGAGCCTCGCAGTCTCGCAGCCATTGCTGACGCCTATATTGCCGTCCTCGACTTGCTTGTAGTCCGAACAAGCCATGTAAAGTGCCCGTATTCTGAACACGAAGACTTGCAGGGCATAAGTGTCCTCAAGCACAATATATCGTATCTGGTCAAGCCACACACTGGGATACTGTAACAAATGCCTACGGTAGGCTTGCGTAGATTCCATGCTTTGCGCTAGGTAGATACTGCATTACTGTCAAAAGTCCTTTGGTGGTCGTCCTTGTCTTCCGCACGCCCTTCGCGCGATTTCCCAAAGCGTTTCGCCGAAAAGGCTCCAATCAAGAGCGGAGTTTCCTGGCTGGTGGATTGCGACTACTGCCAGGTTAGCGAGGACCGTCCTGCCGGTCGCTCGCCGGATCCAAATTAGGGCTTCTGGACACCGGAGTAACGACGTCGCTCCCCACGAGCAATTGCTTCCTGCAGGAGGGACTTGACGGCTATTCTTTGTACGCAATATTGTGGTGAATCATTCAGATGAAGCCGATCGTGGCGGCCAGACTCCTGCCCTATGCCGTAGCCCGTGTCCCAGAAATCGTCGGTGTTGCAGCAACAGCAGCAATCCCGATGGCGTGGAGAGGGGCATACCTAGGTTGAGAGTGTGTGAGAGAGGCTGTGTGCGCGGGCTTACAGGGGATGGGCAGGATGGGGGGGGGGGATCTGGTAGAACGGGGCTTTGCGGGGCCCAGGAAGCGCATGGGCGCTGAAGGACAGGCAGGACAGGGCAGGGCAGGCAGGGCAGGCAGGGGGCGTCCAGGACGCAGGAGGCGCTAGTCCCGGTGGGGTGGGGTGCAGGGGGTCGTTGTGACTCACACCTTCTGCTTGCTCTGATTGGCCTGAGTCGGACCCAGTCGCTTCGTGCGCCCAAACCCATAAGAACAACAATTTTTCTGCCTGGCCCTCGCTCAGGCTCCTCTTCTCTTCTCCCAACCCAGTCCCATTTCCACACATCACAGACATCATTCAGGCATCCATCCAAGATGCGTTAAATACGCCCTCCCGCCAGCGTTCCCCGTGCTCCCCGTAGCCTCAGTCAAGATTCCGTCTCCAACTAAACAAACCATTTACTCCACTCAACCCTTCCCCTCAGCTCTTCCTCCCCAGGTCGATCTGAACTTCAACGAAGCTATCTTCAGCTCCCCAAGTTCTCTCACCAACGCCACCATTCCCCCTCAAGACTTCTCAGTCTTCACCACGGATTCCCAACAGTCAACATGGCTTCCCTCCAGTTCCCCGAGCCTGCCGGCACCATCCGAGCATCAGAACTTCCCGCAGCCGCCTCATCAGGACTTTGTCTTGTTCGATCAACCCGCCAGAACGAACGCTAGTCGCACGGCCTCCTCGCCTGCCAACCCAGCAGCAGCATCTTTTGGATCAAGCAACAACCGACGTCACTCGTCTCACAACCCAACCGATTCTCCCGGTCTTCAGAATCACCGAGTGGCTCAGATCATCCAAGCTACAGGGCATCAGACTTCTTCTTCGGCCTTTACCAACCGGTTCAACTCTCCCGCGCAAAACCAGCAGAGCCAGCAACAGTTTTACGCTTCGTTATCAGCTCCATCTTCAACCGTCGCCGTGAATCAACAACAGAATCGACAAGCTCGTCCCCCTGTTCCCCTATTCAACCAGGCCATCGGTAACCAAACCTCGGGCAAGATGGATCTTAACGGTAAATACTCCCCACCGCCTGCCACTGCTGCCAAGTCTGGTTCCAGAAACTCACACAACGCAGACGCTTTGAGCAACATCGAGGATTTCACCGCCCTTGAGGCTGGTGCATCCGGTACAGCCTACTCGTCGCCGGGCATCCCGTCGTACGACATGGCTGTCGGCTCTGTCTCAAGCTCCACAACCAACATAGGCACCGTCTCGCCTCACGACCTGCTTATCAGCGAGCCTTTCTCTGCGCCCCAGTCTACTGCTTTCACAAACTTGACTTCGCCGTCGATCTACAACGAATCTCCCGAGTTCAATGACAGTTTCGACGTCTCCCCCAACTTTGGCAACGATGACTTTGGCACTGGCGCCAGTGACCCCTGGTTCCCCTTGTTCCCCCAGGAGAGCAACATCCCTGCGCAGAGCTCCGCCATGGACAACTCGCCTGCGGAACAGTCGGACGATCTCGATGTAGTCGAGACAACTTCTCAGCCTCGTCGCAAGTCTGGCAACTCTCCCTTGACCGGAGGCCACGGCAGACACTCTTCAGTCTCTGGCGTGAACTCTCGTCGGCGAGACAAGCCCCTGCCTCCCATCATCATCGATGACCCCTCGGACACAATCGCCATGAAGCGAGCTCGCAACACTCTTGCGGCTCGTAAGTCCCGGGAGCGCAAGGCTCAGAAGTTGGAGGATCTCGAAGCCAAGATCGCGAAGCTTGAGGCTGAGCGCGACCACTGGAAGCGGATAGCCATGAGCCGCGCTGGCTCATGAACCGGCTTTGGTATTTCTCATCATGGATTGCTTGCTTGGAATGAACTGGAGGGACAGGCCCCTGGCGGCCTCGTCGCCTCGTTCTAAGGAGGCGGTGGTACCAGTTCAGCACTACCGGCGTGCTAGACCATGACGCCACCGACCGTGGATTCTTTGACTCTTTCTTTCGTGTCGTTTGTATGGATCTATGTCTATTTCGACTCAAAATCGGTGTCGTGTGGAGGTCTCCTATGGGTTTCACTGCCGCGCTTACCGCGCCTGGCATTCTGGGATTTCGTCTAGATGTTTTATGAATTGACATCGTATACTCTTACTTAATATTCTCTGGCGTGACCAAGATCTTGCTCCTCAAATAGTTGTGCGCTTCTATTCGTTTCCCATGGTGCACCGTGGTGACGCTGCCGCCATCCCTGTACATGTGCTTGCCAGCACCTCGAAAACTCTGTGATCTTTGGGCTGCCCACCTCCTTGTGGTGCTTAAATGCCTACTGCGTTGCCTGCACTTTGTGAAGCCATGGATGTGTCAGCATGGACTTTGCCTTTCAGGTTGGAGATGAAGGAACCTTCTACACCCTATCAAACATACATCAAAGGCCTGCAAGGCGTCCTGGGGCATTCCTCAGTAGGTCTACAGAAACTCCAGTCAGCCAAGATAAGGCCCACTTGTTTATCCGCAGTGAGCCACCGAGCATAAGCATGGAACGAATTAACCGTGTCAAAGGTACGGGTCGCACAGACTGGTTCCAGGTCAGGATGTATCCGTTGTAAGCAAGTAGATCAATCGGGCTTCAGAGAATGCAGTGGCCGAATTAGGCTTGCTTTGAACCGACCATGCTGTGTGTTCATGAAATAAGGGCTGTTCCCTCCTTGAGTATATCTCGGCGCGAGTCCAGAGTGACTGCGTTCTGCCGTGTATACTTCGACGCGCCGTCGCTCGTAGTGAATAATAACTCCAAAGTAAGGACATAGACCCGAGAACCTAATGGTTTCCTATCTGGCCTCTTCAGCGTTCCATCACCCTTATTCCATATCGTCGAACATGGACTCCCGCTCTTGTATCGATTCAAGTCTTGTTCCTCACCAGAATGGGCTTTGTGCCGTACTTCTTCCTCCACCTTGGATTTTATTGGGGAAGGGGGAAGGATGTATACAACTGCTTTACGTCCAGGTCACTCAGTCGACGATGGGTTTTCCCAGTACACAAGACAACCAGAGCGACGCATTGCACACACCGACTTCCAGGGTGGAGTTTTGCAACCGTGACTGTATTATGCGATTACATCAGGAAGCTATAATAGACAGTATGAATTATTAAAAGTCCTTGAGCGGGCTTCAGAGAAGCTTGGTCCGTCTTTTTGGGTAGATTGAAGAAGCAGCTTAGAGAAGCCACACGACTAGCTCAAAGTAAAGGTGTTACTCGTCCCCTCGAAAGCCGTGATACGCCCGCCCAGCAAGGCCTTGCTATCGCCGTAGTACTTGACCCGATACGTGCCGGGCGCGGCGTCCGCCTCGGTCTCCCAGCTGATGACGACCTCGCTGTAGCCCAGGAGGAAGTTGGTCCGGGTCCAGGTGTAGACGAGCGACCAGTCGGTGTCGTCCCGGACCCGGGTCCACGACAGGCCGTTCTGCTTCTCGACGGCCGCGAAGGTGCCCTCCAGCCGCAGGTTATTGCGCGGGTTCGCGCCCACGAAGGTTGTGTTGACGACGGCGCCGCGGGCGTAGCTGGCGTTCGGCTGCACCGTGACTTGGCCGAAACTCTGGCCCAAGGGGGCGTTGTCGGTCACGACTGGCGTGATAAAGCTCAGTGAGTTTTCGCGATTGTCTGGGGGAGACGGGCCTGGTGGAGGAGACCCAGTCGCCGTAGGGGCAATGTACTGGATGTTGCTGACTGTGAGGTTGATATATGCGTTCAGTTCGAACGGGCCGTACAGGGTCGAGGCGCCTTCGTACCGCTGGATCCCGTACTCCTCAGTTGTGGTCACATAGTGCGCATAGGTGTTCGCGGGGCCGCCAAGGACGACAATAGGTTCCGTGTCGGTTATGAACTCGGACGCCGCCTCCTTCACGGCATCTCGCCAGCGGCGACCCGCCATGGTGCTCGCTTCGCTTGGGCTGATAATGATGACGAACTGGCCGACTCGCAACAACTGAATATCCACAATGTTGGGGCTCCATGCGTAAGGTGTGTCCAGCTCGCCGACATCAAGTAGGACTGGCTTGGGTGCCTGACACGCCTTTTGCTGTGGCGTAGGCTCCTTCAGTAGACCCTTGATAATAGACCAGATAGGGTTCGCATCGGGACTGCCCGAGTCTCCTTGGGTGAAGTCGAACGCACCGGGGCCATCTGTCGTCCCGGCAGCGAAGGAGTAACCTAGAGCGGCAGGGCAGCTCTGAACGATGGTACCATTGTCGAGAGGAAATTGATAATACGACATATCGTTGTAAAAGTGGAAGGACTTCACAGAGGTCCCGACAACGGGTGTTCCAGATGAGCCGAGCGAATCCTAGAGTATCACGTTAATCATGCTCGTATATCAGAAGGTGGTTGTCTCAGTTCTTACATAAACCGACTTTGCTCCAGCGTACTGCCGCCGACCAATCTCGTAACAGCTCGAAACACCAAGGTCAAGTTTTTCGAAAAGGGGGCCTCGACCATGGCACGACTGAGACTTGCCGTCGGCACAGGTGCTGTTTTCAAAGCTGCACATTTGGCCGGAGCCATCATCGCACCTAAATTTATTAGCAGAGGTTCGGGTATACTGGTGAATATCAACTTACCAAGCTCCGAGGACATTTGGGGTGGTGTCTCCAACGTTCGCCTGGGAGAAACCTGCAACGAAGCCATCTGCAGCACTATCGTCGCCGTCAATGGCTTTCTCGAACATGAGTGCTGCAACGCCCTTATTGTCCCCGGATACGTGCGTGTTGTTCTCCAACATGGACGTGCCGTGAACTGGGAACCAAGTAAGGATACCAATGTTCTTGCTATCAGAGGCGCGTTGGAATTTCAGGACCGTCATCGTCTTATCCACACTGTCGGAGTATTGCGCTCGCTCTGACTCGGGGTTGGCCATGTACGCATACAGACTACGGCTCAGATTTGCCTCATCGATATCAACGGTATCTAGCCCTTGTTAGTTTCAGACTTGTCCTGGTTGCAGAGTGACCAACCAAAATCAAGATAGCCCTATAGTTGGTAGGTTAGCCTCAGGTGCCCTTCGAATCTATTATCACATTAAGAACGTACCTCTTGTAGGGACTCGTGCGCCCGCTTGATGGATAGCACTGTGCCGTCCACTATGGCCTTGTAGCTCTGCTCGTCAAAACCCAAGCTGGTGACCTGAGGCAGCAAATAGTTGAACCAAGCTCCAGGACCAGAATGGGAATGCGTCCCAGTGAGTGCCAAGTTCGACTGGCCATACACCGAGTACTCGGAACCTAGGGCCGCGATCCCCTCTAAGACCCCATATCTAACGGCAGTGTCTCCAGACTGCGTGTCAAGAATCACGTACACGAACCGATCGTTGGGGTTGTTGACGTCGCCGACGATGAACGCTCGAGAGTATATGCGCTGGCGCAACCCAGTGCCTGTTTGACTGGCGGCGGCATATCCGGCAAAGTTGATTTCCACCACGGGACCAGTGATATCAGCCTTTCCAACACCGAGAAGATACTTGTCTCCAGTCGCGGTCGCCCGAGTCTTTGCTGGCGGGGGCATGTCATTTTGACGCGCAGCCCCAGAATCTGCGGCATGGGTCCTGAAGCTGTTGATCTTCGGTGATCCATTCAAGTTAGATGCGACGAATACAGCGAGCACGAACAAGGATATCGTCGATATCAGGGCAAAGAGGGTCCTCCTCGGGGCTGAGGGGCCGCTCTGCTGAGAGTATCGTTGGGCCATGGTTGAACTGCCTGGTCTGACCCTCTCGCGCAGAGTTACAGTTGATCGACAGCCGTGAGAACTAAGGAGTGTGGGTATTCCCACGACAGGGCGTCATCACAAGCTTTTATTCAAATCTGCCTTGATCGATGATCCTCTCGGTAGGAGCAGCCGACATCCACAGCTGCGTGCTTCCCCCTCTCGACGATGCAACATCGGGGGATTCTGTGACTTATCTTCCCCCATTCCTCAAGAACAAGCTCAGAACATCCTGGCCAGCGCCTCGGACAACTGACATGCCTTCCAATAGGAGGCCGCGGCTGTGCTATCCGCCCTCGCGGAGGAATTGGAGATGCCAGGTACGAGGGCTGGCAGGCAGCCCGAATGGCCCAAAACAGGGCAGTCGCACACTCAGCCTGCCATCATAGCTGCATGAGAACACACCACACCTCCAATCTGGCATCACATGCGCCGCGACGGGTAGCAAGGGCTGCCACGCACACGATTGGACTCCGGCGGTCCCCTGTCACGGCCAGCTGCTCGTGTGCGTGTGTTGATCATTACCAGCAGGAATGCGGGGGCAGATTCGTGAATGGTCACTTGCTTATGGTCATTTCACCTTCCGTTCCGGTTCCAGCGAATTAGCATCCGGCGCATGCTAGACAGCTTTCACGACGGAATTACTTTATTATTTTGATCAGTTGGCTGTGATGGTGGATTCACTTCAACACTTTTTGCCCAACACAGACATGGTAAGGGCCTTGCTTCTTGCAGATTGACAACAAGGAAGACTATATCTTGGCCCTGCGTGGTATCGATAGCTCTGAAAGTTTCCCTTATCATGCAAGCTGCCTGGCAGCACACTTTGCCTGACTTAGAAGTAAGATACGTGGGCGAAAGTCTGAATACTCCATATCGGTGCCGGGCTAAACTACCCCGGGACCCAAGGTCGTATCTCGCTTGCGATGCCCCAGAAAATTCCACTGCCGTGTGCTGTCAAGGCGTTGGGGGATCCGCTGAAGAAAGACTAGCCAATACTACTGTGCTAACTTAGTAATGCACTTTGCCCGCAATCAGGGCGTCGGTCAATCGTACATAGGTTGCAATCGGCCCAGCAAGCCCAATTCGGGCTCTCACTTAACTTAACAATGAACGCACGTGGCCGCGTGGACCACGCTGCACATCCGTGAGTCAAGTCACCAAACACTTTGTTCATCTGTCCGACATTGAATCAGGCGACCCTGTTGTCGTTAGACAAGAACTACCGTGATTGCTCGGCAGCCTCTGCATTGCACCGTCTTGGATCCCATGGTGGCCAGTGCAGACAGAAGACGTTATACAGGGACGAACTTACACCCATGTTCAACACTGAACTCTTAAGCCGACCCAAGCGACAGTGGGGATGGGGGATGACAGCTTGGCAGGTATCCACTGCGTTGTACAGTGCGCGACTTGAACCAACATGGATCACAAAAAGCGCCCCAACGGTTAACGAAAAGCGGGAAATACTCTATTGACATATTTTACTACACCAACAGCCCCATTCCGAGATCTGAATTCTGTTTCGACTTCCCCAATGATTGTAAACACCTTGCATAGCCTGTCTAGATATCACTGGTCGATGGGTTTGTCTTCTTGTTCCTCGCGGAGTACATCATCCAAATCTCATAGTCGATGAGGCCAACGACAGCAAGGCCGCTTGCCATATAAATGCGACCTCTTGGTCCAGATATCAGCTGGCTCACATAACTTCTGATGCTCGACGGTTGCGCTTGGCTTCGGTATTTGGTAGTTGAGAATGCGGCATTGAGGCCGACAGTGTTGATGCGTCTCAGCCTCGTGGGAACCTTGGTAATGATTGTCGTGGACATTGCTCTTAAATATGAGGGTCTTAATGAAGTAGTTCGATTTGTGGTGAATGTGATTTGATTCGGTATCAAAATGCTGCAATATGAGTCTGAAGCAGACTTATATAGTCTTGATGTTCTCCCGTGTAAGTCCGTTTTGTGGGTTATGCGTAAGGCGCTAACGGCCTGCGTTATGCTTCAAAATAATGTGCCCACCATGTAGCATATTCATGATCATGACTCTTATCGCTTGAAAAGCAGTTCTTCTTTTGAGCTCACTAGTGATGTTCATTATTGATTTCTCAAGCTGACAGGGGAAGTTCGCCGTAAATTATGCTACATCTGAATGTTTCACAGCAGACTCTAGCTTGGCGAGGAATAGGTAGTACAACGCACCAAACACAACACTAAAAATACACATTGTACAGATGCTAGGATATATCTACATACTCTATTCAGAAGGGGTATCATATGACGTATTCTACAACAATGCGATGATAGTGGCGAGAAGCTGCACTTCTATCGCAGATTGACCCTTATGGCCACTGATTTTACAGTCTGTCAACAGAACCGTCGCATACCAATAACTCTTCATCTAAATACATGAACCTGCTGAGCGAATGGCTGATCCGGTCCCAGACCGTCTTTTCGAAATGCACAGCCTGTCGAAATCAAGAACATATCCGGATCTCGCACGAAAATTTCTCCCACGAAACTCATTCCCTTGAGATGCCTATGTCCTTCGGTGCTCTACGCTCCGACACTGGCATAGCGCTGCTGTTCTGGCATTGGCGTCAGGCGTCTTGAGATGTCCGGCACACCGATTCGGTCGGCCATGCGGTCGGGCACCAAATCCGGGGACACAGCCCTGACCGGGTACTCTGTGGCGGGAGACCTGGGTCGCAGAAGTCGTGATGTAGTAGGCTGGGGCGCCAAGATGGTAGGCGACTGGGCAATCGGCGAAGTCGGCGCCTGAATGTCGACCAAAGGCTTTGGCACCGGAGTAGCACCCGTCCGGATAGTCGACGGCAATATCTGCTCGAAGCCTTCTGTCCTGGCAACCTGCTCGATGCTCTTGAAGTACTGATGGATGACTGTCAGCCGGATGCACTCATTGGTGAATCATGTGGAGGATCTACCTTGACGGTCTTCACCTGCAACTCAAGTGTGGCATCTTCATCACACACAATCATGGGATGAGGATGAAGCTGAAGACTCGACAGCGTCCACATGTGGTTGACACCCTGCTCTATACACTTCTGGAGTGCTAATGCTTTGCGAGCACCCAGAATGATGACGACGACCTCTCTGGCTTCCAACACTGTCTGGACACCGACAGTCAAGGCCATCTTAGGGACCTTGTCCAGATCGTTGTCAAAGAAGCGAGAGTTGGCGAGGATCGTGTCATACGCCAGCGTCTTGACACGCGTCCTGGACGCCAGACTTGACCCTGGCTCGTTGAAAGCGATGTGGCCGTCTTCACCAATACCGCCCAGGAAAAGGTCGATACCTCCAGCACGCTTGATCTTGGCTTCGTACTCGACGCACTCTGCCTCTAGGTTCGGTGCGTTGCCGTTCAGTATGTTGACGTTGTTCGGCTTGACATTGACATGGGAAAAGAAGTTCTTCCACATGAACGAGTGGTAGCTTTCAGGATGGTCACGGGGTATTCCGATATATTCGTCCTAGGACCAAGTAAGATACCAGACAATATAGTATTACGAATTATGCCTCTTACCATGTTGAAAGTAACGACATTTTCGAATGATATCTGGAGCAATGCCCGTCAGCAAGGTAGAAATCAGAGGAGCATTGCAAGAACTTACCTCGCCGGCTTTATATTTCTCTACTAATATCTTGTAAACCCCAAGTGGACTGGATCCTGTCGGTAGACCCAGAACGAAAGGATGCGCCGGGGAGGGGTTGAAGTGCTTGATCCTCTGGATGATATAGTTGGCTACATAAGTGCTAGCAGCCTGGGAGTCGTCACGAATGATGAGTCTCATTTTGTCTTTTTGTTTGCAATAGGAGAACACTGAGTTGAGAAATCAAAATGGTTCGTGGGGGGCGGTCTCTGCTTAGAGGCTTTGGCAGTTTACAACAAGAGGGAAACCGGGGAGAAAACACTAGAACAAGTTGTCTTGAGCGAAGGAATAAAAGACTTATGGGAACGCTGACGTATCACCGAAACCGTACATCATCAAGAACCGGGGTCTCACACCCCGGGCAAGCTATCATCAACTGTCCTCTCCGGAAGCGCCTCCCGCATGTGTCAAGCAGCAGGGTTATCCTGATAAGATGGAACGTTTGGCTAGTTCTCCACCACACTGATGAGATCACACCTGGGCGGCGGGTTGGTGATAGGACGCAGTCCGGCAAACGTTGTAGTTACGCCCGGTCCACATGGAGAGCTGGAGATGTGTCAGGCCCCCCATGTGCCATGGACTGCGACATGGTTGGTCCGTGGGCTTGTTTCCGCGAACCGGCGAGAGGAGCCTCTTCTCTATCTGGATTCGGCCGGAGATCTCGGGCTAGTCCTGTGATCGGTAACGTGGTGGACATGGTGTTGCCCTGCGAAGTGGTCCTCCGGTGGGCAGGTAGCGTCTACCGACCTATGAAAAGCTTGTGCTGGATCCTTGCTCGCTATCAAGAGGGGAGGTCAAGTAACAAAGCTAGAAAGGTGTCAAGCCTAGCCCTGCGCAGACTGATGACTACTAGTCTGAGAGACTACCCAGAAACCCAATTTAAGCCTGTGGAGAGCAGCAGAGCCCGCGGTTTTATATCCACGCCAAACCCGTGATAACTAATACTGAGCCGCATGCAAAACGGAACGCCCCGAGCGTCGTCTATGCAGCGAGCCATCTCGCCGTGTCCCGCCGCTGGAGGCAATTCAATATGAGGACGCGTCTCTCGGCTGATTGTGAATGGCAGTCTACAGATTGACCCGGGTTTCCAGAAGGGCTGGGGGGGCATCGTGTGTCGCCATTACTCAAGGGCCACCCCCCCATATTGACTCTCTGTGGCGCGTGTCTTGTGGCGTCTTGGTGATCCTTTCCGCTTTCAAGCTCCAGTTTTTGTCGGCGAGTGGTTGTTCTACAGCGACAGTAGGCCTGGTAGCAGCCAGCTGGACACACAGCACAGGTCACTCTCAACCGTCGAGACAACGTTACGTTACATCATCGTCCACCAGGTGGTTGACCGCGGCTCCATGGCCGGCCTCTCCCCTCTGCCGTGTGCACCGCGCGTTCGCAACTGGTCGACTCACGCGGGGCTCCTGTGTCTCGTCGCGTCCACTCGAGCACCTTTGATCGCTGTCCCGCTGCAGGCATCGTTACGCGCGGATCCAGGGCCACAGACGAGGGTGGGAACCTGGAAGGGGTGGGAAAAAAGAGGTCACCACACATTAACTACCTGCTACAACCTACTACAGCCTACGTGCCTACTACCACTACTACCACTACAACCACCAACCAACCAACCAACCACTAACGGTGCACTACACCCTACCGCAAGGTACCTTACCTTACTCAACCAGTGGGGTCCCGCCTGGAGTGTCGAAGCTTAACGACGAACCATCGCCTTTCTCTGGCGGCGGGAACAAGACTGTGTAGGGCGAATCAGGGGTGTTTCGTGTTTCAATTTCGCAATCCCGTGCTTTAGACCCAAAGCAACCCTTTGGGACCCAGACAGAACTGTTCTGGCGATATTCGGCCTTCAATATTGCACCCCATTCCGCAACCTATTGGTCGCACGGCTTCTTGAGGAGGGTCAGGACGAGACTCCCGTACGGCCATTTTGGATGCCGGCAGCTTTAATTTCTCCCGCTCCAGCCTTTTTACGACGCCTATACGAGCCCTGACACGACCCTGGGGGATCACGCACTCGTTTGCTGCCTCTCTGCCTTCTGCCTCCCTCACCCGTCCAATTGCCACATTCTTTTATGGGCTATGACGATTCATTAACGGGCTGCTCTCATGTTTGGGTTCCTTTCTTGCCTTTCGATTCTCCATTGAAGCTATTCATGCATTCTTGATGAATTGACCCATCTGCCCCACGCCCTTCGAGTCTGACCCCAAATGTCATGCAGCCGCTCACTTCTGCAATGACGACGTTGAAGAAAGCCTTAATCGCCGCCCTCAAGTCTATACTTCGAGGTCGGTCCTTCCTGCAGGCCCTGTTCGCCTTCTGGATCAGCCCAGCCGCCGTCCGGGAGCACCACGTAAACGGCAAGGCGGCTTTGCCGCGCATGACGGTCACAGAGTTTCTCCACGATGCCGAGCAAGGCTTCTTGGCGCCGCTCGAGGGCGAGCAGCTGAGGCGCTTCTCCAAGAAGTTGAAGCTCCAGTTTCGCGAGAGGTTGCAGTCCCACGCCGAGTCTATGCTCCCGTCGTTCAACCACCTGTTGCCCTCCGGCCAGGAGAAGGGTCACTATCTGGCACTCGATGTCGGAGGTTCGACGCTTCGGGTGGCCTTAGTCACCCTCAGGGGCCGCGAGGCGACTGACAGGGAAAGCGAGATTGTCCGGATGGACACTTTCAAAATCACCCCCGAAGTCAAGAAATTGGAGGGTATGTCATTTTTTGACTGGATGGCTGTCCGGATCAGTCAAGTAATCAAGGATGATGTATCGCATTGCACGCCTACGGCGCCCATACCGATGGGACTAGCTTGGAGTTTTCCAGTAGAGTAAGTGACAATGACAGCCCGCGACTCCGATTTATACTAAATCATTACAGACAAACCTCGTTAGGGGGAGGCTTGTTACTAGGGATGGGCAAGGGCTTTTTAGCAACAAGTGGGCTGCACGGCCAGGACCTAGGCGGGATCCTGAAGTTCGCCTGCAGCAAGCAGGGGCTACACGTCGAACTCTCTGCCATTGTGAATGACGGCTCGGCAACACTGCTCTCACAAGCATACGTCCACGGGCAGACACGATTTGGACTGATACTGGGCACCGGCGCTAATATCGCCGTACATCTACCCGTAGCGGCATTCAATCGCTCCAAGTTTGGAAGCCGCCCCGAGAGCTGGTTCGAGTCCGCCAGCCATGTTATCGTGAACACGGAACTTGGAATGTTCGGGCACGACATCCTCCCGCTTACTCGGTGGGACGAACTCCTCAATGCTGCCCACCCGAGGCCGGACTTTCAGCCGATGGAGCACCTCCTGAGCGGCTACTATCTGGGCGAAATAGTCCGCCTGGCACTTATAGAGGGCATCGAGAATACAGAAATATTTGGCGGGGTTGTTCCCCCTTCGCTACAAGCTCCATATTCCCTGGATACAGAGACTCTGTCGAGGATCGAAGCGTAAGTACAAGCAGCCAGACGCATTGCCATGAGCTAAACATGCTAACCGCGATAACAACAGTGACACAACCCCTGACTTTGAGGTTGCTCTGCCCTATTTTGCTGTGACCCACCCGTCCAGCACAAAACCCACGGCAGCCGACCTCGGCGCCATCCGCAGCCTCGCCACCTACGTGTCGCAGCGGAGCGCCTCCCTCCTGGCGGCGTCGATCTTCTCGCTCTGGGAGCTCCGCCACGAGACAGAGGCCGAGTACATCCAGTCGGAGATCAGCTCGCCGACCCCGTCGTCCGCCCGGAAGATGTCCTTCGTGCACGAGGCCAAGGTCGAGCACACGCTGCCGCGGACCAAGGTCGCCTTCAACGGCTCCGTCATCGAGCGGTACCCCGGCTACCGCGAGAGCTGCCAGGGCTACATCAATGCGCTGGTGCGCGGGAGCGAGCACGTCGGACAGGTGGAGCTCGTCCCGGCGCTCGAGAGCTCCATCCTGGGCGCGGCCGTCGCCCTGGCCTGCGTCGGGGAGCAGAAGGAGGATGTGTCGGCCCCGTGAGACGTGGGCCCACCGAGTCTCACGCCATCAACTAGCATTGAACCGGGAGGATACCAAGTAGGAGGAACCAGCTGCAATGGTCGGGAGTTGAGGAGTGCATGACGGTGAGAGATGGAACAAAGTATACCAAATTTTTGTGGGACGCGCGGAATATATCATGACCAGAATACCCAGTTGGAAAACAGAAAAAACCTCATAACCTCAACATACAGAGAGGGTATATTGGAAAGCAAAACACCCTGAAGATAGCTATCTGAAGCCAGCCAAGGCTGAAAAAAAAGAATCCCACATAAATCATTCAAGAGATTTATTCCTTGGGGGAGTTTCATATTCCCGCTTTCCGTCCGTGAACGCCAATCGCATGCCGTCATAAATCCGTCCGCCGGCCCGGCCCTGACCCTTGCTGTGCCTATGCCCGTGCCCGGGGGATCGTTTATACTGCGCCCGTCCTTCTTTCGATGAGCAGCCTATGGAGAAAGCCTGGGCTTCATGACGGAGAAAAAAGGTCAAATTCAAGAGTATAAGCTGCAGCAAACCCTTGCTTTGCGGCTCGTCCGCTGTGTCATTCCGCCGAGAAATACCTCTTTGCCTTGCTCCTGACCTTCTGAGCTTTGATCTCCTGAGGCACAGCGATGTGATGCACAATGTGGGGACGGTATATCGTGTCGACCAGCGGTGTCCTGTGAGGTTTCCTGGGTCAGTCTCACGGGTCGCAAAAGACCAGACGCATCGCGTCATCTGGGAGAATCAACTTACCAGTCGTCCACGCTCAGGGGAAAGTACTCGTAGAGCTCCTCCGTCTCCTCTGCCGGGCTCCCGTGTCCCAGGCCGCTGCCGAAGCGGGTGAGCTGCGGGCTCTGGAGCGCGTCCGACGTGGAGCGGTTGTTGGGGCTGCGCTCGTCCTCCGACAACGACAGGTCGATCGGCAGCGAGGGGCCGGCGGAGCCGGCGCTCTTCGCCTGGGCTGCGAAGCTCGGCGTCTTGCCGACGGAGACGTCGGAGCTCCAGGCGGGCACCGGCGGCCTGCTGAGGTTGGGCGACACTGCCATCCTCTTCTGGGCATGCTGGGCAGTCTGCGCGCCGTTGTTGTACGTGGACGACCCGGAACCGGTCCAGTCGTTGGAACCGGACGAGACGCCCCCGATGGAGTTATACCGCGGCAGGCTGAGCGAATCGGTGCGTTCTTGCTTGAGTACTGGCGTCGAAGCGGCATCACTCTGCGTGCGCGCCCGATCCGCGTTGCTGGGCTTCTTGTCGCCGGATAGGGGCACATCCTTCCTGCTGTCAAAGTTTCGCGGGCTACGGCCCCGTACTATGACAGGACCGCTGCGGATCTCGGCAATCTTCATCAGCTCCCCTCCGGTTTTCATCTTGCCTAGTAGGTTGATCTGTACGACGTAGTGTTGCTGCAGGCCTTTGCGGCGGCCGTTATTTGCCGTGGCCGACTTGAACTGCAGGCGCTTCCAGGCCACGGGCAGGCTCACGCGGTGGCCGTCGACCTCCTGGCCGCCGCTGAGGTCCAGAGCAACCCTGGGTGGCGCTCCAGCGGTCTTGGTCTCCTGCCCCTCGCCCAGAGCCGGGTTGTTGCTCTTCCACGGTATCGATATAATCTCTGTTGATTTGCCGTCGATGGACTCCATGGCCGTGATGGAGGCGTAGAACTCGACGATCGGAATGGCGCGCCCCTGCTCGTTAAGGACCTGCGTGCAATGCCGCGGCAGCGTGATCTGGCCGGAACACTGCCACAGATTCCGCCGATAGCAGGTGAGCTCGAGCGGCCGACCGGCCGTCTCGCCGCCAAACACGTCCTCGGCCACGAAGAACATGCCGTAGAGCTCGGCCGTCATGTTGAGCTCGGAGAAGGACCCCGTGGCGTCGTCTATCGGGGTGGCCTTGACGGCGGGCGCCGAAAAGCTGAGCAGCTTATCGTCGAGCTGCTGGGGCGAAGACTCCTCATCGTGATACGCCTCCGGGTCGGGCGCGGCCTCGTAGGGCCGGGAGTAGTTGAACGGGTCTTCAAAAGTCGTGGTGAAGGTCTCGAGGTCATAAGTCGGGGTGAAGGGGAAGTTGGGTAGTCCTCCATTCACACTATCTCTGGGGGAAGGTGTCAGTGTTGGGCGTCCAGACCAGAGCACTTCCCGGGCATTGATAACGCCGGAGCGGAAGGGGGAATAGAGGTTAGCGACTTACAACATGGACTCGTCAAAGTTGAGATCCTGATCGAAAGCCTCTATACCGAGTCCAGTGCCGCCTGCGCCTCCTGCTGGTCCTCCGCTGCCGCCTGCTCCTGCTCCCCCCATGACGGCATTCAACCCCATGGCGTCGTTGGCGTTGGCGCCAGACGACAGCGCCGGCATGTTGAAAGTTGCCATCGCATTGTCAGGACCCTGGGGCACCTGTCGCGTGTTCGGGAGCGTCGCCGTCGGGTCTCGATGCGACGGCTGCAAACCGGCATGCGATGTCTGCCCTTTTGTGTCGTGTCCGTCTGTCTCTCCGTCCGTCAGTCTGGTGCTGTGGGCGACGGGGTAGCAGTTGTTGGTCCCGGCAGTCGGGGTAGAAGGGTGGAATCCCCGATAGGCGAGCAACGGGGGCAGATGAACGGCGTGGTGGACTGGGCGGGACTCACCCTGGGCCTGGGATTACTATGGTGCAGAGGTGCCAAGGCAGGGACCTCAGTTGCTGCAGGTGTGGACTCCCTCTCTCTCTGTGTGCCGTACCCTACCAGAATGCACAGCAATAGTCACTCCAGCGAACCTCTTCCCCGAGAGACAGCTTAACAAGTGGAGATTCTAGGCCGCTTAATCAGACGGTGGAGGGGACGGATGGGGGCGGCTGGACGGGTCGCGGCGGGCTTGGGTGGGCTTGGGTGCTTGGATGGACCTTGGACAGGACTGGACGGACGTGCGCTTTTGGGGGAAGAGGAGGAGCTGGAGGAGAGCGGAGGAGCGAGGGCCTGCTCTTCCTCTCTGTGTGGGGGGTTGGCTAATTCGCTATCAGCCGCCGGCGATCATTGGCTGTAGAGGCGAGCGGCGAGCCCTGCCGCAGAACGCCGAGGACGTATTGCGCCAGTACGAAGTGCGGGTTTCTGGCACTTTTCGGGGGACGTCGCAACGCGCGAGGGTTAGGTTTGCTGGCCTGCTGGGCCTGTCTCTGGCAGCTCGGCGTGTGTTTGGTGGACACTCCCGGCGAACGTTTCTGGAATGTATACTCGAAGATACAATACTGCCTGCCACGGGTGCGGATAGGCAACTTTAAAACAGACACATGCAGGTCTCACACCGGAAGACGACTCCAACGGGGCCAGTATACTGACGGTGACGAACTGAGTGGCTCGCCAGCCCTCCCACACAGCAGGATATGCCGACATGGCGCAAGGATCTGGGGCCCAGTCGCCGCCGCGGCCAACCTGCAACAAACCTCTCGATCCTTTGATCTCCTCCTCCAGGGCTGTCTCTGCCAGCCTGGCCCTTACTCGAACATGGCACGATTTGGGAGGCGGCAGTGGGAGCGCTAGAGAGAAAGAGCCTCGGCCGCTGAACAGATTCGCACAGCAAATAGCCTATTGGGGTTCCACTACGGCGCAAATGCGGAGAGACTGCCCGCCACTAAACGCCCCCGGGGAGGCTTTGGTTTTCTATTTTTGACAAATTAATGCAGGCCCCCTGCGCTAATCCGGCCGCTGGGTATAACTTAGGTTTGATTACGTCGAGACTAGAAGCACCTGCTGGCGTTGCACATGGAAAATCGACCGACTGTGGCCCTGCGTAGTGCTTGGACTACTCGAGCAAGACTGGGACGTCGACTCGAGGTGCGACTCTTCTCGGGTCCTCCTCCCCCGACAGATCACGCTAAGCCTGGTCGGCCCGGTGCATGGGCTAAGGGCTTGAGCCGGAAGGGAATCTTGTAGAGGGGTCACACGATCAACTCCTCGCCGTGCGGCTATATTGTATATTCAACGGGAAACGCAGAAACATAGATCTTTTTGGTATCGTGACGCAGTCCTGCCCATCCCAAATCCAATCCCCGTTCTCCTAGAAAAGGCACAGATATATGCCTACGTGGATGCCTACATGGTTGCCCCTGTTATCCCAGGTGACGTTTCCGTTAAAGCAGATCATGCCACTGCAGTAATGTCAGCTTGAGCATTCTGGAGATCAAGTGCAGCACTTACATGCTCTGGCGAGTTAGTGATCTCTTCAAATGTCTGCTGCACCTCGAAGCCCATAGCACCTAGTAGCTCATGGGAATCATCGAGGGCCTGATATAGTTAGCATACAACTATGCTTCCAGGGAGGGCGGCCACCGGACTTACCCAACTGACTATACTCTTCGCCGACTTGTGTGCCTTGTTCTGTCTAACGCCCATGAATACCAGTCCCTGGAGCAGCAACGTGGACTGAGCCGTCGCAGGCACGACAGGTGCAACGACTCCGCCGTAGCTTCCATCATTAGCAGTGTTGAGGATCGGTATATATGTCGCCAGGACGCTGCCTGGCTTGCAGACTATGACGACGCCCAGGAGAGTCTCATTTGTGCTCTTGGCACGGACCACGCCGCAGTCTTGGGCTTGGAGCGCGAACTTGTACAGTTCCACGACGTCCGGACTGGCATGTGTTGCGACGTGGTTCAACACGCTTTCTCCGTTCTCCAGGCTGTGAATTAGGTCGAAACTGATTTGGTTGCGCTGTATACTCTGAGTAAGGCCTTCCGGGGCAGACCAGGACGGAAGGTCCGCGATTGCCAAGTTTGACACCCGTCTAGGGAACTGCACGTCCCAGCCCACTTTGGCAAACCAGCTCTTGACGCTGCCGCTCTCCTCGACGGGAATACCTGGGAACACTCCAGGGAAGGACAAGCCCAGTTGGATCTTCTTGAGGCCTTGCTTCTGGAGCAAAGCCTTGACCGCTCTGCGGTGCAATGATCTGCCGATAGATACGTTTCGTTTTGACGGGTCAACAAATAGAGCGCCGATGGCCCCCAGACCCTTTGTGAAGTACGTCGCAATGAAGCCGTACAAGGCCTGTGTACTGCTATTACGGACGACGAAGTGGCATTCTTCGATGCTCGGGTTGAAGCGCTCGAGCTCAAAGGATTGCGCACGACAGGCAACGTATGGTAGGCTCGGTGTACTCGATCGAGCAAGCGTTTTGAGCAGCTCATCCAGACCGTTGCTGTCGCGTTCTCGCTCGTAAGCTTCCACTAGCCATTGCTGTCTATTTTTGACGACCTTCTTGGTCTTCCTCATTGTGCCAGGCATTGATCCTTGTGGAACGAATTCGCCATACAGTGCTCGAACCAGTGAAGCCATGGCAGTCTCGGTGAAGTCAAAAGTGCACATGTAGGTCCCAATTGTCTTGTCCATGGCAAAATCATATGGCGAACTAACAGCAACTACGATCAGAGACTTCTTCTGTCCCGTTGACCGGAGCATCTGACACATCATCGCAACATGCTTGGTAAACCCGGATTGGTAGCCATTGCGGTGAGCGTCAGCGGTAACAATAATGATTGCCGATGCCCTGTTGATGAGGTTCTCATGGACTTGAGAGACAGTTAGCACAAACAACGACTTATTCGGGAAGAGAAGAGGGTACCTACCTGGCCTGAGACCATTGGCAGTGTACGAAGTATGCAAAAGTTTCCCGTGACGAGCGCGTGCCAGTGATCTTCCCAACTCACGGAAAACCCCTTCACCGCTCATGATGGCGCCGCGTTCCTGATGGATCCATTTGTCGTGCAGGCTTGCACCGCCATTCTTGAGCGCAGCCTTCTCCATCATACTCTTCGTCGCAGCCGAGGCCGGTAATGGCTTCACAAGAGGTGTAAGTAACAGGAGCTCCTCTTCTTGGAGCAGGCTCTGCGTCAGAGGTAGGAGGCCATCCTTGTCCCTGACGACTGTGATAGATTGATCGTATGCCTTCCGGGAGAGGGCTAGATGCGACGGGTGGGTCTTCGAGAGCCGTGATAGCCCCGCGGGATTCAACGCCTTCTCCCAGGATGTGCAGGCGCTCTTCATCCGTAGCACGCGTCTCAGAGACGTATACACCCGCTCCTTAGAGATGATGCCGTTCTCGATGCCCAGCTTCAAGCCGGAGATAGCCTCAAGCTGCACATCATGTGCTCTGCACAAGAGGATCAAGTCATTGCCGGCTTCGACGGCCATGACAGTGCCTCCTTTAACACCATATTCCTGGATGAGTGATTCCATTTCAAGACACTCGGATATTGCTACACCAGTGAACCCAAGGTCGTTTCGAAGTAGGTCGTCAACAACTTGGTCAGACAGACAGGCGTGCATAGCATTCATGCCAGCATTGGCGATGCCACATCCGCCAATGAACATGGCATCGAGACGGCCCGTAGCAATAGCATTGCGGAAAGGCACCAACGCACTTAGACTCAACTCCTCCAGCGTCTGAGTGATAATTGGCATGTCCAGACTGGACCCGAGAAAATCGAGATTCCCGTAGGACGGAAAGTGCTTCCCACACGTGGCAAGGCCCGCGTCCTTGTATCCGTTCATAGTGGCAATGCCATATTGTGACGCCTCTTGTGGATCATCGCCTACGGCCCTGACTCCTAGGGGTTGATGCCTGGCATTGGTCAACACATCTAGGACGGGGCCTAGTATCAGGTTGACACCAACAGCCGAGACCTCAGTTGCTGTGGCCTTTGCTACAGTATATGCCAGATCGGGACTGCCAGCAGCAGCGATGCCCATAGCACTCGGGAACTGGCAGATATAGTCTTCATCGAACAGACTGTTAACGCCGCCATTTTCCTGATCAAGGGCTATTAGGAGAGGCTGTGGGTGCCCAGCGCGATGAGCGATAGACTGCAGCTCCTGGACTAGAGCAGCAGTCTGTTCGGCAGCTATAGAGTATACAGTTAGCCGTTAAGCGTAAATAAGCACAGATCTCACCCAGACTCCTGGGTGGGGCTATAAGTGGAATCCTTTATTTACACTTGAGGTTCTTGGCTGTAAGAAGGATAGAGCCGAGGTGGTGATGCTCGATAAGATTCCTTATTTGAGGTGTAATCTCAGTCCCGTCCCAGCCCATAATCAGCATCTGGCCAATCGCCCTACACTCAGCGGTCAGCACGAGCTCGTCGACCCGTAACGAGCGGGCCGGTCAAGGCGCAAGCAGGATAGACAGAAGGAGCCTCAAGTACGTACCAGTCCAGATCCTGCCATAGTGGGTCGGATTCGCTATCTGATTTGGCCATGTTGGAAGTCCCCCGGGCCGCGGGTGTCACGTTATGGCGAGGTGCTGGTCTGAGGTGCGCCTTGCATGGAGGGCAAGGCCTGGGGTCGAGGTTTGAATCACTGAGCACTCTGTCACGAGTGTAACAATGGAGGGAACAGCCGAACCATCGCCCCTATTGGTTTGATGGACAGAGCAGGTCGATGCGGAGATACTTTGGCAGAGGGCTGGCCTCGCTTCTCGACACCGCACAGGACTTGGCTTGAATCCTTCACACCTGACGGCCAGTCTGACAGCGCGAGCATAACCTCAGATAGCCGTGCGACTGGGCTAAGGTGAAGCCGGCTAAACCTAGGATTAAAGCGCCTGTGACGCCCGTGATTGGTTCCTGGGGGGCGTCTGCATTGTCGCGGGCTTGTTCTAACCCCGCTGTATACCCCCCCCCCCCCCCCCCAAGCCAGCACTGGCCTAGGGGGCTGCTGGTGGAGCTAACTCCCCCAGGTTTGTCGGTGCTCTCGGCGCAAGCCGGCCATCTCGGCCATCTCGGGGCCCTCCCATTATCGAAATTTCAGAGGCGAAGGTACAGTAGCTATCGCCGGAAGGCAGCCCGCAACGTTACAGCTTCCGGCCTCTCCCAGCTGGTGGACGGTGCCCACGGCTCCTGTGGCCATGCGACCCCATGAAACTTTCCCGATTCATGTGTATGATGCCATCTGGGGAGCCGGCTTACACATCGAATCGCAGCTTGGTCCCGATCTACGCTCCCATTGCTCAATTCATTGGCCTATCTTAGTCGGTTGGTCATGGGTCGCGCTCGTTCTGAGGCCAGCCCGCCGACGAGTAATAGCAAACGCTCACACCCACATGTGTCAAACAAGGCGCTGGGTCGAGTCCAACGTCGTTCCCAAGACTGGCTTGGTTGTATGGCAGGCTAAGGGATTGCAAGTGTGACCCTGCAGAGTGGTTGCACGCTGATCCACCAGCCTGTGCCACTGTCCAGTATCTCTCTCCCAAACAGCCACTGGATCCAGCGTGGAAACACTATCACAATCGCGGGGCCCAGGATGTACAGTAAAGTTTCCGAATCTCGGCCTGGGAGGGCGTCATGTCCCAGACTGCCTGGTGATATCATGGCGAGTACATGTAGGTGGGTATCTCACTGAATCGATCGTGTCGTCCTATGGCGTTCAGAAATTTGTGTCCAAGAGACCAGTGGCCTCTTTCTTGACACCACAAAGTCATCGCCACAGTACACGTCGTCTTTCTTTATTCAGCTTTGCTTCTAGGAACACACGTTCATCATGCCACATTCCCTACCCTCGTCACCAAAGTCGATGCCGCGAGAGGGAGGTAATGGCATCACAAAATTTACCAACTGCCGCATCCTGAAGGGTGACCAGCTTGTCGAGGAAGATCTCTGGGTGGATTTCATCACTGGCAAGGTCATCCGAAGCCAGGCTGCTTTCTATGATGACTTGAACTTGCCTGACCAGACTATCAATCTTGGAGGTCGCATACTGTCACCTGGCTTCATCGAGTGCCAACTGAACGGGGCATTCGGGTTCAACTTTTCAACGCTGCTAGAACCTACTGTCTATGCCAAGAAGGTAAAAGAGTTGAACAAACGCCTAGTCCAGACTGGCGTCACAAGCTATATTCCGACCATCACCAGCCAGACGGGTGACCTATACAAGACAGCTCTGCCTCACTTGGGACCTTCAGGTCCAACCCAAGTCGCAGAGGATGGGGCAGAATCGCTTGGTGCACATGTTGAAGGACCCTTTCTGAACCCGACCAAGAACGGCATACATAACGCGGACGTGCTCCTGCAGGCCGAGGGCTTCAACGACCTGGAGGATTGCTACGGCTCCTCCAACATCAACCCGGGCAAAAACGGGAGCAGACCGGCCATCAAGATGATAACGGCCGCGCCCGAGCTCGGCAACATGACGGCGCTGATTCCACAGTTGACGCGTCGAGGCATCACCTACTCCATAGGACACTCGGAGGCGACGTACGAAGAGGCCTCGGCGGCCGTCGCCGCCGGCGCAACGATGATCACACACCTCTTCAATGCCATGCGGCCACTGCACCACCGCAACCCCGGCATCTTTGGCGTTCTCGGCACCGAGGAGAGCTTGCCGCGCCCCTATTTTGGCATTATCGCCGACGGGGAGCACCTGCACCCCACGACGATCAAGATCGCTTTCAACGCACACCCGGATGGCTTCATCCTCGTCACTGACGCCATGCACATGGTCGGGCTCCCGGACGGCGCATACCAATGGACAAATGGCGACTGCACAAACCGTATCGTCAAGAAGGGTCCAAAGTTGCTTCTTGAGGGCTCGGATCGGATCGCTGGCAGGTAAGCTTCGAGCATTCAGCTGGCTGCGAGGTGAGAAGGATGCTGACAATATGACCCAAGTTCGATAACGCTCGTTGAATGCGTGAACAACTTCCTCAACTGGACGGGAGCAAGCATACCGCAGGCGCTGAAGTCCGTGACTTCCACACCGGCGGCCATGCTGGGCCTGCAGGGGCAGAAGGGTTGCCTGGAAGATGGAGCCGACGCCGATCTGATCGTATTTTCCGAGAGTCAGAGTGGCGGGCATGTGGAGTTGGTGGTTGATGAAGTCTGGAAGTTTGGGTCAAAAGTGTTCGACCGTACTGCTTCCGCGTAACCCTTTTTTATTTGAACTTACCCCTTATACCCCATTGCTTTCTTATACCCACCACTTTCACTCCAAGATCCAGGTATATTTTAGAGTAGCTCACCGCGACGATCACGACTTATATAGGCTGATACAGTAGACGTCACATCATGGTCAAACTTAATTGCCTTTTTATTCTCTGCTCTAGCATACGTACGTATATCTTTCCGGTTCATGATTTCATTATGGGGCATATGCTTCCACGGATTTCATGCTGCGCTTCAGTTTTAGCATCATTTGGTAAACCATCTATCGCTGGCCATGAAGCTGCTTGTTTATGGTCAATGGTTTGAATGGCTTTCTGAGCCGGTCGATCGGTGCAATCCCGTCTCTGCCTAGTCCCGCAGGTCTCTTAACGCCTCTCGGTTGAGGTACATTGACAGTGGTTGCATGGAAACATAATGCCGGCCGGGTCTGTTCTTCAGGGGGTACAGGCTCTGCATCTTGTTTTGCAGGTGGCTTTTCAGGAGAAGGCTTGGAAGGCGAGCTTGAGAAGCAAGCATATGGTTTCGCCGCCACGTCAATTTCACGTTTCGGTTGTGCTGGCTTCGTGGCGAGCTTCGCAGAGCCTAGCTTGTGGTTTGAAAATTGTGGCTGTATCTCCGAAATTTCTTGGGCCACGGGATTGCGAATGGGTAGAGACCGGGGTCCCGAAAGATATCTAGGAGGATTGGGCGGCTGAGGTGGTAGGTCTGGTTCCTCGGGTCCGCTTTTCGATCGGTCGTGATCGCTCACAATGTAGCCAAGAAGACTTCGTTGCCCGGGAGGTCTCTTATTGGTACCAACCCTTGTGCTGGATGCAGTAGGCTTTGCAGCGGGCTTTGAGGCCTGCTCGGCAGCATCGGCCACATGCTGAGCGCCAGCCGTGGTGAATCCTGGTAATGTGAAAGAGGAAGAGCGTTGCATTGTAGTTGCATACGGGACATTCCACCCTTCTACTGATTCGGGCACAATCTTGGCGCTACTGCTGACGTGGTGAGTCTTGTGACGCTTCATGGGATGTATCGAAGGGGCTGTATCAGTGGATGCTCTTTCCGAATGCGTTTGGTTGTTCGGGTCGGTTGGGAAAAGGTTATCCTCGAGTGAGCTCATCGGGGGCATGTTCTTGTAGATGACTTCCTCAGACGGTAGCTTGCGCTGTAACATACGAGCCAATTCCGTCATCATTTTTCTCTCGAACGTTGGCCCTTGTCTGAGAAACTGATTTGAGGATAGATCTTGTATGAATGGGGAAAGCTCGAGACTCCCACTGTCCCCGTGGGAATTGAATTGGGGGCAACTGAGGTAAAGCAACGCCTTCGCTCGCGTCATTGCCACATACAGTAGACGTCTTTCCTCGGCTTCGTCGTCAGATCGCTTGTGCGGTATCGAGCCTTTATACACAGCCGGAATGAATACAATAGGCCATTCGAGGCCTTTGGCGGCGTGTATTGTTGACACAGTGATGTGTGGTTTAGCCTCTTCGTCCTTGTTATCCGTCTGCTTGTCGGAGGCCAGGGATACGTTTGCAAGGAAACGGGAGAGCACATCAGTATTAACGTTTTGTTGCATGCCCTCAACGTCGGGCAGAAGGTCCTCCTCCGCCATCGCCTGATCCCTCATGAACTCTCCGGCAAGTCCTATGAATTCTTGAACATTGGCCCATCTAGACTCATTGTCTTGAGGGCAGGTCTCTTCCAAGAACTTCTCGAACTGCAAGTCGCGAAGGAGCTTCTCTATGATCTCCACGAGGTTGAGAGCAGCCGTTCCATCTGTGCGATCCCGAAGTCGGGCACGCAGTCCATTGACTAATCGGAGAAATTCGCCACTGATCTTCTGTTCGGTCTGCTTCCTGATGTTGGTCTTCGCCGTACGATCTCCACGGCAATGCTTCTCAAGTAGTTCCCAGAGACTAAGCGAGTTCCGCTCGGCCTCCTCAACCAAGGATTGGATAGTCTCCTTTCCAATGCCACGCTTTGGCACATTGATGATGCGGGCGAGGGCATCGTTATTGTGTGGCTGGTGGATGATTCGCAGGTAATCAAGGATCTGTTTGATTTCAGTCCTCTCATAGAATTTGAATCCACCTTTTCATGCTTATTAGCGATATGCGTGTTGTTAAGAACAAAAGATCTCAAACATACCAACCATGCGGTATGCCATACCGGCCCTTCCAAGTGCCGATTCAATGTGCCTGGACAAAGAAGCAGATCGCAGGAGTATTGCGATATCGTCAGGGCCTACCATGTCCCCTGACATCATCTTGATGCGCTTTATTTCTGACACGATCCAGTCGGCCTCATCTAGTTGATTTTTGAGCCTGCGAAGAACAGGACGAGTTCCTTTGTTATGCACTGGCAGGAGAGCCTTCTGGTAACGTTCCTTGTCCTGCTGGATAACCTTCAAAGAGGTGTCCAGGATCGAGCTTGATGAACGATAGTTTTCTTCTAGTGATATTTCTTCGGTGCCTGGAAAGTCTCGCAAGAAACGATGCAGATTTCTTATCTCTGCTGATCGCCATCCATAGATACTCTGATCCGGATCGCCGACTATCGTGATTCTTCGGTTGTACTGTGCGAAGAGTTTCATCAGCTCGAACTGAATTCCGTTAGTGTCTTGGTATTCGTCTATCAAGACTGCTTGTATATTCGATACACAAGATGGATGTTGGCGCAGTAACTCGACACAGCGGACGAGCAGATCGTCGTAATCAAGCAGGTTCGAACGCTCAAGCTGACTCTGGTATTCAGCATAGCACGTTTCGTAGGCTACCGATTCCACAGACTTGGCCCTCCTTGCTTTGGCGGTTTCGTCATTGAAGGATCCTCCAGCCTTCTTCCTACTGATGTATGCCCGGGCAAGTGGGACCTCAATGTGGATATCGAGCCTTTTGCATATCCGAGTCACGATTCCTCTGGAATCTGAATCATCAGCAATGCCGAATTTTGGGTCCAAGCCGATTCTCTGGCCGTATGTAGCAAGATATCGCCGAGCGACGCTGTGAAAGGTTCCGAGAATGATCTTTCTCTCTCTTCCGTCGCCCAGGGCCTTGCCGATGCGCTCCTTCATCTCGCGAGCTGCCTTGACCGTAAAGGTCGCGACGATGATGTCCTTGGGTTCGAAGCGAGCATGGTCGATGAGCCACGCGACTCGAGAAGTCAGAGTGTGAGTTTTGCCGCTGCCTGGACCAGCCAAGATGGCGACGGTCGACGCTCGAGAGCCCACAGCGCGACATTGTGCCTTGTTCAACGACCCAAATATCTTGGTGCCATCTGTGGCAGACATGTCGACGGACACGCGTACATGAGCGTGTCCAGGAGGCTGCTCGGCTGCGACGGGGAGTGCAATCGAGGTGCGAACCAGAGGGCTGAATATTAGACCACAGACTATGGGGCTGTAGTAAAGCAACAACGACACGCCGAGCAGGGCCTGTAAAGTGTAACACGCGTCACGCCTACGGCGTTAGTGTTTGTCTATCCCCAGGCATCGTCCGCTAAGGGCACACGTGATCAGGTGACCTCCGGCCCGCCCTGATCTGGATGCCCCACTCTCCACTCGGTTGGAAGCAAGCAAGCCTTTAATGTGCGTAAACAAATGTTTGTAGTTCTCGCCCTTCTTGTAAATGAGTTGTGTGACAGAAAGTGTGTCTGTCTTCTAACTTGTAGATTACCATATAATCACATGCGGTATTAAATGAGCATCTGCATAGCCTCTATCGAGGGTCATCACTGCTTGCCGAGTCTTGTAGTTGTATATTACAGCGTGACTGGCTTAGCCCAGCTCTTTACTTTACTGCTGTTCAGTGTATATGCAGCGATGTCTTCAAGTATGATGACTTGTTGTGCTCCTACTGTGGATTACAAAGATCCCTCGTCGCAAATATCGTAAGCGCTCTTGAGCAAAGCTATCTGCATAGGTACTCGAAATCCAAGTAGCTTGAACAGATAGGCGAGTTACGAAGGAGGGGCCCAACACCGCCTGTTCCTGTTGCCGCCCGGCATTTCAGCTAACCGATCTAGGTCAGATTCTGCAGCGCCAAAAAGGCCCCCCCGTTTCCAATTCTATTTGGACAGATCCCTTCAAACTCTTGTCCAATTACTTGTGGACGAACATCTCATGCAAGACGTGTTCTGGTCACTCGAATTGCATTGAATCCCATTGATCGTCACAAGTCTTAGTGCGACCGGTCACGCAAGGTGGGATCGGCTTGCAATGTTTGCGTGCAAATACCAATTGTGTTGGTCGCATTGTGCGCAGCAGGGTTCTCGTCACATTCCCACAGCCAGTTCCATGCGCGGAGTCAATACTATGTGCGGTGGTGACTATGTACTGTGGTGATGTGATGGAGCTAAGAAGACGGACATGTCACACGCTCGTTGATAAGTTGCTTTGAGAGCTAGCAGACCCAGCTATTATTGACTTGCTTCTTCACTGCTTCCGTTGGATGCGAGGAGGAGGGACGAGCACAATGGGATGTCCCTAACCAGCCGAGCCCCTGGCCCCTTGGTTGCTTGGGGGCTGCCAATCGGGTATTGAAATACTGATGGCTGGCAAGGAAGAGGCAGGGACGGGCCCCAAGCGGGGTCGAAATCGCGAGTCGCTGGCCACCAATCACGACAATAGCCTGTCTCGTCGGCGCTTAACCCCCCCTGTCATCTATATCGAGTATCCAACCAGAATCGTGAGTGGCAGCGCGATTCCCGTCCTCGCAGTCGAGCACCGTGGCATTCGATCATCCCAGTGGGCGCTATTCATGGGCACATCATGCATGTGGCACGAAGGGCCCTGGGGATTCCAGCAAGTGAGATTTCACAGCACACCGCGCGCCCAATCTTGATATGTTGGTATCGTCGCCGCCGGCCCACCTCGACACACTACCGAGCATCACCAGCCGCTATATACCCTTTGTGCTCCCAAATCTGCACCTGACCTTGTCGATTCTCGATCACCATGCGTTTCGACTTATTCCGTCAGGAGCTCTGACTTGATGAGTTGATAGCCCCCATATGTAAGAGCATCCGGGTCTGCCACAATGCAACCTGGGCTTTATAGTGCAACCGCTACCGCTTCTTTGCTTCGTCTTGCGCTCGTCCTTACATTCAGTCCTTTCTGCCGCGCTGCCCCTTCTGTTATCTCTGAGAGAAACAACAACCCTTTGAACATCAACTGGGACCCAGCCCCAGCTCCAGAAGACGGACCTGCATTCTCTGCTGGTGCCATTCGAGATCCCTCCTACCTGCCTGCCCAGATCGGTGGCATAGTCGGCGCCTACGCGTTTTCGCTCGTCGTCGTCGCCGCTGTCCTCCTGCTCCTTGCCAAGAAGCGTCGGGAGCACCTGGAGGCTGCAGAAGAGGACTTGGACGAGCTCAAGTACGAGTTTGCTTTTCAGCCCGAGTTTCCAGAGGGCCAGGGGCCTGTTCCGGAGGCGCTTGCAAGCCCAAGGTCGCCGATCAAGAATTTCTCGTACCCAACGCCAACCGAGCAAGATCCGACACCGTATATCTTGCCTTCACCTTCCTCATATACCACTGCCCTAGGTGTCAACCCATTGGTGGACCAGAACGTGGTCGCTGCTGACCGAGAGATGGCGCAACAACAGCTGGAAGAGATGTACAAGCTCGTGATGGAACAAGAGGAGGCAAAGCAAGCCGGCGTGGTGCTGCAAGGGCCGCCAGCACCAATCGTAAAACAGCCACCGACGCCTTCCTCGCAAAAGTCAGGGTTCCTGCGAAAAGGCAAGAATAAGCCGGCGAATCTCGATCTTGAAAGACCTGAGACAGAAAAGCCACAGTCGCGCACCTCGTCTATACTGTCCGCCTTGAAGTCGCCTCGGAGCAAGAAGTCCATGAAGGCCATCAGCATCTCGTCGCCCATTATGACACCAATGTCTGGGACCTTCCCGCGCCAGGAGGGAGAGGAGATGGAGACCATCCCGCCGCGACACTACGCGCCGGCTCCTCCGCCTCCAGTCCCCACGGATCAGAACCCCTACGTGGGGAGGAGGATGACCCGCCCCGTGGAACCCCTGACTCCGCCAGACGTCTCCCCCGAGAGCACGATGAGCATCGACGAGAGGCTAGATGCTCAGTTCGGCCATTCGCGGAATACTTCACAGGCCCCCACCGAGGGCGACCCGGTGTCGGCAATCTCAGAGAGGTCAACTGCACCACTTGTAGGCTTGCCGTCGTCGCCCAAGCCCAGCGTAACACGGTTCCCCTCGCTCCCCTCGTCGCCGAAGCCTGGCGCGACCTTTTCGCGGGGAAATGCTCCGTCGGCCATCCGCACTGGCGGTTCGCTTCCGTTGCGAGCATACGAGCCATCCATGGTTTCCCCTCGGATGCAGACTACCAAGCAGACTGTATTTGAGAGAGCGCCCCTGTCCCCGGGTGGGCTGCGGACACCATACACCGGCGCGGCAGTTCCATACTCGCCATACCAGCCATATACTCCAGTCGTGCCAATGACGCCTTCGCTAGTCACGAAGGCCGACCGCAAGAGAATGAAGGCTCTTCAACCCAAGACGCCGACCTTGCAGATGGTGCAGAGCTCGGATGATATATGGTGAAAGATGAATGAATGACGAATAGGAAGATGGTGTGCTCACGCTGGGACGGTAATCTCGTGTCAGGAAACACGGCAATGGTGTTATATGGGTGTTATATGGTTACTAGATTTCCCCCTCCTCTCTTTCTTGTTTTATCCTCAAGAACAGAAGACATACCTCATGTGACGAGTCTTGTGAACGCGCATCCAGGGTGCTGTTTAGGGCTCACGGCTGGTTTATACGATTTTTTTATTATCAAAAGACTAGCCTGGGCGTCCATGCTTCCACACTTCTAGTAACTTATCATTAACGATGCTCACGTTAGTTGAATTTACTGCGATACCAACTTTTGTCAAGATAGCTATGGGCATTGGCTCTTGGTGGATGCTCATCGTGATTCACGCCTGTCTATTGAGCATTGGCAAAGGTTATGTGCCTGGTAGGGGCATGTGTTCAATTGTACGAATTCTGCGCAAGACCAGGGCACCGTCAGTCAGTTCATGCAGCCGGCCGTGGCGACTGGCAGCTCGGCAGTCCATGCAGGAGTCGGGTTTGTTGGTTGGGCTTCGGCAACTTTGAATCTCGGCAAAACCATCCAATACACCTCCTGTGCCATCGGCCATCGCAGTAAAATCCGGTTGCCCCCGGCCAGTTCGTAGCCTTTCGATTACACAGTAGTTACTAGTCCGGTGAGTGGACAAGGAGGGACCTGGCTGTTAAACACCGTGAGAAGGCGACAAGACAATAAAAACAAAAGGGCGGATGGCCACGCTACGTTGTATGCTGCCATGGAGGAACGGCGGCGGTCGCTAACCCCACCCAGGTCAGCCCATTATTGAGCTGGGTGAAGCCTGTTCAGGGCGACGATTGGCAGGTGGCTCCTGGGGCGGGAGGTCGCGGGTTGTTGCGAAAGTACTCGTGGGCTGGCGGTGATCGTGCCGGCGGCGCAGGTACCGTCCTAACGTCGGAGGCCCGTCCAAGGCCGACGAATAGTGGGGCAGGGCCCTTTAGCGTCTCATGATCGTTCGATTCTCGAGCCTGGGTGTCAGGCCAAGCTGGCTGCTCCAAGTGGCTCGAAACGTCTACCGGCCCCGTTATGCTCGCCCGCTTCCCGTCGCTTGCCTTCAGGATCGACTGCCATTGATTGACCTCGAACTTCCCTCTGGTACTGCACAGGCACAGGATGCGAGAACACGTTCTTTGACGTCGTGAGCGACCCGAAATTTGACGTGTAGAAACCGAAGGATCCGTGGCAGCTTTCCCACCCTCTCGCCCGACGCCTGACCCAGCAGACTTGCGCGCGCGCCCTCCAACTGCGTTCGCCCCGGCTCGCATTTCCGCCCTCTTACCACCGTACGATATTAAAATCAGCGTTTTCTGGGCTGATATCAGACCACCTTTTGGCCCTGTCGGGCATTGCTGTCCTGATTCCCGAGCACTGTCCATTGGCAGCGCCGCAAGAGACGGTCAGCCTAGCCTCACACGCCCGAGGTCCCTCACGCATCTTCAACCATGGCCTTCTTCGACGAATCCGGGGTGCCAGTCACCGAGGGCAGCGAGGCCTTCTTCGCTGATCCTTCGTGGGCTTTCGGCGACAGCCCTCCCTTCACCACCACTTTTGACAGCGCTCCCCTCTATGCGGAGGACTGGAAGCACGTCCAGGCCCTGCCCAACCCCAACGACCTCGACCACCAGGCCCCCAAGAGGCCAGAGGCGTCCATCACGCCTCCCGGGACCGGCCAACTCCTGCCTCCCACCACCAATGGTCTGGCCTATCCCATGCAGCCACAAAACGGCATGCCTCCCGCGACCATGAACACCTTGACAGAGGCTCAGCGCCATCACCTGCAGAAGATTGCTATGCCATCTCACCTGCAGTACCACTCGCCCAAGAGTGAATCAAGCCCCGACTCGGCAGGCAAGTCGTCGTCCATGTCACCGCCTGGGGGTGACAAGGCAAACAGTCGCAAGCGCAAGTCTTCTGTGGAGGATGATGACGACGACGACGATGACGAGGATGGTCATCAGCCGGTAAAGAAGACGGCTCACAACATGATCGAGAAGAGATACCGCACCAACCTTAACGATAAGATAGCCGCTCTGCGCGACAGCGTACCCAGCTTGCGCATCATGTCCAAGAGTGCCAGAGGCGAGGACACCACAGCAGACAGAGAGGAGCTGCACGGATTAACCCCAGCGCATAAACTAAACAAGGCAACGGTTGGTTCCCTCCCCGAATGTTGGTCCGTCATCGTGATCATGATGGCTAATCCCGAGAACAGGTCTTGAGTAAAGCTACAGAGTACATTCGCCACTTGGAAAAGCGCAATAACCGCTTGGCAGATCAGAACAACGCCATGCAGGCACGCATTGCTGCGTTTGAGAAGCTCTTCATGGCTGGCGCCATGAATGGTGGCATCAGTCCAGTTCAACAGTCACCAACTCCGGGACACTACCCCCACGACGTCAATGGACTAGCAAACTCCCCTCCCATGGGTGCAACACCCGGTGGTCGTGGCGACCCCCAGGGTATGATTCAAGTTCCCGATGACTTGAAGCGGATTATCCAAGCACAAATGGCCGTCGGCCAGCCCTACCCAGTTCCACAGCAGCCCTTCCGGAGGCCCAATCCAGCAGTCGTCCGTCAGCAACAGATCCATCAACAACAGCAGCAGATGCAAGCTGGAGGCTGGCAAAACGCCGGTCCCTACTTTGGCAAGTTGATGGTTGGCTCTCTGGCCGGTCTTATGATCTTGGAGGCTGTACGTGAGAACGAACAAAGCAACGAAGAAACTGGAGGCCGCGGACTCTTCGCCCTCCCTGTTCAGCTGATTGGCTCAGCCATGTCTTACCTGAACGTGAACCTCATGGGCTATCACTTCGCTGCCAGTGAGATCTTGTTCTCTCTGAAGATCATGTTGATCATTGGAAGCATCTGGTGGGCAATCTTCCCGTCACTATTCGGACGAGGCGCACCCAAGCCCAAAGCTACGAAGGGATCAGCAGCAACCTCCCTGGCGTCAGCACCCTCACTGGCCGCACCCATTCAAGTGCGGCGTCAAGCGTGGCTTACCGCTATTCAGACGGTGTGGGTTCCTCGGCATAACTTTTTCCTTGAGGCTGCCGCCTTGGGTCTGAAGACTTTCAAATTGAGCGTACGGAACTTGATCGGCGTGAACGGATATCAGATGTTGACTGGCCTGACCGAGGAGCAAGAAGCCGCCCGCATCAAGGCCTGGTCCATCGCTCTCGACGCCCAGCTGGCTGGTGGAGATGTCGAGATCAATAAGAGCCGCCTGACCCTCACACTGCTCGCATCTGGCACCTTACCTGACACACCGCTGAGGCTGATGCTGAAAGCATTACACATCCGGGTTCTGCTGTGGGAGCTGGGCTCAACAGGAGTGCAGCACAGTATCTTCAACACGATGGCCTCCAAGATGGCCAGAGCCAAGTGGAACGAGGCGAAACAGCTGCATCGACTTCTCAACCAGCTGCGCCGTGGTGGCCAGGAGCAATCGGATGATGACATTCCGGACCACCTCACCATACTACTAGAGCAAGATGCAGACGAGGTCCTCAACCCCAGTGTGATTCAACGCGCCCACAATCTGGCTTGGAATCGCGAAACTCAGTATAACGCCATTGGAGCCACCGATGGCATGGACTCTGTTGTCGATGACGGAGCCGTCCGCTCTCCCATGGATGCCGTCGCAGCCTGGTGGTCAAGCCTTACTCTTCAGACAGCACTTACCAACAGCCTCCTCGTTCGGGGTGACGAAGACGGTGACATTACACAACTAGTCGAAGAGGGCATCACCCTGGCCATCAGGACCGCTCCTGTGGGCTCAGTTGCACAGAACCGCGCCCTTGTCGCCCGCGCTGTTCTCTTCAACGAGAGACGCGGTGCCAACATTGCTGCAGTGATCCAGGCTATCGGGCCGTGCACAGCGTCTGCGAACTGCTGTGAGGGTGCCGATGCATCTCCCCAGCCGGATACTCCTTCTATTGACATACCGGATTCCATGTCATCTCAAGCCGAGATATACATGTCTCTTCAGTGTGCGAAGGCGATAGCTCATCTGCAGCGATATGCACCCCCCGAGGAACCCGTCAGTATCTACCCAATCATCGAGGACGAAATCCACGTCGGCAGCGAAATGTCGCTTTTGGGATATATTGCAGCATTTACTCTCGTCAATCGTCTCGCAGGACACGAGCTCGCCGCAGATGCTTGCAGCCGTGCTTTAGAACGTCTGTCGGGCAGCCTACGAATCTGGATCGGCAAAGACAGCTGGCTGGATTCCGAGGTCAAGCAAGAAATGGTTGAACGATGCCTGGCTGTCACCCGTGGTGTGGTTGGGATGGATATCGACACCGATACCGGCTATGGCAGCATGACAGAGAGTGACGACGATGGCGACAGCGGGTTCAGCAGTGATTCTGAACAATTCTCCGTGTCTACAATTTCCGAGACTTCTTGACGAGATCCGAAGCGAGATCCGCTGGTCACGCCAGGATCGTAGATCCGTCTATATCTCCACTTTTAGTTGAAGGCGGGATGATTGTTAGAGTCTCGTAGGAGCTGCCAATCGTGCTCCTTACTCAGGAGCGACTCAAGTCTAGCGTGTTTTTTTGGTTGTCAATCTGGAGTTGGGGACCCGGTGAAAGTCAATACGGACGCAGGGATAGAACAGGGGCCGCTTGTTTCGGCATTTCACGATACCATATCTTTCTTATGTTGTTATTCATACCGTGCTATAGGGCGGTGCTCCTTCGGTTATGTCTATGCATGCCGACCCAAAGGGGAAATTCCCTACGGTATAGACAATCATGTATAATCAGCTCAGTCAGTTTTCCTATTTGTTTTCTGGTGCAAGTCGGGTATGGTTAGACTTGCAATGGGAAAGGCGCACCGGGGATCGTGGAGCCGAAAAACCGGGATAGGGCCGGATGCCCACCATGCTGGGTGTGGAGATATCATGTATTCGAGGCCTTCGCCTCTGGTCATGGAGGGATAACTATGATAGGCTCCTGGTATAGAATTTGGGAGGATCGACAAAACACGTGGATATCCGGTACTAGATTACTCCGGTCGAAAGCAAACGGGGCCGTTATGGACCCGTCGGCAATCTGTATCCTAAGGCCATCCTCCCGATACTTAAAGCTCCAGCTTAGAGAATTATATGGGCTCAACGAATTACTGAACGCGGCTAGCATGGCATTGCTGGACAAGAAACCGGCGCCATCCGCCCAAGCTACAAGCTGTTAAGTAACTAGAGGTGTTCAAGTCCTTGTGCAGCACGATCGTCAAGCCACATGACTCGACCCTATCTTGGACACGCATCGACTTGACAATGTCTGCCTTGTAACATACCGCGCGATCTAGCGGCCGCCTCTAGTCCGTGTCCGGGCTATCAAAACTCCCGCGTCATGCCAAGGGCGCAGACACAGGATATCATCCATGTCCGAAGGTTGAGCCCACGCTTTTAGGCGCGCGACTAAAGAGGTCGCGAGTCCGGATGCGGCAACCCTCACACAGGGAGCTTGTCTGTGGCCTCTGTCGTCTGTCCGAGACGGACTGCTTCGAAGGCTTTAAAGCGTTCTCGTTAGAGCAGCGCTGGGAAGGGGAGGGCACCGAATAGCCTTTGTGGGGGCCGAAGTGTCCTCCGGGACGCCGCCGCTTCGCCGGGCCACGCTGCGGTTTGCGCTTGCGCTTGCGCGAGTCTCCGCGGAGGCTGGGGAGGGGAGGGGGAAAGCTGCAATTAACGTCGGCACGGGGCCGCGTTGGAGCGTGGCTGGGGCACCTGGGTAAGGTTGCGGCTTTACGGGGTAAGAAAGGGGGTAAGAAGGGGTGGGAGGCTGTGCGCAATAGGATGGTGCACTACTTGTGGTGTGTGTGTGTGTGTGTGCGCGCGTGTGTGTGGGCTATCATCCCGGACTCGCACGTGGCCTGTCTCCTTGTTTTATCCTTCTCGGCGCCGATGCGGGCGCGGACTTGTCGGTGTTTTTGATGGCCATCAGGAGAGAGTTGTCAAGCATCGCAGGATTTTCGCCAATGCAAGGGTTAAACTGGGTTACTGTTGGCGGCGAGCCGGAGGCACATGGGGTTGGTTTGTAATGTGATTGATAACGTTGCGTAGCAATGTCTTTGAATAGCTGGGCCATGATCATGATGTTTTTGTTGGGCTCTGCAAGAGAGGCACCGGCCATCAATCGATGCGGCGTTTCAGTGCGAGGCACAGAAGGGATACATTCTCTTAGTACTTTTCGCAAGGGACGGTCAATATCTCAATATCCGCCCTACCAGGCAACATAGATGCGTGATGATGCGAACCCTGGAGGATCATATCATGTTACAAGCATAGGAAGCCGGAGATAGGGAGAGCCACAACACCGTCCCGTGGCCGATTGGCAGGCTCGTCATAGAACGTGCAATTCCTGGACAATATCACCTGACACTCCAGCCCGGTGATCATGTCCTTGCCGCAATCCTACTTCATGCCATGCAGGGCTAAACGTGGGTGCGAGGGTGAGTACGAAGTACGAGGTTCGGTACTGACAGTACCTCGTCCGTTGGCTGAATCCTTCGCCCGGCACCTGCGCTCATAGAATCCTTGTTTCATTTCCCCCGGGTTCAATCAGACGGCTCGCTTCGGGGGTCAAAGGGAAGGGTGTTCTTGAGAGTATTTTGCCCGGTTTAGCAACCTTGCACTTTCTCTATCGCGGCTCGAGGTCGAAGCTGTGTCTGCCCCTGCTACTTCCTTCCAGAGGCGCCTATCACCGGCGCTCTCGGAATGCGGAAGTCCTACGGGAGGCACGTCCTTACGGGTCTAGATCGCGTGGGAGTATGGTTCGACATGCATGGCGACGATCGGCGAAGGAGTGGCTTTTGTTGAAGATTTTGGGGGCCAAAGGGGGAAGTTACGGGGCGGAGAGGATGAGAGTGGTGGTGGCGACCAGCTTCTCTTTAAGGACCGACACAAGGTCATTCGGGATAACGAACCTTTGAAGTCGTCTCCAGTGGCCGCTTTAGAGGCGAACTGGCTTTTGATGCCTTGCTGGACTGCTCGTATATTAAAATCTAGGTGTAAGAAAGGCGCAGCAGTTTAGAAGACAGGTGACAATCGCAAGCACTGGGAGGCCAACAACGCGGTACGGCGGATTTGGCATCATTTCCATGGCCCTCCCCTACACCGCCGTGGCGGCAAACACACTCGTGTGGAATCTCCTGCAGTTGGTGAATGTCGGTCTCGACCACGCGGTTCACTGGCACTCCGTATAAGGATTCTATAATCGCCGCTTTCCCAAGGCAGAAATGTGTGTACGTTGGACACCCTGGTAGAGCCCTTCAACTCCGATGGGGGCAACGTGTTTCAGACGCGGAGGAGAGATTTGTCCAAAACCGATATACAACTTTGATTGGCTGCATGTCAGATCCTGCTGACTGCCTTCGGCACTCGCGGACAGGCAACGCTTTGTCAGCACTCAAAGAAAGGTTACATGGCGTAGGAGACACTGGGAATAGCATCTGGCGCTAACCAAAGCAAAGAGGGGGAGAGAACGCGACCTTGTGGTCGAAGGACATTATTTGGAAACCCGGCATGCGCCTTTCACAATGCAGCGCGGTAGGGAGGCAGTGAGGTTAGCAGGATGTTGGCAAGAAGGATGGGCAACGGCAATGAGTCACTGGGCTTGCTATCAACACACCCGGAACTCCTCTATGGGTCGTCGCTAACACCTACTAGATCCTCCACGGCCTACTTCAGGGCCCAGAATCTTCTCCGCTTGCAGATGTGCAGGGGCAAAAGTCTGGAGGCCGAGTTGGCCCAGTCACTGGCTAGAGTACAAAAGTGCTTCTGAAATCCGCCGGCAAAAACGGGTACCAAAGCCTGACATATCTGTGACTGCTGTTGTCTGAACGACAATGTCCGTTGTGAACAATGAGATGAGGTCACATATTGATCGATGGCTAGGTTGTGGTTGGCTATTGATATGATGAAACTCAAACTATTGTTGTTTTCACCCTTGTATATTTTGCGTGATGGTCTCGTTTCGAGTCCATCAACGCCAATTACATGATACTTTGACTGTGTACTAAATTAGGGGGTTGGTATGATTTGATTCGTTACATCATAAGTTTACTCATATTGAACACTTGGAACCGTTGAAGGAGTCGTCGAAACTCGCTGAAGCGACATATGGAAAGTCCTGAACTATACTGGCCGACTTGCCTGTTTGCATTACCTATTCTCGTGGAGAAGAATGGTACAGTCAGCGCTAGGAGCCTGTCAAGAGTCCCTCCATCAAACCCTCATAGGCTGAGGCGTTACTGCTCACCGTCTGCAGATTAAATTCTGACAGACACGTTTACACCATGTCAAAAACCATGCCCATCAAACTTAGTGATAGAAGTCAGAAGCCAAGACCTTGACATGTTACCGTAAGCACGTTATTTCGGTTGCAGATTGCCGAATTCCCTTGTCAGTGGATGCATTGGACTTTGAAGCTGGCTATGCGTCCCTTCATAGAACCCATGAGACTTTTTGAATGCAGCACGATTCAGACCACCATAGATCAATACGAATTGGCAAAGATTAGACTCTGATCCGGGGCCGCATAAGTGGCACCTGGGTGTCCTTCTCATGATCCCATACTTAGACTTTCAGGGGTATGACATTCTACTTTTCGGGCGCTCACCAGAATTGAAGGAGTACATATGAGATGGCCAGATTGAGACTTGTATTGCATGTCAGGAGTTGCCGCTCTCATTACTTTGGCTGAGCACAAGCTTATGTTTTAATGAACATCGCGAGTTAACATTGCTTTCTACATAGACCGCAGAATCAGGTCCGAAACATGCCGCAGAACCAGGATAGCCATGTGGATTTCGGCGCTGAATCGGCAATCTTTTCTGGATAGCCCGCAGTGGAATCGGTGCCGGACGTCTGATGACTTGCGCGCGGCTGTTTGGTGGGCTCTAGAGCTGCGGCTATTGATTCGATCTCCAGCCGAAAGGGTCCTTGCTGATCACCAAAGAAGCTGCAATCGATTAGCACAAACATGATATACCAGGACTTCAGTATTCGTACCTCCGCATCATGATGCTGACTCGTTGAACGTTCTTGAGGTCAAGCGGCCTCGCGTCGGGCTTTGGTTTACCTCGATACGTGGGCTTGAACTCGTCCCATGGGATGAATCGCTCTTCTCCATGGGTTGCAAAGTCGAACTCCCAGCTGACGGTGCTTTGCTCCCGACCATCGGGGCGTTTGGGTAGAGTTTCGTCCTTGAGGGTTAACGTGTACTTCTTGCCGTCGCCCTTCCCAGTCTTGAGGAGGAGCCCATCGTAGGCGTCTAGGTCCCATGGCGTGCCGTTCACAGTGCGCTGCGAGGCAAAACCAGCGCCCCCAAGCGCGGTGATATCTAAATCACCGTGGAACACGGCCTTTGAGGTTGAGGGACAGTCGAGATACGACCGGCTCTTGCCGCCCCGTACCCGATCGTCCGAAGCCGTCCAGGCATCTGAAGACCATGGCCTGGAGGGCTAATTAGCCTCATCGAAAGCAAAAGTAGAGCAGCGGTTCGAGAGCCAGAGAAACTCACGCGTCTCCGCCAAACAGGTCGAGTCGTCGTTCGGCCATCGCTTAAGCACAGGGACCGACGGAGTCGTCGGCTGCAGTCGATAGGTGCAACCAAACCCTGCACAACAGAAGAGTCACCGCGGATTACCAATCAAGCAATCCAGCAGTGGGTCGCCGATTAAGAATAGAAGAGTGCTAGTCAGATAGCCTGCGAGCTTGCGCAGTTGTGGTTTGATACTGTACTATCTGGAATCAGGGAATCAAAAGCTAGCTACAGTAGATCTGCAAGCCAGGCCATTGGGGGCTAATTTTAGAGTTCGAAGCTTTGGAAGCTCCGGTGTGGTGACCTCATGACGACGACTCATCGTTAGCCCTGGGGCTCGGCTGGACGGCTTTAAGCACGGAGATTCTTTTGCTGTGAAGCAGAGACGAAACAATCGTGAACGGGATGCACACTCAGCAATTCTGGGAACACAGCGCATTGTAATCCTATCACGGAGTATAGAACCTTATTCTTGCAATGAGCTGTGGAAATTAGAAGGAAATACATAACTGCACTGCCTGGCGCAACAGTGCAGGGTTGGTCGCCGTATATCTGGCGCTGTGATTGGTCGGAGTTACGACCACTGCTGCCGACGCGAACCCCGGCCACGAGCCCCCAGGGGTCAACATGGACATCATGTCTGCCGGCTTCAAGGATTACAAACTCCATGGAACTATGTAAACACCGTCACGGCAACAACAGCCCACGAATCGACCTGTCTTGGCCTAGTCTTAATAAGTGTTTCCTGGACTTCCCTGTGGTGAACACCATGTTGTCAGAACGCTCGTTGGGGCAACAAGGCAGAACCGATACCATCTCTTGCTTAAATGAGAGATCTAGAGTAAATTCAAGATCACGACCGCCAAATCCCCAAGAGTTACGCCCCTGTCCAGCCTCAGCATAGCCAGGCGGGCTAGGGACATCGGGAAACGGGGATGAAAGCTAATGTGTCTGTGCCAATACCGCGCCCCCGTGCTAACCAACACCGAGCCCATAACTCAGGTTCACGCCCCATCTTTAATTCTGGGACCTTCGTTCAGCCCTGTACGTACATAGTATGATCTGCGACTTATGGTAGAGTACGAAAGCACAGGGTCTGTATTTTGTGGAGAGAGAGTCTTTCTGCAGCCTGCTGGCAACCCAAAAAAATCACTATTGCTACTCAAAAGCCCGCGTCCAAGGTCATGGCAGTGGAAGTATACTTCGATCCGCCCTGAGCGGTACCTTGTATCGGAGATGACCTAGATAAAACATGTGCCTTGCCGCAATACACTTCACAAGGTATGAATTCATCCGCAGACGGCGCCCTCTGATGATCAGTTTGGTAAGTACCCGATATGTCTCTGGGCACAACTACAGCTCATCATGTGTGGAGGATCGTGGGGGACACCAGCGGCCAACCTGTCCCGTGCCCACGACGATTGGCGTCTGTGCTGGTGTCGTCTCTCCATTGGGCGGATTGCAGTCAAGCTTCTTATTGCAGCAGACCGGCTACCCGTGCTATTTTGGCTAGTAAAGGCCTAATCCTCCAACTACCGCAAGCGCCTGGCTTCCTGCTAGCACTATAAGCACCATGAGTCGGAAAGCCACTTCCGCTGGTCTCCGTCCGGTGAGTACCTTTATGGCAATATCACTGAAGAGAAACTAGACTTGCGGAGTGCCGAACATGGCGTTCGGCGTTCGCTTCAGAGGGTCAAATGCTGATTCCACACACCCTCCTTCTAGTAGAAAGATGCACTGCAATTTTGCTGGACAAACTAGTATCTCAAGCCCGTCCGTGGTGATAGTCACAAGTGGAATAGAGGGAAGATGAGGCTTTGGCTTTGAATGCTATTTTGAATTCATGTTGTTAACTGTACAACGAGCCGTCACGTACAGCTCGGCAGTGAGACGAACGTAGAGAATATGACCAGCTCCATAATCCATTTCCTGCAAGGTCGAGCACTTCGACCAGAAGCAATTTGCGCCGCCGCTTGCCACCAATAATGAGAAAAGTAAACCCTCAGAGAAAATGCCCCACTGTATATATCATAATAATGCTCGTGTGAGCATCTTGTCTAATCCTCTATCCATGCTTTCATAATTGGTGCTGTATCAACTCCGGCGAGTCTGGCATCGATAGCGGAGTTGTCGGGTAGTCGTAGCCAGAGTCAGAACAGTTCGCCGAGTGATCGAAAGAGTGAGAAAGTGGTGGAGTCTGGCATCACCGATCAGCTACGGGTTGCTCGGTGGGAGTTATGGCGCACATGACTCACATGAGGGTTCGAGGTATCGTAGGGGTTCTGAGCGTTCATATCCATCCCCGGTACAAAGCCATAGTTCATGTAAGGCGACAATGACTCCTCCGGGTAAGGCTCCCTCTTGATGGCATCGCTGAAGTGGGTCATCGACGGCAGTGTGCAGGGGACTGTGGTGGTCGCGATGTAGCTCGGGTAGCCATCCGCGGTTGTCATGGGGTGGTAGGCCTGAGCCGACCCATACGGCGGCAGAAGCATCTCGTCGGGCGGAGGGTATGCCGAGTAGGGCATGAAAGGAGGCGTATGCGATCGTTCCCTCTCATCGTATGACGACGGGAACATGAGCTCGTCTTCGTGGGTCATGGGCGGTGTAAATTGAGGTGCCGGGACGGGCTTCTGGGGCATGACGTTGGACTTTTGTGTCTTCGACGGGGACTTCTTGGAGGACTTGTTGGTCTGTCCTTGCTTCTCCGATCCACTGGCGGGCGAGGAGCCATCTGAGGTGCCAGCGCGTCTCTCCAGGTCTTCCAAGCGTCTCTTGAGCTTCTTGCCTGTTGTAAGTTGTTAGTCGAATGTCTCTTGGAAAGCCCCCGCCGGCGGCGTATAGGATGTAACATACGGTAGTTGCGCTGAGCAATCCGGTTTTGTATTCTTCTACGCTCAGCGAGATCGGAAATCTTGGTCCAGTCCTCATCAGGGTTCGCTGAGCTAGAGAAGGCACTACTGGTTCCGTGTGCGGAATACTGCCTCGGCGGCGCCTGGGCCTGGGCATATGTGTATTGGTGTTGCGACATGGCAAACATTGGAGCTGAGTTGAACAGGCAAGTGCTGATCCACTTAACCACAGGTTATACAGGTGAGTTGACTACTAGGTAGGATGTGAAGGATATAAGATGATGTCGTCAGATACCTCTGAGTAAAGATGCTCTCTTACTGTAGGGCTGATCTGATGTTGAGGCGAAGGCAAGTGAGGAAGAGGACGGGAGGGGAGACTAGATAAATATACAACCGACGAGAAGGACTGACATCCTGCCCGGCTACTTCAGCCATGAAGATGAACGACGAAAGGCCGCTGCAGACGTCAAGGACCCCTGCCCTGCGGCATGCGGCCGGTACGTCGACTTGGGAACTTCTGGGTACGTACCCCCTACCCTACATAGCAGGCCGGCAAGGGTGGCACGACATTGTGTGTCCGTACAAGGCGTGCAAATGCGAAGCCCGCCTTTTGGGACCTCCAAGAAGGCTAATGCAACGTTAGGTACCTCGACGAGAGGTGCTAACCCGCGCCTCACACCCAGGCTGCGGGCTGGGTGTGGAAAGACAAGGTACAAGGCCCAGCGGGCACCACCGCCAGCCGGCAGGGGTGGGCGAAGGGGACTTTTGGATGTACCCAGGTATTTTGGCCCTATTTCCTAAATGGGTGCCTCGTAAAAGGGTGGCTCGCCGGTAAAAGCGGCGAGATGTTGCGAAGTTGCAGAGGGGACTTTGTCTTTCCCCCCGTCCAGCACCCCCCCTCCCTGAGTCCCTTGGTTCCCACCACAGCGGGTCCGTAGGGCTATCCAGTCGGCACTAGACGGGCGTTAGGTAGCATCCCCCCCATGGCAGGGACCCAGGCAAGCCAGGACCCAAGAGACGAAAGCCCCCTTGGCCTATACTTCCCACCCAACGACTATGGGTCACTCTGGGTCATAGCCTATGGCCCACGGGCATGGGCGATGTCATCGGACAGCTGGGCCAATCACAGGGCGCGGCCGAAGGACACTGCATACGCCGCCAGTTTTTGGAATCGCTGTGCCCTCTATCAGGCAAGCCCGGTGCGGTGCTCCACGCTGTTCGGCCGCGACCCACGATGCCACCGCCAGAGCTGTCCCTTCACAACTGCGGACAAGCATGTCGTAAATGAGATAGCCGACTCGCGCGTACTCCAGCCACTCTGAAGCGTCGAAGCTTGTCGCGGGAGCCGGAACTACTCTGAACAAGCCTTCCGCTTGCATCGCTCGGCCGCTCCCAATTAAGCTTTGCTCTTTGCGAGACAGCGCTCTGTGTTTCTATCTTTACAAGCTTCAGGCTGTTGCTGCGAACCGGGTGAAGCTTATCGACTCGGCCGGCGAGTGTGCACCCGGACATTCGCTCCTCCGACAGGAAACCGACCTGACTGGAATAGTTACAATAGACACCGATAGGTATCATATCGTAAGGACTCTTCCAATGGTCTGGCAATCAACCCTTGGCCCCCAATTTCATATTTGCAGGGCCTCGTCGGTTGGGTGACAGGGTTCTTTTCGCTCATGCCTGTCACTTATGGGCGTATGGGGTGTTAGGACCTTTTCCACAGTCGGCTCATTTGGGCTGCCGATCGGTGGAGACACAACTATCAAACGCACGAAACGTATAACGGCTACCCTGGCTGCCAACACAACATAGTACACCAAGTGCGTAGCGAAGTCGCAGTGCACTTTCAACGAGAATCCATGTTCTTATTGGACATGTTGCGACGTGGAGATTTGAAACATTCATCTGGCAGACTGGCGGAGAGCCTAGGATCATGCCCTTTGAACCCCTGCAAGACGCGGCCGTTAGTGCCCAGTAGTCCGGTTGCTGGCTCCCAGCAGCGCGGGCGCAGCACAGGCATTCTCGAAGCTTGGAACGACGACACACGAGGCAGTACAGCGAGGCACGGCGGGAAAAAGCAACGACCATCAGTCGGACAGGTGAACACTGGCCGATGGACCGATGCCTGCCTCTCGTTGTCTGTCACTCGCTGCTTTCTAGTCGGCAGCCTAAGTAGTGGTAGTGGTGGTGATGGTGGGCAGGAGCCCGGCATCTGTCAACACGTGTGTGGTGAAGAATCTATTTTTGGCAGGGCCCTTGCCGACACCCATAACCAACTTACCTTCGCCAATTGGGCAATCTCATTGGATCTCGCAGCCGACCTGCCCGCAAAGGCTCGGACCCAGAGATGACTGATGAAGGTTGCGGGAAGCTCGCATTCGCTTCCCGCCCAGCCTGGCATATACCGCTGGGGTGGTTCTTCTTTTCTTCTGTTTCACAAGATCGATGGCTGCAAAGGCCAGCAGGCGAGCCCGTGAGGCTACTCTACACAACGAAGCCCCCAACTATTGAAGACCCTCACAGGACCCGTGCCTGGAATGCCCCAGCGACGGCAGGAGCTGCTCCACAGAGCACGCACGCAACACATGCACGCAAGACACGAATGCAAGGTTGCATGAGGCCATGAGCATCTTGAATGGTGGCAGTCGTCCCATGGGGGAATCAAAATAGGTATTGGAGTGAAGGGCAACAGCCAATAGCCTTCCAATGAGGGTGCCTCGCGATGCAACCGAAACAGATCATGGCCAAAGTCCTAAACGCGGTCCGGCTGCTGATTGGCTTCATTCCGCCTCTCCGCGTGTGAGGGAGAGACGACTTCAGCCCTACCCATCTTGCCGACGTTGCGCCGCGCCCTCAGCGCAGGACTGCTCCAAATCAGTCATAAGGTGCTGACGCTTTTCCACCATCAACCCAGCCCTTGGTTGCTTGGCCAAGGGACCAGCCAATTTCCCACCCCCAGTGGTTCCGGTAACCAGGCAGCAAGATAACTAAAAATGCGCAGCATGAAGCTAGCTTAAGGACCCGCTCAAGAAGTCCGAGCCAGGACCAAGGCCCGTCTACTACCTAGCATGATTTGCCGATCTACGCTTCCATATCTCTACCAGGATGCGAGTGATTGGCATACCCCATTTGGACACATTCTGCGACTGTTGAAATGGACAAACGGTCTTGGGAGAACAGGCGCGCCTGGAACTCATACACACACACACACACACACACACACACACACACATGGGGGGAAAGAGGGAGAGAGAGAGAGAGAGAGAGACCCGCGCTGTGTCGTTTCCACTAATGGGAGGCTGCGTTGCTCCTTTGCCCTCGTCTAAGAATATACAGCTGGCGCCAGCACGACCATTCAGCACCATGGTCTTCAACGCTAATCTATGCTGCAGTTTAGAGATATGCAATTTGGCATGGAGACATCTCAGGCTGTAACAGGTCGTTAAGAACATCCCTGAAACAATGCACGCCCCTGAACATCTTGGTGGGATATCTATATTTGCCCCGACACCTTCAAGCCTGTGGATATGTATGCAGCAGCAGCAGGTTTGTCTACCCACTTACCAAGCGCCGTGCTATTATGAGAACTCCAGACGCGGTGGCATCGGCTAAAAACGTGTTCAGGTCGCTTGTTGGGGCCAGCTTGGGTTCCTGTTGATAGGCTGGATATTTAAAGTTCTCACTCCTAACTGCCATGCGTCCCATGTGTGCTGCTCGTCAGCTGCCACGTTATTGGGGGACCAGTACGGCGGAGGACGGTTCTACACACCGACAGGGCGCCATAATCAAGTGCCTTGGGGGAGTGCCGGTGCCATGTCCCTGGAATCCCGACCAGATGGACCCGTAAGCGACTCCATACCCATTGGTTCGCCCGGCAGAGTGCCACGCGACTCTGAAGGTGTGCTGACGGTCCCCAGGTACGACCTTGACTCCGCCGTTTTTCCAGAAGCATTGTGCATGAAGGTCATTTTGCTGTACCACACTTCAGACGTGATCCTTCTTCCTGTCGAGAAGTCCTAGAAGGTGCGTTTTAGCCCGGGTAGACGGGCACTGGTAGGATATGTTGTAGGGGGGGTTCAGGTGCTCTTGAACTGATTCGGGCCTTTACGCGTGGATGGGAAGGCGATGCTGCCAAGATGAATCCCATGTAGCCCAATCACTCGGTCTGATGATATTCTGATCTGTATGAACCTTACGTGTTCAGCGCAACTTTGGTCACATGATTTCCTTGTACCGAGCCTCATGGGGTCCATGTGCTACGTACCGGCATCATCTGTATCCGGAGCCTCGGGTACAGTGGCTTGCTTCCGTCTGAAAATGCTGGGAATCACATTGTACAGGCGGCGTCACCTAATGGCCTTCTACGCCATTGCGATTCCTTCAGCCTCGTGTGTATGGAGCACTGAGGCGCGGTTCCATCCCAAGTTGAGACATTGCGCAGCAGGAGGGGATGATCCCCCAAATGGCGATCTCGTGCGCCATTACGACTGCCGCTCGGGAATCCCCCTCCCCTATTGCCGACAGTTGGCCATTGGGGAGAAGGCAAGATGAGACCTATTTGGTTCGCAGGACTCTGTCGGCGCTCAGGAGTGACCGGATGAGCCTCTGGACCCCAAAAGTTCACTCAACAATCTCGAGTGAGTTACATGGCACTGCCTAAAACGGGAAGCCTTCTCTCAGGGGCAACGCCCAGTCGCAGCACTGGCATAGTGAAGGAGGATTGTTCATTTCCCCCAGACGTTCAGCTGGCCATGCCATGTGGCTTTCATGAGGGGGCTCTGGTCTCAGGGCTGGGAGCAAACGGCATTGGGTGCGCATCGCCATCTTCGGGAGGATTTGTTCTGTCAATACGCATGGAACCCTTGGCGTATGTCCCACGGCACCCCTGGCTACAACCGTTGTACCGTTGCTGGGTACATACGGACCCGGAATACGGGGGTTGGCGGGACTGCTGAGTGGTCAGTTGTCGCTTGGAGGTCTAAGGCGGCCGCAACTTTTGGAGTGGGCTAATTTCGACTATTTAAGTAACATGGTACTTCCTGATGCGGAAAGGCTTAGTGCGGATTATTTTGGGTCCACTGGCTAGGATTATACACACCATACTGCCAGAGTAAATAGTATGATTGGCTGGAACGTGTATCGCCCAGAAAGGTCCAATCATGGCAGCTCTTCGCCAAGTCACTTGCCATAG